CTTATTTTTTCTAGTATACTATTAGCAACTTGCCGCCTTGCTAAAGCGTCTAGCTTTCCTTATAAATATAGTGCATTTAAAATTTAAGGTTTAAGTGTTCTTAACAGATAAACGCAATAAAGTACGTCTATATAAGGCGTATAACTAAGGGTTTACTAGCATAAAGTTAGTTATAGTACTTTTACTAATTAGCTGCTAGTATAGTAGTTAGCTAACTACCTACCTAAATAATATTTATATCTTCTAACGCATTGCTATATGCATTAGTGTTATAGGCGTTCTTTATTGTCGCTAACTACTCTTCTATCTCTATAGTAAAGGCACTAAATTTCTAGCTTTCTAATACTATATTATAGTAGCTTGTTGTTATAGTAGCAACTGCTAAGCAGTAGCCCTATAACCCTTGCAGCTATAATGTTAGTTAATGCCTCTAGCGTTTGCATAATATAAGTATATTTATCGCTTTACAGCTGCTTTTTAGCCGGCAAGGTGTCGTTAAGCGGCACGTATACCAGTCTTATTTCTAACTTAACAGACAGGGTTAGAGTGCTTGCAAATGCTACGTGCAAGGTGTGGCTGCCGTGCATTAGCATAGGGGGTGGCATTGGCACGTCCTTAGCTTTTAACAGTTTACGTGCTAATCGCAGAGTGGCTGCCCTATGATTGGACATTGCTCTTTGTAGAATAGAAGTTAAAGAATGTAAGGGGTGGTGTGCAATGCGTAGTTATAAAGGCTTAACTAGTTTGTACTATTGTATTAAGACTTTAACTTAACGAACTATAAGAGACTAGTAGGCGAAGGCCTGCTAGCTAATATATACATAGCTAGAAGATGCGGTGTAGCGCAACCCTAGTAGGGCGTAGTATAGCTAAGTGGCTATGCTAGTCCCGTGCAACGTGTTAAGATAGTTTGTTAAGTCCGTCGCTTAGTAAGCGACTAGTTGCCGAACCGGTGCGTAGGGACGCGTGTATAGAATACCCTTATATTAGTGCTCTCCTCTATCTAGCCTTTAAGCTTATTTGCTACCTTATTAATATAACGTAAGGTAGTTGGTGTATTAGCAGGTAAAGATAATATATTTAATGGTAGTGTTAAAGTACGCTGTTAGTATTGCTAGCTTTAACGTATTTTAAGCTGGTTAAGTATAATATAAGGGTTAAAAGGCTCGATACTAGTCTTTTTAAACGCAAAGGTAATCGTAGGCTGCTTAAATTCTTGTCGTCGAATCTCCTATATAATTAAAAGGAAGTTAAGCTTGCCAAAGTCTATAAGTCTATCCTAAGCTAAGATATTAAAAGCTTTAGCATAGTAGTGCTTTAACGGCTAAAAAACAACAACGTTAAAGAGCTAAAGGATATAGGTAAGATATAGAGGAAGGCTAAATGGTATAATACTATTGTTATTATAGTATTTAATACATTGCCTTGTATAGTAACTACTATGCCTATTAAGTATTAGCAGTCTCTTTAAACTTATTTTACAGCCTTTTAAGTAGTTGTTAAAGTGCTATAACTAGCAAAAGGTAATCTTATTATTAGTATAGCTAGATTCGTTTAGCGAAATCAAAGTATCGCTATACAGCTACAGTAAAGTATACTAGCGGCTTATATAACGTTTACCGGCTAGAATAAAAAACGCAGGAAGATGCTAACTATTAGCCGAAATAGCTTTAATCGCTATTATAGACTCTTTGTTTTCTACTATACTTAAATACTATACTCTCTTTCGCTTAGTAACAACCAGCTAATCTTTACCCTTTCTAATCTAAAACCTAGTTTCGTCTATATTTTATATGTTGTATAGAATAATACCTTTGTCTACTATAACCTTTTGCAGCTTTTTAAAGTACTCCTTTATAATAGGAATGCTCTCTTTAGTTTAGCAGTTTATATTTAAGGTCTTTTAGCGCATAACTTAGTATTTGTAGCGCTATATAAAGCAAGCAGTCTAGTGCTCTTTGATAGGTTTGTAGTTATTACTAAGGCGCTTATAAAGAATTATATTAGCAGCCTTTATAATAAGCTTGCGCCGCACCGTAAGATTTACTGCCTTTAGTCTATCGATATATTTGCATACAGCTGCCTTTTCTAGCTATAATGAACGCGTGTGTGTAGCAGGGCGCCCTTTTGCTCCTAAACCGCTACTAAGGCGCCTAGTAAGCTAAAGGCGCAGGACGTCGAATTCTTACGCAACCGTAGCAACTAGCGTGTTTAGGTTTGCTTTTTTAAATTAAATAGCCTTTTCTAGTCGCTCCTTTATATTGTTTTTGTCTATTTTTTTTTTTGCGAATTCGTAGTGATTTTTTAAAATTACTTTGCAAGAAAAAGTGTTTATTAGGGTAGTTTGTTTATTAGGGTGGCTAGCACTACCTATAGTGGTGCGCGTTAAAAAACGCGCGCCCTAGGTAAGGCAAGGCACAAGTAGCCGAAATAGCTTTAATTGTAGTAGCAGATTCTCTATTCTCTACTATGCCTAAGTACTATGCCCTTCGCTGCTTTATAACTACTAACTAGTTCTTCCCTTTCTTAATTCGAAACCTAGTTTTATCTATATTCTATATGTTATATAGGTCGATACCTTTATCTGCTAGGACCTTTTGCAGCTTTTCAAAGTACTCTTTTACTTTAAGTATGCTTTCTTCCGTCTAACGGTCTAGTTTAAGGGTTTGTTGGCGCATTACGGCGTACTTATAGCGCTGAATAAAGCGAGTGGTCCAGTAAAGACCAACCGGCTCGTAATCCGAATCACTAAGCCGCTTACATAAAATCGTATTCGCTGCCTCTATAATAAACTCCCGCCGCACCGCAAGGTTTACCATCTCTAGCCTGTCGATATACCTGCATAAAGCAGCCTCTTCTGGCTGCGAGAGGCGCGTATTAGTGGCAGGGCGTCCTCTGTAGCCAGAACCGCCATTAAGGCGCCTAGTAAGCTGCATGCGCGGTACGTCGAATTGACGCGCAACGGCTTAGACTAGCGACTCCGGATTTGCTTCCTTGAAATGAATAGCCGCAGCCAATCGATCTTCAATTTCGTCTTGGTCCATAGCTATTTTTTGGCTTTTCAGCGATTTTTTGAAGTTAAATCGCGTTGAATTGTGCTCATTTGGCTGGTGTGACTATTTGGCTGGCTAGCACCACCTATGGTGGTGCGCGTTTTTCAACGCGCGCCCTGGGTGGGGCGGGGCACGAGTATTTGATAGCTACTCCGTACGGAGTACGAAGTACCTTGCACAAGGATACATCTAATACAACTACTACTCGTGCCCGCCCCATCCAGGGCGCGTGGTGCTAGCCACCTAAATGTACGTCGTACATATGTATGTATGTACTCCGTACTCAGTAATACTCTGTAAGGGAAAATACGTATACGGAATATTTTATGCATGTACGGAGTAGTAATAAAGCCACAGTTGCCTAGCGACTACGGACTACGGATGCGCACGTTTTGTCATTGAATCGAGTTTACGGAGCATGGAATACATAGTCAAATGTATCTTACGGAGTAAATGCAGCTGGTGGAAAAAGTCGATTACTATCTGACCATTGTCTAAACGCGCACAAAAATTCGACGTCCATCCCTTAGCTACTGGCCTTCTGTGCCTAGTCTAATCGCTTCCGTCCCAATCAGTCGCTGCTGGTCGGGGATTTGGCTGAACTTAGCCAATCCAAGTTAAGCTCCCTGCTTCTTCACGACTTAACGTTGAATTTTACACCAATTCGTATCTACCTTCCATGGCTTTGAAATCGACACTGCCTTCCTTCCGAAAGCCCCCATTCTTTGTTAAACGCAACCATACATGCGTGCTTTACCCGGCTGCTTTACACCCAAGCATATTCTATATACTCGAATCGTCCAGTCCCGCGCGTTAACCATGGCACGCGACGTCGACAACCGTCCCCTTTTGCATAATCCGAACCACTCTGCTGGTGATACAGACCGTGGCCGTCCAGGATACCGACTACCTCGTCGCCTGAGCGCCGACGACAGCTTTACTCCATCCATATACACACCGACCGGACATGAGAGGCTAGCAACCCCTGCCGCCTTGCCGCCTCGCCAAGGTTCATTTCGATCTAGAAGTCCAAACTCCAATGCGCGCCTGGCCGTCCGCAAAAAATACACATATGCCGCCTTTTTCCTGGTTTTATCGCTCATATCGTTTACTGTACAGACAGAGTTGGCTTCTTGGGTACAACATGCTGGTTGGGATAAGGCGTACTGTATGCTTTATGTAACCCACGGGTCATGGTCTATCCTTTGGCCTTTGCAACTGCTTGTCCTGCGACTGCAGAAGCGCTCTGTTCCATGGCCTTCATTCTGGCGACGCCACATATGGCTACTGAGGACTACAGCGGCGATGGTAGAAACACGCGACCTCGATATCGACGTGGCTAGTCAAGGCCGCGGGAGCGGGACAAGAGGGCTTTTTGGCTTAGGCGGGCATGTCACCTATATGGTTAAGACAACTGCTGTTGTCACATGCTCGCTTACAGTAGCAGGGCTCAGCTGGTACATAGCTGTGGCTCTGACTAGCCCCAGTGACCTGACTGCGATTTACAATTGCAGTGCATTTTTTGCCTACGCGTTCTCCGTACCGTTGTTGAAAGAACGATTGCGTTTGGACAAGACTGCGGCTGTCATAGTCGCTGTTGTTGGAGTTCTCGTTGTGGCTTACGGCGATGGAAAAGAATCGGTGCCAGAGAGTCTAGAGAGTCCAGACAGCGATGATGCTGGCAAGCGGCTGCTTGGCAACCTCATCATTGGTGTGGGGAGCGTACTTTACGGTCTTTACGAAGTACTATACAAGCGATATGCTTGCCCCCCGGATGGCTGCAGTCCTGGCCGTGGCATGATCTTTGCCAACAGTTTTGGCAGTTGCATAGGCCTCTTTACATTGTCCATACTTTGGATACCGCTGCCAATCCTGCACTTTTCGGGTATTGAGACTTTTGTCTTACCGACAGGAAAAGTGGCCTGGTACCTTGTTTTATCTGTGGCAATGAATGCTACTTTTGCCGGCTCCTTTCTCGTCTTGATAAGTCTTACGAGTCCGGTGTTAAGTAGCGTTGCTTCACTGCTGACCATCTTCATTGTTGCCGTGTCCGACTGGGCACTGACGGGCCAGTCGCCGAGTGTCCCTGCAATAATTGGCGGCAGCATGATTGTTGTTGCCTTTGTGCTGCTTAGCTGGAGCACCTACAAGGAGATGACGGAAGAGGAGCGAAAAAAGGACGTGGATCTCATTGGAGACGAGGATGCTGACAGCTCAGATGGTGAAGGTACCGGATCAATATATACCTAGTTTGTGATGTACAGTCGAGAATTTGATCGCGGGCTAAGACACCCTCTCTTTCAAGAAATCATTGGACTTGCTTTCCGGCCCAGGAACAGATCGTGGCGAGTTGCAATGGTTGGCTAAGCACAAACGGACCAAAAACTAATGTATGATTCTATAATAACGGTAGGTGCGACGAAAGTAGCTATTAGATTATTTAATTCTCGAACACTGTCCCAATACTAGACATAAAATCGGTACTTGAAGTAGGAGGTGGTTATAGCTATTTAGCTGGTAGGTGTGCTTTATAAGATACTTTGCGTTCTGCAGGGCCATTAGAAGGGACCTTACCTTCGTACCGTGTATCTCACCTTTTTTTGTTAATCTTTTAAAAATAGACCGCCCCCCAAAGCATCTTACGGAGTACAACAGCTAGAATTTTGGCAAACAAATGTTGGCTTGCTTACTACAAACTAATGATCAAGATTCCGCATTTTGGTAGGGCTGGCTATTCCTGTTGCGTTCGCGATACACAACCTGCTCGCGGTGGAATGAAGCTTTGACAGGCGGCGCAGCTCTTGAATACGAAAGCCAATCGTAATTTCTGCAAATGACTGTCCTTCCTTTCTCGTTCTGGTCCTGAGGATGGTATACTTGGTTTCGGCTCGAGCAACGGCATGTTCAGTCATAATTTACAAATCGCGGGGGTTTTGGGGCGTTTCCACTTCCTTGCGTCCGCTATCTACTTCTGGTTTGGGCGGGAGGAGGATTATAAGAGAGGGGGAAGGGGAAGGGATATGTGACGCCCCTTCCCGCTTCCTCCTTCATTTCTAGCACTCATTGAAAATATATTATGCTTCACAAAGAGCGTGATCGCCTTGATAACGAAGCAATGGCTGAGCGAATCCACCAGCGTCCTCCCTTTCGTGCCGAGCATCTCGGTTCACTGCTGCGTCCCAAGGTTCTGAGTGAAAAGCGTATCCAACTGGATGGTGAAAAAGCAGTTGTGATCGCTTCCGACAAGGAGCTTCAGAGACTCGAAAATGAGGCGATTGACGACATTGTCAAACTACAGATCGACTTAGGGTACCATGCAGTCACCGACGGCGAGTACCGACGCCATCAGTTTTGGGGCACCTTTTTCCCGGCGCTGGAGGGCATGGACGAGATCGCCGACCCGCCTCTTGACATTTTTCGTCTCTATGTCCCTGACCTGGCTGCTTTCAGTACGAACTCTTCCCACATGGCATGCAGCCACCTTGCTCGCCGGGTTGTGATTTTGTGTTTTGAGAACTGACTACATGCTGCGTCTACAGCGGAGGCTGGGCATAAGCCTGGGGAGTCGATTATTTGCGTCGGCAAAATTAAGCATGCCGGCAGCACTTACATAGACCAATGGAACTACCTGAAGACTCGTCTTCCTGCCGAGCGAGTCAAAGAAGCGAAGCTGACGTTACCAGCTCCAGAGTGGTACCACCTTCGCTATAAAACGGGTCATGCGTACCCAAAAGACGTTTATGCAAATGACGAAGAGTATTTCGCCGACATTGCTGCGGCGTACCGCAGTGAGCTCAGAATTCTGTACGAGGCTGGTTGCCGCAACGTAACCATTGACGACCCTAACCTTGCGTGTTTGTCACCACCGAATCCTAGTCGCACGGTCCTGCTGTATTACTGATTAATAATCTAACTGTGAGTTTAAGACTTCTGCTCTGAAAAGATGCTGCAGGGTTTTCAAGATGTGGGAGAGGACGCGGATGCCTTGTTCGACAGCTACATCAAACTGTACAATGATTGTCTCTCTACGCGTCCGGCCGATTTTCATGTAGGGCTCCACCTCTGCCGCGGGAATTTTGCCTACTCGCGCCACTTCAGCGAAGGAGGCTACGACCGCGTGGCCTCGAGGCTTTTTCGCGAAATCAACGTCGATACCTACTTCCTCGAGTACGATACAGAACGCTCTGGAGGATTCGAGCCTCTGCGCGAGTTACCGGCTCACAAAAATGTTATCGTCGGCGTTATTACGAGCAAATTTCCAAAGCTTGAAGACCTGGTTGAGATGCGCGCCCGGGTTCACGAGGCCGCTGACTATGTTGCCCAAGGAAGTGGCCAATCCAGGGACGAAGCCCTGAAACGCCTGGGTGTCAGTCCGCAGTGTGGATTTGCAAGCCATCATCTTGGTAATAGCGTTACGAAGGAGGACATGATCAATAAGCTGAAGCTAGTGCGCCAGCTCGCTGATTCGATTTGGGCGGGTGAGCCTTAAGTCGAAGATGGACCGGATGTGGAGTGGAAGGAGCGAGCAATCAAGAAAAGGTACTCCGTAAGCAGATAGTTGAGCCCGATGACTTCCGTAGTCATGAATACAGCCAATGAAAAGGGGTGTTTTTAAAGCACATCACGTGATAATGACCTCGGGCCTGAGGCTGGGTTTTTATTCGTTCAACGGCCGGCATCTCAGGAACTTCACATATGAATTGACCGACATCACATGCCCAATTACGTCGCCAGCGGCCTAATTAAACGAGTCAAAATGACAGGCGCAACTGAAATTGGCGTTGCCAGTAAGTAAGAACCTACGTGTAGTTCAAAGTGGACTTGTCTAATGTCGCACAGAGGCGACACGCGAGGAGATGAGCGAGGCCAAACTCCCGCTTGCATACCGAGACAGCTGCGCAAACCTCCTTATCCCCCTTAACCGATGCCGCTTCGAAACATACTATCTCCCGTGGAAGTGCGAGGTATCTAGCAACCACCTATTTGAACCATTTTACCACTGCGACTCCAGTACTTTGCTAACTCGACTCCCCACCTAGACCGAGAGACACAGCTACGAGAAGTGCCAGTACCTGGAGTTCAAAAAGCGGGTTGCAAAGATGGACGAGCTACGGGAAGCTGCGAAAAACAACTGATCGGTCGCATGTTGCTTGAACAACGCTGCGTCCGGCTAGTTCCCCTTCGACACAATGAAAACCTACTGCCTCTAAATATCCGTGTCGGAAAAAAATACAATTGATTCTCATGCGGGGCAACTGCGGCGACGCTTTATGGAATGTATTTGTGCTTATACGGAATTTGGAGTTATTCTGTCGGATTTTGTAGTGTATGCCCGGTCTGTTTTACCGTCACCAGAACAGAAACCTAGCCCTCAAGCTGCATCTTGATTTCAGGGGGGTAAAGATGCTACAATATTGAATTGGGCGATGATCTACGATGAGGCAGCCGGTAGCACAAATTTCGGGACGTCAGCAGAGACAAGTAATGCACCGTATACTGACATGCGATTCTTAATCTAAACTATTTTTGCCAATAGTAGTCCACTCTCTCACAACCATCTGCAGCCTGTAGTCCTTTCGAATAAAATCGTCGGGGTATGCTTACGAACGAGAGAGATCTTCTCCGGCCTCGGCCTTCTGAATCCCATACTTCTTAAGACGGATAGCGTTAATGTTGATGAAGCCAGCTATTTCAAACAGATTAGTTAATGTACAATAGGAGACACGCTAATCATTAAACATTGGTTGGTTCACTTACAAGTATCAACGGGGCTGAAGTCAACAAGAGAATCCATAGACGACTCCTCTGAGGAGTAAAGCTTTTCATCCGAGCTCCGGCCAAGGACATATGCATTGCCCTTGTAGCAGCGGAGACGAACCTCGCCGTTCTTGCACACAGTCAGTCAAATGTTTAGGAGCTAGTATTACAGGAAGAGAAGGGGAGCAGCTTACCACTCGCTGCTGTGAGAAGACAAGAGAATTCTGTGAGAAGTAAAAAGTTAGCAGTTTGCAATTGGAAAGAGGTGACGAGGTTGCCAGGTGACGGCAAAACACTATCTTCTCGTTGATAAGGAAGCACCTTTCGACTAACCTCGATAAATTCCCGCTCTGGAGAGAAGTACATGCCGTTGTACAGCAGCTCGGACCAATTATGGCTGACAAACTGGTCACGAAGCGAGCGAACCTTTCCGTCCATAACGAGACCCTCAAGATCAAGATGGGCAAGGCGCAGAATCGTCCTTTGACAGGTATTAGAATTGGCATGTGCCGTGCTAAGTGAAATAGTAAAGTATCATCCGCTTACATGCCAGGAGAGTCGTAGCATCCACGGCTCTTGAGCCCGATAAACCGATTCTACCGAATTGATTAGCAATCAAAGAAATGCGAAAGACCGGTCTGATACCACGCACCTCAACAATGTCGATTCTGCCAATGCCATGTTCCTTGCCAATCTCGTTGGCCTTCGCAAACAGCTCAACGCTATCGGTGTAGTCCTTTCCGTCCACAGACAGCTTTACAGGAATGCCCTTTTCAAAGAAGATCTGAATATCCTGGGACTTGTTTGGGGCTTTCTCGGGGTCCACAGTTCGGGTCCACATGTCAACTGGTGGTGGCTGCGACGGGTCTTCCAGCTGGCCACTCTCATACGAGCAATGGGCGAAGTTGTCATCCATGCTGTACGGTTTAGCTTTGGTCGATGTGACCGGGATTCCACTGGCATGGGCATAGTCAAGCAGGTCCACGCGGCCCTGGAAGCGGTTAAAGAATTCGGGTAGACGCCACGGTGCAATAATCTTGATCTTCGGGTCGATGGTGAGGAAGGCAAGCTCTGGTAATCATTATTGGTAAGACAGGGACCTTGCATCTTAAGGTATGCTGATAAAAGGTAAACCCACCGAACCGAACCTGATCGTTGCCCTTTCCGGTGCAGCCGTGAGAGACATAGTCGCCTGGCATTGGTCAGTCACATTCAGTGTTGCGGAATGAGTCTTGATTGTCCTCACATCCTTCTTGCTTGGCAACCCGCATCTGAGCACGGGCAATGACGGGTCGCGCCAGGCTCGTACCAAGGAGGCTGGCAGCCGACAGTTAGTACATCAATATAAGACGCAAGTACCTTTACCAGGATTGTTGGGTTCAGAACATACTAACGACCTTCGTACTGCGCATTGCACTGAATAGCAGGGAAGCAAAGCTGCTCGACAAACTCCTTGCAAAGATCGACAATGATCATCTTTGAGGCACCAAGCTTCGCGGACTTGGCCTTTACAGCATCCCAGTCTTCTTCCTGGCCAACATTGGCAAGGAAGCACACCACCTCATACCCCTGCTCGAGAAGCCATTTCAGGATGCAGCTTGTGTCAAGGCCGCCTGCCGGATACAGGCCATGTTAGTTCTGAAATAGGTCCACCACAAGGATGTTCACAGATCGTGGTGGGGGAGAGGGGGGGAGAGGACGATTGGAATACGGATCAAGAGTGGGGTGTAGGTAGGGGAATTATACCTGAATAGGCGAGGCAGACTTTCCCCTTGCTCATATTGAAAATTGACGATGACACAAACGAGCTGGTGATAGGCAATGGATTCTGATGGTGTTGTAAAAAGCTATAGTCGATGCTAAATATGGTTTCAGACGTTCAAGTGACTCACCCTCTTATCTGAGTTTTTTTCCTCCGTTACTCGGCGGTGAGGTAAGCTCTCTAGGCGAAAAAATTACGGGGTCTCGTGCGGTGAAATTCAGAGCATCACGTGTGCTATCTACGGCTGTTCCAGCGAATATACGACGTAAGCTACTCTGTAATGCGCTTGACAGCTTTAGTCGTCATCTTAGTCCTGATAATGCGGTTTTAACTGGTTGGATAAGGGGGGACCTGAACTTCTTAGGTGTTGCTGGGCGCTTATGTCTGACTTATTGGTTGGGTACAAATATGTGTTTAGTTCTCCGTAGGTGTGAACCTAATATAAGCTTCCCGCGTTCAAGCCTACTTGGTAACACCTGGCATAATACTGAGCATGTAGAACTAGACCTATTCTGCTATTTTGTTTTTCTGTGAATCAAAGTGTGATCAGAGGGTTTTCGACTGCGGGCTTATGGGCCAAAGGAAATAATACATGAGAAGGAAGAAACAGCCAACAGATCAACCAACTTCTTACTGCCCCTCTCAAATTAAAATTAACAAACTCATACAATGTCTAGCTTTTTTTTTCTATTTCGCGTCGCACTTTTCCACAAACATTCAAAGAACGTGGCAGCCAGCGGGCCAAGCATCTCCGCTGCGCTGCAGCCTGCTGGCTGCCTAACACCCTGAACTGAAATAGCTTCTGGCATCCTGGCTATCTAGACGGTAGGAATATGCTAATCACCTTGCCGCGAAGTATCTCAGTTTCCTGTCGACGGGCACTTGGGGTATCTACCACCACACGGCCTTGCTGGCATGCCAAAAATTTGCTGCTAACGCTTTCCATGGGCGGCATCATAACGCTAGACTAACAAGGTCTCCAGCCAACATATATAGGTGGCTTTTTGACGCACAACGAGTAACGTATCTCTGTCGGCTAAGATCCTACCACTAGATATCCCATTGTGCTGAACTTTGCTGATTGGGAGTTTCCCCACAGCGGCGTCTCCTAGGTCGAGTACGAGGCTACAGCAGAGAGTGCACCTGCCAGCACTCGTTGTGCCGTATCTCTCTTCACAGTCTCGCTAGAGAGGGCACACATGCTTCCGCAAAAGGAAGAAGCCTGGTTTCGCTACGATTGAATGGGAGGTATATCCTCGTCTGTAACGTACATACACGGATCAAGCAACATTTTGAAGTTGCGCAACGATGTCCACAATAACTTTGACTAGCGCATTTTTGCCTTTGTAGCGAAACGAAACACTGCCTTCGACCCATGCGTCTTTGTTGGAATTATGATCAGCCTCACTTCCCACGACTACATGCCGGCTTTTCAGAGTGTTGTTGTCCAGTCTCCCTCGTGATCGCGGTGCCACTTCATGTTTGCACGATTCTCATGGGCTATAATCTTGTGAGCTAAGGAGCTTGTGGCTAGCGGCACTTTCCTCGTTGTGCGCGCCGTTGAGATGACAGAGAATGGCGAAGCATACACGACCAAGACGACAACTGGCCTGAAGCTGAGAAACAAGTATTAAGGGGGCTTCAACGAGCTCGACGCCGATCAGGCGAAGGTGAGGCACCTAGATGACGATGACAGCAACAGCCTTGCCAATTTAGACAACAAAAAACTACGATGATGACCGAGAAGTCGAATTGTGGGACCGAATCTGCAAAGAGAGGTGCTGAGATGAAATTTAGACATACACGTTTACCACAGGAAGGTATGCGATCCCATCTTTGCACATCGGCCAGGTGTTTTTGACTTTTTAACAAGAGGCGTTAGCAGAATGAGACTGATGAAATTGTGTCGGATCCCGGGTCAAAACTAAAGGCCCTTGAAGAGGCCAAACCCCTAAATTATTTGAGGCGGCGGCGCACATTGTGGGATCAACTTAGTGGAGTTCAGAAGTTCGCATGGTGGTCATCATCAGTATCCTAAGAGCTAGCATAATTGTAGCCTAAGACTATCAAAAAGTCAGTGGCATTAGCCGTTTCACCTAAATATCAAATGCTGTAGTTGGCCGGTCTGGTGGGCGAGGCGAGGCCACTGTTGGAAAAACCTCGATAGCTAGGAGCGTACTGGGTGGCATAGGAGGACATGAGGATAGCTCGGATTGAGCATCGCTAGTTATAGTCTGGAATAATATTACTGATTCGGTGGCATCAAGAGATACATAAACCAACTCCCACAGTCACCAGTCAGGCATAGGAGCCGGACGCTTTATAAGATACTAGAGTAGGAAACGCTTGATTGATTGTTGGCTAGCTGTAGTTTAGTTCCTGCGACAGCTTGCCAGTCTTAACGGCATTTTGTGCTTCTCTATAACCTAAAAATGACTGTCTGATGTATTACATTTACGGGCAAAGATTTGTAGCTTCTCACCGCCTCTGCTGCCGATTTAAAACATGTGGCATCACCTGCTGGATTCTTAATGAGACGATATACTACTGTGCTTCCTGATACATCTACGGAAAGGGGTTTCTTTTGCTGGAATGAACTGCATGGCTACTTTTCGCTAATGAGTTACTGACCACTATTTACTAATGCTAAAGACTACGCTGGTATGAGGATCTCTATCAGACCCCAAAGTCTATTGTTCGGAAGGGAGTAATATTAGGTGGCAGCTTCTAGCCAAAATGCTCCTAATATAGCTGGCTGCGGTGGTCCATTCGGGTTACTAACGCACAAAGAGAAAATGTGCTGGGCATTATCACACTGACCCGGGCCCAGTCAGACATCCTTCTTCATCACGTAGAAGGTATATTCTCACCTGCAATGCCGACAGAAGCCTACAATGAAACGAAAAGGCCTTTCTGTCGTGCAAAGCAGTTTCCCAGTGACGTCGTCGTGATAAAAGTTCTGGCAAAAAAAAAAAACTCAACGTATGCTAATCATTTGCTTCTGAGCTTTAGTTACTTAAAGCTAAACCCAGCTGTTGTTTATGATTTGAGATAGAAATGAGAAAGTAGGCCCCGTGGGTATCAACAAAGAGAATGACATGCCTTCCCGTAATTAGTTATCGTCCGCACACTGCAATTTGATCTGAATGAGTCGTTCCTTTTTTTATACCACGTTTCCCCATGTGGAGTCTCCCTCATCCCTCGTGATGATGTCTCGTCGCAACAACGTGTGTTTTTTCGCTCCTCCTATTACCCTCCCTCAGCAAGCCAATGTAAACCAAACACCGTAAGGCAATGCATAAATAAAAAATACAATGAGAAGAAAATAGCGACAACGGCTTACACGGAGGAAGGAAGACAAGTTGATCAAAACAACCGAATCAGTGGCTCCTGCAAAAAAGGCCGTTTGGTGTTTGGGGTAGTGGGACAAATGTGGGACAAATGACATTCAAGAAGCACCACAGCCGGAAGACTCAAAGCGAAACACCGCTTTTGTCCTGTATCAGAGGCGGGAGAAGTTTGGCGTAGGATCGATGCGAGCGGCCAAATTGTATTTATAAGGCCACTGGCTGAGACTGCTGCAAAATACGCACAAGGCCAGGCCCTTCATTGTGGCAAGCTTCCTTCCAGCCCAACGCATCCCAACCATCCATGGTGTAGTCTTGGTGATGCGGCGGGGAAGGGCTACATATGCGGGGGAGAATGCCATCCAGATCAACAGACGTGTGTTCACGAATTTCGTGCACAGTTCGTTGCCTTCGAGACTCCCTTTCCACGACGAGATCACGAGCGATTGCCCTTCGTGTGTCGAGCGCTAGTGGTAGCGAGCTGTTGGAGCTACCCCAACCGAGGTTGGGATGTTCAAGGATAAAATTCACAAACCCAAAAGGAATGCCGGAAAGTACACGCGAGAGGATTGCGGCTGTGCTGTTTGCCTGGGATGGCGGAATACTACCCGGCTTATGTGTTCCATTAGGAGTCACTAGTGGAAGACATGTCGACATTGTCTTCTTCCCCTGTGCTGGCGAAAAGTCGCCAAACACTATTGTTTCCGATTGTGGGCTGCGTTTCGACCGCAAGTCCACTGTTCTGGACGGAAGACTAACTGACCCAGACGAAAAAGTCTTCGACGTATCTTGGTCATTCCGCAGTTGGTAATCATGATTTGCGTCTCGCTTAAAGGGCATGCACGATGCGTGATGCCCTTCAACTGGGACCTCCTTCGGGCTCGTACAAGGGAACCGAGAAAGAGGAACCGGGCTTGTATCAGCTAGCTCGCTGCTTTCCTGCATGACGAATCCGTCCGGAAAATTCCAGATAATGAAATCCAGAGCCTTGTGCAGTAGCCGTCGGATGTTCTGGCCGGCTCCTCTTGCATAGCGAAACTCGGCCTGGGGATACGGTATACCAAACATGTCGTGATCCACTGTGGGCGTGTTCGGTAGCACAGACCCATTCAAGCAGAATGCCAACACCCTCTCTATCGTATCCCATCCGAGGAGTTGGCAGGCCTGTTCCACGCCAACCATCTCGACATTGTTCAACATAAAGAGGAAACCAGCCACTAAGTTGGAGATTGCCATATCCATAGCTTGAACCCGTGAATGCGCAGTGGTGACGTTTACATCGTTGTTAGCTAGCCCATACAAACTGCGAAGTGCTTGAAAGGATGCGTCTGCTGTGATATATGGGTCACCTAAGGTGACGTGCAAAACAAGAACAGGATAGCCAAACGATCCTGTTTGTACAGTTACGCCGTTTCCGCTGTGAAGCATTTGGGAGATGGTGTGGGATTGTGTAAGGGCTGCACGATGACCCATAAAGAGCAATGGTGGGCCGCCCATAAGTGCCCCGCTTTTTGAAGATGCATCCCTCCCCGTAGATCTGTTAAGGCCTCCTTTAATGTCGACTTTGCTTGGAAAGTGAAGCATAAGGTAGCAGTCGGCTGATCGGGCGTCGTGAAAACTCTGATGCAGCTGCTGCTCTAAAAAATGAACGAATTCAAGACCAAGGTGATGTGCACCCTCCGTGGGATAGATGTCGCCCTTGGCAAGGCCGATGCCGGGAAAGCCATTCGAATGCAGAGATGACGGCGGCGGAGACAGTATTGTAGGACGAGTGTCATTGTGAAGGGGAAGATCTGGAGGGGGAAAAGGTCCGTTGTTGGAAACATGAGAGCCATGAGTACCGGAGGTGATGTTCACATTGTCAGGAGATTGCGAACCGTGGAAGCTTCGAGGTGTGGAAGTATTGAAGCTCGCTGTCGAAGTATAGCCATTTACATCACTAGATGGAGCCATTCTGGAAGGGCCGTGCCAGCCGCCCATTCCTGGACTGGGAATGTTATAGGGCATGTACACAGATGGGTGTAACCCGATCATACCAGGCGGTGGGACACCAATGTGGGCGTCATGTGGCGGCGGCGGCAGAGTGTCTTCTGATCCATGACTGGTACCAAAGTATATGCTTCCGTTGTTCAGGCTTGCTTGGTGATCTGTTGGCTTCTGAAGCTTTATATTTTGCTTGGCAGGAAGGCCATCGAGGTGGCTGGTGGCATTGACGACAACGTCGTGGGGATGCACAATATCGAAGTCTCGGTAGTCATGGCTAGTGGAAGGGCGAGAAATCGAGCGACCATCTGAGGTTTGCGGTTAACAGGCGCAGACCCAAAAAGCAGACCCAAAAAGCAATTTAGCTACCATACTCACTTGGTACTCCCCCACCAGTGTCCTTTGATGTTCTTGTCGTTGCCGTCAGTAAAGACTCTGAGCTAGCTGTTATGTTGCTGGCGTCGCCACGGTCGGCGGGAAGGACGAAAGGGGCTGGCTGGGCAACAGGGACCGACACTGAAGACTCTGGCTTAGGAACCCGCAATGCAGGTTCGGCTTGTTTCTGGTGCTGACCGAGAAGATCGCCTTGCTCTTGCTGTAGTCTTTTCCGCTGCTTTTGCTGCCGCTGCTTCTCAACAAACGGTAGAGGTATAGCAGGGACAACTGTCGGCCGGGTATTGGATGCCTTTTTGATACCCAAGCGCTGTGTGGGTACTTCATCGGCTGAGGGACTCATTGTGATGTAGTAATGTCTCGTTTCAGTGCGGTAATACTCCGTTTTGGTACAGCTAACACGAGGTGTGGTTATCGTGATAGTCGTAGGCGACGAGGGTCATTTGGAAAGCAACAAAGCCAAAGACGCATGAAGCTATAGTATGACTGTCAGCTAGAGGGAAGGACACAACAAGGCCAAGTACAAGTGACAAGCACCGTGAAAGGCTGATGAAGATAATGCTATCCACTTCGTCATGCGGGATTCTCAAATGGCACCAACTTCGGTCGGCTAGGACTTTTACATGCTCAATAGGCCGAAGAATAAAAAGAGGAAATGACAGGGAGAGAGGATATAGGGCTGATGGCGATGTGACGTATAAATGAACGGGTGTGGATAATAGATGTGCTTTTATTTTCAAGCCAAATGAGGGAGAAGTGGTATGGGGTGGGGAGCAACCAGACAAGAACAAAACTTACGGAAACGATGATGTGAAGTTGGCAACGCCACCAGCTTGTTCTTGCGTCTTTTCAAGCAGCGGGAAAAATCCCAGCCTGAAAAAGATTGTCTTTGGGGAGAAGGGGGGGAGGTTAAGAGGCCGAACCAGGCAAACGCACAGCTGCTGCTGGTGCAGAACAAACGGATGCGTTTATTCCTCGGCCTACTTTAATTTTTTTGTTCCTTCTTTTTTCCGGCCCTGGGAATTTGTAAAAAATAAGCGGGGCTATCCTTAGTCACCTAGTAGGTTGCACGAAAAGATGTACGGAGTACTCCATAAAACTTGCTTCGTATCCATTCTAATATGAGGCTGGCTGGCGCTTCACAACCTGTCAGCAATGTCAGATTCACATACCATGCGAATACTCCGTACTCCGTACATAACTACGAGATCAAAACGAATTCACTCTCGAAGTATGGGATTTTTTTTTCTCCACTGGTGGAATTTCGAATACCTAGTCCATGCTGTGGCTACTCGTAGGATACCGGTCATCCTTTTAAAGCTCCTACTTCTATGCTTGCAGTCAGCTAAATCCAAAGAGGTTGAATTGTGTCATAAATCTCCACAGGCATGCCCGAAAGTCTTTTGCTGTTTATTTTATTTTATTAAAAACCCCCATCTCATTTCGGTAGAATGCTTGTTGCCACCGTACATCTCGTTCTCTCCTACAGTCCTCCCTTGTTCCGTGCCTCCCCCCTTCTCGCAAAATCTCGGCACAGTTAACACATGCAAGTTGCCGTGATAGCCTTGTTTTCTGAGCTCTGAAGCAGCAGTGTTCGCAGAAGGCCCTGCATAACTCTGAGGACATGCGTACGACCGCTTGCCCTTGGCAAAACTTGTGCAACTACAATTAGACCCCACAGACCTACGAAGTAAGATACAAATTAATAACTACTATTACATAGTAGGTAAGGGTCTCTGTACATGGCTTAAATTGCTTTGTATTTTACCGCAAAGATAGCTTTATGAAATTGACTGTGTCCAAGCTGCTGTCTTTCTTAATTGAATTTGAAAAGTAGTTGCGCTGGTTCGTTACTTGACACGTGCTTCAAAACACTTAATCTTCGTTATTTATACCACGGATCGATAAAGGGCCATACGAGTATATCTTGCCCTCTGTATGCACGCCGTATTGTGTCTAGCGAGCCCAAATGGTAGCTCTAAAAAATAAGGCAACTTACTTTTAGTACGGAGTACGATACCTCTTAAAGGGTACCGGCTTGCACGTACTGGTACTCGCGTAAACCCGTTTTGGTCGTCAGCGGGATACTAGCACTCAAACGTCCTGGGCTCTGGGGACCCACTTAAGGGTATGGGGCTGCTTATGATCTGAACACTTAGCCACAATTGTTCCAGCTCGAGCAGCAAAACCATCAGCTGTCGCGGAAGTCAAGATCCCGGGATATTGGAAACCCCCTCTTCAAAACATATATTACAAAGGGGGACTGCCTGGTTGCGTACCAGGCGCGCGGATCACATCTATATTTCATCTTATATACTGCATTTTGACTGAAGAACATCTCACCCTGCGCCGATCCGCACACAATGGCAAAAGCGACAGCTGCAGGTGCGGCAAAACAAGCTTTCCATGGATATGAGTTCGGTGGGCCGTATGTTCTAACCTGATGACTTGGGAGAGCTTAAAGTACCGTACGGTGGAGATTGTTGGCTAACTGCGAGGATTGACAGCATAGGTGCCTTTGGCGTCAGCTTCGGCCTGCCTATTCTTCTCTACATATTCACATTTGCCTGCAACGACATTTCTGGCTGTCCGGCGCCCTCCCTGCTCGACCCTACGACGCTGGACCCCGAAACACTAAAGTGTCAGGTGGGCTGGCCGGCGGAAGGCGTCAGGGGACTGGTCAGCTGGCGCATCACTGGTTGGACAGTGGCATACTATCTCTTCAGCGCAGTTCTCTACCGCGTCTTGCCAGGGACGGTGGGCGAGGGCGTCGTGCTGGCAAACGGGGGCCGGCTCAAGTACAAGTTTAACAGTATGTCAAGAGAGTGGGCGAGGGTCGGATAGGGAGGTGTGGAAGGCACAGAGAAGGACAGACAGACTGACAAACAGCGCTCAACTCGTCCCTCTTCACGCTTGTTATCTGCCTGGCGGGAACAGTCGCCCAGGGCGCCGAATTTCCGCTGTGGACTTTTATGACGGACAACTATGTGCAGCTGCTGACGACTAACATTCTGATATCGCTGACACTGGCTACATTTGTTTACGTGCGCAGCTTCGGCGTCGTCCCCGGAAACCGAGACCTGCGCGAGCTGGCCGCTGGCGGGCAGTCTGGCAACGTCATGTATGACTGGTTCATTGGACGGGAGCTCAATCCCCGCGTGACGCTACCTCTGTTGGGCGAGTTTGACATTAAGTCGTTCATGGAGTTGCGCCCAGGCATGCTGGGCTGGATACTGTTCAACCTTGCATTTGTGGCCAAACAGTATCGCTCGTTTGGTTTTGTGACTGACAGCATTGTCTTTATCGCCGCCGTGCAGACGCTGTACGTGCTGGACAGCGAGGTGATGGAGCCGGCGCTGTTGACCACTATCGACATCACCACTGACGGCTTCGGCATGATGCTGGCCTTTGGTGACTTGGTGTGGGTGCCATTCATGTACTCACAGCAGACGCGGTACCTCGCTGCACATCCAGTCTCGCTCGGCTGGCTCGGCGTGCTCATCATGGGCGCAGTGCTGGCGACTGGCTTTTCCATCTTCCGGCTGGCCAACATGGAGAAGAACCGGTTTCGGACGAACCCGGACGATCCTCGCGTGGCGCATCTCAAATATATCGAGACACACACGGGGTCGAAGCTGCTCGTGTCGGGGTGGTGGGGCGTGGCGCGGCACATCAACTACTTTGGAGACTGGATCCAGGCTTGGCCGTACAGCCTGCCGACCGGACTCGCGGGCTATGCGATCCTGGCATCAGAGGAGGCGGCAACAACAGCAGGCGGGCACCCCGGCGAAGCGGTCTTTGCCCGCGCTGATGGGCGCCATGTCGTCGGCGGTATGGCTCGGGGCTGGGGCATGATATTTACGTACTTTTACGTGCTGTACTTTGCCGTGTTGCTGGTGCATCGAGACATGCGAGATGACGAGAAGTGTGCGCGCAAGTATGGAGAAGCCTGGAAAGAGTACAAGAAGCGGGTGCGGTGGCACATCGTACCAGGTCTGTACTAGGCGGCACGAAGGAAGGAAGCAACCAGAGCCACGTGAGGTTGTGTGCGCGAGGGTGAAGAATGGGAGACGGACACGAGGACCACGACGGAAGGCCTTCGGGGCTGTGGGTACATCTGGCTGCTTGGACTCCCGGGGAATACGAGTACGAGAACACGGCAGTTCCGTCTGTCCACGATGTTGCCAACCTGGAGTGTCTGAGCAGAAGCAAAACCGGTGTGGTGTGAGGCCAGACACATGTATGCAGACGTGACGGTGCAGCGGTTCTAGCACATGTATCTACGGGGAAATTTATTTGGCCGAGAGACAAATACTCTGCACTTACGGAGTACAACCTTTTGAGATACCATACGACGACATTCTGTATTGGTGCTTGAACAAGAAAGCAGGGAGATGAGTGCGGTGTCGTAACGTCGCCAATCCTTAGTATTCTAGTCACCTCCTTGTCTTACTACGTAGTATACGGAGTAGTACTCCGTACTCCGTATCGTACATACTCCATGCGCCATAAGATGCCTTGCTCGTACGAGTACGAGCATGGCGTGGGTTATTTCGGATCGCCACCGCAGGTCTTCTCCGATTTGCGGAATTGTGATTCCCCTTCTCTCGCAACCATCTCATTCTCGTCGTCCCTTTTTTTTCGTCTTTCCCCCCTTTTACAACGTAAGGATATTATGACCTCAGCACGTGGACTCTTCGCGTTTCGGCAATACTACTCCGTACTCCGTGCAGTGTCGTATTACGCCCCCCACATACCCCGTTTCTCCAGATCGTCCCCAAAGGTCTCCCGTACACCGTACTAAGCACGAGTACTCGTACTGGCGCCCTTCCTATGAGTGTGATTTATAAGAGAAATGTTGAGCACACTGTACAAGTAGAGTACAGGCAATGACACGTACGCACAACATATATCACGATACAGATACTCGTAAGGAGTACGAGGTAGCAGCAGTGTCAAAGCAGGGAGGCATGAAAATGGAATGCGGTCCAACCAAGCTTAAGCCTGTGGGAACCGTGTCTATGTTTTTATGGTCTGCATTCCGTAAGGTAATAGCTGACCATACGGAGTAGAAAGCCCCTTATTGCTCCACATACCGGCCGACACGACCCTGCTTTCTCGTCAGGATGTTACAGTTCTGCGATGAGCAATCTGCACGCTTGCTGTTTTGCCGATGACGGGAAGACTCCAAGCAGGAGGCAAGACAAGCGCGGGGTTCCAGCGCCGATGTAAACGGGCCGATCTCAGCCACCGGCTCCGCACGCGGTGGGGCTTCAATGCAGTGGAGTTGTGATGAATTCCGGTTTCTCGACACAGTATTTGGTAATGTACCGTACGCTAGTACTCAGATTGACAGAAACGTAAAAGATGTACTCTTTACTCCGTATTTGCTTCAATTTTGTGGGTGCACTTACTTTGTAGGATGACGCCCGTTGCTTCGGTACCGTGTTAGTGCTGCATTGCGGCCTAAATCGGGAAACCCCGAGCCAGTCGGATCCCAGCTTAGGTAGAAGAGGAGGCGGCTTGGCTCTCTGGATATCCCTGTTACCCTTACATCGTGTCTGACAACAACATCTATCACCTGTTCGTCAGATTGTTTAATTTTACAGGTGCCTGTAGATCACGAAGCCTCTGACCGCCGACTTTGCCTTTCTATATATGCCGGCTAAGCGTACCTTTATCCCAAAGTGCGAAACGCGACGTTGTGGGGGAAATACTAAATTAGGAGACTTGTTGCTCGTCTTCAAGAATGCACTGGATCAGCGTGAGATTTATTGCTGTGCTATTAGTGACCGGCTGCAGCTCGGTCGCTCCTTCCGCGTACGCCAGGTCTGCCAGCCCACGAGAGGCAAGTGCAACAGACTTGTTCTTTTGCGACCCTTCTTCCACGGGGCTACATAAGTTCTGTGTCTTGCTTTGGCAAAAGACAGCATTGATTCTCGGCGTCTTTATCACTGGAGTTTCCAAATAATTCAATTACACATTTTGACTCCCCTCATCTGTCATCGTTTGGCTCAGCTTGGACCTCTGTTTGCATACTGTTTTACCCCGGGCCATCTTCTACCACCATGATGTGGTTTGCTCTTTTTACAGCCCTCGCTGGTTGTGCCAGCACCTATGCTGACCTTAAACAGCATGTATACCGCAACCGAGATGAACCCTCTGGCGTCACGAAGCGTGGTGGCCTTGCAGAATCGCTGCCGTTTTACCCGTCGCCATGGATGAATCCAAGTGCTGATGGCTGGACGGAAGCATACGTCAAGGCTAGGGATTTTGTGTCGCAGATGACTCTCCTGGAAAAGGTCAATTTGACGACAGGAGTAGGGTGGGTTTCCCTGGCTGCGAGACTGTTTATCTCCACCGGAGTCGCCTTTCTGACAGATACAGATGGGAGGGCGAGCAATGCGTCGGCCAGGTCGGTTCTGTTCCCCGCCTGGGGCTCACCTCGTTCTGCATGCAGGACTCACCCGTTGGCGTGCGTGATACGGACTACAACTCAGTCTTCACGTCGGGCCAGACCGCTGCAGCCACCTTCGACCGCCAACTCTTGTACGCCCGTGGATTGGCCATGGGTCAGGAGCACCGTGGCAAGGGCGTCACCGTGCAGCTGGGTCCTGTTGCTGGACCAATTGGTCGATCTCCTGAGGGCGGCCGCAATTGGGAGGGATTCTCTCCCGACCCAGTACTGACCGGCATTAGCATTGCTGAGACTATCCGTGGAATTCAAGACGCTGGAGTTATAGCCTGTGCGAAGCATTTTATCGGAAACGAGCAGGGTTGGTCACAACCGTCTTGCCTAATGGCCTGCCCGAACTGTCACTGCGTTTACTGACATATCGCAGAACATTTCCGCCAGGCAGGCGAGGCGCTGGGCTTTGGATACAATATCGCCGAATCGGTTTCATCCAACATAGACGACGTTACGATGCACGAGCTTTATCTTTGGCCGTTTGCGGATGCGGTGCGGGCGGGCGTCGGATCGTTCATGTGCTCCTACAACCAGGTCAACAACTCATACAGTTGCCAAAACTCCAAGCTTCTCAACAACTTGCTGAAGGGCGAGCTTGGCTTCCAGGGATTTGTCATGTCAGACTGGCAAGCTCAGCATTCTGGTGCGGCGAGCGCCCTGGCTGGTCTAGACATGACAATGCCCGGCGACACAGAATTCAACAGTGGCTATAGCTTCTGGGGAGCCAATCTGACTTTGGCTGTGATAAATGGCACCCTGCCAGAATGGCGTATTGACGACATGGCCACGCGAATCATGGCTGCGTTCTTCAAGGTGGGCAATACTGTCGGAGGACAGATTCCCATTAATTTCGACTCCTGGACGCTCGACACATACGGACCAATCCATTATGCTGCGGGCGTCGGCCACGGGCAGATTAACCACCACGTTGATGTCCGAGGAGATCACGGGACACTGATTCGGGAAATTGCTGCGAAAGGAACGGTCTTGCTCAAAAACACCAACGGCGCGCTACCGCTGAACAAACCGCACTTTCTGGCGGTTATCGGCGACGATGCCGGCTCCAATTTGGCGGGTCCCAATGGCTGTTCCGACCGAGGATGTGATAACGGAACGTTGGGAATGGCCTGGGGCTCTGGGTCGGCAAACTTTCCGTATTTGGTCACACCTGATGCCGCTCTGCAGGCCCAGGCGCTGAAGGATGGCAGCATGTACCAGAGCATACTGTCCAACTACCAGACATCTGCCATACAGGACTTGGTGTCGCAGGATGGTGTCACCAGCCTCGTGTTTGTCAACGCGGACTCGGGCGAGGGGTACATCGAAGTGGATGGCAATGTGGGTGACCGCCTTAACCTGACGCTGTGGCATGACGGGGACTCCTTGATTGAGAAGGTCAGCAGTCTGTGTAACAACACGATCGTCGTCATTCACTCTACGGGCCCCGTGCTAGTGGGTGACTGGTACAGCAAACCCAATGTCACGGCCATTGTATGGGCAGGTGTTCCGGGGCAAGAGTCGGGAAATTCGATCGTGGACGTGCTGTACGGTGCAGTCAACCCAGCGGCACGGACGCCATTTACATGGGGAAAGACACGCGCAAGTTATGGTACAGACGTACTGTACGAACCCAATGCAGATGTGCCACAGGTGGATTTTGAAGAGGGCGTGGCCATTGACTACCGACATTTCGATCGCACGAACCAAACTCCGATTTTCGAGTTTGGCTTTGGCTTGAGCTACACCAGCTTTTCTTACTGCGACCTGACGGTGCTCAAGAACACAGGCGCTGCACCGTACAAGCCAACGCAGGGGTTTACGGGGGCAGCGCCTAGCCTAAACACAACCAGGGCGTCGACGAATCTGAGCGACTACATGTTCCCGAGCCAGTCATTCCCGTACGTGTGGCAGTACATATACCCCTACTTCAACACATCGTCGTCTGCGCAAGAGGCATCGCAGGATCCAGACTACGGGAAGACGGCAGACGAGTTCCTTCCAGCCCACGCCACGGACGGATCTCCGCAGCCACTCCTTCGGGCCGCAAGTCAGAACACGCCGGGTGGCAACGAGGGCCTGTACGAGATTCTGTACAAGGTGTCGGCACTGGTGACCAACACGGGTCCGGTGGCAGGCGACGAGGTGGTGCAGCTGTATGTGTCGCTGGGAGGGCCAAACGACCCGCCGGTGGTGCTGCGCGGCTTTGAGCGGCTGCGAGATCTGGGGGCTGGTCAGGCGGGCCTTTTCTCGGCTGATATTACGCGACGGGATCTGAGCAACTGGGATCCGGTGCTCCAGGACTGGGTGATCAGCAACTACACGAAGACGGTGTATGTGGGGTCCAGCAGCAGGAAGCTGCCGCTCAAGGCCATACTGCTCTAGATGGCAGAAGACGTCTGCATAGGTAGAAAACGTGACGAGTACGCAGCAGGTATATTGATCGAGAATTTCTATTGGCGCCGTGATTATCATGGTATCGTAAACATTGCCGTTGTATGACCACGCAGTGAGCGAAGAGGAGCGGCCATTCTCAATGCTCGGTGGCCAGCAGCTCCTTCTTGACGAGGCGGGATTGGCGGGCGATGAAGCCGGCGAGGGACTGGACGGTGCGGGAGCCAAGAAATTCGAGGACGGGGACGGTGGCCTCCATCTCGCTGGCGACCCAGTTGCGCAGCTCGACAGCGATGAGCGAGTCGAGGCCGTACTGGCTGAGCGGCTTCTGGACGTCGAGGTCATCCTCGGACGGCAGCATGAGCAGGGAGACGATCTTGGCGCGCAGAGCGGCCTCGAGCAGGGCAAGGATGTCGGACAGGGCGTCGGCAGCGCGCAGGCGGGCGCGGATGGACTGGGTGGCGGTGTCGGCAGCATCAGCGGTGCCCTGGCCTTTGTTGGCGTCGGCGTCAGTGGCAGACTGAGCGAGATGGCGGGCCTGGGCGAAGCGCGGCTCGAGGTAGGAAGGCCGGTGGATGTCGCCGCCGGTGTAGCGACCGAGGCCGAGACCGGTGAGAATGTTGGCATCGAGCAGGGGCATGGACGTGGCTGTGGCTGAGGCTGTAGCTGATTTGGGGTGTGAAAGCGTGGCGTTTGTGGCGTTTGTGGCGTCGGGTGGGGCGGAAAAGGCGGCTTCGATGATGGCTAGACACTCAGGGCCGTCAATCTCGTCGAAGCCGTGTGTACGCAGGGTCTTTTGGACGTCGGAGTGCTCGGCGACGTAGCCAATGCCGGTGATCATGCCGAGGTTGATAGTGGTGGCAGCTTGGCAGCGGCGGCGGCGGTAGCGCGCAAAGGCGTCCTGGAAGGCGGAGGCGGCGCCGTAGGCGGTCTGGCTGGGGTTGCCGATGATGCCGACCATGGAGGAGAGCAGGACGAAGAAGTCGAGGTTGGCGGGCAGCTGGCGGTGCAGGTTCCAGGTGCCGGCGACCTTGGGCGCGAGCGAGTTGTTCCAGGCGGCAGAGGACATGTCCTGAAAGAGGGCGCTCTCGAGGACGAGGCCGAGATGAACGGCGCCGCGAATGGGGGGAAAGCCGGCTTCGGAAGCGGCCTGTAGGGCGGCGGCGAGCTGGTGGTCGGAGGCGACGTCGCAGTTGCAGGCGAGAACGTGAGCACCGGCGGCGCGCAGACGGGCGACGGTAGAGGCAGCGACATCGCTGGTGATGCCGCCGCGGGAGAGGAAGATGAGGTGACGGGCGCCGAGCTCGTGGACCATGCGAGCAGCGAGGGCACGGCCGATGCCACCAAGGCCACCAACGAGGAGGTAGGAGGCGTCGGCAGGGAGCTGGACGCGGGGGACGCGGGGTGACATGACGCGAGCGAGGATGTTGGGGTTTGTTGTCGTGGTCACAGACGGGGTCACAGACGAGTCTGCGACCAGGACGAGCTTGCCGATGTGACGGCCAGCCTGCATAGTGCGTAGGGCGGAGATGGCATCAGCCAGGGCATAGGTGGCCAGGGGTTCGGGCACACGAGCGACGCCCTGGCGGACAAGATCCATGCTCTCAGCCCACAGACGGGCGCCATAGTCTGGTCGATCAGCCAGCAGGGTGATCAGGTCGACGGCGGCAAAGGTGACGTTGCGCAGAAAGGGGGCCATGTCGAGGCGGCCGTGGCGCTGCAGATCGCGCTTGCCGAGCTCAATAAAGTGGCCAAAGGGCGCGACACAGCGCCAAGACGCGTGCAGCAGCTCACCGGCAAGCACGTTGAACACCACGTCGACACCACGACCACCGGTGACCTGTAGCACTGCCTCGGCAAACGACGCGTCACGGCTGCTGAAGACGTGGTGGGCTGCCAGGCCGCATCGTTCGACGAGAAAGCGCTTCTTGGTCGGCGTGCCGGCTGTCGCCAACACCGTTGCTCCACGCTGCTGACAAAGCTGTACGAGCGCCTGGCCAAGCCCACCGGCAGCTGCGTGAATCAGCACCGTGTCGCCAGCTGCAAGTCTCGCTACCCGCAGCGAGTGCACTGCCGTGCACAGCACAATCGGCAGTCCGGCTGCTGCTGCCGTGCTGACGTGGTCCGGCACCTTTTGTGCTCGCCATGCCGCCAGTCGCACCGTCGTGGCAAATGTCCCATCGCTTGGCCCTGCTACCCGGTCGCCCACTTGCAGCCTGCTGCTCACTCGTGCCCCGATGCGCGTCACGATGCCCGCGCACTCGATCCCCAGGCTGCGGTTCGCCAGCTGGCCCATGGCCACCATGACGTCGTGGAAGTTGACCCCGGCTGCCTGCACGGCCACCTCGATCTCGTCGTCGGCCAGCGGGGCTGCCCGGCCATTGTCGTTGTCGTTGCCTGCTGCTAGCAGTCGTGTGTCGTCGTCGAAGAAGAGGCTGTCCAGCTGGCCCGGCTGGCCCACCTCCAGCTTGAGATTGCGGCCCGGTTGCACGGCCGGTGCGTCCACGAGGTGTCGTCGGCCCATTCGCGTTGCCACGTACTCGCCTGTCGTCTCCTGCTCCACGTATCGCGGCAGGTGCACCATGCCCTCGCGCACCGCCAGCTCCAGCTCCACCTCCATCGTGCTCGCAATGCTGTCCTCGTCCGCCTGGCCCGTCCGCCCAAACGACTGGGCAAACACCCGTGCCACGGTACCGATGTCTGCGCTGCTCTCTGTTACCTCCAGGTCCAGGTGAACTAGCCGGCCGCCCAGCTCTACCCGCAATGTTCGCATCAGCCCCTGCACCAGCGAGAAGTCGGGCGCGTTCTCGCCGCTCGCCGTTCCACGTGTTAGCCACAGCACATTTGCTGCTGCCGTGTCGGCTGGCCGCACAAACAGCCGCCGCATCCATTCCATGCTCTCTGCCGTCTGCGCGCCTAGCGTGCTTGCATCTGTCTGGTAGAACACGACCGTGTGGCCGTCTGGGATCGTGAGCTCGGCTTCGTCTACTAGCATGACCGGAGAAGACAAGGACGGCATGAGTGCCTGGCCGACCTGTTGCAGCCATGCTGTTTGGCTTGCGCTGTCCGTGACGAGGACGACAGGAGGGAGTGTGGTGTCTGGCGGTACGTGATTCGAAACATCAGCTGTGACAGCCACCACAGGCTCGGAAGCCATGACAGTGTGTTCCGCCAATTCCGGAAAGGCCTCCAGTACAGTCTCGATCGTTGGTGTTGCTTGAAGCTCTGTCCATCCATCCACCTCTTTCAGCTTGCTAATGTCTGCGAAAGCTTTCAACGGCTCAACCGTCTCATTTGGCAGTGTCATCTCCGCCACAGCCGTGCTGATCATCATCGATCCCTGATGCGTCGCCACGTCGGACGTCTCCCACACGGCCGCGTCCAGGCCGGAGAAGCCGTTCTGCCGCAGGACCTCGTCCCACTGGCTCTCGGCCAGCAGAGGCGACTCCTGCCGGTGGGCCTCCTCGGCCTTCCACCATCCGTCAAAGATGCCAAAGAGCGTCGCCACGGAGCACACGCGCTGCTCCGGCACGACGACCAGCTCGATCAGCAGCAGTCGCCCACCGGGCCGCAGCAGACTGCGGGCGTGTGCCACCGTGCGGCTAATGTTGTGCGTCGCATGCAGCACGTTGGCCGCCACCACCAGGTCGTATGTTCCGGCCTCGAAACCCTGCGTTGTCGGCGGCCGCTCGATGTCCAACCGCCGGAAGCGCACCTGCGACTGCCACGGCCGCGTCTTGGCCCGCACCGCCTCGAAGAAGCCCGAGCTGATGTCGGTCACGTCGTACGTCTCGAACCGCGGCACCGTCCCGCCGGACGCTCCGTCTGGACGTCCCAGCGCCTCCAGCAGCGGCAGCGTCGCGCCACCAGTGCCTGTGCCGATCTCCATAATTCGCATCGCCGGGTTCTTGTGCGCCAACAGGTCCACAAACACGGCCGCCTGTTGGTATTGCCGCGCCATCCGCGGGTTAAGAGCGTAGTACCGTCCCAGCACGTCGCCCTTCATCGTCACCTCCAGCGGATCCGCCTCGCCTAGCACAATCTTGTGCATGCTGGCCGTCACCGCTGCCAGCAGCGGGCCCTCAGCCGTCGCCGTCTGCTCGAGTTCAGCCAGCTGTGCTGCCCGCTCTTCCGCCGCCGCGTTCGGCCACGACGCCATATCGCTCACGTGCACTGCTCGCCGCGCCACTGCTTCAGCCCCCTTCCGGGCCACCTCCTCGGCCTGCACCCGCAGTACCGCGTCACGCTGGCGCTGCAGCGAGCCGTACAGCTTGCGGCCCTTGACCGAGAGCAAGGCCACCCGGTCGGCTGGGATCTGCGCCAGCGCTCCGTCCGCCATGTAAAAGGACGACTGGTCCAGCCGACGCAGCAGCTCGGTCTCGGCCTCGGCCGGCATCAGGTGCGCGCACAGCGCGTCGAACTGACCTGGTGTCAGAAATGCCGGGTCTGGCCGCCATGCTGTCTGGAAATAGGTTTTTGACGGCAGTCCGCTGCTGCCGTTGCCACCCATGCTGCCACCCAACGACGTCATGCGCAGGCCTTCCATGCGGATAAGCGGACCAGCGGCTGCCGCCGTCGTCTTCTGCTCGGCCCCGTTCCAGCCGGTCAGCTCGATGTTGAGGTTGCGGAACCCGCTGCGTTTCACGTTGAGATACACGCCCAGCGCATCGCCGGCATCCATCTGGCCCAGCTCGGCCGCCACATACATGTAGCCAAAGTACACTGGCATCACGGCCGCTTGTAGCAGCTCGCGGAACGCCATGATCCCGTGCAGACACGCGTCCAGCGTGCCCGGGTGCACCACGATCGGGCTGTGGTAGTGCGCCGGCATCACGGCCGCAATGTCTGGCACTGTCACCGTGCCAGAAATGCGTCGTGAGTCGTCCGTCGCCGACCGTCCAGAGCGCGCATTTGTCAGGTTCGCAAACGTCGGCCCATATTCCAGCCCGATGGCCGTGCAGTACGCATACAGCCCAACGAGGTCGACATCCCGTGTGCAAAGCGCTTCCGTCTCAGCGCGCACAGCCGCATCCAACCGCGCCCGTTCGCGCCGTAGCGCATCCATGTCGGTCACCAAATCGCTGTCGGCAGCCTCGCTGGTCTTCCACCGCACTGCAATCTGTCCACGGCAGTGCTCCGACCAGCGGTCCACCACCGGCGTGCCCATCGGATTCGTGCTGCTGTGCGTGCTGTCGCTGCACGAGTACACGAAAAACTCATGCCACACGGTCGAGTTGTCCTGCGCGTTCTCGGCCAGAGGCCGCAGGCTGATCTGCGCCTCCACCTCGCCCGTGTCGTCCGGCACGATCAGCGCCTGACCCAGCGACACGTCCCGCAATTCGTAGCCCGCAATCGTCACCCCATCCTCCGCCGTCGTCGACGCCGTCTGGCGCGCCGCCTCTATGGCCATGCTGAGGTAGCCTGCTGCCGGGTATACCACCAGGCCCTGCACCCGGTGGTCGCGTATCCATGGCGTCTCGGCCGTGCGGATCCACTGCCGCCATCGCGGCTCCAGCGGGTTGCCGAACCGCACTGGTGCCCCTAGCAGGTCGTGGCGCCCGTGTGTCCGCGTCCGGTACCGCCAGCTCTCGCGCGGCTCACCCCAGTACGCCGTCGCGTGGTTCCACGGATACTTGGGCAGATTAGTCAGCAGTCGCGGTATGGTCTGCAGCCGTGCCATCATTCCTGGCGGACCAAAGGCCGGGCTCGTTCGTGCGTCCTTGTTGACGGCCGCGATGTCGATGGCCAGGCCCCGTGAGAACAGTGCCGCTGCTAGTGCCTGTGCCGTCTCGGTGGCGTCCTGATTACGGCGCAGCACGCCCAGCACGCCGACTTTGCTGCCCAGCGACGGGTCTACCTGCAGGATCTGCCGGATCGGTCCAGCTAGCGCCGAGTGCGGGCCAACCTCGACAAGAGCATCTACGGCCGGCCCCTTGCCGCCGCCGTCCTTGCACAACGCCATCAGTGCCTCGGTGAAGCGCACCGGGTTGACCAGGTTGTCGACCCAGTAGTCGGCCGTCAGCGCGCCGGGTGCCAGCTTGGCACCAGTGACTGATGAGAACATGACTGCCGGCGCCTCTGTGCCATCGTCTGCGGCTATCTGCCGCTCGTCAATGGTCTGCATGACCGTGCGGTTGGCCTGCAGAAGCCTGCGGTAGTCCTCGGCCGCGACGGCCATGCGGTGCGAGTGGTATGCAAACGCCACAACCAGCTTGCGGTGGCGAATCCCACGCTCTCTGCACACGTCCACGAGCTCGTCCACGGCCGAATCGTCACCCGATACCGTGAAGCTTTGCGGACTGTTGTAGCAGGCGATGACGGCACGACCGCCGCGCTGCAGACCGTCCAGAAGGGCCAGCGTCTCGGCCTCGGAGCAAGCTAGCGCTACCATACCGCCGCGACAGGCCTGTGCAGCCTCGGAGTCGAGCGGCACCCGGAAATAGGCCGCTGCCACAGCCGCTTCGTGGCTCAACAGTCCGGCTGCGTACGCCGCACCAATCTCGCCGCTCGAGTGGCCCACCACGGCCGACGGCCGCAGGCCCCAGGCCCGCAGCATGTCCACCAGGGCCACCTGCACGATCGTACACAGCGTCTGGCTGACTGCCGGCTCGTTGACCCGTGACGTTTCCGCGTCGCGCTGCAGCAGCTCCTCGTCCAGCGACCAGTCAGCTTGCAAGGCCGACGATGTCAGTACCGCTGCGCTGCGGTCCAGGGATACCCTGAATGCTGTGCTTGTCCGTGCCAGCTCGCGTCCCATGGCCCACCACTGTGCGCCCTGGCCGGTGAAGACCCAGCCAGCTCTCATCTTCTTGCTCGATGATGGCACCGTCTGCTGGAACCGCAGTCCTGACAGCGCCTCTCGCAGCTCTGCGCCCGATGCTGCGGCCACTGCTGCCTTCCATGCCAGTCCAGATCTCCGTGTCGCCAGAGTAAATGCCAGGTCTTCCAGCAGCTGCAGCTCCTCCGGCTTGTCGGCCTCCTCCATGTACGTTGCCAGCTGGGCCGCCTGTGTCTTGCCACTTGCTTCGTCGGCTGCCGTCAGCACAAACAGATGGGGCACTCTCAGCTTCGCTGCCTTGGAGAAAGATTCCTTGGGTGTCGAGCGATTGAGCCTCGCCAGGTGCTCTGGTAACAGAGGAAGTGCACCTCCATTTTCGGCCTTCGTTTCCGCCTCTACTTCTGATGTTGTTTTGGCAGTTTGGATGAGTTTTGCAGCTGCTGATTGCTCGACCGTCGCTCCTGCCTCCACTGGCAAAGGCTCCTTAGTCATTGCTGACTCAGCAATGGGACTTGTCGGTGGCGATGATGTCGACGAAGCCGCGCTGTGCGACCGCGCCACAGACGCGCTAGTTGCCGTGCTGAATGAGCTATCTAGCGACAGGCTGTGGCCGTGCCGGAAGCCCGACATGCTTGCCGCCATGCTGCACGTGTGGATGTAGTCTGCTGCGTTCTCCAGGATCACGTGCGCGTTCGTCCCGCCGTACCCAAAGCCGTTGACTGATGCCCGCAGCACGGGCAAGCGGCCTCGGGGCAGCTGCGAGGATGTCGCCAGGACATCCCGCCATGGACGCAGGGTTGTTGGAACCTCTAAATTCCACTCGGCCAGCGGGATCTTCGTGTTGGGAGACCGGAAACCGGCGTTGGGTAGAATGGCCTCGCGCTCTAGCATCATCACAGTCTTGACTAGGCCGGCTGCACCAGCAGCACCCTCCAGATGGCCAATATTCGTCTTGACACAACCGACAACAAGAGGCCCCTTCCCAGCGCTTGCACGTGCGAGGCCAAATGTCTCATGCAGTGCGCCGGCCTCTATGGGATCGCCGGCCTGCGTGCCAGTTCCGTGGGCCTCGAGATACGACGTGTCCGCCATGTTGAGACGGGCCTGTGCATATACGCGGCGGATCAGCGCGGCCTGGGCAGTGCCACTTGGAAAGGTAATGCCCGGCGTGCGGCCGTCCTGGTTGACACCGGTATTTCGCACAATAGCTCTCACGGCGTCGCCCTCTTGAAGCGCTCGGTCCAGCCGTTTCAGAACAATCACGGCCACGCCCTCGCCACGACCGTATCCGTTTGCGCGGCTATCGTACGTGTAAGACCGCCCGTCTGGTGACAGGAAGCCCATTGTGCTCATCGAGCCCAGTGAGTCTTGGCACAGCAGGCAGTTGACGCCCGCCACCACCGCTGCGCTGCACTCCCCTGCCCGCAAAGCCTGGCACGCCTGGTGCAGCGCTACTAAGCTTGAAGAGCACGCCGTATCCATCGTCACTGACGGCCCATGCATGTTGAAATAGTACGACACCCGATTTGCCAGCATCGCCTGCCCCGACCCTGTGGCGTGGTACAGCGGCAGGGCGTCTGGGTCCCGTAATGTGATCTTGGCCCAGTCAAAGCAGAAGGAGCCGACGAAGACGCCCATGTCCGACCCCGACACATGGTCCAGTGGTATCCCGGCTATACATGTTAGCATGGAGCTGCATGCAGCTTTGGCTGGGCGTATGTGGGTACGAATGCAAATGGAGAAGTGGAAGGTGTGGGCCGAAAGGCGTAGACAACGAGGAGGAGGGGAGGTGATGCAGAGGTGAGATTAGGCGAGGCAAGGTAGTGGCGGCGATGCAAGTGAGTGGATTGTAAGCACGAACTGACCGTTTTCTAGAGCTTCATATGTGCCCTCGAGTAGAAGACGCTGCTGCGGGTCAAGAGACTGCGATCGTGTCAGTCTGGAGCATTATGCTAGTGAAATCGGGAGGGGAAATTCAAATGTACTGCTGCTTCTGCCTTGGTCATGTTGAAAAAGGGAGCGTCGAACCGGGCCACATCTTCGCGCAAGAAGAAGCCCCCCTTGACATTGGTCTGCAGCAGGTGTCAGTAAAACTCCATAGGGAAATAGAGCGGGGATTCGTCAAGGGACAGTACGAACAGCTCCATTTCGGGCTTGGTCTGGATGGTAATAAGCCTCTGGATTGAATCTTGTTGATGGCGTCTCTGTCCAGGCATCCTCGCCGTCGGAGCACATCTCCCAGAGCTTCAGCGGATCGGTGGCCTTGCCTGGAAACCGTCCACCGAGGCCGACAATAGCCAGAGGGGACACTTGTTCGGCCATTGTGCTTTGTGTGCTGTATTGCGTCGTGCCGGCAGCCCTTTGATGTGGCACGACTAAAATTACGTGTGGTCGTCTTTTGGTATGATGTATATGATAGCAGGTTGAGATCCGCAACAAGTAGTGGTGGAGATAGCAAGGAATGAAAAATATTAATAGACGAGTAGATGGCTTAAGGAGGATGAAGGAAGAATTTTGTGTGTGAGAACCAAGAAGGGTAGAGTAGTAGATCAATGTGATGAGGAAAGGACATTCAGTGCCCCGAGCATGCACGCACCGGGAGCCGTGTTACGCCTGCAACGCGTGTAAATCTGGCTTTATTATGGTCTGTTGCTCCCCCCCCCCCGGTCAAGGTGGAACTAAAGCCCAGGTGAGAGATATGTCACAAAAAAATGTGAGGTAAGGTCGGCCGAGGTTAAATCAAACACAGGCTGTACATCAATAAAACTTTGGGAAATAACGAGACGGACGTGGCTGGCGGGCAGCCGGGAGACAGCCGACAGCGTCGCTGTGCAGCTGGTTTACGGATACATATGCATGTGGAAGAATGACGACATGGTGCTTCCTGCTCAAGTGTAGTTTTGAAAGCATCCGGGTGTGATGGAAGCTATGCCAACGGCATTTGGAGGTATCTTACAATGGCACCTGCATTTGACACAGCTTGGACGCACTGCCTAAATAGTCATACCTTACGCATGGCGCAAAGTCTGTTGATAGAACAACGAAAAATAACGGGGGTAAAGTGGCAAGGGGGGAGGATGGAGGGATATTAGACCCGCATCATTCTACGACGTACAATCTACTACTATGTACTCCGTATGTACAGAGAGAAGGGGGCCAATGCTTGTCTTGGATATACGGAGCGAAAGCATGAACATGGAGACCAGAGGGTCGTCGGTAAGTATGTAGAGTTGCATATGCTTTCTAAGGGGGTTAGCTAAAAGTGACGAAGATCGTTGGACAGACGAGCTACACGATTTGAGAGACGGGCTGGCTTTAATGGGCAATCGGCAAAGGTAAGAAGGAGCCTACTCTGTAGTAGGAAACAGTGTCTGAAAGTGGGAAAGTGGGAACGAGAAGCAAGCTCAGCATAGACGCTATTGCGGAAAGAGAAGAAAGCATGCATCTCAGCGAGCCCGATCGAGCTTCCCTCGGTGGGCAACCGATCCACAGCCTGCGGAACTCACATTGCACATACGAGTGCGAATACAGTAGTGTCTCTCTCTCATGCGCTGTTATGGTCGGCCTTCCGGTCAACAGGGGGCTCTTCGGAATTTATTCAATCCGGATTTCCTTTTCGGATCCTCCCGTCATGTCTGGAAATTGTGGTAGGGTGTTGCTACTGTTTCACGGTTACCCAAGCTGCTGGGAGCATACCCCCCTTCCCGTAACTAAGAGCAAACGCATGGAATTTAGAAGAGGGGAACCGGCAATGGACACGCGGGAAGGGAGAAGTCCGTTTACCTCATCTCCGACATCTGCTTAACACCCATGCAAGATACGGGTGGTACTCGTACTTGCTGTACGGAGTACGAGTACATCGCCGCTTTCTGTTGTGGGGCGGTATGTTCAAGAGATCCACTTTGGCTACTAAAAAGAGAAAGGTGAGAGTAGTGGGACTGGTTGGCACTAAGGTCCGTAGCCACGGTATACGACGTACGAGCAAGATACGTCAGAAGTCGTACGGAGGTTACAAGGGTAAGTTACTACGTCGTAGTTACTAAGTAGCTGACCCTTCGGAGGTGTAACTAAACAGGCGTGTGACTACCATGCCAGGCGCGAGACTACTTCGTATTGATTTTTGTTCTATGCACAGCCGATCGTTAGCCACATAAGTCCCCAATCCTCAACAGTGTTTAGCACTGTTTTAAAGCAAGACCTAGCGACAGACCCTGAACTACGGAGTACTGTTCGCAGAACTAGTCCATTTTCTCTCGCCAAGACTGTCTATTTCTTCCTAGCATTGACTTCATCAATTTACAGTCGCAAGACAGCCTATTTCTACATACACGTACTAACCATGGCTTTTTGACAGGTGCCTAATTGACTCCGAAGACGGCTGACGGTATATTTCAGCCCACCAGACGTTTTGTATCAGGTCGTGCATGTCAGCGACCGTACGAGTAAGCACCAACGACGTCTCCCCCGGCCCCTGGCCCCTGACCAAACAGCTCGCACCCAATTGGCCATAATAGCAACCATCTCACGACTGATTATGCTCACTTATTTGGCCGAAAACGTGTACGATGAATCCACAGACGACGTGTCTTAAAATATGCAGGCCAGTCGGTTGCGAGCCCAAAGAAAATGCACTACGGTCCCCATCCTCTCCCATTCTCCAGGCCAACTTGATGTTCCATATGCCAACTCAGCACTGCATACGCTGGGGCCATTTCCCGCCAGTAGTTTGACCATGGCAATGCAACATCGCTAAAGCGGAACACGTAGAAAAATGGGCAAGTTTTGCAACAAGAACACATTAAAAAAGTATTAACGCCTTTATGATAGCATCAAAATTAACAACGCAATTATCTGAGAAGGCTGTGCGAGAATATTGTGTATATGCTAAGCAAATAGCAAAGAAAGCCAGGTGACGCGCAGCATATGGCAGACTTTGTAGGCAGTCACAGAGGTCCCAGGCGACCAGAAGTAAGCGATCCCGATCCGTATGCCTACTATGATTAGGCATTGGGTGACAGCAGGGTCGTACGATGGAGGATTTGCTAGAACCGACAGTTGCCGGAAGAGGAAAGAGAGACGTATTGGCCGCGGCATTGCTTGCTCTACTAGTACTCCTTAGGCTCTAAGCATCACGCTCGATAGACAAATGGGCCAGCTATCTTCAGGCTGATATGTAAGATATGACATAGCGTCCTGTCGGAGTCGAGGTTCCGGACGCAGGCCGGCAAGGTGACCAGCTTCAATTCAGTTGCACATGTGGTTGCGCTCTTCTAGTAAGTAATCTTGTCTCCGTCAGTGGGCCAGTTGACCGGTCTGCTGCTGTTCTCCACTCTTTCGTCGCCGATGTGTCCGCTTTGTTACACTACAAGCGGGTCTTTCCACCCGCATCACATCCTACATAATACGGAACACGATACTATGTACATAGAATGTAAGTCACTTCACCGCCTAGCTCCCTTAATCAAGCTGCCTACGTTTTACCAATGGTGTCCCAACTCAAGCTGATTGTAAATGAATACACAGTATGAGGTGGTGTGTAATTTATTCTATTCGTCTGAGCTCCCTATTTGCCTGCACGGGCAAGTCATGCTGTGTGGACAACCTATACTCGTAGAAAAGGCAGACAATCAGGCTTGCATAGCGTTACTCGTACTACGGAGTATGCCGTGACGCCCCTCTCCCTTCCCTCCTCCTAGTCATAAACTGCTGCTGCAGAAACATATGACGTGGAAAAAAGAGACTAGCAGTTGTAGACCATGCTTTTTGTAGAGTGGTCCGTCCATAGCTGCAAACAGATCGACCTTAAACCTGGCGAATCGATCATATGTTCCCGGATGCATGGCTCGAGACACTGTCTTAGAGCAGCAAACTTGATTTATAGTCATTTTGGGCTTGTTTATCCAACTCGCCCTCCGCCACCTGCCACTAATGCCGGATAAGCCGGACAGAGGGCACAAAGTGCAGCAAGACGTAGTTTGTATGAGAAGAAGATTGCCTCATTACTAGGGCCGGAGCTTTACCACATTTCAGGCGTCGGTAAAGCCAGCAATTGGTCTCTGATTGCGGGCGAGAGCTTAGGTATCTTATAATGAAGAAGCCACATCGAACATAGTAGTGCTGACAGCCAATGGCTGCTACAGGCATTCGCTGTGGAAGAAGGAAAAGTTGGTGGAGAAGATGCGGTGAACCGCTCAAGTACACACTCGATATGCTATGCTCGCTTTCTGTCGCTGGGGGCAACTATACTTGCGTCCAAACCCTCGCTGAGGAGGAAGCGAAAAGCCAGTGGGCATCCCGGATATGGCTTCTTCGCAGAAGCGTGCCGGTCCGTCGAACAATCGAGGGGGGCTGCAACATTTGGAAGCACATCTCTTAACCGCCCCGCTGGCCGGGGAGGCCCGGTCGCAGGGGACCCCTATCCCCGTACATAGTACGGAGTAAAATCCTGTGATAACTAAGGTGAAGCACAGACCCTTTAGCTGGGGGTCAGAGGGCAGTTTACATGTATGTCAGAGAACTTCTTCTATAGAAAGAGCATGGGAAGAGTTGAGAGGGACAGGAAATATCACGAGGTGTCTGGATAGGGGAGATCACACATCGTAAAGAAATATCATGTGAAATGAAAAGTCCATTTGCTGGAAATGATGCGTATCGTGAATAACGGCGAGAGCCGGTTGGAACGACACATTGGCTCGGCCAACTACTATATGCTCATTGCTTAATGTCTGCAGAAAGTAATTTAGATGATTTCGGCACCTTGACCACCACGATGGTCGCCCATCCGGGCCAATAATTGAAGCAGAGGCAGGGCTACGGCCGCATCTGTGAAACGCTCAAACTGTTCGCCGCCGCTTTGTTCAGCATCAGCACCGGGACACGGCTACCAGTATTAGGACATCGGAACCTAATTTTTGTGAGTGCACATGTCAACGGATGTTACGCATTTACTTTCCGCACCGCTGTGAACGGCGACAAGGACTATACACATTTGGAAAGGGTGGAATTGTTGGCTTTTCTGTGCAATCAGATCAATGCATTTTGCGTATATACGGCTTACAAAACCCCCCTGGATGCAATAAAGTTAAACCATTGAGGCTTCGGCATGTGTTCATTCGAATTTGTTAGAACTTTTCACCTGGCGTCATTTCGTACAATGCAGCTTGGAGTGATAGGGCTGTAGGTGTGTGTGTAACATCTTATTTGCGCAATGTAAATGGCAACCTCTTATTTCTGTTGTTTTAGCATTGCGCTTTGTACTACAATAAGCAGTAAGTAATACCTCAAAAGTCATATGCCCGTTCTTATTATAAGAGGCTTTATAAACCCGAGCAATATATTGCCCCGTAAAATGTCCGCTCTCCGTAACCACTTACGCGTTGGATTGACGACAGCCATATTATAACCGTGTTAGGTATGTATTTCTCCTTGCATTTCTGTCTTTTTCGCTCTGTCCATGGACCGATCTCTGTGTTTCGAATGCCTGTAAGGAGAATCTGGTCTGATCTGAGCTAGACTTTAGATCAATCGGCGACGTCACTCTACCAAAGCTGTCTCGTCTCTGCTTGGGTCAAAAAGAGCCAGGGCCCAGCAAAAGACATGGCGTGCAGTAATGGCAGCGAGATAGAGTTGCCCATCGCCAGCCGCGATATGTTATCTTCGGTTGTTTGACGCCTATTGCAGATACTCGGGGCCGTCTATTTTCTGTTTGGGTCAGGTTGCGTTGTGAAATCAATCCAGAGCAGGCTATATGACGCTATTCCTTCTATTTACGCTTTACTTGCTCTCCTGTTCGTCTGTCCAACTACGTTACAGTCACCTCATTGCTTGTTTCCGGTATTTCCTCCTGCAGACTGACATCTTCAAGCTCTAGCTTGACGTGCATGCTGTTTCTCGGTGGTAGTGGTGGTGGGGGACCTCTTGGTAGGACGGCAGTGGGTGTGACAGGTGGCCGTGCTTCGACAATCGGGTTTTCTGTAGTTGTGACACTACTGGGCTTCTCCGTTTCCCACGGGTTGTCGCTGTAAGGTGTAGCGCCTGCTGGGGGTGTATGCGGGTCCGTCGGGGCAACAAGGTCAGCCGGCTCGGCTACATCCTCGTACACACTCTTCTCCTCGTCCGAAGTGATGTCGCCGGCGGTATGCCCATCGGCTGGAACGGCCAGACTTGGTACGACCTGGGTGTGACGATGACTGGATCTGTCTGGACTTCAGCGTCGGCCCAGGTGTAGCTGCGGTCAGTGCTCCAGCGATTACGGCTGCTGACGCTAAGACGGTGAAAACGGCCGTAGATGGGGCTGCTTGGACTGGGGTTGAACTCGAACTGCTGGCTGGACGGACGTGAGCGAGTGATAGCGTCGCGCACCTCGAGGCCCTCCTTCTCCAATGCGAGCACACCGTAGGGGTCTGGGTCTTCCGGGTCGGGGATGCCAAAGAGCGAGCTACCATCCTCGGCCTTGTCGTTGGTGCCCGGCGCATCGACGCTAACGTCACCAGGCGCTGGCTGGCCCTCGAGCTCGTCCATCAAATCAGAGTCGACGTCGGTACGGCCCTCGGCTGCTTTGAGCGTCTCCATCAGCATCCGGATCTCGGACGGCGGATGGGCAGCAACGCCTCGGCCGGCCAAAATGTCAGTCACGCCAACCGTTCCGCAGTAGAAGCGCGCGTTCTCGTCAGTGCGCTCGATCACGATGGTGCCGTCGACCTGGACGCCGGCGTAGAAGCCGCGCGACTTGAGGTACGTAAAGACCGGCCGGTTGGCCTGCTTCCACTTGCCGTCGTTCTCTAGCACACCGCCGGCTCCCACGGGTCCGGCCACAGCGCTGATCTCGCCGCCCAGCGTAGCGCGGATCTTAGTAAATGCCTCGAGCGCCTTCCTGTTGTTGATCACCAGCACGCAGTCGTAGATGTCCACGCCTACCAGAAAGCCCAGTCCGGCCGTGTGCAGCAGGATTCCCGAGGGCGGCGACCAGGATCCATCCTCCTTTCGTGCGACCAGGATGCCTGACCCGCCAGCACCCGACACCCAAAGACCCGTCCTCATGGTGGTGAAGATGGCCAGTCCAACGGCGTTCTGGATCACCCGCTGCGGAATCTTCTTAAGCACACGCTGCTTCTGTTTGGGCCCATCCGCCGTCGTCTGCTGCACCTCTTCAGTGTAGAAGCCATCCTCTGTGACGTCATCCCGTCAGTCTGCCGGCCTCACGACGCACATCTTCCCCCAGAGACGCTCAAAGGATGCTCACTGCAGAACGATCGCAATATGCGTGCCGCCTTGTCGCTTTCCTTGTCCAACGTTGTTGGCCAAAAGGCCTCGCTGCCAATCCGGTTTGACAGCCGGTTCACCGGAGCCCCAAGCTTGTCCGCCCATCCCCAGACCTTGTCGAAGCCCTTTTTGCCCTGGTCAAACCCCTTTTTGCCTGTTGTCTTGGTCTGGTCCCAAGACGGCAGCTTTGCTGTCACCTTTTGCATGTTTGCCGATATTTCCGAACTCACAACGCACACGAAGTTGCTTTAAATGTGTCAAGATAGACCTGCCGCCCGGCTGTTACGTGATGTGGCAACTCGATTGTCCGAGAACATTTTATACCCTACTAAGCACCGCCCTCCCGGTTCTTCCGAGCTTCCGCCGCCACTTGGCGCAGCCACACGCCACCACGCTTTAAACGCGCAGTCGTTAGCTACGGCCTGTGAAAACGGCAGGACTACTCTGCCCAACCAACGCTCCTTCCGTCCTCCCAATTGCCCGTGTTGCTGGACAGCAGTCGGCCTCACCGCCTTGCGTGGCTAAATATGCCCCTCGCAATTCTGCCGGTTTCGGCGATAAGAAAGCCGCTGCGTCATGCATCCACTTTGGAGCACACGGGACATCCATGGAAGAACCCGTCACGGTTGTTCAGACGGCCTTCGATCTTCTTTCATCACCCTCGGAGGATTCAATATGCATACAGAGTACGGAGAATAGTAATAAATTTGCCTCTGCTGCAGTTGACAATATGCCTGCGAGGTTGCCGCAGGTTTGTCTACTGTGTCCATTTTGAAGTAGACTGACGTTCTGGTAAGGCTGATGCTTTTTGCTGTCGAACCATGCCCCACGCGCCGGTCATATGACTGACAACGATCTTCATGCTCCCGGGGAAGGAGAGGGAAGCATGGTTTTATCGTCAAAGTTAATCCAGGCCAGGCAGGTCGTATATAAGACATGCTCACCACCATAACATATGATTCCATTCCCTTTACAGCATGAGCTTGCACACATAGCTTCAACTCGGACCAACACGCTTGAAAGTTGCCTGCGTATGGGGACATATTTGGCAAAGTGACCCCGCATCACAAATACGACGAATTTGGTATCAGTTTTGTCTCGTACACTTTGAACTGCTACCGATGCTTTTCTCGCAATCTGGTCCAAACTTCACAACCCGCTTGACATTCTAGCTCGCTTGAGAATAATTTGAAGAGTAAAAGATGTGTTTGATGCACATGAAAAGCGCTGATAACGCATCGTTCGCGACCATCGCTTGGCAGCTGTCGTCAACTGTGAGCTTGGCAGCTGCATCTTGCTGGCACGTGACCGCACACCCCTCGCATGGTCCGTGCACGTCATTCTGCAAGCTTTGGAAAGCAACGGTCGCCCGTAACAGCTGTTGTCTCCAGCAGTCCAGCTAGATGCAATATTTTAGTTTGGCTGGTAACAAGCGTGATTTCAAGAATTGCTTCGACCATTTCGACAATCTTCAGTCTCCACCGCCACCACCCAGCCACCGGCGTTCCTGTGCTTGCCTCGCATCTATCGTTTTTCCTGGCTTCCCGATGCACGCATACTGGTGATCTCAGCACCGTTGGTTCAATTGCGCCTTTGCTATCTTACACGCGACCGGAGCCTCCGTATCTTCGTCCTTATCCTCATCCTCTCCTGAGCTGACAGCACCGGACCTCGTCGGGAATACGGACAGGAGACGCGCGGACTGTCACTGCAACAATGGCGGCACCCATAACTCCTGAAGACCAGGCGAGGCTCCTTGAGGATGCTCTCATCGCCGTGCGGCAACAGACGGTTTTGATGCGAAAGTGTTTGGACACACCTGGAAAACTAATGGACGCCCTGAAATGCTGGTGCGTCGATAACCTATGCTCCCAGTGACTCTGGTAGTTTGTCGACACAATTATCCTCTAACCCACGACACAGCTCAACACTCGTCTCTGAGCTGCGGACGAGCAGCCTCGGCCCCAAGCAGTACTACGAGCTCTACATGTCCGTTTTCGATGCCCTGAGATACCTCTCCGTTCACCTGCGCGAGAACCACCCGGTCAATCACCTGGCCGATCTTTACGAACTCGTGCAGTATGCAGGAAACATCATCCCCCGCCTCTATCTAATGGTCACGGTCGGCACAGCCTACATGAGCATCGAGGGCGCGCCGGTAAAGGAGCTGATGAAAGACATGATGGACATGAGTCGAGGCGTCCAGCATCCGGTACGGGGCCTCTTCCTGCGATACTACCTTTCGGGCCAAGCGCGCGACTCCCTGCCGATGAGCGACGGCGATGGCCCGGAGGGAAACTTGCAGGACTCTATCAGCTTCATCCTGACCAACTTTGTCGAGATGAACAAGCTGTGGGTGCGCTTGCAACACCAGGGTCATTCGCGCGAGCGCGAGCAGCGCACACAAGAGCGCAAAGAGCTGCAGCTTCTTGTCGGCACCAACATTGAGCGGCTCAGCCAGCTGGTCGACCTGGAGACATACAAGAACACCATTTTGGCCCCATTGCTGGAGCAGGTGGTGCAGTGCCGAGACGTCTTGGCCCAGGAGTACCTCCTGGAGGTCATCACCCAGGTTTTCCCCGACGAGTTCCACCTGCATACACTCGACCAGTTTCTGGCTGCCGTCTCCAAGCTTAACCCTCACGTCAATGTCAAGGCTATCGTGGTCGGCCTGATGAACCGCCTCTCCGACTATGCTGAGCGGGAAGCCCAGAGCCGTCCGAACGACAACCGCGAGAAGATGGAAGAGGACGCTCTTGCGGCCCTGCTGGAGAAAACCACGCTTAGCGATACCTCCGTCGTGGAGGCTGCCCCTGCCGAACCCACTCGCTCAGAAGCGTCGAACTCTGCTCTCTTCGGCACAGAGGATAGTGCTGGTGCTGAGGACACAGACAAAGTCGTGAAGCCCGAAGGCGACGATAGTTTGTCAACTGCAGAGACGTTCGAAACCACCCCTTCTACCGCCGAGACAGACGTTACTGCTGTTAACGGGAGCGAGGCCGACGAAGTGGCAGATGAACATACCGAGCCAGAGAGGACCAGTGGCGGAAACGGAGACGCTGCTGAAGCTATTGCCACCAATGTTCATCTGTACGAAGTGTTCTTCGGGCAGGTGAAGTCGCTCGTCTATGCCCAACACCTGCCGATCCACGATTCTATCGCATTGCTGGTTTCATTGACAAACCTGGCTCTCAACATCTATCCTGATCGCTTGGACTACGTCGACCAGATCTTGTCCTTTGCCACGACTAAGGTCAACGAGAGCACTAATAGCCCAGACTTGCACTTACCAGCTGCACAGCAGAGCCTGCTGGCCCTTCTTCTGGCGCCGATCAAGCACTACGTATCCATTTTCACTGCCCTGGCGTTGCCGACATACGTGCCTTTACTCCAGGCACAGACGTATCCGACAAGAAGAGCTGTGGCAGGAGAGGTGGCGCGCAGCCTGCTGAAGAACCAGACGAAGATCACGACACCCGAGCAGCTAGACAATGTTCTTGAGGTGCTAAAGGTCTTGATAACGGAGGGCTCACAGCAGCCGGCCGGCTATCCAGGGGTGGCACAGCAGCAGAGGCCACGCACCTTCGAGACGGACGAGACGCTCGAAGAGCAAGGCTGGCTGGCCCGTCTGGTGCATCTCATAAACGCCGAGAAGAACGACACACAGTTCGTCTTGCTGCAGGCTTTGCGCAAAGCGTACGCCGACGGCAACGAGCGCATCCGTATCACGACACCACCGCTGATCACGGCCGGCCTGAAGCTGGCCCGGCGGTTCAAGGCGCGCGAGCACTACGAAGACAACTGGTCAACGCAGTCGTCGGCGCTGTACAAGTTCCTGCACTCGACCGTGTCCGCCCTGTATGCGCGTTTGAACAGCGGTGGCGGAGCCGAGCTGGCGTTGAGGCTATTCTGCATGTGTGGGCAGACCGCCGATATTACCGGCTTCGAGGAGGTGGCGTACGAATACTTCGCACAGGCATTCACCGTGTACGAGGAGGCCGTGTCAGACTCCAAGGCACAGTTCCAGGCGGTGACTATGATCGCCAGCACCCTGCACCAGACGCGCAACTTCAGTCGCGAAAACTACGACACCCTTATCACAAAGTGTGCACAGCACGCCAGTAAGCTGCTGCGCAAGCCCGACCAGTGTCGTGCGGTATACCTGGCCAGCCATTTGTGGTGGGCGACCCCGATCGCGGCTAACGGCGAGACGGACGAGACCGATGTAAGTAAAAGCAATGCGACGGCGTGGGGTTTTGTGGAAGACCATGCAGGCTGACTGGGTAGCTTTACCGAGACGGGAAGCGCGTGCTCGAGTGCTTGCAGCGAGCACTGCGGGTGGCCGACTCGTGCATGGAGACGGCGACGTCGATCGAGCTGTTCGTGGAGATTCTGGACCGCTACGTGTACTATTTTGACCAACAGAATGAATCGGTAAGTGCATTATGCAATGCGCACACATCACCATTACCCATCGGACAAAGCTGCTTGCTAACCTCTCTCGACTATGCAGGTCACGACCAAATACCTCAACGGTCTGATTGAACTGATCCACTCCAACTTGTCGAGCAACCAGCAGGAGTCGCCGTCTGTTGAAGCCAGCAGAAAGCATTTCATGCACACACTGGAGCTGATTCGCAGTAAGGAGTACGAGGGCATTGTGCTTACGCCTAAATGAGCGCTAGCAAAGCCTCCTGGACACAATAGAGCGGTGTCGTTGAAAGTTGTCTAATAGCTGTGTCGATTGAGAAAGGCGATTGAAACCTGTACAATCCCCCCCCATTTTATCACCCTGTCGTTGATCAAGCTCGTTCCTGTATCGTATAGGTCATCATGTCCTTTGTGAACAATGCTCTGAGCTCAAAAAAAAAAAAAGGCTCAAAGTTTTCTATTGCAATAGGACGAAAGGCAAAAAATTACTCCGATCCAGGCAGGGATCGAACCTGCAATCTCTTGGTTCGTAGCCAAGCGCCTTGCCATTTGGCCACTGGACCTCGTTTGATACTAGGATAGTACGTCAGAGGATCTATCAATGAGACTGACAAGCAGCATGAGCCCCCAAGGAAAGCCGCACTACGCGGATTGTAGCACTCTGATGAAATGATATACGTTTCCATAGCGAAGAGATCCTCCCGCTTCTCCTATGTACCTAAGACGGTGATATACAGTAAAAGGACTGATTATAACCCTTTAGGGGACTGATAAAAGACAAGAAACCCAGCAGCCACAGGGGCTAGATAGATATATATGACAAAAGAAGAAAGAAGATAAAAAAAAAACTTAAACGCCATGGCAATGCAAACGAGAGCGGTTTTGGAACACCTAAACTTTCTCCCCAGATCCCTCCCGCCTTTGCTACCGCCAATTAAACGACCGGCCACCTGTTGCGACCACTTTCCGGGCAACTCATGCGGCATTCGTCTCTCTGGTCGTGCTCATTCCACCAGGTTGTCTGCCGCCTTGCGCAGGATATTAGATATCTTGGCGACAGTACGATTTGCCAGCGCCCAGTCAGCCACATTGACTGCGTCTCGAACAGCCGGAAATAGATCGCCTTCGTAGCTGTCCCAAAGGCTGGGGCCGTAGAGAATGTGGCGAAATTGCGTCCGGTTGGGGATCTGTGCGAGGATTAGCAAGGAAAACAACAAAGACTGAAGAAATACGTACACCTCCGTCTTGGGCCAGATCCAGCAGGTCAGTCTCAAACATGCCCATGCGGCTATTGTACTCTTCCCGCTGACGGCCTACACTACTGGGCTCCCAGCCGCCCCCGGACAGCACCTCGGCCTCCCAGCTCCTTTCCCAGCCCTCAAACTCGGCGACAGCGGAAACGACCTTGCCGGTGGCCTCCTGCAGGGTTACGACATCGATACGGGCGGCGTTCTCGCCGCTCTTATCGCGCACCCACGCAATCAGCTCCTTGACCCAGATCTGGAGGGCATTGGCGTAGGCAGCCATGTCAAAGGGCAAAACGGGCCGATCAGCCAGTTCAATGAGCACCAGGCCGATCAGCTCGCCGAGAATGCCGTGGTATACGAATCCCGGGTCGCCGACACGTTCCATCCAGTCGAAGTTCTCGTAGGCGCTGTGCAGCGGCATGGCATTTTCGGGTCCATCAAAATGCAGGTCCAGTGAGGAGGTGCCGGCAATATCTTGGAAGGCGACGTAGTCGGAGCCGGCTCCGAGCACTTCCAAGTAGCTGCCGTGGCGCTGCCACATATCGTACAGCGACGCATTGCCGTTGGGGTCGCTGATACGCTTCATGGCTTGCACCAAGACCTTGGAGAAGACAGGGGAGCCGGCCACGTGCAGCTGTTGGCCCGTCACGGCCGTGTCCAGGTTCAAGTAGGCGAGCGCGTCGCTGCGCAGAGCACCGAGATTGTTCTCCACGTACTCAGTCGATCCGATCAGGTTGTACTCCTCGGCGTCCCACGACATGAACTCGATGGTGCGCAGTGGCCGCCAGCCGCGCTGCAGCAAGTCTCCAAAGATGCGTGCCATCTGCAGCATCACAACCGTGCCCGAATGAGGGTCTGCTGAGCCGAATGTCCAGGCGTCCCGGTGGTTGCCCAAAATCACCTTCTTGGCCGCCTGCTCAATGCCCTCGATGCGGCCGTACACGTTCCAGATCGGCTGCTCCGTCACCTCGTCCTGCTCGTTCTTGAGCCTCACAATCGGCGAGCCGGTAGCGTTGCCCGTCCACCACTCGTCCACATCAGGCACGCCGCCCTCCCAGCCCTGGGGCACGCGCACGCCAGCGCCACGAAGGTGCTGCAGGAGCACCTGAGCGTCGCGCCAGGCCAGCGGTAGACTGGGGATCTGCACTAGGCCGGGCGAAGCTGCCGGCGACATCCGCGGCAACTTCTTCTTGCTTTCCCAGCCAGGCGTGAGCACATCGCCAACAACCCAGCTCATCAACGAGACGGACCCTCTCTGCACACCATCGGCCGGCATGTAGGGACCATCGGGTGCCACTGTGCCCCGGAGGAAACCGTCCTCCATCGGGTCGCTGTAGATGAGGCAGCCGGCAAAGCCAGCCAGCTCGGCCGCCTTCACCTTGAGGGCTCGGTCCGGCTGTGTGCCATAGTAGCGCACAAGGGCGATGGCGCCCTTGGTCTCGATGCCGCTGTCGTGCAGCTTCTGGAAGTCCTCGCGGGAACCGTAATTGGCATATACCAGCGGGCCATGGACGTCACCAGACTTGGAGAGGCCGTGGAAAGCGTACGTCTGGTTGCCGGCTGTCTCGCCGCCCATGTCGTCCTCCTCGAGCTTGGCCTTCCAAGTCGCCGTTCCGTCGTCGCCGATAATTTCAACAGCACGTCCATTCGCAGTTGGGTAGTTGAGATAGACGTAATACTCGTCCACGGTAATGCTCTCCAGGCCGTACTGCTGAAAAAGATTCTTCACGTCGAGGGCCACGGCAAAGTCGCCCTCAGTACCCGCCATGTGCGCATAGCTCGTCAGATGCTTGGACATATCCTTCATGTATGCCGGATCGACCTGGGACTGGATAAACATTCGGACGCTCTCGGGGTCGAAGGCCTGGTTGCCGAGACGGCGGGACACGGACGAGAAGAGGTCGCTGATGAAGATCAGGTAGATAAATCCAAGGATGAGCGCAAGCACAAAGATGCGTGCGAACACAATCAACGACGGCGCCGAGTTAGACGGTTGGAAGGCCGGCCAGCAGCGGCAGCGTCTCGCCGAAGATGACGCAGATGCATCGCCGCCGTTTGCACCCGGTGAAGTGGTCGTGCTTGCATCGACCAAGTCGACTTCGCCGTCGCCGTTGTGGATAGGCGAGAATCCAGCCAAGCGGCCGCCGAATCGGCTCCCAAAGCCGAGGCCGGTGCTGCCTTGCGGTCCGTTGGGCAGCCGCAGTTGCAGCCGCGGCATCGACCAGCGCCAGTTCCACTTCCACTTGGGCAGCGAGAAGCCAATGGTCTTCCCGAAAATGGAGGAGCGGCCGCGCTGGCCTCGCCCGTCGGTGCTGAGTGGGTCCTCCATATCCAGCTCCAGCATCTCCCGGCGCACGTGTGCAGCTTCGGTATGGGCGTCGTCGTCGTGGCCGTCTTCTGACTCGGACGAGCTCCATGTGCTGTCCTCGTCGTCCGTCTCGACCGTTGGCGGCCGGTAGCCGCTCGGCCTTGCTCGTGAGCGCGCGCCAGCCGACCCAGCCACTGGCTCAGTTCCGGTCGATGAAGTTCGCTGGTGGCTCCGTCGCAGCAGCGAGCGGCTCTCGTGTTCGGGGGCATAGTAGGCCTCGCCCATCGGCGACAGCGGATCGAAGGTGGAAGGAGAAGGCAGGGCTCCACCCAGCGACAAGTGCTGCACATTGGCGTGGCTAGACACGGCCTGCTCGTATGTTGGTATGGGGGGGTCGTACGGCCCGCCACCGTTGCCATTGCTGGGAGGCGCCATGGCGACTGAGGGGGGATTCGTGCGTCCCGTTCGGGCGTAAAGGGATATTGCTCGGTGCTATCGAGGAGGATATGATGGCTCGGTGCATCTACATGTATTAATACAGAGAGCAGACGAATGTATGTCAGGCCGTCGAAGGGCGATTGTTGGAAAGGAGCGGACGAGCGGCAAATAGCGAAAGTAGAGAAGTCAAGGAGGATAAATCAATCGATCGTCGAAGAGCTCATCGGAGCTGATGCCGATTGCCAGTAGAGATAAGGAGTGACGAAAACAAACAGCACGGGACCATCGTCGCAGGGTCGGAGAGGTACTGCAGTCAATAGGTGAGCGACTTGGGGCAGCGTACGGCGCTGGGAAGAGACGTGAATTGCGGATGCGTACTGATTTGGAGACGAGACAGCTCGAGACTCGGATAGTCGTCGCGGCCAAGGATCCAGGGGTGGACACAGCCACGCAAGCCACTGAAAAATGAGCCCCATAAGTCGGGTGGGGAGGTTACACGGTCATGTGATACAGGCGGACTTTAATTGGAATTGCTCGCTAATTGATACAGGGCATTTAACAGGACAAGCAGAAAACAGAGACGGGGACACGATTGTTAGCGGTGCACGCCAACGCTTTACAGGATCTTGGCCGTCCACAAAAGGGCGTCGTGCAGGTGTTGAACGAAGACGTCATCTTCGTAGGAATGGGCGAAATGCCCCATCGCTGTGTAGAACACGCGCGTGCCTGTGTTCCCAAACGTCTGCCACCACGCGATGGGATGGTTTTCGCCGACCTTGCCGCCCTCATAGGTCGTCTCATCGATGCTGAGCAGAATGTTGGGGACGTCAACAGCCGCCGGTCTGGGTGCTTTTGGAAAAGCCATCGTGCTCGCGGCGACGACGGCACATGAATCGAGCTCAAAGTTGTACCACTCGTCAAAAGCAGAGAAGGACGGCTCCGGCACAGAAGCTTCGGTGGCCGACAGCTGTGGCAGAAGCGCGGCCACTGTCGGATGGCTGCGGTCCTTGATAACGACGCGACCCAACTGCGGCGCTGGGTGCCCGACGAAAACGGCGCCCAAGAGACGACCGTACCAGCCGTCGGTGTCGACGAGGCGCGACTTCATGCCGACCGCAGCCGCATGGATCGCGACAATACCACCGCGGCCTGCATTGACGTATGCCTGCAGTGCAGCGAGCTGCGTGGCGTCGAGATAGTCGCCTGTGGTTTGTAGCAGCACCACGACGCGATACCGGTCCAAGCTGGCCGTCGTGAAGGCGGTCTCGGCGTCCTCTGAGGCGTCCACCTCGAATGGCACTCCGGTGCCGGCACCAACTGCCGCCTGTGACGTCTCGGCCAGTCGCTGAAACATGGCGATGCCGGCTGGGATACACTCGTGGCGGCCGCCAGCCGTCTTGGAAAAGACCAGGACGCGAAAAGGTGTGGGCGGCGACATGGCTGCTAAGGAGAGGACGAAGTGTGGGGGGTGTGTGCGAGTTGCGGAACCTTGGTGAGGATGCTATCGCCGGCGAGCAGAAAGCTACCCGACTTTATTATCGCAGTCAAAGCTAGACGGGCAGACTCGGAGGTGCGAGCGGGGCCGAAGTCGTATGTTTGCGACAGCGGTCAGGGCATATCAGGTATTGAGTATTGGAAATTGGATATTGGACTCTTGCATTCGTTACTTATGCAATTAAGATACAGGCGGGATCCTGGCTAACCGATATCGGTTTCAGCCAAACAACTTGTCAGGCAGAACGTGAATATTCCGAGAATGCGGATAACGGCGAGAAAGACAAGACCAGGCACAAGCTTTGTGATATCGGTGTTTCTAGACCGGCAGTCCTGACGTATCGATATAGATGGTATGGTACCGGTGATGTCTATCTTCGGCGACCGATAATACTACGTCGTGGGACAGTGCGCTTCGTCCCTTCAGGCATACTGCATCGTGTGCTGTACAGTCACATAGCTATTGGGGGATACGCATCTTTCCTCCAGGTCATTGACCAGATGCAGCGGTGGCCATCTGCCACAACCGCGCCAGAATAAAGCCGTCTGCCTTACCGAGACTCAAAGACGACAACCTTGTTCAAACAGAACTATGCGATACACTTGTCCATCCTCAGTGCAGAATTGAACCATAACGGCCGGGCTCCGTTCGCCTCAGAATACTCTTAGATGGCCATGTCAAAACGGGCAACCATCACAAAGCTAAAATAATTTGCCTGAAAGTCCAAAAGTAAAAGCAGTTTCCTATATTGATGAGATCGAGGAGCATGATGCTCTCTAAAAGAAAAACAGAAAACTAGCATCTTACGTGAAGTTCTCACGACCAGCTCAGGCAGCACTCAAACCACACATGGTCTCTCTTTATCGTAAACATACACTTTCCAATCACGGTGACGAGAGCAGTCTTAGCAGTCTACCACATTCCACAATACATACCGCAGCGTTGCTCACATGAGAGTATCGGTCAGTGGATTTAGAGTGCAACCTTGGATATGAAATGGGAAATACTTTCTGGACAAGAGAAGTTTGGGCACATCCTATCATCGAGTGCTACAAAGGAAACGGAGTGAATCTGACATTCCGTCGTTGCGAAGCTAACAGCCTTGTCCGCCGTTGCGGAGACTGGTCAAACTAACTTAGCGGTTGGACTGTGCAGCCGTACTCCGTACCAGAGCCTGGAACATGGGTAGACCTCTGTGACGTCAGCGAATTAACGCCCGAAACTCCGGTGGTTCTCCATCTGGAAGCACTCGGATTTAAGCTCCGGATCGCATACTCACTCACTCCCACGGACAAGCTGACATGCATCTCGGGGAAGCAGCATGCCAGCCCGGAGCTTTCTCGTTTTGGTATTGTCCAATGACCCAGGATTGCTTGGTAAGAGCAGATCCAAACTAATGTGGACAGTTCAGACAGCGGCTTCAGTCGAGTATATAAAGCTACACCTTTGTTTGCACATGGCTGAATAGAAATCATATCGAATCACCAAAAGACTTTGACTTGTAGTATTCGCATATCATTGGTTGTTCCCCGCATCTCTCCGCTTTCACCACAAGATACCTCTTGCACATTTGCTCTGTCTACGCGAGGGTCCATTTTCGTCTACCTACACTTCGTTCCGCTTCCTCTGCAAAAATGTCTACCGCTCAGTATGCCACAGACCAACCAGCGGGCTTCAAGAATCGTATCGAGAAGGTCGCTATTGTGGGGGTACGTTCAAAGCTTCTCTGATGTGTATAAGTTGCTGCGCTGCTAACATATTCGCCAAAGGCCGGCGGCACTATTGGCAGCTTCTTCACCAAAGAGCTCCTTAAGACAGGAAAGCATACTGTCACTGCCTTGACGCGCACTGGCAGCAAGAGCACACTGCCAGAGGGCGTCAAGGTCGCCAACATCGACTACGATAATCACGAGTCTATTGTGACTGCTCTGCGTGGAAATGACTTCCTCATCGTCACACTAAGCGTGCGAGCCGCTCCAGAGGTGTCTGGCAAGCTTTTTGCAGCGGCTGAGGCTGCCGGTGTTGAATACGTTATGCCCAATGCCTACGGGCCAAACCCGCACAACACGCTTATGTATGAAGATATGGGATTTGGCAGCGTGTTCCGCACCGCCTGCGCTGAGATAGCCAAGAGGAACCTCATTCCCGTCATATTATCCTGCGGTTTCTGGTATGAGTTTAGCCTGACAGGCGGCACGTCGCGTTTTGGTTTCGATCTGGCCAACCGCAAGGCCGTGTTCTTCGATAACGGCGATGTCAAGACGTACACGAGCACGTGGCCCCAGTGCGGCCGCGCTGCTGCAGCTCTGTTGAGCCTGCCAATCCTGCCAAAGGACGCGGCCGACAAGTCACCCACCCTGTCGACATACGCAGGGACAAACAAGTCGGCGTATATTTCGTCGTTTCACGTCAGCCAGAAGGACATGTACGAGTCCGTCAAGCGCGTCAGCGGAACTACGGATGCAGATTGGACGGTCTCGCACGAGCCGACCAAAGAGCGGCACGCCAATGCTGCAAAGGCGCTCCAGTCGGGCGGCGGAGTCAAATTGGACGGCGTGTCTGAGCTCACTGCCCAAGAAGCATTTGCTACCCTGATGTACACCCGCGTCTTCTTCCCTGGTGGCGACGGCCTCAAGGATGTCGATATCGCCAACAAGGCATTAGGCCTGCCCCTGGAGGATATTGATATTGCGACCAAAGAAGCATTCCGCATGGTTAGAGACGGCGACCTGGACACGTATAGCCAATGAGTCAAAGGCGGAAGAAGCCCAGAGTCACAAGAATGAGGCAGGAAGCAACTAAACAGAGTAGATTCAGTGTCTGAATCTAATTTCGGCTTGATGACAAACACAAAATGGCCCCGTAATAAGCAACATGTTCAAGCGGGCTTCCGCGAGGATGATTATATATCGACGATTCGATCATACTTTGTTGTGTGTACTCGGTTGCAACGCAAGGCAAACAAATGGACCACGAGTCTGAATGGCAAAGAAAAAAAGACCCGAATTAACCGATAGCAAAGCGCCGTAACATCCAGACATTTTTTATGATTTGCAGTAGTCGGCTCCATAATAGACTTTTCTACAACGAACGACTTCTCGGAAGCTTGAATAGGCTTTACAGAGCTCCTCCGTTTGTTGTCGAGGGAGAGGTCTGCGACTGGTCATATGGTTTCGTAGAGTATGTAGGTGGCGTAGTTGGCCTGCTGTCAGACGTTTTTGTGTCTGCCTTGGGCGGCGAAACATGGGTGTAGGAAGGTATAGGGGGACTGGAGAGGAAGGGCAGCTGGAACCCTAGAAGAGACAGAGCGCGCGTCGTCACAATAAACGATACCGCTGCCCAGAGGAACAGCAAGACGGCCAGGCCCGTGGTAAGGAACAAGGCCGGCACAAAAAGCAGCAGCCCCAAGCCGGCCCAAAAGAGCAAGATCGCCCAGAAGATGGCAAAGGAAATCAGGGCCCAGAAGACAATATAGCCGGCGAAGATGGCGGTCGGAACGGCGGCAAAAGCCAGCGAGGTAACTGCGAGGCCAAACACAAAAGGCTGGTTGTGATACTTGTCGACAAACCAGCCATCGATTTGGGCCTTGCGCGTTGGTCCTAGGGCCCAGGAGGCTGCGGCATTCGCACGGTATGCGAGGCCGTTGATGATGTCGCGCAGAGTCATGGTATCGGTAGAGGATAAAAGCGGAAGACGGCGGGAAAAACGTGAGGAAGGGTAAGTCGGACGGCTTTTGCAATCGAGTCGAGTTTCGAGATGGATAGAACAGGGTGCAACGGTGGTCGTCAGCGAGCAAGTAAGCAGCGGGAGGGAAAATGAGTATTTGCGGCAGACAATACTCCGTATAGAGACAAAAAAAATATGAAACTGGACAAATGGAAGAAAAAGCAGTGGCGCGTAAGCTGGAGGAAAAGAGCAGAAAGATTAGCAGCTACATAGAACGTAAGATACGGAGTAGTCTGCTGTAGCCGAACAGTGGGGGTTCAGAAATGACGTCTGACCTTCTGAATCGACCCACTCATAGCCGCCTAAAGGAGCTGAAAGACAATGACGCGCCTAAAGAAGAACGGTCGCAGTCGCAGTTAAGAGGGGGGGGAGCATGAGTGTGCAGTTGTCAAGCTGGAATTGGAAAAGGAGAAGAATGCGCAACAGGTCCAGGAGAAATTTATTTCCAGTACTCCGTACACGGGCGCAATGGCAGGGAAATTGGTGGCGCCCTCAGCTCGGGGGGCTCCTAGATGCATGCGACGCTGCACGTATGAAAGTATGAATCTTACTCCGTAGATCAGAAATATGCAATGAAATGGGGCCGTTTCTGCGCATTAAAATGCAGCACGATTACCCCATAATTTCGGAGCACGGCGGACCAAAAACAGAAGATGCTGCGTCGTATGGGTTGCCATAAAAAAGAAGTCGCGATCCAGGCAGGGATCGAACCTGCAATCTCTTGGTTCGTAGCCAAGCGCCTTGCCATTTGGCCACTGGACCTTGGTTTCGGCTGCTAGAAACAATGCCTATATGCGCCATCGCTGGGGCCCGGCGGAGAAGACGGATTACGCAGGAAATGCTCTATCTTGCGGGCTCACAACGCCGTGTGCTCTGCCAGTTGTGTAATAGTACAGGAGCTAGCTGAGACTCTTACATAGTAGTCTGTACGGCCGCGGTCCGCTTCGATAGATTGGACATACGGAGTACAGAGTACTCTGTTCTTGCACCGCGCACTGCTGTCGCTACTTCGGGCCGTAGTATAACCCAGTTGTGGGACTGGCCGACAGGCCAACTACTAAAACTCATGGCATACGGAGTAGAGCACTAGGATCTCACGAAGAAAACATCAGTGTCATTGGATTGCGTGGACGAGAAAGAAATGCCTCCAAAAGTGGATCGCCGACTTGCCCTAAGAGGAAGCTGTTGGTCGAACTGACTGCCGGTGGCGGAACTTAGCGGTCCAAGCCAGGGTGTTGTCTTATCTCAGGCGCACTAAAATGGCGTCTTTGCCTGTGGTTGGCCAGCCTTTTCCGAATCTTCAGCGGTTGCGCTATCGTTCTTACACGTACTTACAAAACTTTTCGGTCGGCTTTTTTGTTTTTCTTTCCTTTGTCAGGGGCCGCAACGGCATACATGCGCAAGCTTGGTGGGCTTCGTTGGTCTGTGTCTTTCTCTTCCCTGCCCGCGTTGTTTCGGAGCTCGCGGTGAGAAAGCACAGCTTCTGCAGCTTATCGGGGTGCTTCCTTCTCTTCTCATCCGACTGCCCTCTCGCTCTCCACCATGGGCTTCTCCTTCTTCAAGAACACGGCCGTGGTGTCGGACGACCCTTTTGGGCCGGCCGATGCCGACGACGAGGTGCGCTCCGTCCATAGCTCTCATTACGGTATCGGCCGCGACGACGACGGACCGGCAGTGACGCGTACAGAGGACCGCGATCTGCGGCGCGGGCTCGAGCAGCGCCATTTGTCGATGCTGGGCATCGCGGGCGCCATTGGCACGGGCCTCTTCCTAGGCCTGGGCGCGTCCGTGCAGCAGGGCGGGCCGCTGGGCGCGCTGCTTGGCTACCTAACCGTCGGCGTGGCTGTTTGTGCGGTGCAGTTTGCTCTCGGCGAGGTGGCCGCGCTCTTCCCTGTCACGGGCTCGTTTGTGCGCCATGCCGAGGTGCTAGTCGATCCGGCCCTGGGTTTCGCCGTCGGCTGGAACATTGTGTACGGCAACCTGCTCTCAGTGCCGACTGAGATCACGGCCATCTGCGTGCTCTTCGAATTCTGGACCGACATCAGCCCGGCTCTCTGGATCTGCATCTTCATCCTGGTGACCACGATTGTCGGCTTCTCGCTGATTCGCGTCTTTGGCGAGATCGAGTTCTTCTTCTCCTTGCTCAAAATCGCCCTCGTCGTCTTCCTCATCATCCTCGGCCTTGTCGTCGACCTCGGCGGCGTTCCCGGCACTCCACGCATCGGCTTCCGCTACTGGCGTTCGCCAGGCCCCTTTGTCGAGTACATTGCTACCGGAACCTGGGGCCGCTTCCTCGGCTACTGGAGTGTCATGACCACAGCCGTCTTCTCCTTTGCCGGCGTCGAGTCGCTAGCCATGGCCGCTGCCGAAACCCGCAACCCTCAGCGCGCCATCCCGCGTGCCTGCAAGAATGTCTTCGCCCGCATCATCATCTTCTATGGCCTTGCCGTGCTTATTGTCGGCATGCTCGTTGCCAGCAATGACTCGCGCCTCAATGACGACTCTGGCACGGCAGCCCAGAGCCCCTTTGTCATCGCCGCCTCAGCCGCCGGCCTTCCTGCCGTTCCCTCCGTCGTCAATGCCGTCGTCATTACGTCCGCTTGGTCCTCATCCAACCAAGCTCTGCTTTCCGGCACCCGTGTGCTCTACGGCCTCGCCCTTAAGGGCCAGGCTCCCCGTGTTTTCCTGCGCACAAACTCTTGGGGCGTCCCATACGTCTGTGTCACCCTCTTCACCCTCTTCATGTTCCTCAGCTTCATGTCGCTCTCCAGCGGCGCCCTCAACGTCTTCTACTGGCTAGTCGATCTGACCTCCGCCGGTGTCCTCGTCAGCTGGATCACTATCCTCTTCAACCACATCCGTCTGCGTCTGGCTTTGCGCAAACAAGGCATCTCAGCTAGCCGGCTGCCGTGGTCAAATTCTTGGACCTGTATGTCCTGTCTTCCTCTGTGTCTGAAAGTCTTCAGCTACTAATAAGTCCAGTGTACTCCTCTTATGTAGCGTTTGTCTTCAACATTATTGTCCTTCTGACCAATGGCTTCACCGTGTTCACAAAAGGAAACTGGGATGCCGCCTCGTTTGTCTCAGCTTACTTGGACATTCCACTTGTCTTATTAGCGTTTTCTATCTGGAAAATCCTCAAAAAGACAAAGATGGTCTCTCTAGACGCGATACCGCTTCTCGAAGCACTAGATCAGTCCGACCAGTACCCAAACGAGCCGCTTACCAAGAGAAAGGGAATAGTTCGTCTTGTCAGCTGGCTTTGGGACTGAACAGTCTGGGGCGAGATACGATCCATCAAGCTGGTGTTAGATTTGCTATTCAATCATTGCAATGGGAGTTCAAGGCGAATCACTAGTTTAGAGTGATTGTGCACTTATTTTGTTCTGCCCGCTATACTGAAATTATATTGCCTAATAGGCTGGAAGAGTCAGGTTCAACCCTAAGCTGTTGCCGACCCAGTAGCCCAGAGTCTCGCGAATGATGTTGTTGCTGCTCCAGTTGCGCGTAGGGTGGACGCGGTTAGCGAAGTGCAGATAGAACAGGTCGCGGCCACGGTCAATGACTACGCTCGTGCCGGTATAGCCAGTGTGAGAGGCAGTAAGTAGTGTGTATAGGGGGCCTGCGGTATAGAATTGGTCCAGCTCAAAGCCAGCACCGTGGTCACTATTAATGTCTTGGAAACGGGCATTGAGATTGGTGAAGATAAGATCGACCGCTTGCTGCGACAAGATCCGCTTGTAGCCGTACGTGCCATTGTTGAGGATCATTTGGCAAAACCTGGCAGTGTCTTTAACGGTGGAGAAGAGGCCGGCATGGCCGGAGACGCCTTCAAGGGCCCATGCATTTTCGTCGTGAACAGAGCCGCGAACAGGCTGTGGCCGGTCAGGTTCGCCTGATCCGAGGATTTCGATCTGAAACTCAGTAGGTGCCGTGCGCCTATAATGCGGGTTTTTGTGGCCCTCGACATTATTGCGGTTAAAGAAGGTAGACGCCATGCCCAATGGGGCTGTGATGCCCTCGGCCACAAGCTGATCCAGCTTCTTGCCGGTAATATTTTGGACAACGAGCATCATCGTCATGAAGTTCAGGTCGGAGTAGAGAAAAATGCTACCGGGTGCGTTCTCCAAGCTTTGGGTGATAATGGCGTCGATCCTCTCGTCGTATGCTGAGTAGGAGTCTGAATACAGTGACGGCGACGGGTCTGGAGCGAAGCCGCTGGTGTGAGTCAGAAGCATCTCGATCGTGATGTTGTCCTTTCCATTTACCCCGAAACCAGGGATAAAGGTAGTCACGTTATCAGTGAGGCGCATTTTACCAGCGTCCATCTGCTGAAGAGCGATAATTGTTGTAAACAGTTTCGTCAGACTTGCCATGTCGTAGATGGTGTCCACCGTTGCCTCCTCCTGTTCGTAAGACGGTAAAATGGTCCCGTTTCCGTCCGCGTACAAGCTCTTGTTGCCAAAGGCGAACTCGCTGACAATCTTTCCATGGCGGCCAACGAGAATAGCACCTCCAGGTTGGATTGGATGGACCTCATATTTCGAAAACTTGCTGTAATTGGCCGCGTGTGTGAACGCGGTGAGATTGCTGACCATCTTAGCCAAAGCCTGCGAGCTCATACCCACAGACTCTGGCGTTCCATAGCTCAGCTCATCTGATCTTACTCCATAGGCCGTAGCGCCAGGGGTTGAGAAGATGAGAGAGAACACAGTCTGAACCGTGCCGAGCTTCATGTTGGCGAGTTATAACTTTTTTTGTCGGTGAGCTAGTGGCTGAGCTATATGAAAGACGCAGTATCGAATTAAGGGGTACGGACCACTAATTAAGTATTTTCTCCATGCTTATCGTCAATGCTGACCGACGGCGAAAAGCGCCGGAAAGCGCTCCGTTGGGCCCACGATAACTTCTAATCTCCCCAGTCGGATAGTACCGAAGCAGGGAAGGGCTCTCTTCTCCGTCTGTGAAATGAACTGCTCCACTATGTAGTAGATAAAGATGGGGTATCGGGACTGGACACCCTACGACGTAGGCTATAAGGATCGAAGGTGGGATCCTCTGCAAACATCTTGCGTAAAGGTGTTATGACTCTAACTCTTTTGATACTCCGGCATCTATCTCTGAGAACTAGCTATAAGGCAGTCATAGTTATTTACATCCTTATTTCATTATCAGACATCTCGCAAGAGAAATCAGCAAAGTTCCCAGCTTGGGGATTCGATACAAACGGGGTTGATTAACAGTGTTCTCTCTCTGTATGCAAATTACATTCTAGCAGTTAGTTCACTCTGCAGATTAGCTGTTTTTATCCCCCTTGGTGATCACGAAGTAGGTGCCGCCAAGCTCTTACGACTATGGATGGACTCCCTAAAAACCGCTTATTACGTAGCCTTATCTTGTTGATAAGGAAGCTCGGAAAGTCCCGACTGTGACTTAGAAAAGGTCGCCTACTCTGTAACGCCATCTAAACCGGGGATTTTGCGCAATGGTGGGGGGAAGCACTAAGGCCGAACAGTGCAATCACTACAAAGTACGAGTACGAGTGCTCATATATGCTGACGACCCGAAGGCCATATTTCGATGTTGTCATATGTACCACTCATGTGAGAGTTAGATAGGCGCTCTCCGGGCCGAAATGGTGACATTAATCCCAAACCTGTTTCAAGAGGGTCTACTTCGTACATGGGATACCCCCGGCTGCCGAGTTCAAGATTGGCCTCTCTGGCCAACGCTGGCATTACTCAAACCCGGATGGAGGGGGCTCTGCTGATCGACCGAGGCAATGTCCTACATAAGAGTATGGTTATTTGGGATTTTAGAAAGTTTACTCTATCATGCTATCTCGAATCGGGCTGGAAGACAGCCCCTGGCCTGTGCATGACATGAGAGTACTATGTATAGCTGAGGCCACGTGGTGGAAGCAGCGTCATGGTCGCGTGGTTGTTCTCAAGGTGGAGCTGCTGACGTTGTAAGAGACCTGAGCGTGTACTCCACACGTTGTATTGTTCACAGCTACTCCGTAGGTGTCAAGCATTGGAATCCGCCACACTGTGGCCCTTCAGCCCCACTTGGCCTTACTGGCCTGTTATTGGTCAGAAGGCACAAAAGCGGGGCATGGCACTAGTATTAATAGGGCCCCCCAGAAGGGTCGCGATGTATCTATTTCTTAGTACACAACACTCTTTCGCCCACACTAGACCTTATTCAGCCTCCTGCTCCTCACAGTGCATCACGTTATATGACCGCCACGTATAGCCTCCTTTAACCTTCACATTAGGTCACCTAGTGGACGGCAATTGAGGCTCTTGCGAGCGGTTAGATACATGGCCTTGTCAGATTTGCTTAACGGGTCGTGGCGTCAGATTTTATGCCGTCCCATTTTCTGGGCTTGTGCCGCGTTTTCCCGAGCAAATGTCCACACCATTTAGCCAAGCCACCTTGCTGAAAGTGTTCTTTTGAGACTGCGAATTAGCACACCAACGCTGCAGAATCCTACTCCCTGGGTAGCCTTTATTTTTCTCCTGTCCACAAGTGAAACAATAAAGAGCAAAACTCGGCCTATTAGGCTATTCTCAAACATGACCTCACACCGGAGCCAGATCATATATGCACCCTCAGATCAGGCTCCCCGTGGGGTGAAGTCCGTCTTTCTCGCGGGCACAACGAGCAAGGTTGACGAGGCTGACTGGCGAGAGACTCTATCTGCCCTGTTTTCTGACCTGCCGGTCACAATCTACAACCCATACCGCGCTGACTGGGACAGCACGTGGCGCGAAGACATCAACTTCGTCCCCTTTAGAGAGCAGGTGGAATGGGAGCTCGCAATGCAAGAAAAAGCCGATATGGTGGTTATATACTTCCATCCCGCAACCCAAGCACCGATTAGTCTCCTTGAGCTCGGCCTGTGTGCACGGACACCAGGGAAAGCGATTGTGCTTTGTCCAGAAGGGTATTGGAAACGAGGGAACGTGCAGATTGTGTGCCAAAAGCTTGCCATTGAAATGGCGGAAACCATCGAGGGTCTTGAAGAAGCCATCAGAGAGCGACTGTGCGTCTAGTTTGTCAGTAGGCAACTATACGGCAGTTCAGAACACATTGTTGGCATTTGAGACTGCTGTAGTTTTTCAGATAAAATGCGGTAGCTACACGGGGCGTGATGGGTGTGAATACGTATTGACCTTAAAAGAAGAGTCTGCCAGACAGCCGCGAGAAATGGCGAATGCTATAAATCTAACAAGTTTTCATACATCATACCTCCCAATCCCAAAGTCCCTTGTATCTAACTAGTAAGATAACACTTCTATGCACTTTGCCTTTTTGTCACGCTATGCGAATAGCTTAGTGCCATCAAATTAGGCGAAGCTAGCCTCTGTCAAATTTGGACATGCACCAAACACATGTACGAAGTACAAAGACACATATGGTGACAGACCTCGCACCATAGCCACAGATGATTCAACATGTGATGACCGAACGTAAGATAGGCGGTCGAACCACGCGACCTCCACAAACTAGCTGTGTAACAAACAATAAGGAAGCTACGACGGTGCAAATGAATTCATTCAGTCGTACAAAGCAAAGGCACTTGATCTGGCGCTGGAATATAAAAAGGGATTAATTTGTCAATTTGTTGCAGGACGCATGATACTACATACGACTACCAAATAAGGGTATCAAGTTCGCCATAACGCTCGCTGCTATCTCCGATTCGGGTTTGTCTTCCAGTCCGAGGTGGAAGTAAATGCATAGTGCCTTTCAAAAATGTCGCCTCTCATGGGTAGAAGTAATGCCAACATGCGTAATTGATGCCGAAGAAGACCAAATGTCTGCAAAACCTGTACCGTCAGTGTCGCAGGGCCTGTATCGCGCCACTTGTGTCATCTAGAACACTAACGGCCAGAAAAAGGACTTTTGCCAGTTGCCTCAAGAGCCACCTCTGCTCTTCGAGGATTTCACAGCACCAAATATTGAACTGAGCTTTCTCCGGCTTCGGGTTCTGATGGTATGGCAGACAGAATTGTGCTTCGCTATCGTCTCACAAACACTTTTTGCACTGCGTGTGCGAGCAGTTGGTACATGTGGTACTGATGACGAAACAGCCACCACAGAGATGGCAGTGGACGGCATAGGCACCGATGGTGGCAGGAGGTCTGATGGTGGTGGTTTCGCTTGCCATTACGATAGTAGAATGATGTGAGACCAACAGGATGCAGGAGAAGATGTGAAGAGGTGCGGTATGTTTGGGATGAAGTGGAAGATGAGAGTTGTGTTGCTTGGCGGAATATCGTCTGCTTTACAATAATATGAGCAGTTGGTGACTGAGTGAATGAACAGGTGAGACAGGAGAGAGAGGGGGGAAGAGAAAGATGAATAAAGAGAAAGGAAGACGTCTCGTGGGGGTATAGTCTTATATAGGAAAGAGACAGCGTGTATAATGCCGGGCAGGTGGCAAGTGGCCGCCATGATTTTATCTTACCATTTCGGTTTACTGATTTTATGCGAGCCACTAGCACAGCTCCAGTAGGCAGTATGCGCCAACGGCAGGTGATGGATGGGTGGTCAGGATACAAGGAAGCACACAGCACAACGATCTGCCATACATTATTATTGTGCACAAGCAATCCCAATTGCTTTTCCCGCCCGGTACGAAGTGTGTCTCGCCATTTTGTTTGCGAGCTAACCCCCGCGACTACGATGTACTTGTAGCACCCGGCAAACCCCGGAAAGTCCGCGGCGCATTGTGGGTGGAAATTGGTGGTAACTGGCGAATCATACGGTCGATAGCAGGGCTCTGCGTGGGACATGGTGGATCTCCTAAGCAGATGTGCAGTCATCTACTTCGTACTCCGTATTTCTTTAAGGACGTGCTCCCCACACATTAGTGGGATGTAAACTGCGGCCTAATATTGTGAGATGCTATAGGACAAAAGGGGAAATGTTGAGATGTTCCGGGAGATGGAGCTGTGGGGGGTGTGATGGGGAGGCCGGACCGGACTGGAAGATCAGAGTGAGACATAATACGACGTACAAATTATCGGGCTGTTCAACTCCGCCAACAGCCAGTTTCAGCTGCATCGTACTAGCAGCCGACATGGAACCAGAGCTATCTTCCCCGCACCAGGACACCCTAGAAACCAATCATTTTTCGTGCACTGAGTTTAGCGCTCTGGACAGACTGCGCCAACGGGATAGATGACTTTGACGGCCAGGTATTGGTCATAGGAGGTGTGCTCTAGACGTCCCGTGTCTTGTGTGGTGTACATTGTATTCAGGGAAGAAACAAAGAAAGTGCCACGGGGTAGCGGAGGATCGACGGATAGAGAGTCACCCATCTGAAAGCGCCGTTAGAACAATATAGAAAAACGACGCTACAGTCGACGCGAGGAAGTCCGTATGTGGCTCTGTAGTCTGGCCAGGTGTGGCGAGCCAGCGCAGGTATTACTGATGGGCGGAGATCGTTGTATTCAAAAGAAAAAAAAAACAGCTTGTATTCCGTACCAGAGTACGAAGTATCTGAAGCTGAAGTAAGCCTGGGCTGAAAACTGCCCTGGGTGGTCTGTGCACCCACCGTGCAAGCTGCTTTGCCTAACTGGACAAGTATTCGTTCCATAGTCAAACGGGCGGAATTAGGGCGTTACGATTGGGCATAGGAAAAAGGCGATTTCGCTGCCAAGCCTAGGCGCATTTGGAACAAACCCCACGCTTTGGGTACAGTTGGAATGAGCGTCAGGTAGCTACGTCGTAGGTGGACTTGTGGAGCTACGCTAAAAGAGTGTACTCCGTACAGTCTACAGTCCGTCACTGCCACAGGGCATTCTGCAAGGCGCTTTTGGCGTCGATTCGAGCCCTGGGAAGCCCAACAGGAACGAGGTTCCTTCTTCAGCGTAGATGTTACGATAAAGTCTACACTCGCTTCAAAATGTATTTTGCGGTTTACTCCTGCAGCCAATCGCTGAACGGATTGTGCAATCATGGTGAGTTGAATCTCTTCAACAAGCCACACCGCGTGACATACTAACAAAAATACAACCGCAACACAGACTTACAAGTTACGCCCTCGTGATCAGCCTGGAAGGCCACAGACGCCATCTTCAGAAGATGAAAGGTCATCATCCACTGGATCTGATTTCGGTTCTTGGTCGGCGTTGAAGACTGTACTTCCCATTCGTCTAAGAGACAGCTCGTCGAGCGCTTCTCTGAATGTTTACCGCTTGCCGTCCGATGATGGCATTCTGATCAAGGTGAAACCACCTGCATATCCGGGTAACATACCCTCAATCTCTAGCCAGAGAGGGCTGGCAGGCCAGGGGCATGTCCCGTGCAGCATCGTCCTCGTCATCGATGTTTCTGGAAGCATGCAAGAAGATGCCCCGGTCCCTGCAACAAAAGGCGAGCCCATGGAGAGCAATGGCCTGACAGTACTCGACCTGGTGAAGCATGCGGCGCGCACAATTCTTGAGACGCTGAACGAGCACGACTGCCTCGGAATTGTGACTTTTTCAGAGGATGCCAATGTGCTATTAATGCTCACTCCGATGACACAAGTAAACAAAGCGAAAGCGCTTCAGGTAATTCTAGATTTAGAGCCTTTGACGGTTACGAATCTGTGGAAGGGCCTTACGGCCGGCATCGAGATCTTCTCGTCCAAAGCTCAGTTCAGCTCCGTACCCTCCATAATGCTGCTCACGGACGGTCTTCCAAATTTCATGTAAGTGACAGCGCTGGATTTTGGGGGATCTCATGAATGTCTCTCTGGAAATAACCGACATGCCCAGGCACCCACCACAGGGCTACATACCAAAGCTGCGGACCTTTGGAAAGCTCCCGGCTCCAATTCACACATTCGGCTTTGGTTACAACTTGCGCTCTGGCTTACTCAAATCCATATCTGAGCTCACCGGTGGCAACTACGCATTCATCTCCGATGCTGGAATGCTTGTGAGTCTTTCCATACTTGAGCAGTCTTTCTATGTGTTGCTGATTCGCTACAGGGAACCGTTTTCATTCATGCAGTTGCAAACATGCAATCCACTTTCGCTATGAACGCGACGCTGTGCGTTGAATTTCCTGCCTCGATGCATCTCGAGAAGGCCATGGGCACTGTGGTCGGCGGGACGCAGCCGGTCGACCCGGTGAACGGACAGCAGCTCACGATACCCCTGGGTAGCATCCAGTATGGGCAAACCCGCGATGTGTACCTGAGATGCACCCACAACGCGGAGTTGGAGTCTGGACTTGAACCGCGCACTGCCCCCATCGTGAGGGTTAAGCTGGACTACGACCAGATGGAGCCGAGCACTTACTTCCACGCTACAACTCAGTGTGCTATGAATTTTGAAGACTCGTCAACAGCTCACGGCGCAGATGCACTGTCTGCGGATGAAGTTGCGTTCCACATCGCTCGATCTGATTTGTGCGCCACCATTTCGAGCTTATTTCCACTGCTCGACGAGGAAGAGCATGTGGCTGTAAATCATGAAGACGGCTTGATCTCCATTGCCATTTCAGCCTGGGAGAAAGTCACGTCGGCAAACGTATCTATCGGAAGCACTGCTTATAAAGCTTTGATGAGAGACATCAGTGGCCAGGCATTGATGGCCATTCGAAACAAAGAAGATTACTCAATATGGGGACGGCATTATTTGCCCAGCTTGCAGTCTGCACACATGTCGCAGCAGTGCAACTCGTTCAAGGATGCAGGTCCGCTTCTGTACGGCGCTTCGAGCACTCTTTTCATCCAGTGCCGTGACAACCTGGATAAGGCATTTGACAGCTTGCCAGCACCGAAGCCGAGCGGCATTTCGGTGTCGAACGCACCCATCGGGATGAGCATGTACCGCAACCCGAATGGTGCCTGTTTCGCCAGCTTCTGTCGAGTGACTCTGACGGACGGGCGACATGTCCGGGTAAATCGTCTGAGACGCGGGATGCGAGTTCTGACGCCGCGAGGTCCGCGCACAGTTGCCGCTGTGCTGAAGACCCCAGTTGTCGGTGCGCCGATGATGTTTGTGGGCAGCCTGCTAGTCACTCCGTGGCATCCGATTTCACACAACAGCAAAGACTGGGTCTTTCCGTGCCAGGCCGACAACCCACGCAAGAGGCCACGGGTCCGCTATACAGGATCTATCTATTCGGTGCTGCTGCAGCCAGATGGGGATGTGGATTCGCACGCACTTCGCATCGAAGGCATCTGGGTCGTGACTCTTGGTCACGGGCTGACGGAAAATGCAAATGGTACCGCAGCAGATGTGCGGGTGCACAGCGTGTTTGGAAGCTACGCTGGCGTGTGCCAGGCTCTAGCCTCGCTGGATGTGCGTGAGGATGGCCTGGTGGTAAACAATCTCTCGTCGCGGGGCACTTTTTGATTGTGGCATGGGAGAACAAAGCCGACTACGTTAAGAAGTGGGTAGTTGTAGGGGGTACTCCGTATGTGAGCCAAAATATGGGTGCTAAAGGGAAGAATAAATTTGGTAATGCGCGTTCTGACGACTGCTGTCCCTTTCGATAACGGTGACCATGGTATTGTTATTGGTATGGTCTTAAGAGCAAGGCTATCGGTGCATACACAAATAGCCATCATTGAACGGGCTTTGATTAAATCTATCTGAAAGCCCCTTTCACGAATTGGAACACCTTTGTCTTTTTTCAAAGACCCTTTCTTAGTTTAAGAAACTGACCGCCACATTTCAAAGGGGGGTTGATTGGCCGGAAAGAGAGCCAAATGGCATTGTGCCAGCATGAAAGCGGAAACCGTTCCACGGTGTAATTTTGCCAATGAGAACAATGAATCTCGCTTGTCGACGAAGGCCAAAGAGTTCCAAGGAAAGGAAAGATGCTTTGCTACGAAGACCAAGCAAATAGTGACCTTCGGATCATGCAAAATTGATATAAAAGTAGACGACCATCAGTGGTCGTCGCAAGTCTCACATACACTCAGAAGTCCAGACAAACACAGACTAGCACAAAAACGCATACCACCAAAATGAACGACCATACTTTGGGAGGCAAAGAGCGAGAGGCGCCGTTGCTTCGCAAAACGGAACAAGTACGGACACTCCTGCATTACGATCATCGCCACGAAAAGACGACGAAATCAAAGCTTAAGACCGGCGGCACTTCATTTATCAGCCGGCACGGGCTGTGTTATCAGTGGGAACCTGGTACACACAAGAAACACGGCCACGGCCATGATGGTCATGAAATGGGCACACAGAGAGACGCACCAATCTCGAGGACCGAAAGGACAGATCGGACAGCCCGGACAACCCCGACTGACAGATCTGCACGTCCCGACAGAGATGCAAAGACCGAACAGACTGACAGGACCGGACAAACTGACAAAACGATAAGGACACATACGTCCCACAAACATGGAAAGACCACCGAAACAGCTACGGTTCCAGAGGCCGGCTCTGGCGGCAAGTCCAGCGGCTCCAACGGTGGCACCAGCAGCACATTGAGCTGGCCCTCTTGCGTGCCAACGTACGCTATTTCCGAGGGCCAGAAACTGACAGCAGACATGCAACGGGGCCGGCGGCAGCTGCAGCCACGATACATTGTAACGATGCAAGACACACACTACGAGTCTGGAGACGTTGGAGGAAACAGGAAGTTGCTGTTGCGCCATGGTCGGGTGGCTGACCTTTTGGACGGATGCGCCAACTACCTGGAGTACATACGGACACAGACTCGTGTTGGGCTGGCAAAGACGGGGCCTCCGCTGTCGCTATTCTCGCTCATCGAGAAGTGGCACGGCATCCCAGAAACACGACAGTGGCGGCTGTGGGGGGTATATTCGAGGCATACCGGAGAGCAGCCGTCGGTATCGTTGATTGACAGCCGGTCTGAGCTGCTTCGACTGCTGACAGACTTTTGTGTAGGCACTAGAACGCGCAGCCGATTTGATGGCCGGTGGGTGATGTACTTTGTGGTGGACGTGGCGTTAGAGCAACCACAGCTCTTCGGTGTGATCGAGGTCGAGGAGGATGTGGAGGAGGAGGTAACGAAGAAGCCGACGGCAGAGAAAAGAATGAAGGAGCCGAAGAGCCACAAATACGAGGGGCAGCAAAAGGCCGTTTCAGCACAGCCACGAAAGCCACCAGCCTGCGCCACAGAAAACGGAACCTGGAAGGAAGGCAGTGTGAAGGAAGGAGCTCGTCCCGAACAGGGAAAAACGGTAAGACCATCTCCAGCAAACAGATCCAAGGCAAAGGTAAGAGATTCTCCGACGGCCGATGAGCAGCCCCTGATCCCGCAAGACAAGCTCAACGATGACAGTGGACGGCGGCCGGGCACGGGCGCGCTGCTGCGCCAGGTGGACACGGGCAACGGTAGAGCTGACGACATCAATGATCTTGACGGGCTGTTGCCACAATCAAAGGCACCAACGGCCAACCAATGGGCCAAGTGCTGTCAACTGCTGCTGCTGGATCCAGAGAAACACCGGGACGTGGCAGCGCGGTCGATCCGCATCCCAGGGTCGGCGGTGTGGGCGACGCCGCAGCAGTACTGGACGGCGTTCCGCATGCTGACTTGGCGGGTACGACACGGACTGGACGGCGGGCTGCTGGCAGATGCTCCGGGCTGCGGCAAGACGCACACGGTGCTGGTGTTCTGCCTGTTGCGGGCGCTAGTGTTTCACAGCCGGGCGGCCGTGCAGCACAGCCGGGCAGCAAATGACGGGCGACACACGCGGGAGAGCAGCGGCAGAAATGGCGATTCCGGCAGCGGCTGTCTCTGCAACAATATCCACGGCATCCAGTGCTTCGCTGCTCCTGGCAGCATTACCCGGCGCATCTTCGAAGCTGGTGGCGGCGACAGCCTCGCCCGCGGGCCTGCACTCATCCAGGCTGGGCCGACGGTCATCGAGGACTGGAAGGCAGCGCTGTGTGCAGCTCGTCTCAGCGCCACCTACTACCACGCCGTTCTCTTCCATACATCAGCTTCCATGACGCCCCGCGAGCTGGCCCGACCCGATGGCCTCGTGGCCGAGATGGGCTGCACCGCGGCAACACGGACGAAGCAGCCCCAGGAGACCACAGAGACAGAAGAGGTGCCCGTCGACAACTGCACTTTTACCTTTGGTCTTGACGAGAGCAAGAACTATCGCCCACTTGAGCGGTACATCTTCCTGACGACGTACGAGGCTGGCCGATTCAGAGCTGCCTTTCAGATTCCCGTCTCTTCTGCCGCGACAGGTGCTCGCCACACAAAGTCGGCCGAGGGGGGCCTGACCGTCTACGGCTGTCCTGTTGGTCTCCACATCGTCGACGAATTCCACCGCATGCGTGACGTGCAGTCCAACGCGGTGCAGCTGGCGCTCGCTCATAAGCACATGCACGACAGCGCCAGCCGCGGCAGCAGCGGCAGCCAGTTTGCTTTTTGGGCTGTCACGGGAACTCCGCTGCCGGGAAGCCGTATGACTGACTTGACTGGCCTTATGGCTGTGCTGCAGCAACCGGCCTGGAACGGTCAGGATCACGCCCACCATGCTCTTCGCACCGAGGGGCTCGCTGAGCTGGAGGATACTCGACGGCGCTGCGCTTCTTTGTCGGCCACGTCGGACGATCGCGACCGCTTCCGCCAGCTGGCACTGGCCTGTTTCGACAGCGGTTTCGTCATCCGTCACTCGGGCGATATGCCGCATGTCCCGCCCGTGCGCGTGTCGTTTTCCACACCTGTCGCTCACCGCTACGGCGTGAAGGTGCTTGCAGAAAACGCCCGTCGCCGCCTCGCCCGCATCGATGGTCCTCTGACCATGCAGTCTGCCGCCGTGACGCTGGAGGGCTTCCGCGCCCTGGGATTGCTACAGGTGCTCTCGAGCTTCCCCGGCGCTGCACGGCTGTTGGTAGGAAAGGAGAACGGCCCCAACGACGTGGCGGCATCGCTGATGCAAGCCTGTGTGGACCCAGTCGAGGCAGCAAGGCTGATGCTACCGGCCGCCGGATCACCCGCCGACGTCGATGTGATGAGCGTGCCATTGGTGGCCGCCTGCTGGCAGGCAGCCACTAAGGACAGCCCGAAGCTCGACTTTGTCACGCGGCTGCTGCGGGTGATGGATCTGGATGAGGAACAGGCCAAGAGAGCCACAGGCCGGATCCTGAAGAAGAAGCTGCTTCTGATCACGCCCGGCCTCGTCGACGCCGTGCTATACTATGCAGCGCTGCGGCAACGGCGACCCGGCTGGCGTCCGGCACTGCTGCACAGCCACCTCTCGCCTGCTGCCAAGGCAGACGTGCTGGCAGGGCTGAAAAGGACAGATTCCGGCAGCTGCCGGCTGCTCATCGCGACGTTTGCCATTGCCGGCACCGGCCTCAACCTGCAGGCCGCCAACTACCAGGTGCTGACGGCACCATTGCGCCATCGAGCCGATGAGGAGCAGTGCTTCCGTCGCACCAACCGCGGCGGCCAGCAGCTGTCCGTGCATCACTACCTGCTGCTGAGCGAGGACAGCCCGTACGACCGTCTGATGGTAGCCGCCCAGTCCGGGAAGACACCAGCTGGTGACCCCTTTGATGTGCTCGCAGACGTGGGGCTGGCGTAGAGGAAGGTAGGTCTGCACAGACACGAGATAATACATTGCCCATTCTCATGATCATGATTAATAAACAATGCGATCACTTATCCTGTTTTTGGTGGTAGTGCGGGGACACATCGGTTCGTACTCCGTGCGGTTCGAAAAGCGTCGAAACCATGTGTAATTATTCAGTTTGCATGGTCTAGCAGCAGCCCACAAATACGTAGCTAACAGCTGCCGCTGAAGCCGCTTCTGTCGGACTTAAATTGGGCAGTATCCCGGATACTGTTTCTTGAGCTCTCGTCATTCTTCCACACGTTATTACACTACAATTTCCATCATGTCTCTGCCTACCCGCCAGCTTGGCCGTAACGGCCCCCAGGTCACAGCCATGGGCTTCGGGCTCATGGGCCTGAGCGCATTTTACGGGTCAATGGGCGACGAAGCCGAGCGGTTCGCCTTTCTTGACCACCTGTACGCCTCGGGCGAGCGCTTCTGGGATACTGCCGATATGTACGGCGACAGCGAGGACCTGCTGGGCCGGTGGTTCAAGAAGAACCCCGGTGCCCGCGAGACCATCTTCCTGGCAAGCAAGTTCGGCTTCACGCCGGACCGCACGATCCGCTCGGATCCGGCCTATGCCAAAGAGGCGTGTGCCCGCAGCCTGTCGCGACTTGGCATCGACCACATCGACCTGTATTACGTACACCGTGTAGACACGGTGACGCCGATTGAGGACACTGTGGAGGCGTTGGTGGATCTAAAGAAGTGAGTGAGCCTGTACTTGACGTCAGATTTGCTTGAACATGTCTGGATTCTGACGCAAGCTCTCCTCTAGACAAGGAAAGATCCGTTACATCGGCCTCTCTGAAGTGTCTCCTACCACGCTGCGCCGTGCCTGCGCCGTCCATCCGATTGCAGCGGTGCAGATGGAGTACAGTCCTTTTGAGCTGATTGTCGAGCAGCCCAAGGACACAGGACTGCTGGCGACGTGCCGCGAGCTTGGTGTCGCTCTTGTGGCCTACTCGCCGCTCGGCCGCGGCCTGCTGACAGGGCAATACCGCAGTCCAGCCGACTTTGGCAAGGACGACTTCCGGGTAATGATGCCGCGCTTCTCGCCCGAGAACTTCCCCAAGAACCTGGCACTGGTCGACACGCTGTCGTCGCTGGCCAGCAGTAAGGGCTGCACGACCAGCCAGCTGACCCTCGCCTGGCTGATGCACCAAGGCGACGACATCTTCCCAATCCCAGGCACCAAGAAGATCAAGTACTACGACGACAACCTGGGCGCGTTGTCGGTGAAGCTGACGGACGCCGAGGCTGCGGCCATCCGTACCGCCGTCGACTCTGCCGAGATCGTTGGCGAACGGTACCCGCCGCAGATGAGCGTGGCGCTGATGGCAGACACGCCTGAAAAGAAGTAGGAAGGTCTTGTTTGGGAGACATCAATTCCAAGTACGGAGTAGAGTCGAGCAATGAGAAGGTGGAAGAGAATAACGAATAAAAAAAGCAAAGGAAATGAAATCGAGTCATTGTCGTAAGACGCAGGTGCTCCTAAATAAAAAGCGCCTGGTGGCAGCTGACAGCATGTTTTGGTGATAAGAGAGGGGAGGCGACTGCAGACGAATCCTGCCGAGGCCCACTTTGAGCCCACAAAACCGAAGGAAACGACGCAACGGCGCCGAGACAACCAACGTTGGAGCCCAGCACGCAGCGCCAGCACGATTAGGAAGCCGAAAAAGGGCGGCGCAACGATAGACAAAATAAACGACCAGTACTTTTGCGGTGCCCGTCGCGACCGTCGCGATTCGCCCGAACTGTCCGAGCTGTCCGTTCTGCTTGCGATCACTCGATGCCGTTCTGGACGTCGTTCGAGCCGGCCACGCCGCCCCGATACCGCGGTGCCTGTCTCTGCGGCAGCATCTCGTACGTACTGACGCAACGGCCGCGGCGGGTAGTGCAGTGCCACTGCACGCACTGTCAGGCCGATGGAGGGGGCCCGTTCCAGATTGTGGGTTGTCGGTCGCCTGACGTGCGTCTTGTCTGTGCCTGGATCTTGCTGACCGTCCAGATGGCCGAATACCGCATCGACGAGGTTGTCGTCAAGGATCCGTGGAGCTACTGGAAGATCTACACGGTGCGCGAAGGCACGCTGAGCGGCCAGCCCAAGGAGAAGCACTTTTGCGGCAACTGCGGCTGCACGCTGTGGACGGTGGCCATGCGCGATCGCGGCGAGCTGCGCATGGTTCGCACGAGCCTTATTGAGAACGGGTGGGTGGCGGGAGAGAGACAGAAAGAGACAAAGACAGGAATGGACAGCAGCTGACCAAAGCCAGGCTGCAGCTGTTTCCGCCGACCGAAGTGCAATTTCGGCGCTAGGGACCGGCAGATGGGCGGAATGCGTACGTGAGAACGGTCGAAGATCCAAGCAGACACACATAGAACAAACATGGCTGCTCTGCCAGGCCTCAGGCGCTGACTCAGAGGGCGCCATCTAATGCTGACTAAGGAAGTTCACACAGTCACCAATACGGAGCAGTCAAGTGGGGGACCGAGGAAACGAGGCTCTGCTGGAACAGGGTTTGTATTTGATTGAGTAACGCAGTAGCTGAAATTAAACAAGGGCCGTCAACGGCAGGTACTACTTTTTAGCGATACATTCCGCACAGAGGATGTCATGGATTATGTCGATATAGGAGTCGGAAGACAAGACCTCATGCGGGCCGGTTGTGCAGAGCTCCCGGAGCACATTTTCGATGAGACTGTAGCACTCCGGGCAGACGTAGCGCTCCCAAACGCACATGTTGATAGCAGTGGGTGGTTGGTTTTAGTTTGATTTCAGTTTGGTGCACTAAGTGATTTCTCTCAAGAGTCACTTTAAGTAAGACAAGATTTTCTCTTTCTATATCCCGGGCTCTGGCAGCCTTTATACTTTTTTCTAGCCTCTAAGAAAGATGGCAGTGACAGGTAGAGCAGCCGGTCACTTGGAAGCTTTCCAGTGACCCTGGGTTGGCAGCCATGTAAGCCCGTCAGTCGACGAACTTGGACATGGCGCGCAAGCGGGCGCCGTAGCGCATAAGCAAAAAGGGAAGGGGCAGGGCGACACAGGAGATGCCGCCGAGGAGGCTGGCAGTAGGCCCGACGCCCATGTTGATGAACATGGGACGAGCGGCCAGAGGCAGGCAGCAGGCTAGCAGGGAGCGAAGGATGGTGTTGGCAGAGGTAGCGCTGGCAGCATAGCGGCCATAGCAGTCGATGAGGTAGTTGAGACACTGCTGGAAGATGATGTTGAAGCCGGCGGCGATGAAGCCGCCAGCAACAGTGGGAACGGGCCAGGGTACGCTAGGCTTGGCCGTCCAGGCGAACCAAAAGAGGCCAGCCGGGAGTAGACAGCCGCCAACGAAGATGGGCGGGAGGCGGGCCTCGGGAACGGCACGGCCGTTATTGCGATCGACAGCACGGAGGTAGAGCGGCTGGTTGGCCAGGTTGATGACGACGGCAGAGAGTGCGCCGACAAAGAGGCCGAGGTAGGGTAGATAGGCGACGACGGGGCCATAGCAGCGCTGCTCGCGAAAGACGATGGGGTAGACCTCGAGCACAAGGAAGATGAGGGCATAGACAAAGGAGGCGTAAGCGGCGACACACGAGACGATAGGCTCGGTGAAGAGCATGCGAAGAGGGCGGCTGAGATGCTTGGACACGACGTTGCGGAGTGTGACGGGCTTGAGGTCGTGGGGGTGCCAAAAGCGGCTGTCGCCGCCGTCAGCTGGCGGAAGGGCGCGCAGACGGGCAGCCCGACGGGCCAGCAGCACGGGCGCATACGTCTCGGGCAGCAGGACAAAGGCAGCGAGGGTGACGGAAAAAGCGACGATGGCCTCGAGATAGAGGGTCCAGCGCCAGCCGAGACGCGGATCGGCCACAACGGCGGCGCCGATGACGGGAGCCAGAAACGGGCCGCCGACGACGCAGAGCGAGTAGAAAGCCATAGCGACGCCACGCTGCCGCGGCGCAAAGAGGTCGCCCAGCGCGGCCGTGACGTTGCTGACGGGCGCGCTGCCAAAAACGCCGCCCAATAGCCGTGTTGCCAGAAGGGCTGCCGGCGTCCGACTGCGGGCTGACCCGATGCTGAAGAGCCCGAGCACCATCAGCGCCGGCAGCATCGACCAGCGTCGCCCGTACGCCTCGCTGACCGGTGCCCAGACCATCGGCCCGACCGCAAAGCCCAGCAGGAAGAGCGACATCAGCAGGACCGTCACCTCCCGGCTGATGGCCATCTCGGCCGCGATGGCTGCCTGCGCCGGCGCCACGATCGAGCTCCCCAGCGATCCCGCAAAGGCCAGCCCGCCGAGAAGAAGCGTCAGGCCGGCCTTGGTCGCCGGGCTGCGGTTGTGCGGATCCTCGACGTCGCCCGCCGCAAATCGCACCTCAAACGCTGGGTCCATGTCGGCACGTGACCGCCTTCGGCTCAATTCCCCTGCCCCAACCGTCATCTCGGCCACGTCTTCGGCTGCGCCGGCTGCCTCCTTCCCGCCATCGGCCTCTATGTCTGTGCTGTCGTTGCTGTGGACGACGTCGTCCGTCGTGACAACCTTGTCCTTTTCTGCGGCGTCCTGCATGGTGCCGACTCTGACTGTCGATCCCGGGGAAAGAGACATGTCTTGGCAGGCACGGCCTTTTATCCGGTTTGCAGCGTCCCGCAAATCCAACCAGACCCACTTCCTGTCACCGCTGCTCGGAACCGATACGCTTAAGACATTGATCTAACGGAAATACGGAGACCACTGACTTTGTCCAATTCGCTTTGTCATCTGGCACGTGCTCTGACGGCAACCCCCGTCCAGGATCCACAAAGCCGTCCGCATGTGGGATGTGGAGTGAAGATCATGTAAGCACGCGAGCCTCCCACATGTGGTAGTGCTTACTCGTGCTTCACAACCTGCACAAACCATCACGATTCGCTCATAAATACGCCATAAAACACGATGCCGCCGTGAAAACGGCAAGTTTGTCAGCGGCTGTGTTGACTGCTAGTCATGGCTGTCTGCTTGCAAAGGCATGGTGTGCCCGTGAAGTATAAAAGACAGCCTCGACTCCCGACATGAAGAAGTACTGTCTCTAAAAGAGGAGCACTTTCCACATCGCACATAGATAAGCCGTCGCGACCGACTTTCAATCTCGAAATGTCCAAGATTTTCGCTGTCTTTGGTGCCACCGGTCAACAGGGTGGCTCCGTCATCGACCACGTTCTCGGCAACCCCCTGCTTGCAGCTATCTATAAGGTGCGCGCCATTACCCGCGATATTACCACGGTCAAGGCTGCTCAGCTGCGCGACCAAAACGTTGAGGTCGTTCACGGCGATGCCGATGACCGCGGCTCGCTCAATGCTGCGCTGGCCGGCGTCCACAGCGTCTTTGCCATGACCATGCCGGCCCACCGCCCGTCCACTGTCGAGCAAGCCGTCGAGGCCGAGTTGTGCGCCGCCCGGAACATCGCCGACGCCGCTCAGACTCAGGGCGTCGCTTTTTTCATCTTCAGCTCGCTCCTGTCGCCGACAGCCCTCTCACACGGCAGATACACCCGCTTCCTCCCCGCCGAGGCCAAGGCTCGCGCCGAGCAGTACATTCGCGGCCTAGCCTTTCCCGAGGGCATCGCCATCTTCATGCCCGCCTACTTCATGCAGAACTTTGTCGCTGCCCCGTTCATGCCCCTGTTGCCGGAGCCTGGCGCCTCTGCTTCGACTACCGCCCGCTGGACCCTCACCAGCCACCTCCCTCCCTCGGCTCGCCTCGCCCTCATCGACGTCGCCACTGACTCTGGCCGATTTGTCGGTACCATCCTCGCCAACCCCAATCGCTACCGTGGGAAGACCGTCTGTGCTGCCGCCGGTCAGTTCACCATACCTCAAGTTGCTGCTGCCATGGCTGCCGCCACTGGTAAAGACATCGGCTACCGCCAGATTCCCCTCGACGAGTACCGCGCTGCCATCCCGCCATTTGTCGCTGAGTTCCTCCCCGATGGTCTCAGTGCCTGGACCGAGTTTGGCTACTACGGCACTGACTCCGACCGTTTGATTACCGAGGCCCTTGAGGACCTCCACGGCAGTCTCGTCACCACGCCCGCTGATTTCTTCGCTGCTCATCCGCCAAAGCTGGAGTAGACTGACTGATCTGTGCAATCAAACTGTGTCCCAGGGGTTTTTTTCTTTTTTAGGAATTTAGCCACATCCGTTTATATAATATCATGAGCACGTGCTGTATTCGTTGCCATATGTTCTTTAGCCTTGCAGAGCAAAGTAGGTAAGGTGAAAAGGCATGATGCATTTCCAACTACATAACCTTTACAATATTCGTCATTTCGTTACTGGTACTCTGTATTATATCTCTCTCCACACCATTTCAGTTCCTCTTGTCTGCGTACCGGATTTCATTCCCTTTACTTTGTGCTGCTCGTCGTTGATTCTGGTGTCTTGTTTCCCATTTCGCCCAGTGCCATATTGTTCATATGGTAGCGCATCAGCAATTGTCGCTGATGCGTGGCGCCCAGACGGTAGAGAAGGAAGCCAGCGACGACCAAGATTGCAGCACCGCACACGGAGCCGACAACGGCACCGGCGATGGCACCGTTGGAGATGCCCTTCTTCGACTTCTTGGAGCTGCTTGTGGAAATGCTCTCGGTCCCGCTGGAGGAAGTGGCCGTGGTGGTCGCGGCAGTGTTGCTGTCGGTAGTAGCATTGAAGCAGTAGCTGTTCTGTGTAAAGTCCGCATCTAGAATGTACTTGATGTCGGCACAGGCGTAAAATGTCTGATTGACTGTAGAGTCGTCCCAGACGGACTCGTAGATAACCTGCAGTGTAGCTACATCGCCGACAGAGATGTTGCTCGGTGGGTTGGGAAGAATGATGCACGTATGTCCCTCGTACAGATCCTTTATCCTCTTTGACGAGACAAGGACTTCAAAGTCACTGTTCGTGAGAGGGTCTTCGACATAAACGTAAAATCAGCATGACCAGCCGCATAGAGGAACAAGGGGTAGGTTTAAACTAGGAGGGCGTACTGTCACTATAAGATATAGATATCTGGACATCATAGGCCTCCTCCTGGTCTACTAGGCCGACGAAACCGCCCGCTAATGCTTTGTATTAGCATAGCACGTCCAAAAAATCAACATATACACATACTTATCGGGAAGTCAGTCCGGTTGCCAGCCTGTGCGACGGAGCCACAAGGTGCGGTGTTGTCAAGGGATGCCGAATAGGCACGGTCTGATGGAAATAAAAATGCTGCCGGGCCCATGTCAGAGTCGATATCCTCGGCCAGGACTCCAACAATGACGCCGGAAACTAGGAAGAGCGCGTGTGACAGCATGAATGGAACGACACCTATGGCAATAAAGAAAGTGAGGAAATTCAATTGTGAAAAGCTTTGCAGAGAGGATCGGCAGACATATGCAGTACTTTATTCTTTCTGTGGAGAGTTGCCTCAGGCCCTTTTCTTTATACCTTGTTCTCAGACGTGCCCCTCCTCCCCCTCCAGATAAAAGCATTCTGGAATTCGCTGGCCGTGACCGGAGGAGGCCTTTGCATATCAGCTAGAGGAGGAATGGTGCTTATGGTCCTTCCCTGAGAGTTTATCACCTCATAGTAGATGATATTCTATTCAAACGTCCATCAACTACGAGACGACGCTCACGAATAGTTACAGTCCATATCTTCTTGTTTAGCTCTGCACCTCTTACCCCGCTGACGACTTGGTCTATGTTTCTCGTCCTCGTTCTTTATTTTCCCATCTATCAGCAGCGTAGCTTGTCCGCCATGCTAATCGTGGCAGCTTCCAATACCGCATTATCATCATCTGTAGAACCGGACGGGTGCTCTCGTGTTCTGTGCTTTCACTGACCAGACCACAAGCATTACTTTGAGATTCGACACAAGCCTAAAATCGCGCCATATGCGTTTGACAAAGCTGCTGCCTCCGATTACCGGCGAATCAGCCTAGGCAGCGTGGCACCGTCCTCGAAAGAAAAAAATGTGGAGATTTTCCAAATATGAAGGAATAGTCTCATGAGGGTGGACAGACATTTGGCGACGAGAGGTCTCGCGTAAGAGACCGGCCTCCGTCAAAATAATAAATCCATTGTTATCTGATCGTCTGATATCTTATCTGACTTCTAGAGAGGCAGGCAGCCCAAGTCTTCGAAGATGACCTAGGCACACTGAGCGCCTGAGTGATAGTGCTTTCAGAGAAATGTGTGTGGGGGTCAACTGCGAAAGAAAGAAAAGAGAAGGCCAGAAAAGCGGTTCAGACATAGTACTGTTGGAGACTAGCACGTGAAACAAGAAGTTGTTCTTTGTACGCTAAATCCGGCCAGCCATACATTTAAGGAGGCACATATAATTGGATGATAAGAAAAGACGACTGTTGGCAGGGATATCTTTGATTACGAGGCAGACGTGACCATCGTTTTATAGGCGTCTCTTTGTTCAGAATTCATCCTCATATTTCGTTCCAACCACTAAACACTGGACAGATATTGTGAGCATCTAGCCAAGAATATTCTGGCCAAACAAAGCCAAGTCCAGACGCCAGGACCAGTCTGTGCCGCGTCTTTTTGAAGCAGTTTTTCCGTCTTGGAGTTTGCATCCCGCATCTGGATATACCTCCAACGACATCACAACAGAAGTCAAGCGCAGAGCAGAATCCAGATGGGCCGAAAAGACTTAATCCTTCTCGTTTTTTCCAGTTGCGGCCATTGATCTTTGTCAATGTCCAGTCTTGGCTGCTCGTTATCAAGGAGGTCAGATCATGTAACTGTTGTGCTGTTTAGACCGGCCAGGCTGCCCAAGATAGCAGCAATAGTCCAATCTGCCTACATATGGAGTGGTGGCCGGCCTCTCCAGACAAAATCTCAGTGCTCCTCCTCATCATCATCGCCATTTTAAAGACAACAACAACAGCCACGATCTCATCGTCCGCCCAACATGTCGAACCACAACGAGTTGAACAACAACACGGCCAAGAGGCAGAAATTTGAAAAGTTCATAAGGACAGGATGGAGTATTTCCAAACCAGAGATTCAATACATCCACGTGCACGAATGCATTGTACACATCTTGGGCGACTTTGAAGCCCACCATATAAATGAAAAGGTCTGGGCTGAGACCGACAACGGCCTGATCGCCAAGTATCAATGGGACTCCCACTGCTCCAAGACCCAGACAGCTCATGATAGGTTTTTAATCGCGACCTACTTTGGCGGGCTCGCGTCGATGAACAATCTGGGTGACCGCATAATGAAGGAAAGGATCCTAGACGCGGACAACTTCGAGTCCATTGAACAACTTCCCACCGTGCCCTTCATCGCCTTCACGCCCGTCGATTGGAGGCACAGCAAGGGCAACTGGATACGGCCTGTTGTCGCTTGGGAGGACGAGCCGGCGGTCGACGCGGTAGGACTAGACAACATCGCGATCGAGCTTGGCCCCGACTGTCCTTCCGCCTTCTATGACCCGCAGATGTGGTACCGCCTCAAGCGAATCCGTGACCAGCTTGAGTCCTGCAGCTTCTGGGACCACATCGACTACTCCGACAGAATGCTTCACACGAATCTTCGCTACAACGGCCTCGCCATCCGCATGCTCTGGTACCTGATCGCTCACCTCTTTGATCTCCAGGACAGTGAAAATTTTACCGAAGACATGATCATGGACATGGCTGAGGAAGTTGCCAACGGTCTGCAGGATGATCTCAATTACGCCATCGACGACACCCGCGGCCCTAGCTTCAAGGTCCCTACCGACAACGGTGAGCTTATCAAGCATATCGACCGCATCCGCAAAGCTGTCCTCGAACAGCAAGACGTATACCGCTGGCGGCGCAACGGCCTCGGCACACTTGCCACCGCTTTCGCCCTGAGTATCAATCGTCCAGGCCCCCCTGTTATCGACGTGCCAAGAGAGGAGCCTCACAGCGCTGGTTTTGGACAGCCTGGTGCCAGCCACAGCGTCAAAGAAGTGGCCGGGGACTACATGGTCGAATAGACTGCACCACACAGTCATGTTCCTTTCGCACAACACAAGACCTAGCTCGTTCGAAAACAGTTTGCCTTCTCGAGAGAGGCTTAACACAAGTGTCAAGTATCAGCATACACTTCAAAGGTCTCCTAACTTATCTCATCGCTACTGCGGCCGATTAAGCTAGAGACTAGGAAGGGGATTGAAGCCTTCTTCTTACTGCTTGCTTTGTAGTTTTTCTTAGTTCTTTAGCTTAGTATTCAATATGTATCACATATCCAAGTAAAAATCCCCTACCATCCTTGCAAAACCACCTTTTCGTGTCTTGAGAAATAACTTCTGCAAGTTAAGTAGAACCGCAAAAATAGATACTAGCTGATATCAGCGGGTGGACACGCCGCACCAAGAGTAGAAACCCCATATTAGTGGGTGTAGCATTGGGTATAAAAACGGCTTTTGATGTTCAAGCGGGCAGAACTTTCTGAATCACAGCCCGCTTCGAGATAAATAAGCATTCGTTCTCACGTATGAAGCACAGGGGATGACCATACAACTGGTACTATAAGCCCACGTTGTCTCCTCCATGGACTTGACACTAAGAACCGGGTTGTGTCACGGAGATATATACGATTAGAATCTTTGTAAGAGATCCTGATGTTTTTTTTGGAATGGCATAATTGAAGAAGAAAAGATACGCCGCGTCATGGGCATTAATTCATGCATATTATGTAATTAAGGGTATAAAACTGGGTTATAGGGTGCCCTTAGAAATCAGCAATCATCGACAAAGCCACTTGGCTCTTGTCGGCTCTCCTCCCACCGAGATCCCTTACCCATCATCAAGCTGTTTTTGTAGCTTCCAAACTGTCAATCACTCGATCGACTATTCCTCCGGCCATATTACTATTACACACCCACGCATATCCTTGCACGACTATATCCGCAGACCCGAGTCGTCCTGCTTGAACGGGTCGCCTGAGGGGTAGTAGTTGTTCCAGGCATCACATGTCTGCTTGAATGCCCTCTTATCAGAGCAGGCCACCTGCGATCCAAAAGTGTCGGGGTCCTCGAGGAAGGTGACACCCAGGCCACCCGAGACGTGCCATGCAATGTGGCAGTGCATCAACCAGACACCCGGGTTGTCGATCCGGAATGCAATCAGCAGCCAGCCTTTCGCCGGCAGCATAGCAACGTCACGGCGCATCGGGTTGTCCCCGTTGAGGGTCGCCGAAGAGGCATCAAAGGCCGCCGGGCTGGCATCGCTCGGGTCAGAGCGACCAAGCACAACAAAGTCGTGTCCCTGTAGATCGGTTAGAAAGCCATTCACCAGATCGAAAGGAGATGAATAAAGCCAGTACTAACGTGAAGGTGAATCGGGTGTGCCAAGGCAAATGTGGGATCGTTCTCGATTAGCCAGAAAGCCCATTCGGCGCTCGAGGCCTTCGGCACGCGGATGATGTTATCGCTTTGTGGGTAGCTAGTGTTGAACTTCATGACATAGTCGACAACAGGAACATTCCAGTCGATATTGATCTGTGTGCCGTTCACTTTCCAAGTCAAGAGTGCCGGTCCTGTCGAGTCCACGACCAGATTGATGGGCAACGTATTCGCCGCCGCTTCTTGGAAGTCTGACACCGGAATAGTACGTGAGACCTTGGGCTTGAGGTCGCTGATATCGCCACAGTTCGGCACGGAGATGGATGCGCCAGGGTCAGTCGGCACGCTGCCCGTGGCACCTGAGTAGTGGAAGATAGCCGCCGGTGCCGTGTTTATAGAACTGCCGCAGCCACCATCAGCCGAAAAGGTCGCGTTGAACCAGTAGTTGTCCACGTCCTGGTCAGCCGTGATGATGATGTCGTAGCGCTGGCCGGGGCCCATGAAGAGCTGTGTGACCGTCGTAGGCTCTACAGGCACCAGGTCGGACGAGATGATTGTGAAGTTGTGGCTGGCCAGGGAGAGAGCAAAATGGTTCTCCACCGATGGGTTGACGAGACGGAGCCGATGGCTTTTGCCATGGGTCAGCGTCACCTTGGCGTAGCTTCCTTGGCCCGACTTGGTTGGGTGCACGTTCGTTCCGTTAAACAGTAGATTGTCGCTGGGCGGCGGGCCATGATTCTTGGTGTATTCAACCAAGTTGTCAGCCGTGTCATAGTAGTAGTCACCGACGGGGAAAGTTCCCAGATCGATGTCGTAGTTAGCCGATGCAGGTCCGTTAATGTACAAGGTGCCAAAAACGCCATTGCCATACTGAGCAGAGAAGTGCGAGTGGTACCAGGTGGTGCCGTACTGCTCTGCCAGAAATGTATAGGTCCTGGAGCTACCAGGTGCGATGGGGCACTCAGTCACGCCGTTGACACCATCTTGCAAGTTGTTGTTCAGCTGACGGATGCCATGCCAGTGCATGCTCGTACTGACAAGGGTCAGAACATACGTCCTCCAGCAGATGTCTTCAGAGGGCCTAGACTTACCCGTTGGAATCAAGCTTGTTGGTGACAGTCACAGAGATTGTGTCACCCCAGTCAGCAGTAATAACGGGACCGGGAAATTGGCCTGCACTTGAGTGTCAGAAGGAGAACGAGGCAGTGCCTGGAAAGCGGGTGTGCAAATGGACCTTACCGTTGATGAGCATGACAAGTGACTTGACCTGGCCATCAGGGCCGGTCCAGTCAGTTTCTTGAGTGATTGTGAGGTCATACTGGAGCAGTCAGCACGGGGCCCATTCAAAATGCTGTGGGCTAGACTAGAACTCACTGTCCGAGTCACACCCGTGATCGGGGTGGAGGTCATATAGTCCGTGTTGATATCGAAACCAGCCGTCCAGCATGATCGGAGCGATGCCGTGTTGCACGACGATGCGCGTGCGGAGTTGACTGCGAGCTCCGGAACCGCAAGAACAGTGAGGGACGAGGCCGACAGCAGGCTGGACACTGCAGCCAGAGCCGAAAAGAAGCGCATGACGACAACTTCTTAAGGCGGATCAATCGTGGCAAAGTAGGCAGGAAGAAAGAAAAGCCAAGCGAGGGTAAGAGCCGCGGAGAACAAAAGACAAAAGGCCGGTCGAGTCGGGCCCCAATGAAGGATGACGATGGCTGGAGGAGAGAAGATCACTTGATGAAGAATAGAGTGGTCGAGTGGATGTTGGGATGGGAAGAGGACGATCTTATATACAGATAGTTAGAGCAGCTGTCGGAGTGTCCATAGATGCGGCATAGGGTTTTCCTCTGTATGCTCCACTTGCCCAAGGATGGGTGTATCTGACAGCATGGCCATCCTGACAAGGGCTGTGGAGGCTGTGGAGGCTATGGGTGACTTGCACCGGCTTGGGATGTCCGTATCTCAGACAAATCTTAGCAAGGTACGAGCGCAGACGGGCTCGGAGGACAGACCGACCGCCTTGATCCTTCCGACGGCAGGCTTCTACCTCGAATCCTTCACTTCCAGATTCGTCAATTTCAAAGGGGCACGTGGAACATGGAAACAATAACACGCCTGCGGGTAGGAAATATTGACTAGATGCGGTGGGGTGGAGCAGGAGTAGGCAACAGAACGCCACATTGTAGATATCGGGGTGAGGCGAGAGAGAACGAAGCGCTTCCAAAGGTACAGGGTAGGAGAAAAACGTATGGTGCCAATGCAGGTCAGCCTCAAGCTCGACAGGGGCATGCTCGGTTGTTAATTGCTGGCGGTGGACACGTCGGGCATCGTCATAGTAAGATACCTTTCCAGAGTTAGCGCGGCCGTTTTAAGAAGGCAACGACAGTAGGCCTCAGCTATAGTGCCAACAAGACATTATTGACCAGGGAGGAAAGATAGGTAGCGCGAGGTTGTGGGGTAAAGTGGCGTATGCAGACATCTCTTATTACGTCTGTATCGTGCGAGATATGAGGACTTTGGGATGAAACCAGCCGGATCTGTATGAGCTTGTGCAGGAAGAGGATGGCATCCGGACGCCGTGTGACACGACTTCGGTACACTGAATTACTCTGAATTGCGCACCGGATGATAGGATGAAGCTAGGGGGTGGATAGAAGTGAACGGTTATACTACGGAGTATGTAAGATGTGTGAGCGGCAACAGGAAGGCTTGCAGGGCAATGCATGCACTACATGTTTGGGCAAAAACCTTGGATATGGGATGGCCAAGGTTTGAGAATAGCTGAACACGGGTGGAGAAAAGGGTGCGGTGTATTTCGACATGGTGAGAGGCCGGATAGAGAGACGGGCGGACGTAGTTGATCCTCCTTCTGGCGTCTTTACTTCGGCACTCTTTTGCTCTTCCTGTTTTTTTCGGCAGTGTCTATTTTCATCCCCCCCCTCTTTTTTTATGTGTTCGGTTAGAGCGGTCACGGACCGCGCTACCAAACAAGTGGTTCTCTCGCTCTCTTTCCCCGAAAAAGAAACGAGAAGCGGACTGGTGCCCAAATAAGAACCTCATACTGCATAGTACTGGGGCCGATTGGCGCCTCGTCATCATAGGGCAGGATCCCTGCTGCAGCATGGAGGTCGTATAAGGCAGACAGGGTGAGCATAGAGAGTACACAGCCAGAGAAGGTGAGACTGACATACGACTAGGAGCTTGGCATGGCCAACAGGAAGCAGGAGAAAACAAACACGAACCGTCCAAAGAATTGCGGTGACAGCTGACAAGCTGCGTGCAGACGCCACAGTGGATTGCAAAAATAGAACGGTGCGGAAATGAGCCGTACTCGCAAATGGACGTTGGCAGCCGGTTTCAATCCATCTGCCGTGTCCGACTTTTGACGTTGCGTCCCGCCGTCGTATCCGTTCCATGGATAGGCTGGTAGCCCGTAGCTTGGGAGCTCTCAAACCTCTCGGCGGTAGGCGCGTCCCAAAAGGGGAAGATAAGTCGAGTCAGAAGGCTCGCCAGAGATGTCAGTAGTCGCCAGCAGGTGCCAGCATGCTGCATGCTGCATTCTGCAAGGCTGGTAGAGAAGGCGTTTGTTCAGCTTGTCTTGGTAGTAGCCAGATGGGCCCATAGTCAGGCGACGGCGACATGCATGTTCACGGCCTAGTACAGAATAGCGGGACAGCGAGGCAGATAATATTGGATGATGCGCCAGGAGCCGATGAGCTGCAGAAAGCGACGCCAAGCCTGCGTTCTGGCCCGGAGAAGTAAGATGCAGCGCCAACTCGCAGACGATCAAAGAGTCATAGCTCGGGCTGCTGGAATCAGTTCGGAGTGGCTGAAGCTACTGGGCATTCGCGTGATAGGTCGGATTGCGTGAGGCCGAGAAGTCGAGATAGGTAAGATACATAGTGGTGTTAGTAGATCCTGAGTAGTTGGGTCTGTCAGGATGGGCCAGGCGGAATGGGCAATGAAAGAAATGGTGCCAGCACACACTTCCTACGTATCTTACAACGTACTCGTACATGTGGCCCTGTATCATGTACCGACCAGAAGGGCATGGTGGCGAGAGACAAATTGGAAAGGAAGCCGCTGATCCGGGCAGACCGCCGATTGGCTAGCTGGAGTGCATTGAACAGGAATGGCGCGACGTAAGCTGCAAGCTGAGCTTAGCTGAGCTAAGCCGTGCTGTGCTGGCGTCATTTCCATGATGGGGCTGGCGAGCCTGACATTGGCGGTCCTGTCCCTGTTTGTACAAGATTTCCAGCGCGCGAGGACAGTGAGAGCTAGACAGTATTATTGCTGCTTTTACTCGTAATTCAATGTCGATATTCCATCTTGTGGCCTTAGTGTGCTGAGTTGCCTGTCTCCACTACAAAAACAAGAACCTTGGGCTGGGGACACGCCGTAAAAAGAAGCACGCCCAGTCTCCGGCCAAAGTGCCCTGTGCTGCGATCTGCTTGTGCGTCATCGCCCTTGTTTCAGTGCTCCGTACGATTTCCAACTCGATGGAACATAAGGTCATGGTGATGTACAGCGTGGTGCAAAGAGGAGCGGAAGCAGGTAAGCTGGAGTGGGGAAGCAGCCAGGCCGAACAAAGCATAGTCATAGCGACACATCACTAGCGCCTTAGCGAGTAGTCGTGGGACCCCAGCAGGTCCTTAGGAAGTAAGGAGTACTCTGCACATGCTATATTTGATAGCGGCCGGCCCCAAAACGGTCTGCTTAGTCATTTTTCTCTTGTCTCAAATGGGGGTTTTTGGGGGTTTTTTTTGGCCGAATTCTCTCCTGCTTCTCCCGCTGTCGCTCCCACCCTCCTCCTGTCAGTTCAGATCGGCTAGTGCCAGTACCTCAATCTGAGACAGCGCCCCTGTCTCCCATATTCTTGTATGTACGGAGTATTATTACCAACATCTCTCGGTGCGAGCGATAGGAAAAGCGGGGAATCCATATACGGAATACCTAGGGCTGGAGGATCCCTTCTGTTCTAGCGGGCTTGGGTACGTACTTAGTACACCGGACCAATGAATGGACGACAGTTATTGCTCTTTTGCTTATTTCTTCGGCCTACCGTATTCTGCAAGAACGACAGGAGGAGCTTCTCGTATCTTCCTATGTATACATCGTAGCTATACGGAGTATGCAACAGTCTGCATGAGTGGACCGTGCACACCCACAAATGCGTATAGATTCATTGGGCCGCAGCTTACTATGAATATGTGCGTCAGCTGCGCAGCATGAAGAATCCTTCATCCGTCTCTGTCATTCGCTACTGCGAATGCTCAGCCTGGGCAGCGGGATAGGTGCAGCAGCTTCCCTCGCTTCTTTTATACTACGACGTATCTTACGTATCTTACAACCGTTCAGCCGGCCAGAATGGACCCCCCGGCAGACATCAGCCATTTTGCCTTGGTTAGGCGAATTTGCCCGGAAGACAACCTTGGCTACCCTTATTAGCAGGTAGGTTTCCACCACACAGCATTTAATTTGCCGACAGACGGTCCCAGTCTAAGTCTCTGACACATTATGGCGCTCATATCTTATCTGGAGGAACCTGCATAAGCTATTTTTGCGAGGATGCGCGAACGAGCTGTGACTGTCATGCTGTCTGGCCGGAACCACGGGGCACTCTATGATTGCCTGTGGCCGTCGCCACGGGAAAACGGCCCACTTCTTGCTCCTCTTCATGCTCCTCGCCCACCAAGTCGCCAAAATCCCTCGTGCTTCCCGAGATAGGGCACGTTTAGACTTACCACTCGTAGACTGCCATGTCTCGGCTGTCACTATTGATACCGTTTCGGGTGTCTGATGGGGATGGCCGGGTTTTATGATATCGGACTTGAGCTCGTTTTTGGCTAGCCCCTTGTCTGAGACACCAACCGCCGAACACTAGGCTTGCGGCTCCAGTTTCTGGTGTCACGATACGACTACATACGATGCGGCACCTGGATTTACTTGCAGTCTACAGCATTGGAAGTAGAAATAAGTCAGAAAGGTAAAGCCAATTAAGAATAAGCTAATCAGGTCCAAGTACGGAGTACTCCGTATAGCCAGCCAAAGAAGGTAAAGGGTGTAAGACACCAAAGTGAACAATGGGTACAGAGAGGCGGTCTGGTCCTCGGCCTTGCTGCGGTTCCACGCCAAGACAATCCTGCAAAACACATGCCGCTGATCTCATTCGCTGATCGTCCGTTGGGGAACTCCTACGATACGTACAAATAATGTCTGCTATGTAGGCGCCCAGTCATGCTTTGCGGAGACCGAAAGAAAGGGAAAACAAAAGACAGAAAAGGCGTACTGTGTGAGAGGACAGCGTTAAGGGCCCACTAAGTAAATACTATGTACAGACCGGCTGTTCTGCAGAAAATATGCACTAGTCCATGTAAGCATGCTCCGCAATACTCCGTACCTATGCAAGTCGTCCAGAATTTTTCAGCTGTACAGAGTAAACAAAAAGCTCCTATGGCATGAGGACGCAGCGTCCCTGGCAGTTACAGCAAAGACAGCCGAGAACTCCGGACCCGTTATGCCGTGTAAATACTTCGTATATGAGGATGAACAGCAACTGAGATAAGGATCAGCTTCTGCAACAGGGCTGATGCCGCACTGTCGTAGATCTTGTCCATGACACCGCCTGCCCGTCAGCTGTGGACCGACAGGCATACTCCGTAGTGGGCTTGGACATGCTTCAGCCAGCGGGGTGGACAAAGAAAATAGTCAGGGACACGAGACATCAGGAGTTGGCCCTCGTATCCCACGGCGTACATACGGCTTGGTAGTCGTAACCATTTTCAGAACATCATCCCTGTTATTGTGTCCAAACAGCAGACTTTTCGTTCGTTTTCCAGCACCCGACCGCTCCTTTTTCGCTTAGGTCCATCCCTGACACACACGTGCGCATCGTATATGCTGGTTGTATTAGCTAGGACTAAAGCATATATGGGCGATGCGCACGCGCGCGCGTGCCCCCAAAAGAAGTAACTATCACGTTCAGCTCTTTTAGTCTGTGGAGTCACATCTCCACTTCTACTGTTGGGCTAAGGCCCGTGCTTGCCTTTTTCTTTTTTTTCTTTTTTTTTTTTTGGTCCCATAAATTTCGCGAGGACGCACTACTCCGTAGTCATCCGCACAGAGTATTGGGGAATCAGAGGAACCTTATTTGCGCCGAATTAAGGGGAAGGAGGACGAGGACAAAGGGGATTAGGGACAGGACGAAAACGGCATCGTGTTCCAGAAAAGGTTACCGTCGTACGCTTCAGCATATTGGTTTCCGCCACAAAATGAACTTGCTTTCTATATTCAGATGCAAACAATATTAGTCTGCCTCTACGCCGTCTCCCCGGCTTTGCTGTGCAGCCACATAGTCGCTCCAAATCCGTGCAATGTCATTCTTGTAGATGAAGTCCTTGTCGCCGAGAAGGAAATAATTGATTTTGGCCCGTAGAGCCTCATCGAAATCTTTCGCCTCGGCCTTGGACTTCTTGATCTTGACGCCAGCGTCGTCGAGGTGCTCGTACCTGTGATGCACACCATGTCAGAGTTTGTTTACTCGCTTCGTGCCAGTCCAGTTCTTGAAACAGCAGAACAAGACTGCCGAGACTCACATTCTTGCATAATACGGAGACCGGATTGCATCGAAGATTGCCAGGGCGTCCCGGACTTGACTCGGTGACTGCTGCGTGCGCTCGAGGGCGCGTGCTAGGATCCATGCATCTTCCATGGCAAATGTTGCTCCGGAACCGAAAGCACCTGGTCGGCGCATCAGCAAGATGCTGACATCTCCAATCTTGAGAAATTCAGACAGCCTCCTTGCAAAACACTTACCTGAGAGGGGATGACTAGCATCCCCAATAAGCACTACCTTGTCCCATCCTACAATGGCATCAAGACGGGGCCCTGCAAACCCAGCAAACTCTCTCCACTGGCCTTCAGGAACGGTGCCGATGGCGTCCCTCACCCGTTTGTCAAATTTCTAACGTCCCTCTTAGTGGTAGTCGCTTGTATGGTAGCATTGCAGCCTGTCGACTTACCGTGCAGCGAGATCTAACACGCTCGTTTGTGGCTGGTATGCTCCAGACCACTGTCTGACCCTGGATCTCAGGCTCATGGTACGATCTTACGGTTATCTCAAAGTAAGGGTTGTCGGTTTCACTCTCGTCATCCACATCCGAGAAGTAGACATGGCCATCCTCACCCCACCACCAGGCCGTCGCGTGCGTGACGTCTGGGAGGTGGGCCAGGGCCGTCCGCGGCACGAGGGTGCGCCAGGCTACGTTTCCTAAGAGAGTCAGCGATGTTCTGTGCTCGTATACGAACACATATCGATTGGCACACTGTCTGCTCTTTACGTACCGGTGAAGTGGAGCTGGTGGTCGGGGAACACGGCGCGTCGCACTATCTGGGACGGATTAGTAGTGATCCATTGGCTCGTGTAAGACGGCCTTTTGTAGTGACTGCTCGATTTGTAAACGTACCGATTTAATTCCGTCTGCGCCGACGACAATGTCGGCAGTTGCCTCGGTCTCGTCCTGGAAGAGCAGACGGACCCCGCCCGTCTGCACATCCTCAATGGCCACCACCTTCTTGTTAAAGCAGATTACGTCATCTGGTACTCGTGACAGAAGAGCAGACTGAAGCCGAGTCCGTCGAGCACGGATGGCACCGCGATTGTCTGCATCGGAATGCTCGGGATGCCTTGTGATGCTCAATATGCTCCCGGTGTAAGCGTTCCTCTGGTGGGTGTCTTGTTTCGAGCCTCCCTTGACGCGGTTTCCGGCACCGAGCAGGTCGAGTACTCGCCAGGCATTTGTACTCAGGCTGATTCCTGCTCCAGCTTCTCGGGGCTCCGGGTTCTGCTCATAAAGCGTGACCGACATGAAAGGAAGCTCGGAGAGTGTTATTGCCGTGGCAAGACCACCGGGTCCACCGCCGATAATGGCAACATCTATGTTTTTCTTGGCAATCATGCTAGGAAGGTTCAGACAAATAAGTCTGAAGTATCTGAAAGAAGAGAAAAGATAAGACAAAAAGCAAGCTCATCAATTAGTAGGGTATTAGCAACCGCTATATACGGTCGGCTGCACCACGCGTGTGACGGCTGCTGAACAAATGGCCTTCGTGGCGGTAGATCATGCATGCCGTATATCTGACTATGCGTGCCGGTTTGGTAGACGCCGCAATCAGAGCACGTCATGACAGCCCCGGATGTACCATCGATGGCACTGTGCCATGCTTGTAGCTGATTGGTCGTGAACGGGAGGTCCCGGCCGAGTAGCGTCATTATTATTAAGCGAAGATGCATTCGAGCGAATAGGAGGGGACAAACTGGAAACTCTCCGACTCAATCCTACTTTTTTATCGAGGCGTATGCACTGTAGTTGAAAGTGTGGAAGGGCGGGGCTTATGAGTCGATATATCTATTGACTTATCAATGCCAGGGTCCAGTAATGATTTTCCATCGTTTAAAGATGCTATAAGATGCATAGTAGTTCCGAATAATCAAGCGCATATTTTTCGTCTTCTCGGAGTAAGTCCAGATAAGTCGATTCTTCTTCTTTTTTGGTCCATAGCATGTTAAGAAATTGTAGATTGAAGACCACATTCCGCTATCTAAACCGAATACACCATGGCCAAAGGTACCGAGATAGACGTGCAGGTATCTGTTGTCGCGTATCCGGCCAAAAAGTAGAGGACGGTCCAGGAATAAATGGCAGAGCGTTTCCTTGGTAACGTATGACAAGTCACCCTAGGTGCGGAAGTGCTTCCAAAGCTGGCCGCCGATCTTACGTCAGCAGCAGCTAAGTTCTCCGTCCGGACTGCTCTTGATATAAGAAAGAGGAGCTGGAAATGTATCATAATGAATCGAACTGCGTTCAGAACACGTGGGATGGTGGGCTAAAATTTCGGTCAAACTCCTAGTAACATCCTCCTGACTTGAACTCGCCTATAGATATGGTTGTCTTACTTGAAAGTATGTTTCTCGTGTTTTATAGACGGATGACAGATAGAAATTAACGAGCACGTAGTGTTACACGTAGATCAACTGGAGTGTGCTCAACCCCCTCGATTGTCGACTGACTTCAAGATGGGTCTTGCAGAGCACGTACTAAGCTGGTATTCTGTACATGATGGATACCGGGTGTGTGTATCATGACAGTATACTATGGTGAGCACGAAATCTGTCTTCTCTCTAGATCGCAGAGTCGGCTAGGAAAACGAAGCGTAACTTTTAACATTGTCTCAGCCCTTGCCAACATGTCTTTGGGTATATCTGATGACTGCCGTTGTTCACCTTGACGGCTAGAGCGGCCCGGAAAGCTGGCACTGGTCAGTTGTTGCCGTTTTCGGTGTTTATGCAATTGGCGCGAGATACTGACCAAGCCTAGTTGTACATTACAGACGGAATCAATCGGCTTGTAAGCTGCCCTCGACGCCTTTCTTGTTATTTCCCACAGCCCTGAAACTGCTATTGGTTGTACCTCGAAATTTTTTTCGTTTTTTTCGCTGCCATTTCTGAAAACTCGTTAGACCTTTGAGCACGCATCTTGCGGCTCGCAACACGAATCAGAATCGTATTTCTGAAACGGGCAGTTGAAGCCATCACGATATCCGGACTAGGCTGGACAGCTAGGCCGCACGGCTTGCAAGTATATTTTCATTGTAAGGAATTTGGGAGGAAAGGCACAGGCACTTTTAGGAGGACGCAGTTCTTTCATACCCGTGCGCTTTCATTTCAATATAATATACTATTGGTCGTAAACTGCTTGTGTACGGAGTGCGCCGTATAAGAACGAAAGCCAACAACCTGCACAGACGTGGATTTACTTCGCTAGTGCTCTCCGCAGTGCTGTAATACTCTGTACAGAGCATTGGTGGGGTAGAAATCCACTTACTATGTACTATCATCATGCTCTGGGGGTCTCGGGCCGCAGCACGGGCGAGTACGCCTGTTCGAATGGTGCATTGACACACCCGTTTTGCAAGTATGACGTCGACTTTGACGTGTCTAAGTCTGGCGGGACAATCGCGTATGAGTACTCTCCTTCTTGACCAATGTCAAAGATCACCAATTTCTATCTTGTAAAAAGATCTACAGGAGAAAGTCAACGGCCTGTTCGATATCTGCCAAGCTTGCATACTCCTTATCTCGGTTACTTGAGACAGATGATATAGGAAAAAAACCGAGAAAGCCGAATCATGCAATCTCGCAAGTTCTGACCAGTCGTCTTGCCAAGAGACTGCCAAGCGCATAAGAAGCACTATATACATAAAAAAGCAAAATTTAATGATAAGGATAGCACGTCCGAGATCCATCTGTCGTCGAGCCGGCCGGCAAGTCGAGAGACACTCAGACCCTTATCGCACGCAATCAATGTTTGGCTATCGACGGTCGGCCACCCCCGAGTAGAAGGGTTACATATCGTGGCAAGTAAGGAGGCTACTGGTACTTTTGACTGAGATTTTCGCATTCGATAACTGTCACAACTGATGCTTATGGCAGGGGTAGCGGTGCACTGTATGGGGTCTTCACGATGTAGCTGATGATCTGCGTGTTGTAACTAGCTAGGAGAGGGTACATGGCGCGCCTTCACTGGTGCAGAGATTTCACTGGGGCTGGTCCCCACTTTTATCCGTCTGACCAATGAGAGGCCGCGTTGCTGGCATTAGTCAGAACGATCACAGTGCGCTCCATTCTAGAGCTTCACAATAACAGCAACTGCGTGGCAAAATATCATATCCTCAACCTTTAATTTCTTGCGTAAGAGGGGTTTCTTTGAAGCTGCGCGCAGTCACTAAAAAGAGGCATTGGAGGTGTCTGATAAGAAAGGCAGACCAGACGCATCTGCAACGTTGCTATCGAAACCGGGTTCTTTAGGTCGGATCGGCTCCCGGCTCAAACTTCTTTGGGACAGTCGCGTATCGCAGGTCTGTATCTGTACATCACACGGGATTATCTCGTCTCTAGATAAGGCAAGAGACATTTGTATATAAATCACCTATGCGAGAAAGATGCATACTAGGTATAGTTGGCAGCTTCACAGGTGAATCCCTTAAATAAAGACCACATCTCTGATTATCTACAGTGCCGACACCTTAAGATGGTTGCCGCACCAGATATTGCAACTGCTGCGATTGGCGCAACCCTAATAAACGACGATGCTAGCAAGGAGAAGTCCACGGATCTTGAGAAGAGCGACGACAGCAGCGTAGCCGTGGCAGAGGTGCAGGACAATGGTAGGTAACCTGCCTGGTTCTTTGTACTCCTCTTCGTTTTGTTCGTTTGCCTCTTCATCCAATTTTTTTTGTCCATTGAGATGTTCATGCTGATACTGCTTTAGAGGTCGTTTCCGATTATCCACAGGAGGACTACAAGAGGCTGAAGCGGAAGATTGACAAGTATCTCCTCCCACTGATGTGGCTATGCTATGGCATCCAGCAGACAGACAAGACGTCGCTAGGGACACAGGCCACATTTGGCCTTCGGGCGGTAAGTAGCTGTGCAATCCTGGCAATCAGCTGTCTGTCACAGCTACTGACAGCGAGTCTCACAGGACACACACCTCAAGGGCCAGCAGTACTCGTGGCTAACAACGGCGTTTTACCTCACATACATGTGCTTTGAGTTTCCCTCCAACATACTGCTGCAGCGCTACATGATCGGCCGCACGCTGTCCGTGTATATGATATGTTGGGGTGTCATCGTCCTTTGCATAGGCTTTTGCAAGAACTTCACTCAGCTGGTCACGCTGCGTGCCTTGCAGGGCGTATTCGAGGCAAGCCATCCTCGGCCGTTCTTGGTCTTTCTTGTGCGCCGTGCATTGCGCTGACAGACAGTCAGTGCTGCATCAGCCCGGGCTTCATCCTCGTAATTGGCTCCTGGTACACGACACGTGAGCATGCGTCGCGCTCGCTCGTCTTCCAGAGCGTCAATGCCGGGTTCGGTATCATTGCTAGCCTGATTCTGTACGGCATCGGCTCGGTGCAGTACCATCGGCCTGACTTTGAGGCGTGGCGGTATATGTCTTATGTACGTGCCCGCCCTGCTCTGATATCCGAAGCATGTCTGACCAGAGTGCAAATTTCTCGGATCTTTGACAATTCTCGTCGGTACTCTCTGCCTCTTCGTCTTGGGAACGCCTTCTGAGGTGCGCTGACTGTCACCAGAGGAGAAAAAGATGGCCAATGTGCGCATCCGGAGCAACAACACGGACAATGACAAGACGGGGATCAAGAAATGGAGTTGGGAGCAAGTGCGCGAGTGCTTGCTAGACCCCTGCGTAAGTGCTCTTCCCATCCATGACAGGGATGCGGCTGCTGGATGTCTTTTAACAATTGATGCTTGAGCCAGTTCTGGTTTTCTGGCATCAATGCCTTTCTCAGTTCCGTTCCCAATGGCGGGCTGACAACATTTGGCGGTATCATCACGACCTCATTCGGCTTTAGTACGTTATTTACTTCGGTTTAGCTTTCTCTTCCGTGCACGTGCTTCGTCTTTCTAACGTCCAGCAGCCAACCTTCAGGTCATTCTTCTCGATATCCCTCGCAGCGTGTTTAGCGTTTGTTACTTTATTGTCATCGGCCTCGCTACGAGCCGGTGGAAGGACCTGCGCATGTAAGTAAAGGACAAGCGAGTCTCATTCTGCCTGGTTGGATGTACCTAACTATACACCCAAGGTACTTTATGGCGTTTTCCGTCATCCCTCCTTTTGTCGGCTTCCTCGTGATGTCTCAGCTGCCCGACGAGAAGAGTTACAGATGGTCTAGATGGGGCGGGTAAGGCTGCATCCTCCGTCGTTCAGTTGTATCGTAACGTAACTGACAGATCATTTGTGAAGCTACTTCATGTCGGTCCCTTTTGTGATCGCCCTGTTTCTGTCCTGGACCCTCATTTCGTCCAACGTGGCCGGCCGGACCAAGCGCACTCTGACCTCGTCCTTCACCTTCGTCGGCTACTGCGTCGGCAACATGGTTGGTTCGCAGATCTTCAAGTCATCTGATGCTGTATGTTGCACGATTAACCCGCCATGTAATTACCCGTACGACTCTTGCTGACTTCTGAAGCCCGCATATACCCCAGGGATTATCGGATGCACGGTCTGCTTCGGGCTTCAGTTTCTCCTCATTGTCACCTGGAGAATTGTGCTTGTGATGCGCAATCGACGCCGGGATAAGAATATACTGGAGCTGGGAATATCGGCAGAGGAGAGAATCGAGCGTGGCAAAGTGCTCGGCGAGCAGGACATTACCGACTTCAAGAGCCCCTTCGTGAGTGATCCCGGTACCCAGACCGCACGAAGATACGATTGCTCACAACCTTTCAGTTTCGCTACACGCTGTAACTGCATCGGCAAGCTTAGACAAAAAAAAAACTATGGCCCACCAACAACCTCGACTATTGGATAGGGATAATAAAAATAAGATGGTTACATGCTGTATGAAGTACTCCATACTGTAACGCTACGTACAAAATACCTCTCTTACTTGCTAAAGCTGTACTTTTGACTTGTATCTGTACACTGTCGCTACATTGCAGATGTCCGCAAGCTTCGGTTGTACTCCGCAATTATCGACGAATCAGAACCTGTGCAAAAACGGTTTAAATCTGCCACATTGATTTTATCTTCAACGACACAGGGTATGTAAGCTTTAAAGTTGGATAAGCGCAACCTAAAACCTCTCCATTTTGCACCCCAGATAATTAAGTATACGGACGAGAGTCCGATGTCTAAACGCGTCCATCCAATAATCGTACTCGTACATAAGCTCGTAAACAATGGCTCGCAAACAGACGCTTTACATGGTCAGCAGCATGCTCAGGAAGCCCGTGAGGGCGACGACGGCACCGAGCATGGGCAGGTCCCGCATGGCAGCGCTAGCGGTTGTTGAAGCCGAGTCAGAGGCAGATGCGCTGCCCGAGGTAGCGGTGCCTGTGTGGGGCTTGACGGTGGCTGTAGCCGTTAAGGTGGTCTTGCCTGCTGTGGCAGTCTTGCCTGTTGCGGCAGTCTTGGTGGCATCGCCAGCGGCAGAGGTCACGTCACCTGCGCCGGAGGTGGCGTGGCTGGCGATGTTGGTAGCGACAGAAGCAGCACCGGACGTGCCAGCACCAAAGATAGACGTGGCATTACCGGCGGCGTGAGTCGCGACAGAAGCAGCACCAGATGTGACGTCGCCGAAGGCAGACGTGGCATGACTAGCGACATCAGTCGCGACGGAAGCAGCACCAGATGTGACATCGCCAACGGCAGACGTGGCGTGGCTAGCGACATCGGTCGCGACGGAAGCGGCACCAGATGTGACATCGCCAAAGGCAGACGTGGCGTGGCTGGCGACATTTGTCGCAACAGAAGCAGCACCGGACGTGACGTCGCCAAGGGCGGATGTGGCATGGGTTGCGATATCCGTCCCGACAGAGGCAGCTTCAGACGTCACATCGCCGAAGGCAGAGGTGGCGTGGCTCGCAATGTTGGTCGCGACCGAGACGGCAGCAGATGTAGCATCGCCCAACACAGATGTGATGCCGTTGCCAATGTCGCCTGCCACGGATGTGACGGGGTTGACATTGTCGGCCGCGGTCGCCAAAGTGGCGGCACCGACGGAGAGGAGGAGGATGGCGTTCTTTGGTGCGAGCATTTTTGCGGTTGTGATTTGTGATAGGTTAGGCGTTGTTGTGAGGTTGTTGGAAGTGTCGAGTGATGTTGGTTTGTCTTTTCGGAGATGGTTTTGACTCTGGGAAACTGTGCCTGATCTGATGGACTGATCTGATTGCCTGTCACAAAAGTGAAGAAGAAGCAGTCTTCATATAGTGTTGCGTACGAGTACTCCGGATTGTGGGTTGCCTCTGTTCGCTCTTTTCGCTTCTTTCGCCACTTCGTATAACCCAAACAACCAAGCCTACCCCAAAATAAAATGAGGAAGGGGCTCAGATGGCCCAGATGGCGTGGCAGCTGGGCCGGAAGGCAGGACCCGCCTGGTGGGGACGCTTTCCAGCCACCAGAGGCGCAGCATTGCACCATACATTTTCGCCATTACGGAGTATTCCGTACGGAAACGTCGGCTTAGAGAGGCTAGCCATGGCACAGTGGAAATTACTCAGCCAACACGAACGTGGCATGACAGCCATTGTTTGAAGCTCCTCCATTTGACGCTGAGATCGGGTATAGCGGTTCATGTAAGATACAAGTACAGAGCCAAGGGTTTTGTTGACGATGTGTGCCTGAATACGAACGAGTGTAACCTACGAGTGGTGGTCGTCAATGCTGCAGCAGTCTGTGCGATTCGCATAGTCGTCACGTGATTCCAAGGCAACCAGAACAACGGCGTCACCTGTCCAGAAACGGGCAACGTTTGTGTCGGCACCGACGTTGCATCGCACAGGTCGGTGTCCGGACAACCGATTCGTATCGAAAGCGACTGCGAGGCAGCGGTGAGCCACCCCTCCGGTCACAAAAGCCTGCGATTACTTGTAAAAGACCTTCCACAGTATCTTGCGAAAAGGCGAAATGATACTCCTGAAGATCCGTCATCATGGCGCTGTACGGGGCCATGCACTCACAGGGTTCGGCTTAGTCGGTGAGTACCTCGTACGGAGGTAACAACGAAGAAGAGTGTCACTCACCGCTTACACCTAATTACCGAGCCCATGTCACAAAACCAAACAAAGCCGTAAGGTCAAACAAAGCACTCGTACTATGTAAATAACCGTATTCTTTCCCTGCAGGGTTCCCCTTACGCTATTACAAGCTACTGTGGAGTATGGAGTAATCAAAGAGAAAAAGTCAGAATGAAAAGAAGAGGAAGCATCTTACTTTCTGTTCCTTCAATGTCTTGTCGAAAACAACACGAGCACTGTGGTCTAACTTGTACTCAAAACTGTCACTGACGAAATATATGGTAGTGGAAGATACTTTCCCCCACCATTTTAGGTACTCTCCACATCGAACTACAAGTATACTATGTACGACTAACTCCGTACAAGTACGGAGTACGGAGCATTGACTACAGGATGTCACTCATGTCTAAGCCGCCACCTGTTCCCACTTCTATTCAGGAACAAGAAGATTGGCCTCAAATCAAGCACTCGGGAGCCAGTCCTGCAGCAGATAAGAACCATATGCAAGATGGTGGGAGTAGCCCTACGACTGGCCAGTGGGGCTCAAGCTTTAGGGCCTTCCAGAAGTAGAGAAATATGCCGAGGCAGTTTCGGACTGCGTATCAGCCCAGGCAGAATGGCGAGGACTTCGCAAAGCAAGCATTGGGCCAGCATACGGAGAGAAATGGATGATTGCGACTGTATGAAACGTCCAGCAGTTTTAACCGTGAGTATAGCCAATTCTCCCTATACACCTAAAGGGAGCATGACTTGGACAGGGACGAAGTCATCGGCTACGGCAGTGCGGTGGCTCTTTTCGACGCTGTCTTTCTTGATAGACGAAGAGGTCGATAGACGATTCGAGGTCGATCGGGTCGTCGGCAGCACGGGAGCAGACTTGCGGAACTGGGAGGTGCCGAGGATGCTTCTCGGAAGCTGCACGATGTGCTCGGTCGGACTGGCCACGCTGCCGGAGCCCCTGTTCTAGAGATTGTCGGCGCCGGACTGGACTGGTCACGTGCCATGGCGAGATACGAAGTGCACGTGACAGTGCGTCATCGATACTCGTTCTTGCACAACGGTGGCAGCACCAACGGTCTACGAGTATACCAGCAACGGGCCTGGCCGTCCCACAATGTCGAGAAAGTTGGCATTTGACTGTTGGGCTCTCATGACGTATGAGTCACAACAGAACAGGTTTTGGCAAGTCGGCCGAAGGTGCCGCCGGAATCGCGGCGATGACAACTCACATATCCGCATTCGGCAATCTCCGAGCAGCTGACACACTCCGGCTGCATTCCGACCACCAATGGCAGCACGCCCAACTGCCATCGGCTATCCACGCACGGGTGGGGTTATCTATGCTCCGTCTGGCCTCTCTTGTCGGGTTGCAACCCGGTCCTAGTTCGTTTCCCGCTCTATCGCCAGTTCTCGCGGTCTGATGAAAAGGAAGCAACGGAAAACAGAAAGCGGCAGAGCGGAAAGCGGACACGATGGGCGCGAACCAGTCCAAGCCGTCGACCGAGAGCGCCTTGAGTGAGAAGATGTCGATCGAGTACCAGTGCACGATGGAGTCCAGCAGCCAGGACGAAGGCCGCGAGGCCGGTTATGTGTTTGTGGACCACCGGACCAGCGGCAGCACGCGCAAGGCCGAAGGGCTGTCACTGTCGCAGGTGTCGGGCTGGCAGAGCGAGGTGCTGGCGAGTGCAAAGAACCGGTGTGTATGAGACGATGCCGGTAGCTGGTGATGGAGCGATGAGACGAATGGCTGACCGTCCTGTTGGCAGACTCGCACTGACGGCACTGAGCGCGGCCGAGCCGAAAAAGGTGCTGCTGACACGCGAGGCCGCCATGGCGGACCAGCACGTCTTCAGCCTGCAGATCCCGTTCGAGGGCGGCCCGGTGACGAATCAGGGCAGCAGCGGGCGGTGCTGGCTGTTCGCGGCGACCAACGTGTTCCGGGTGGCGCTGATGCAAAAGTACGAGCTCGCCGGCTTCGAGCTCTCGCAGGCGTACCTCTTCTTCTGGGACAAGTTGGAGAAGAGCAACTGGTTCCTGGAGCAGGTGCTCGACACGGCGACGCTCGACCTCGACGGTCGCGTGGTCCAGACCCTGCTGGCCGCGCCCGTGTCAGACGGTGGCCAGTGGGACATGGTGCGCAACCTGGTAGCCAAGTACGGAATCGTGCCGCAAGCCCTGTATCCCGACAGCTTCAGCGCGGCCGCGTCTCAGACGCTTAACCAGGTCGTGGCTACGCGGCTGCGGGCAGGCGCGCTGGAGCTGCGGCAGCTAGCACGTGACTCGCAGATATCTTTGTCAGCATATTCGTCTGCCTCACCATCGGCATCATCAGCCCTCGCCGCGGCCAAGGACCGGATCCTGCGCGACATCCACACGGTACTGACGCTGACGCTGGGCCCGCCGCCGGCGGCCACGGCCGAGTTTACGTGGTCGTTTGTGGACCGGCGAGGAAGGGCGCGTCGCGTGCGCGCGTCGCCGCTCGCGTTTGCCGCCGACATCTACAGCAGCTCGACGGGGCCGCTGCGCATCTCCTCGGCGGCGATCGACCGCATGGTGTCGCTCGTGCACGACCCGCGCCACCCGCCGCTGTCGCTGCTGACGGTCGACCGGCTCGGCAACGTGGTCGGACCTGGGGCCCGTGGCATCACGTACGTCAACGTCTCCATGTCGACCCTCAAGGCTGGCTGCATCGCGATGCTGCGCGCTGGGCTGCCCGTCTTCTTTGGCTGTGACGTCGGCAAGTTCAGCGACCGCGATGCTGGCCTCCTCGACCTCGCCCTCTACGACTACCAGCTCGGGCTCGGGCTCGACCTCCTCGCCGCCGACAAGGCCGCACGGCTCCGGTCCGGTGAGAGCGCCATGACCCATGCCATGGTCCTCACGGCCGTCCACATCGACCCTGAAAGTCATCAGCCGGTCCGGTGGCGCGTCCAGAACAGCTGGGGCGAGGCCCCCGGCGCCCGCGGCTGGTTTCTTATGACCGACGCTTGGATGGACGAGTTCGTCTACCAGGCCGTCGTCGATCCTCGCTTCCTTCCTCGCGACGTCACCGACGTCCTCAAGAAGGATCCGATCGTGCTGCCGCTGTGGGACCCCATGGGTGCTTTGGCGTAGTGGTACGCAGGATGTTGTGCTGGCTGGAGTACGGGTTGGCGAGGCGTGAGATTGATTTAGATGACACTGGTAACTCAGATGGGTCTTTGGTTATGCGAGGTATTATCTTTGGGATTTGGCAGCGGCTTTAGTGTTTCTTTGGTTGTGGTTCTTTTGCTTTTGGTTCGTTGGAAGTCTGATTCTTCCGCTCTATTCAACATCGCTTATGCAAACAACTCACAACCCCATCACCTCGACTCGTACAGCTCTTTGAAAGCACCACCCTCTCGCTGCAGCAGCTCAGCCGGTGTCCCCAGCTCGACCAGTTCGCCGTCCCACATCACAGCCACGCGGTCAAAGTCCAGGATCGTGTCCAGCCGATGGGCCACGGCCAACACTGTGCAGCCGACAAACTCGCTCCTGATCACAGCCTGCATCCGCGCATCCGCCTCAACGTCCACGCTGCTGCTTGCCTCGTCCAGGACAATCACCCGCCCGCATCCGCCGTCATCATCGCTGCCGTTGTGGTCACTCCCATCTCTCGTCCTCGGCCGTGCCCTCAGCAGTGCTCGCGCCAGACAGAAGAGCTGCCTCTGCCCGTGTGAGAGTGATCCCGCAGCGTCTGCATCCAGCAGAGCGTCCAGCCCGCCGCTCTCGGCCATAACCGTCTCCCACAGGCCCACCCGCTGCAAGGCGTCCATGACTACCGCGTCGTCATGCCGCGTCCATGGATCCGCATTCTCACGCACCGTCGCCCGCGGTAGGAAAAACGGATCCTGCGGTATCACATTCAGCCGGCTGCGGACATCGTTGCGTCGCGCCCGCGAAATATCCACGCCATCGATGATGATGCTGCCGATGCGTCCGTCTTGTCCTGGCACGATCTCGAGCATGCGGAAGAGCGTAACCAGCAACGAGCTCTTTCCGCTGCCGCTGCGCCCGCAGATACCCACCTTCTCCCCTGGCCTGATGGAGAGGCTGACGCTGCGAACGACCAGCTTGCCGTTCTCCGTGTACGAAGCAGACACGTTCCGGAACTCAATCGCTCCTCGGGAGGGCCACAACTCGTCACCCGTCCCCTCGGGCAGTGGCTGGTCCTCGTCCGGCCGGTTCTCGTCTGCCGTGGTGGTCGTAAAGGAGCGCACGCGAGCAACAGCTCCCAGGGACGTCTCGAGCACTGTCCAGTCGCGGATGATCATGGTGAGTGACTCGCTGAAGGTCAACACATTGAGAATGGCCAGGCCGACGAAGCCGGCACCCACTTCTTCACGCAGCTTGACCACTAGCACCATCAGCACGACGGCCAGTCCAGCCACGAGCAGATCGAGCACCAGCTTGAGCCAACGCTGCAGGCAGAATAGCAGATAAAACGGCCGCTGTGAGGCGTCCAGCAGCGCCATGCCACGGCTCTCAAATGCGTCGGTCCAGCCAAAGGCCCGCAGCGAGACCAGGCCCGAGAGCGTCTCGAGAAAGTGCCCGAAGAGCGGGCTCTTGGCCTCGAGGTCGAGCAGTCGCATCTGTCGTGATGTTCGCAGGTAGTAACGCTGCAGCACCCATGCCACCAGCGCTACCACCGGCATCACCGCCGCAAAGTAGCGTGCCGAGATGCACATCAGCAATGCCGACATGGCACCGCTGAACAGCGCCACCGTGAAGTTGATCATCGAGTAGGCCAGATCGTTGTCCAGCAGCGTCATGTCCTGGCTAAACCGGTTGGTCGTCGTGCCCGTGTCGACAGCACTGAAAAAGGCCAGTGGCGCCCGCATCACCGTTCGCAGCAGCCGCTGATGCAGCACTGCCGCACTCCGAGGCGCAAAGTAGAGCACGTAGTGCCCTAATCCACTTATCAGACCGCATGTAGTGAAAACCGCTGTCAACCCCAGCATGCCCAGATAGAATCCGTCCACCCGGCTGCCATCCCGCTTGGCTGCGTTCGTCCAGAAGTAGACCACGAACTCGGCCAGCTTAGAGGCCACTCCAAAGGCGAGAAAGCAGCCAATCCACAGCGCCGTCGACGACCAGTGCACCGTGCCAAAGAAGTACATGTACAGTGAGAAATCGCCTGTGCTTCTGTGGTCGGACTCATCGAGCATGTGGCCTCCTTCGGACTCCTCTGCCATCACGATACCCGGCGCTGCCTGCTTGTCTGTTCTGTTCTGGTCGGCCCTAACCTTCCCATCCGTCTCCTCGCCCTCCTGTCCCCTCTGTCGCGCTTTCAGCGAAGCCACATATCCACCCGCTTTCTCCAGCTGTCCCAGCGTACCTTGCTCGGCAATGGTCCCGTCGGGAGCCATGGCTATCACGTGGTCTGCGTAGGCCAGTCGATGCACAGCATGCGTGACCAAGAGCACTGTTGTCATTGTCTTGGTGGCTCCCGGCTGGCGGTTCCGGAAGAGGCCGCCCTGTCGCGAAAAGAGCCGGGCAAAGATGTGCTCCTCCGTGTCAGCGTCGAGCCCGGAGAAGACGTCGTCCAGCACGACCACGGACTTGCGAGCGTATACTGCCCGAGCTAAAGCCAGTCGCTGCTTCTGGCCGCCCGAGAGCGAGATTCCCGAGCTGCCAACTTTGGTGTGATGTCCATGAGGCAGAGCGGCCACGTCTTCGTCCAGCCCACAAGCCGAGACAACCTCACGATACCAGGCATCATCGTAGACTGACATTCCCAGCACGTTGTCCCGGAAAGTCGTGTTGCGGATCCACGCCGTCTGGTCCACGTAGGCCACCTCGGGACAGGCTGTGTACAGGAAGCCCTGTGTCGACGGCGTCTCGCCCAGGATGCCCTTGAGCAGCGTGCTCTTGCCGCAACCGACTGGGCCGATGACGATGCAAATCTCGCCGCGGGCGATGGTAAAGTTGACGTCGCGTACCACCGGCACCGACTGTGTCCACGAGAAGCTCACATCCTGTGCGACCATCACGGCGTCGGTCGAAGGCACCGAGGCCAGTTCGATGCTGTCTGTCGACGTCACTGTCGATGTCGACTGGCCGTTGCTCCCAAGCGGCAGCCGGTGGTCCCTTCGGGCGTCAGAGGCGAGGAAGGTCTGGATGCGGCCGAGCGAGGCCAGTGCAGCAATCACCATCGGGATCACAGCGATCAGGCCGTTGACCGGTGTCGATAGCAGTGAGATAAGGCTCAGCGCCGTATATGCCCTCCCGGCCTTCAGCACGCTGTCGCCGCTGGCGTCGCCATGGTGTGCGGCAATAACAAACACGGCAAAGGTCATGAACGGCCCGAGCATGTCGAGGATGTTGGCCAAGAAGACACGCACGGTGATCAGCTTCCGAAACATCGTTGAAGCGTCCATCTCGGCTACACGAAGTGTCTGCACATCCCGTTCCATTCGGCCGGAGAAGCCGAGCATCTTGACCGACTTCATGGCCCCCAGCATTCTGGCTGTCACGTCCACGCGCGTTTGGATACCCTCCATCCACATCTCCTGTGCCCTGCCCAGATGCCGTGCCAGTGCCATGATGGCCACCCAGGAGAACGTCGCAAGCACGGCCGGTGCCACCATGGCCACGCCCAGCTGTCGGTGCAGCAGCACCAGCGCAATGGCAATCTCAACCGGCACCGCCCAGAGCTCGTGCACCTGCTGCAGGCCGGTGCAAACGGCTGCCGTGTCGCTGGACATGAGTGTCACTGCCACTGACTCGTCCAGTGCTGTCACGCTCAGGTCCACCGTCTTGCCGTAGATCAGCCCTATGAGACTGCCCCGAACGCTCGTCGTAAACCGGTATGTCAGGTGGGAGTACCACCCGTTGCTCACCGCCAGGCCGACCATCACCAGGAAGAAGGCCCCTGTTAGCCCCCAACCCACGCTCTCTGGCTGCGACAAGTCGCTCGCGTAGGAAACCGTCCGCGACAGCAAAAGTGGTTGTGCATAGCGAAAGCCTATCTGTAGTAGCCGCGGGATGCAGCAGGATGCCAGCGCCTGTATGTTGGCCCGCAGCAGCGCCCAGAACAGTGCTCGTGGCTTTCGGCCACCATCTGGTACCGAAGTCACAGAGGACCATGTCCGCTTCATTTGTCGCTGCAGAACCAGAGCCTTCATTTCTCTGTCGATCGGATACAGATCGGCCTCTTGCAGCGTGCTTCGAAAGCCCCGCCCCTCAGCAGCCGATTCAGCCACCAGAACATCGACCGGCTGTAGATCCCACTCGTCTCCTCCGGTGACAGCCCGCGATACGGCTCCAGCAGCCGTCCCCTCTTCTCCACGGCTTCTGCCAGCAGCGCCAACAGCTTGACACCCATCATGCTAGCGACGCAGCTGGCCAGCACGCCGTTTCTGTTCCCACGTTGCAGGAAGAGCGTTCGCGTGCGCGCAGCGTCAAACGGCAGTGTCAACAGGAGGTAGCTGTTGATCACTAGCGAAGGCCGCAGCGATCGCACGTGTTCTAGGTGCGAGAGCACCACCAGTCCCACACTGGCCGCAAATGACAACGCTGGTGCTGCTACGCTCGCGCTCGTCCGCATCCCTGGGCCTAGAATTGTCGAGCTCAGCACCAGGATGGCAAGCTGCATCGCCGCGAACACGGTCAAAAAAGCCAGCTTGTTGTCGTGCAGGAGGCCACCGGGCGCCACCTTGGGCCGCTGTCGTTGCAGTGCCAGGATCCGGTACGGCAGCACCACCAGCAGAAGTGCCGATGGCAGGATGCCTAGAATGGTGTCCTCAAAGAGTGGTGCGAAGTCAAATTGGCCCCCAGCCGCTGCAGGACCAAAATAATGGTACATGTTGAGGCGCACATCTCCACTGCCCTGCGATGTGTTGCTGCTCGGAATGCCCCGAGACAGCGTGAGGACGTCCATAATAGGTTGTAAGTCGACTGACCGCGCAGTGGTGCTGATTTTGCACTGTTATCAAAGGCTAGGATGCATGGTTGCGATCTGTAAATATATAGACCTGAGAAAAAAGGTTGCCTAAAATTGCGCAAGTAGATGTAAGACCCAAAATCCTACAAATGGAAGGTGGTATCTGGGACCATCGATCCTCAAATCAGAAGGCAAGGCTCAGTTTTAGCCGGCCGGTAGCGCTCTTTCTGGTGAAATGCTCCCAGGCTCCCGCGTCTTCGAATCTGACCTAGATAAGGCAGTTTTTAATTCTGTTGCCTGTTCATATAGAGCAAACAGAGCCAGACCAGCTAAGGAATCGACGAGAAGAATGGCTCTTCTGCATTCCAAGCTCTCACGACGATACTGCCTGAGCATATCTTCTATACTGTCGGACTGTCCCTAAACAGGACACTTTAAGCTTAAGTCAATATACGATCGTCATGACGCGATATAGTTTTTCACTGCAGATGCTAAGATGCATATATCTTGTCGGCCAACAACGATAACGACACAGTGGTTCACTGAACCAAAATAGCGTACGATGCTGCCGATGGCTACTCCTGTCCACCGGTGCAGTGCCAAGTACATACAATTGGTTGTCACTATTGGCCGTTGTCTTGCGTGCTTGATCCTCGGATCGGGTCCTTATATTCTGCAGTCTCCCCAGAGTCCCGCTGCCATGTCCCCCACACACACATCATCGCAATCATGTCAGACGCTCTGAAGCAGAAACGCCGGGTCCGTTGAGACGGTGGACCTAGACGAGGTCAGCCGGACAGGCATCCCGGCTGGTGGCCGCATTTGGAGCGTCATTAAATGGCCTCGGCGTCGGTAGGTCGCAAAGCCCAGACCTCGTCAACGCGACCAACTCTCTGCTGTACACCTTCATGTCGGTGGCATGCTTCCTGGGGCTTTGGCCGACCAACTGGATCGGCTTCCACCACGCGTTAGCCTTTGGCCGGTCGGCAATCCGCTCTATGTGGCCGGGCTGTGCGACAACAACGGCTCCAGCATCACCAGGTCCGCCGCGATGACGGCACCTGCTACACCGACCGCGCGATATCCCCTGGCGCGTCGAGCTGGCTGCCATGCGCCGCCTTTCCCTTAGTTGCTCCATCCTGCTGCTCGTCCAGGTCGACTTCCGCCACCTACCGCTCTATCATCGACTGGGCCGGCCCGCGCAAAGTTTTTCCGCGGTTTCAGCGTCTACCTCTTTGAGCGCATCAGCGCCGGTCTCGTCGAAAGGTACATCGGCAACCTGTTCGACTACTACGCCACCTTGCAGGTCGTGCGCAAGCGCAGGCTTAACGAGATCGAAGAGCAGATATTTCACGTCAGGGGGGCCGCTGCCGATAAAGACCGCCATATAGACTTGTAGATAAATGGGCACAGCGCTGCCAGAGCCAAATATTGACAAGGAGAAGCTGTGAAGAGGTGCTGCGACGTGCTCTGTGAGATATGTGGATCCAATTAAGCTGCAACCAATCAGCCACCGTCTTTCTCCACATAAGCAAAAGGCCGAAGCCGCCCAAACGAGCTCGGGAATTCCCCACGACAGCAGCTTTCTCCGACGTCCATGCGGAGCACTTCCGAAGCTCTCCGGCTGGCTCGAATCTCTCCTTTTTGGTTTCCTCTACTCTTTTCGGGTCTATCTGCCGTCGCAAACTGCTACGACTAGTGAGATACCTGTTGACATAGCTCCGATTCGCCAAAAAAAGGCCTATTAGTACTTTACAGCGCCCGGAATTAAGAAGCGCGTTGGAGAGGATTACCCGACTGCACCTTCCACGCCACAAACCCCAATCGCCCCTCCCCCACTACTTACGGCCAATTGGCGTACTGCCTTTTTTCCTGCTTCAACGGCCTGTTATTCCCCCTGACGCCTGGCATTTTGGTTTTGTCGCCTATTCTAGCTCTTCTCGACGTCAGTCTAAAGACAGGCTGAGCATCGAACCTCTAGGTACAGCTGTGCAAGGGAAGACGCCTCTTGCTCGGCTCTACCTTTCTGCGCCTTTCGTGCAATTTTCAGAGGGGTTGCGCTGCTTCTTTCAGGAGCAAATTTAGCTCCCCTCATAACAAGTTGCTCTCGTTGCCAGCTGCACGTGTGGACTGCTATTTGGCCACCTCACCCCATCTTTCACTATCTTATATATTCTCACCACCTCCCTTCTCTCCTCTTGTGGCAGCCGGGAACGTTATAGATAACAGGCTACTATGACGCCGGCCGACATCAGGCTGCTCTTCAGCACAGCTGGAGAGACCGTTCTAGATCAAGGAAGCGGCAGATATGTCCTCACAGAGACCGAGAAAACTCGGCGCATTAGTAGCCTTCAACAGGCCCTCGCTTCTGTCCAGCATCTCTGGCTGTCTGGGTCAACAGACCTCGACACAGCTGTCGAAATTCTTGCCGACGGCAGTAGAGACGGTAAGAACCCAACGGGCGGTCTGGCACCCCTGCACCCAATGTTTGGTCCTCTGCTAACCAACCTGCAGCGACATGGCGGAAACCGATTGGCGAGTCTGGCATACTCGCCTTCTTCCTGGGCATCATTTGTGAAGCTGGCCTGCGCACCTCTCTGAAAATGCACACACTCCGCCTCATTGGCAATTCGTGCGCCGACGAAGGTTGATTCACCTGCTTTGGTTGCATTGCCAGCTTGCGGCTGTCGTAGCTAACTCTTCATATAGACAGCAACCGAGCCCGCGTTGTTGCCGGAAATCACCTGCATCAACTCGTCCCGCTCCTATTTGACGATACTCTCTTGGCCTTCGCCATTCCCGTCATGTTCAACATCTGTGTCGACTACGGTATGTCCTCTCTACGGTTCGTCTTTTAGAACGCAGGTGCACTAACTAAGCTTCATCCAGAACCTGCTCAAGTCCAAGCCAGTCAGGCCGGCATCAGTCATGCCCTGCTGGATATCCTGTCCGGTCCGCGCCTGTTGCAATGCAGAGCCTTTTTGTCCATGTGCTGCAAGATTCTTGGCCTGCTTGTCAAAAAGGGTCCGATCTAATCCTGCCTTCTTACAGCATACCTTATGCTAACGCAATTGTATGGCAGAACCTGACGCTCCCTTGGTCGACATTGACACCCCAGTACGCCTTCTGCAGCTGGAAGCTAGCCCAGACGTCATTTTGGATGCCGAGGAATTTCAAACCCTAATTTCCATCGTCCTTGCCTGTCTTTCGCATGAGACCTTCCAGGCAGAGCTCAACCGACGGGGGGGTGTTGAGTTACTGCTGAAAGCCTTTTCCGACTCATACATCAAGTTTAGCGAAGCAGATCTCAACGCTGAAGATGCGGAAGATTTTGTCTTAGTTCGAAACCAGTTCACGGCCATCATTGCTGACGTTATGGCCGACTCGTCCTTTTTCACCGTCTATTCCGTGGCCTCGCCCGTTATACAGACCCTGGAGCATTGGCTGCGCGATGATTCTACCAACACGGCCTTGAGGACTGCTGCGTGCTACGCGCTCGGCAACTTGGCCCGTTCCGATGATACCAGTACCTATTTCGTCCACACAGACGAGGTACACACCAGCCTAATCTCGCTCCTCACCACGCAGTCCACATCAAGCAATCAGCCCCCCCCAACCCAGCTCTACTATGCCGCTCTCTCGTGTCTCAAAAACCTCGCCATTCCGCTTTCAAACAAGCCGAAATTGGGCATCATGCTCGAGCCAACCGTGAGCCTCCTTCCTCGCTTCTGGGCGAACTCCACGCAGCCACACCTTCAGTTTGCCGCCATTTCTTTGACCCGGCTACTCCTCGCATCATGTCCCGACAACGTCAGACGCATATGTATCCCGTTATCGACGGACCCGTCTTCACCAGCTCATGAGCGAAGCAATCTCCACGTACTAGCCGACATCTTCAATCGCATCGATGCTGAGAACGCAAAAACAGAAGCTGCGCGGGTCATAGCCACTGTTTGTCGTGTATTACACGCCACTCCGGGACAGCCTCCAGTTCTGTCTGACGATTGGGAACCCAGCATTGAAGCAGGTACCACCGTTGCTGCCTCTTTTTCTATGCCATCTCTGACTACAGCGGGCGCTGCTACTCTGATAGAGCCGGATTTGTCCTTGGTACCTGCAACAGCTACGCCATCACATCTCGAACAGTCTCGGCGAGCACGTTTCTACGCTGCCCAGCTGGACATGGCCGATGCCCTGTCCTACTTGATGACCCAGAGTCGGTATCCTGTCTTGCGGTCGGAGACCATCTTCATCTGCGCACTCATGAGCTGCTCTACAGACGGAGCCCGTCTCGTCATGCGCGCCCTCCAGCCGTTCGATGTATGCAGGGTCCTTGTAGAAGCTGTGTCTGGCAAAGACATGGTGGACGGTCATGAACTTCAGATGGGCCAGAAGCCTGCAGGGCAAGCTTCTGATAGCGGCGCCACCGTACCGTCAGAAACGTTGCTATTGCAAGAACTGTTGTCTTCTACCGAAGGCACCAATGATGCATCCCTCATTCCGCTCCCAACTGCAGCAGAACATGGCTCTGAAAGCGGTGGGCCCACGCCTCAGCCGGTCAACCCGGCACAAGCAGCACAAGCATCCCGCCTAGACCTCGAGAATGGCATCGTCTTGCTGTCCGAGATCATGAAGAACTTCTCCCAGTTTCTGCCTCCTCCCCGTCGCAGCATGTTTGAGCAAACGTTGCAAATTGGGGCCACACGTCTTTCCCAGGCCAAGGAGGAGCAGGCAAAGATCCATTAGATTCAGAACATATCGATGTGTACCGGGATTCGATGTAAATAATCCAATCTAAATTCTTCGCACCAGCTACTATTCACCTTGCGACTTGCCACAACCGCGACAAGCAATTGGCACTCTGCTCAGTTAATTTACTCGTGATCGCAGAGACGATGGTCAACCTTCTAGATTTTTTAAAACGTTTTTTCATTTTTTTTATGTCCTTTCCAAGGTGGGCACAGTCAGATGATGTACGATGCCTCATACCCTAGTCCCTAGCGGCAGTGAACAGTGGCTGTCTTATGCCGCCAGATGTTGTTCTCTTGTGTCTTTTGAATGTATCATTGTCCCACCGCAGTTGGTTAAAGCAGCCCAGAACAGCGCACACATACACACACACCAAAAAGAAAATCTGATCCCTCGGCCCTCTTTTTTTCCATGCTCCGAGAAAAGCACACCCCGACAACCGTTCTTCTTTCCCTTTAAGCGCCCATCGCTTATTTCTTGTTCGCCTCAGCCTCAGCGCGATCCTTGATCCGCTTCTCGCGCACACCAGCGTACTTCTTGTTTGACCGGGCCAGGCGCAGGGTGGTGAAGGCACCGCCCTCAAGCTGCGCCGGCAGCTCGCTGGTCTTGATCTCCATAACGCCAGCCGGGACGGGGACGATAGGCAGAACGCCGGCGATGGTGGCGGCGGCGGAACCGGCAGGGATAGCCGGCTTAGCGCCCTTCTTGGGGAAGACGAGCAGGCGCGCCTGGTAAGCCTTAAGACGGGCAACGTTGGCGGCCAGAGACTCCTCAGACAGGTTCTGGCGACGGTGGTCGACGGCAATACCGATAGTCGGGGCCAGAAGTCGGGGGACACCAGCAGCCTGTAGTGATAACTCATGTCAGCAGGCAGTCCCAAGATCAGGACAGGCCCCCCATTCCCACAATAGAGGTTATATCATACCTTGAGCTCGGTCAGGGTGAAGCCACGGCCAGCCCGCACTTTCCGGTTGTACTTGATGGTCGGGCAGCGGACAATGGGCCGCAGGCGGTCGACGGGCCGCGGGGCGATGGCAGCAGCCTTGCTCTGGCGCGCCAGACGGCGGCTGTGCTTCTTGCCGGCCTGTTGTGAAAAATATGTTAGAACTGCGGTTCTCCGACCTGAGAGACGTTGTCTCCCTGTCAATCCATCCCTGGTCCGGCGATGCAAAGGTCACGCGTCCCCGGTACGAGCGTGACCTCCAGCAAAAACTTTTCTTGCTTCTCACTTTCGGCGCGTCGTTTCCCTCATCGGTCTCCTCGTTCAAAATCGTACCTGGTCAAAGTGCACCCGGACGCGGCGTTGCCAATCCTTGCGGAAATCTGTGATATCCAGTCAGTCATCGGGTTCCATTGCCTAAAAAGAAGCAGCGTTGATCGATGTCCCCCGTCCGATCGTGGGAAGAGCGAAAACGAAATGGGTGCATCGACAGAACAGGTTCGACTAACGGTTGTTAGGGATTTGGTTGTTGTGCTTGATCGCCTGGAGGGAGAGAAGAGGTCCGGTTAGCCAGCAGTTCTGGAAAGCAAGTCTCATTCGTAGTGAGGCAGATACACACCATTTTGAACGGATTGCGCGATCAACTGTCGACGAAATTATGCGTGGTGGTCGTCGGTGTGGGATGGTAGGAGGGCCGAAACAAGAGAAGAAAAATCACCACTGTCCGAAAAAAATATTGTCGATGGCCCTTCTCAATCCACCAAACTTGGGGTGCAAGTGGGGGCAGGAAAAGAACACTGAATTTTTTGAAGGGCTTGATAGCCCTACCATCATAAAAAACTGTTATTGGCCAGTATAGAGTATGTGGGTCTTACCATGCGCGACCACCGATTTATTAAAGCGGATGTGTAAGCATTTAAAGTGGGTCTGTTATATGCTGAGAGTGTATTATTTCGTGCTATGTAAACTTTGCTTCATTTCCATGCTGCCCTCATAATCCAAAACGCCAAGTCTATGTGTGCCCAGCTTACAATACAGTTCGCATATCCATACAGCTTTGGTAATCGCTAATCTTGAAAGATGCGAGACAAAACGGAGGAGCCGCTACCTCCAGCCTGACAGGCAGACAAATTCATTTGAGGTCGTCGATGAAGCCTAGGCGATCCCGATTGATATCGCACACGCGAGCAAATTCGAGCAGCAGACGCCAAACATACAGCAGCATGTCTTCCCGGCGCAAGACCTGTTCTGCCCAGCGCTTTCCAGCGGACGCGATCATGTGTGCGGCGGCGTCGCCCTTTTCCGAGCTGAGAAAATAATCCAAGACGGCATGCAGCTCTTGGAAAGTGTTGTCGAGTGGCACGAAATGCTGCCAGGGCTGCAGTCGGTCGTCGTGCCATTCCGCGTAGATGGTGGCCTTCAGCGGCAGACTGGTCGACAGTAGCAGGCTGCGGAAGCGCGCGCTAAAACTGTTGCCATCTGCATCCGGGATGAACTTGTCCCCATACTGCTCCCTCATGGGCTTGTTCGGTACGACATGGGCATGCGGCGTAATGTAGTCGCATTCCCCTTGGGGATAGCAGAGCAGGTCGGTAAACCCGGTGTCGGAAACTCTTTGTAGCACCTCCCCGATAGTGCCGTTAAGGCGTCTGGGGAAATTGTACATCTCCGGAGACGCCATCTCGAAGGTCATCGCGTCGATGTTGTTCTTCTCCAGACGCGATACCGTAGTGCCGTTCAGCATTTCAAGCATGCGATGACGCTGAAAGTGCGTCCAGTTCTCTTTTTTGTTGCGGCCGCCCGAGGCAGCGCCCCGCCAGACGATGGTAGTGTTTTTTTGCGCCCACGGTGGCCCGCGATCCTCGCCGCCTGAGTAGAAGGGGTCGTCCGTAAGGTACATAGCACCCGGAATCAGGATCTCATTGTTCCTTGTGAGCTTGCAGCCGCCAAACAGCGGAATAAGCTCCGTCGATGTCGATATAGATACCGGTTCCACGAAGGAACCATGCAGGTACCGAATGTGCGGCTGAGAGCACACATCGGCGGCAGCTGAAAAGTTCTTGACATATCCATTCTCCGAGAACGACGGCTTCCAATTGTGAGGCAAGCTGGGGGAGTGGGAAAAGTCCGAGAGCGCAGGGACATCACGACTGGGGCTGCCTGGTGGACACGCTTTTTGCGCCAAGTCCCAATAGCGGGGCGAGTCTGAGCGAATCCAGTCTGGATCGTAAGCACGACTGCCGTTTCCTCCACCTTGGGCATCGATATCAGCCAATCCAGTGTAATTCTGGATAACGTCCTTCATCGGAACCACAGCGCGGCCCTTCTCTTCTTTGGCCACGTAAGCGGCAATGTCTTCCCATCCGACCAGCAGCCGAGGCTCGTCCATGTAATTGATTGGCATGTCGACATCTGGCAGATGTGGTGCGGCCTCAGCCACCAGCGCTGTCCAGAGCTGCAGCCAGGCGACGAGGCCGTCCGTATTGCCGATGCCCTGGACCGAGCCGTTTCGCACGCGCACGACGTGGTGCCAGGACTCGGCCCTCGCGGCGGTCATTTTGGGGTCGAGCGCCCAGAAGGGCGCCAGATCGAGGTAGATGCGATCGAAGAAATGTTCGACGACGATGGCATTGTGCTCCTTGGCGTAAGCCATCCACTTGTCGAAGCCGGGCGGTGGGTGGCGACCGCGACGCTCTCGATACATGGCCGCAGCCACGTCGACGTGGTGGCTCTGCTCTTTGAACACATCTTCTTGCTTTTTTCGGGAGCTGGCGATGAGGCGATCAATTGGATGGAGCTCGGCAGCGGTGTGATTACCGATGAAGAGGTCGTATTTTTTGACGGCTTCGAGGAGCTCGGATTCAGCTGTTGGTTCGGTGTGCTGAAGCTTTGCCGTTATCCTCTGCAGTGTATCAACCTGGGGGCCGTAGTAGAGACCGCAAGACAGAAGCACGAGTGTAATGCAAGCAGCTACAAGGATGAAGCGAATGGCCGCAGAGAAAGATCTCGTGGGCCTGCCCACCCCATAAGCGCCCAGAGGTGCGCGAAATGCCATGGCAGAGCAGAGCTGCAGATGAGCAAAGCAGTATGGAGTAAAGAGCAAGTTTGCTTTGGTAGTGCGCAAAGACGAAGGAAAGAACTGTCACCGCATCGGCAGTAACGATATAATATGTGTACAGAGCATAGACGCACGTTTCCTTCTCAGCTCACCCCCCCAGCTAGGATCCAGAAAACGAATTGACAGCTGGTCCGAGAGGATGAGAAACCAGGCTTCGGCTGGGCAGATTTACAATCCCAAAAGCTAGGGTTTCCCATTCGAGGCTTACGGGCGTTGGAGCACGTGCAATTAGGGGGTGAAGGGGCGCCAGATAGGAAAAAATAAAACAGGGATGTTTGTAGCTGTATGTACGAGTACTCGTATGTGTGGTACGAATCTGAGTGGATCTAGACGAGGAAGGAGTGTGGGACAGACCAGCTGATGACGACACAAGTCCCGCATGGGGAAAGACACGCACCATTGTCGGTACACTCGTAGTACGATCTATTTGATTGCTTCTGCCGACAGTCCAACCGTGACTTCTCTGGTTCGCCACGAGTGCCGCTGTTTATTGTTCTGAATCTCCTGCTGGCATGGGCATCAAGCTCGCCCGTCGACTGTTCAAGCTGGAATGTAATATTGCAGCTGGTCCCAAAACCGGGTTTCGATAGGAGATGTGATTCGATGTCTCAGAAACGCCACAGCTCAATATTGGAAACGAGCTCGCCCCTTCTTTGAGAATTGGCAACATAACATTTAAGCCTAAAAGCACCATATTATCTGTAGTTAACACGAGTGATACCCCCCAGACGACAATATGGAAGGATGTTTAATATGTTGCTGTTAGTTGTTGCCTAAAGCTTCTTTTACTTTTAATCAAGCTAGACCTACATTATTCCAGTCTGTCGGACGATGTTGAACGCCGACACTCAACTTCGGCTGTACGAACATACCGCTTTTTATCAAATAAATGGGCATTTTTGTGCAAAGTGCCACCGCTGAACTGAGGAGTGCTCGTCGATCATGGCAAGATCGTCGGGGGCTGCTTATGAAAGTCGCGAGCTTCCTTGTTTCGTGACACGGCGTCTACAGTGAGCCTGCCAGCTGTTGCCGGCCCGTCAGATATCGGGCCAATTGGCACCCAGAAAAAAAATCCGTTTTCGCCGGCTTCTTGGTGTAAAGCTCCTTAGCTTATCGACTGGAGGGGAAAGAAAAAAGGCGTACTCGTAGACATCTCCTGACTTTCCCGACTCTTCGCAACAAACGAGTATTGCTCTGGTCGGGCATCGTCGCTCCCTTGTCGTCTTTCTGCGTGCATTTCTTCTACCGCCCATTTGGACTCTGGCCGTCTGTCCGCATCGTCATTCTCTACACGAACAAGGGGAAAAAAAACTGGACGAATACGCAGACAACAAAATGCCCTTCACGGTACCGCTTCGCAGCGCAGCTGACGCTACGCGCTTTACGTCCACAGTGCCGCATGCGTCCCGGCGCGCTGCTGGGCCCGGGTCTTCGGCTACCCCGGCGGCCTCTCGGTTCCAGTCGCCGGGCAGCAATGGCGGTGCACCGGGCGGCGCAAGGCCACCGCCTCCGTCCTTCCCCGGCGAGACGCCAGAGCAGAAAGTAGCCCGGTTGCGTGCCGCACACATGGCGGCAAAGAACGCCCAGGTGTCGCGCTTCGACCGCATTGTGCACTCGGCGCGGCACATGTTTGACTCGGCGCATAGAATCACCATTGTCGGCCTGATTGGGTTTACTGGTAAGCTTTGCCTTTTCCTTCTTTCTCTGGCTACCTTCATCTTAGCTTCTCGCTAACCCCATAGCCATTGCCGGACTCCTGACTGTCTACACCACCGTCGACATGATGCGCTTCAACCACAAGCGCAAGCTGGAGTTTATCGCCGCCCAGAAGCAGATGGAAGACGACAGCCTTGCGGCAGCGCGACTGGCGTACATGCGAGGCGATGCGACAGAGGAGCAGACGGCCTTGGTCGAGGAGGTGGCTGCGGCCGAGAGGGCGGCCATCAACGCCGGCGCACCGCCACCGGCACGGTCGGGAGATGGCTTTTTCAAGATGCCGAGCTTGCTGGGCGCCCCATCGCCAGTGGCCGCCGAAAGCGCGCCGACTGCCGCCGCCCCTGCAACTCCATCCTCTTGGGCCAAGTCCATGCTCTCCCGCGAGGAGCAGGGCGAGATCCCGGGCTCATCGCAGAGCCGGCTCGGCTACGAGAGCCTGTCGGAAGAGGACGACTGGCCGGGTGCGCGTGAGAGCGACGTCGTGCGCGCTGTCGAGGAACACTCGGCATATCTGGCTGGCAAGGCTCAGGCAGCGCTCGACCGCGAGCGGGCCAACCAGCGCAACGGTGGCCCGCTTGACCGACTCGGCCTGGAGCCCGCCGCTGCTGCAGGAAAGAAGAGCTGGTGGAAGTTTTGGTGAGAGCGGCAAGTCAGCCCAAGGACTCCACACAGCTGCTGCTTGTCCTTCTACATCTCTTCCCATGTACAACAGTAACGAGTCGGGGATCATTCATTTTTTTTTCTGCATACACTGGCGTCTGGAGCATGGAGGTGTGATGTTACCCAAAAATTCAGATAGGCCAATGTCCGCTACTTCCCACTCTTGCATATGGTACTCCACTTTTTGTGTGCAATGCTGAAAGAGAGCATAATACAATTCGCTGTTGTAGCTTGTGTTCGCTGTTATAAAGGCCAAGATCTGGCATGTCAATAATACACAATAATGTCGCTGGTGTTGCCCCTTCAATGAGTGTATGCTAGGCCTTGTATCCGTCCCCGAGGTCCCCAGAATCGCCGTGCTGCAAGGACTAGATGCTGATGAGAAATGCAAACAAAAAACAGAACAAACTAAAAGAGTATAGCTAACAGGACAGGGCTAGAAGAGCGTAACTAAAAGAAAGACATTAGACAATGATTCGCCTCAGCACCGATGCTAGCTGTGGTGGTAGCCCGAACCCCCCTTGTCGCGCGTTGCAGTTGTTGCGATCGGATCTGAAGATACCATGTTGTAAAATATGAAAAAAAGAGTGTGGGTGTGCCATAGGTCAGGACAGAACAGTGTAGAGAACTAGCGTCTTCGATTTCAAGAAGGTGCTGGTCTCATCTGTCCTAGGTGATGAATCGGACATTCGGGTTCATGCCGCTCCAGCAGCCGCTGGACAAACGCCTTCTTTCGTCGAAGACGGGCGCGTTCCAACGCGTGTTCCTGTCGACTGCGGCCAGGTAAAGAGCCCTTTGCACTCGGCTCGTTCAAAACAGACCCGCGTCCACTCTAGGACACGATAATATGGTTGAAGTGGCCCGGAACTCGGTTGCGGCACTTCTCGCAATCAGAGCGGTACCCTATGCTGAACGACTTCTTCATGCTGGGCTGCTGTGTCCATGCGACAACGGTGTGGCGGCTGCGAGTATGTCCTTTTCTAGGCGAGGATTGCGAGGCCGGGTCGCCGTCCACAGACGCCACATCGCTTCCGTACGCCGGGAACGAGAGCGCATCCATGGGCGAGGCCGAAGGCCGCGTCGGCGTCGGCATGGGTGAGTGGTGTGAGTCAGATCCATGGTAACAGGGTGAATGGGCCGACATCGGCAGAGCACCATCGCCATAGCCGCCGCTGTGGTAAGACATTTGATCGAGAGCCATGTCTGAGTTTAGACTCTCCTCGCCCCCGATCTCACTAATAGGCGAGGGAAGAGAGCGGTTCTGCACAATGCTCCAGTCTCCCATGGACGCATGGTCAAGCGACCGGGGCACAGAAAGGTCGTGGCTTGCAGAAAGCATGTCGCCGTCTTCAAGTACAGGGTGGCGTAATGCTGAGGACGCGCCGGCTTGGCCCCAGCTACCACCCCGGACCTGGACAGCAAAGCTTGGATGCAGGGGCGTCGGTATGCGTCCGGCAATTGTCGATTGTATGTCGTCCGGCTGCAGTGGTCCAGGAGCCAGGTGGTGCTCAGGGTCGCAGCCTTGATTTGGCATCTGCTGTGCTGACAGGTTGTCCGAATCGTCCATGGCCATGTCCATATCCATGTCACAACCGCCCATCAGGAGAACATCGTTCGGGTCATGCTGTTGCTGAACTCGGACGCTTGACATGTCATCAACAGAAGAGCCGGGCGGAGTGATGGCGATGGACTCGACTGGGGCTGCCTCCGATTGAAGCGCCCATTTCCGAGCTGCTGATGGAGATGTCCTGAGAGGAAGAGTGTGCACCCGTTTCTAATAGAGTCAAACGCAAAGAGTTAGCAAGCAGCTTCGCATCAACAACAGCGCCAAACAAGGACGGATACATGCATTTCTGTGTTCGTTGAACCCAATGGCCGTCCCGTTCAAAAACTCGATAGTTGTCTCTTCCTCGTGGTAACGCTTAAGCACCCCTCGAGGATACCGAGAGGCGGGTTCTTGGTAAGCGAACATGACGCTGTGGACTGTACTGTCGTTAAGACCTGGAGCCGGACACGGACAATCGGATCCGCGATTGGTCGGCAGAAGACAGACAGTGCGGCAATGTCGTCGATGGTACCGGCAACAGGTTTAAAAATGATGATGGTTGCGGATAGGGCGACAGGAGGGAGGCATCCAGAGACTGTAAGGAGAACTGTTTGTAAATTATACAACGCCGTCGTCTTTCTTGGATGGCTTGGCGGCTTGGATGCAAGAGTGATCCTCCAGTAGGTCGTTTCTCAGCTGACACTGGCAACCAAGGCAGCTACCACCAACACAAGCCGAATGAAGCGGTGCTGGCAAGACGACAGTCAGAGGAGGAAGGTGGGACTGGCGCTGACAGGGGAGATGCAGTAATGAATGGGAATGGCGAGTAAGACACAAGAGAAGAACAGGATCAACGCAAACGCAAGGCTACACCGCGACACAAGAAGATGGGGAAAGCGACATCGATCGGCAAGCTGCAATAGAATGAGAATTGGATGTCAAATGCTTCCAGGCCGCAGGCAGAGAGGAAAGAGCGCTATGAGACAGACGGCATACATTGAATCTCTCGGCCCACAATCATGGGTCCGATGGAGGCGAGGCATGGAGGGGAAAAAAGAACGAGGTCGGGCGGGGGCGGGAACTGGGCCGTACAGGGTACATAGTAGGGGGGGCTGTCTGCGGCCTAGCTTGAGTGGCCAGGTTTGGGCTCAAGTGGGTTTAGTGGTAGGTGTGTTGGTATTTATGTGGGCCCGACACCTACAATAGGTGCATTATTTTCGGTGTCGCCTCGCAGAAGCTGTCTTGTTTTCCGCCCGGACTGGCTCGTATTCAGCTGCTCAGCCCAGCTAGAGGCGCAAGGAGACGGCCATCGCCAGGAAGACGCCAGGCCACTTCTGCGGATGGAGGCATCTGGCCGCGGTCCCGTTACCGGCATTCCGTTCCAGCACGGGTGCGATTTTGCACCGATGCAGAGCCATCTTCCGCCCTGTGGATCGCTGCATTTCCCGACTTTTTGGAAGCGGCTCTGTCGGGTTGCCGACGATTGTCGACACGGATAGGAGCCCGTTTCAGGGCTGCTTCAAGACGGACGATTGGCGACAACGCGGGTTACAACGTACAGCCAAAAGGGGCTGTCTGCTCCCATCTGGAACGCCGCTTGTGCCGGTTTCTGGTATTGATCTCTGGTTCCTGGGTTTTGGCTTCTCGTTGTTCTACTTCCATCACGAAGTGCTACGGTCTCTTTCTCCTGCCTGTTGCGTCAACTTGCCTGGCAGAAATCAACACCGGCGGGGATAGCGCAATGTATGCCAAGACATGCCAGCATCTCCACGCTGCGCATAGCCAAGGGGCAGAAACGACGCAAAACAGCTTGTAAACTTGCGATGTCCCGGTGCGCGAGCATAACAACAGCCTGCAGCGCATTGGGACCTTCGAGTATGAACGACTTAGGAGCGATACGACGTTGGGGGCCTGCTGACTGGCAAGCCCATCCATTATCATACTATGTAAGAGTACGGAGTATTTGGGGGGCCGAATTTCCAGCTCTGCACAGGCTGCCCCTACTATTCCTCAGGCCAGTGGGGCCATACTCTGTACTTCCAATCGCTGCGTCTGCCTACTGGACTGCCATCGAACCACGGCGGGCTGCACCAGCCATTCCACTTCAGGCTCGCCTGCTTCGGAACGAGCGGTCTGCTGCTAATCATGGATGATGCACGACATGTCATAAAAAGCCATTGGCCTATTGCAGCGCTGACATGAGGTCGAGATTTCCCCGTCAGGTCCTAACAGTGCCGGACCTTAAGGCACTGTATGCTATGTTTTTCCTGTGTCAAGATTCGTCAGGGCCAAGGTGGTGAGCCAAGCAATGAACTTTTAGACAGGGCCAAAAAAAAAAAAAAAAGAGGGGTACCACCTCTCGTTCGGCGGCTTCCGTTTTTGGCTGCATGTAAGATATTTTATACATACGGGCAAATATATCGAGTTACGACCGTGTTTTTTACTCTATGCCTACTGTTTCAGTCTTCTCTTGTTAATGCAATTGACTTTGCAGGACAACAGGATAGGGTCCACCTCCAAGAACCAAGCAATTTCGACCAATTGCTTGTCAATTAAGTAGTAGCACGTTCAGTCGTTCCCAAACCTCCCCCCTTCTCTCTGCCTCTGACTCACACTTTTTCTTTCTTTTCCCGTTCCTGGCACACTGGCACCATACTTTGTGAAACGACATCCTCTTTTGAGCCCTCTTCTCAACCTTATATCTGCCCGACGTCTTCCCACCTGTTGGTATCATCCTTTTTATCCCACAGTCCAGCCCATTTTTGCCCAGCCGTTTCATTCACACACTTTCGCCATCATGCCTGGACGCGAAGTTTCCCTCGTCGCAGACAACCTCAGAGGTGAGAGGACAGGAAGACAGCTTCCTAGCCGACATGTCCCGTCTTGCTAACCTCGCGGTGTCGCAGTCCTGGGCCAGGACCCGCTCATCCCTCCCGGTCTGCTGATCTCTGAGATCCCCATCACGGAGTCGGCGCTCCAGACAGTCGTCAAGGGCCGCCGCGATGCCGTCAACATCATCATGGGCCGCAACGACCGGCTGCTTGTCATTGTCGGCCCTTGCTCGATCCACGACCCCGCCACGGCCATCGAGTACGCCACCCGGTTGCGCGAGCTGTCCAAGAAGCTGGAGAACGACCTGGTGATCATCATGCGGGCTTACCTGGAGAAGCCACGCACGACGGTCGGCTGGAAGGGCCTGATCAACGACCCGGACATCGACTCGACCTTCAAGATCAACAAGGGTCTGCGCGTGTCCCGCCAGCTCTTCTGCGACCTGACCGGCACTGGTGGCATGCCCATTGCCAGCGAGATGCTCGATACCATCTCGCCCCAGTTCCTGGCCGACTTCATCTCCGTCGGCGCCATTGGTGCCCGCACCACCGAGAGCCAGTTGCACCGAGAGCTGGCCTCCGGCCTGTCCTTCCCCGTCGGCTTCAAGAACGGCACTGACGGCAACTTGGGCGTCGCCATTGACGCCATTGGCGCTGCTGCTTCGCGCCACCACTTTATGGGCGTCACCAAGCAGGGCCTTGCTGCTATCACCCGCACTGCCGGCAACGAGCACGGCTTCGTCATCCTGCGCGGCGGCACCCACGGCCCCAACTACTCCAAGGAGCACATCCAGGCTGCCAAGGAGACCCTGTCCAAGAAGGGCCAGAAGATGGCCATCATGGTCGACTGCTCGCACGGTCCGTTCCGTCTCTCTGTCCTCTCATCCCGTTCATAACTGACAGCAACATAGGAAACTCGAGCAAGGACCACCGCAACCAGCCCAAGGTTGCCAAGTGTGTTGCCGACCAGCTCCGCGAGGGCGAGAAGGCTCTGATTGGCGTTATGATTGAGTCCAACATCAACGAGGGCAGCCAGAAGGTGCCGGCTGAGGGCCCGTCGGCCTTGAAGAAGGGCGTCAGCATCACCGACGCCTGCATCAATTGGGAGGACACCGTGACTGTGCTCGAGGACCTGGCGTCTGCCGTACGTGAGCGAAGAAAGGTGCTGGCAGGCACCGCCACCGGCGTCGTGGACGACCCGAAGACGACTCTTCTGGAGGAGGAGTAACCGGCAAAAGGACGGCTTGGACGCGGCTCTTTTCATATCGGGGCATTGCATGCGTAGACAAAATTGACCAACCACAATGTAGGATGGGCGTTACGGCGTTATGATTTGTCGAAACTCAAAAGCCATACATATATGACTGGTTTTCCAGCCGCGCTTGGAATTGGAAAAGGGGACAGTTGAATTTATATCGGTCCAACATACTACAGTTTTGATACCAGAGAAATGGTACGAGGCATGTGCTACTAGTCATACATCGAAAACTTACCGTGCTCACCAAGATGCCTTCTCCATTTATACGTTGTTTGCATGCTACCCGTAGAAATCAGAACCATAATCAGCGCCTGCCACATGCTGCATATATACCTCTACAATGAACCTCTGCCGTCGATTTCTCTCCTGTCTGCACCCTCAGTCGGTGACGCCACCAGCCAGCGGCGAGTATTGCCCGCGCAGCTCTGTTGTCCTCGGTGAGAATGGATTTCGTAGGCCGCCAGCGTTTCCACCGCCACCTCCGCTGCTGCCCCCTGCGCCACTTCCACGCCTGCTTATACGGAGTATGTCTGCTACCCGCCGGAAGAACCCTGGGCTCGACTCAGCCCGGCGTCGGCCGCCATGGCCACCCAACGGCGAGTCCAGTGCGGCAGTCGCTCGTGCCGCCCGCGCGGCCACCAGGTGTTTTACGGCTGCCCAGCCGAGCAAGCCACTGGTGCCAATGAGGAAGCACCACACGATGATCTGGTCCTTGCGGCTGTCGCGCTGGAAACACGCCGCCACCACGTCCTTCTCTTCGGCGTCGCGACAGATGGGCAAGCCAGAGCTGAGGCAGTATGCGCGGTTGCAGCGGCTGCAGGAGGCGGCACCGGCACGCGCGAGGAGGATAGAAGATGTGTTGTCGCCAGTAGCACGACGGTCGAGCTGTGCTTCTGTCGCAGCCCAGTCTTGTTGGAGAGCGCCGGCGCCATCCGAGGCCGGGGACCAGCGGCGGGCGAGGCCAACAGACTGCCCACCAGTGCCGTCGGACGGCGTCTGCTCGTGCGGCGGGTTCAGAGGTATGATGGTGCTGTTCTTGAAACAGGTGCATTTGCAAAAGGAGGGCGCAGCTGGAAAGGGCTCATTGCCCTCGTCAGCAAGACTTTCACGCAGCGAGCCGAAAGCACAGCAGCACTCACAGGTTGCCGACACCAGGGCCAGAAGCACGCTCAGAGCGGCTACAATCAAATGTATTCGTGCCATCATGTGGTCCCTTGCAATGGCGTTTGCCGACTGGACGATGTCGTTCGCTCAGCACCGCTGATGTTGCTCGTCGAATGAATGGATACGAGCGAATGAGAGGCGCCACAGACAGCCGTGGGCAGCCACACTGTGGCGCACAGCCCGTTTCAATGCGCTAATCCAGGTTCGGCAAGGCCATTGAACGGCCCAAATTTTTGGAGCTGGTTTTCGTGAGAAAAAGCCCTTTCTCCTCCTTCCTTCCGGAGCCAGCCTAAGCAAGAACGGATACCGGGACTGCCGTGACGATGCGCCGAATATCGAGAGTACCCAAGCCGCTGGGCATGTGTGCCCCCTGCGAGGCTGCACAGCCCAGCCGGCGCCTGGCCGCACAGCTGCCCCGCCAACATCCTTCACGCCACACAGCAGCAGCAATATCATCAGCATCAGCGTCAGCACGGCCATTGGCCAGCCGGAGTACCTTCTCCACTGCGGGAATCCACGCAAGACCATTCAGCCTGTCGGCCACGCGGCTCCAGACGACAGGGGAAGCTCCGACGGAAGATGCGGTGGCCGTGGCTGCGGCTGAGGACGTCGAGCTGGCGGCAACAGTGACTCCGGTGGTGCCAGTGTTGGCCGTGCCGGGTCCAGTCGAGACAGCACCACGGCCAGGAAACGTGGGCGATGCGACATACGTACCGGCCGAGTCGGGCGAGGGGCTGGAAGAGGTCGGCGGTTTGGACGGTTGGTGGGAGGACGGCCGGCACTGGGACCCCGCGCTTGAGTTCCGCGGCTTCGGACCTGCCCAACGGGTCACAGACTCTGCCGCTCTTGAGGTTCTGGCGCGTCAGGCTGTCCTAGAGGCGCTGGCGGTTTGCAGCAGCAGCAGCAGCAGTGACGTGAGCCTGACGGGAGCCTGGCACCGCGGAGGCTCTGCTGCACGGCAGGCGGCCCTCAGCCTCGACGTGGATGTTGCTGAGGACGGCAGTGTCCAGGGGCTGCGTGGCGATGTGGCTGGCGTGGTGGCTGGTTTGAGCCCGGCAGATGTCGAGCTTGAGGACGGGGCCACGACGACGGCCCTGGACGCTGACGAGGCCCGCGAACTGGTCGGCTCCTGGGATGCCAGCTGGAAGCAGGTGTCCCTCGAGGATGCGGCGCTGAAGTTTGCGGTAAGAACGAAAGCCCTCCCTTTTCTGCAGTTCTCCGTGCGGCCTGTTCTGGTGGCTAATTCGTTTCCTTCTTTTCATAGATTACGAAGCGCATCCTACAGCTCACCGGTCACCTGCTGGCGGACGCACATCTTGTTTCCGCCAATACGGTCAGCGGACTGCTAAACGTGCTCGTGAGGCCGCCTAAGCCCAAGAAGCTGGCAGAGGAGCTGAAGGCGGACGGCACGCTCACTGAGCTGCCAAATGTGGCTGTCTACGGCCGGCGCGTGACGCCCATCGACAAGCACAAGATGGTCGGTCGGTGGAAGGTGATCGTGCAGGAGCTGGAAAAGAGAGACTTGCCGGTCACAGGCACGGGCAAGTACGACAAGTCCGTGGAACGGAAATGGGTGTACCGGTGATGGTGCCGCGAGATTTCTTGCTTGTACAATAGCTCAGATGAAAAAAAGGCAAGGACGTGTGCAATATGCCATGCCGTCCTTGCAACACAAATCCAATTTTATGACATTGACAAAACATGCCAAGGACTTCAGTTCGTTGTCCAGAGCAAACATTTGCCTGTTAACAGGCGCCACCCAGCAAAAGAGAGCGGCGCTTCAGGAACACATGAAACTAAAGTGCAAAACAACCCAGAGCGTTCCTTTCGACTCAGGAATAGAAAGCCCTGAATGCCCTAAATCAACAAGTCTGTCAGACCTACTGCGCAATAGTAATGGACTTTATGTTAAAAGACATGACTGATACTCTGGGTTTAACACAAATTTGCAGTTTAGCACAAATACGCAATCTCTTTTAACTAACTTATTTACAATAATAAACACTGTAAATTTTTTCTGATGTTCACGATACCAATATAAATCTACAGGCTATCCTATTTGAGCGACGATATGACAAGATACATTATGTCGTGGATACACGCACAGTGCCTCTATCGATTGATGTTTTTGCAGTATTATTGTAATGCTAAAAGAGCTTCCAGTACTCTTATTTACTTTCATCAGTTATTTCGAAAGCTATTTAATCTCATGCAACTTTGTCTATTCCAATAGATGGTTTAGCTGTAAATTTTGAGAACATCAAAGTGCTCTTGAACCCTTGCAATCAGGGTGTAGTCTCACCGGTTCATACATATGGACAACGTCCAACAGCACCCTGTCAGGAAGATGTCTCAGGATCACCCAACTGCACATAGCCAGACATGATCGGGATTGGCAACAACCAAAAGTTGACAGCGACCGGGACGATAGACAAGATCTTTATTTCCCTGCCACGTGCTTTAACCAACAAATATATTCAAGACAATAAAGGAGGCGTCAGCTCTCGGCCGAGTTTTGTTCACAAATGTTTAATACATTTTTATACAGCTAGACTACCACCGGAAGAGACAGTTTCCGATCGTCTCCCTTTTGCCATATAAGTACATGAAACAGGTCCCGTGAAATCGCAGTCTCGATATGTCCCTCCTCCTAACTAACGGTGCGATGCTACCCAAATGCGTATGCTAATTAAAAACAAGATAAAAATATACCACGACCATGCAAAGATCACCCTGCTTCTCAACCGACGCAAGCGCCACGCGCCCAAGCCGCCGCCTTCGTCCATCTGCGGACGAGGCACCTATCGTCGAGCTGGCGCCTTTGCTCCCAGCTCCACGACGCTGTACCAGGCAGCGCCGACGAGGGCAACAAACATGCCGATGCCGTTGGCCACGCCGACCTTGACGCCGAACATGGTGATGCCCAATAGCACGGTCAGGCTCTGCTTGACGTTGCCACAGACGGTCATAGTAAGGGCGCCAGTCTTGCGGTTGGTGCTGAAAGATGCCAGGTTGAGGGCGAAGGCGAGGGCGCCGTTGCCGGCCAGCGCCCAGAACATGTGCGAGTTGATGGGTACGACGGTGTATCCGTCTGTGATGCGCGAGATCTCGCCCGAGAGGACGGAGCACAGGAGGGCCTGGATACAGGCCAAGGGGGACATACGCATGAGGGACTCGAGAGGGGAGAGTGCGAGCGGGCCAGTCATGATCCGGTTGGTGGCAACAGTCTGGCACAATTAGCAGGGAAACAAATCGAGTCGGAAAGACGTCCAACTTCTTTCAGGCAGCACGTACCTTGGCCGAGGCCAGCAAGACGCCGAGAAAGGTGAGGAGAAAGCCGGTAGCAGTGAAGTAGTAGTCGCCGTAAGTGGCGAGGGCGACACCGAGCACAACAGGCACGAGCGAGAGGTATGTGCGGGTGCCGTAGGTGCGGCCGTAGCGGAGGCGGTAGATCAGCACGGTGAAGACGGGACAGGTCGAGCGCATGATCTGGTGGAAGGGGATAGACACCATGGCCAGCGACACGTTGCTGATGGCAATGTTGATGGTGAAGAGGACGGAGAAGCCGAGCAGGACAGACTCCTGCTGCCGTGACAATGCTGTGCGCGTGACCTTGCCGCGCATTCGCAAAATGTAGCAGCCGATCGAGGCCGAACCCGTGTGGATCGCCGTGAGCAGCCACGGATACGCGAACCGGCCGAGGATGCCCTTGTTGTAGAGCGTCAGCGCCACATTGCAGGCAAAGTATGACGCCAGATACGCCCACTTGCTCGTTGCCGACGCCGTGTACTCGGCCGCATCGAGCGTGGACGAGGCCGAACTGGACGTCGAGAGCCCCGAAGATGACGAGCTGCTGCTGCTGCTGCTGTTCTGCTCATCCTGTCCGTCCTTCTCAAAGAGCTTCTCGCGGCTCTCGTCGTTCAGGCTCTCGTGGCCGCCACCGTTAAGGTCGCTGCGCTGTGCCTCCAGATCCATGGGTCGGGCCATGGTAAAGAGAGCGAAAATCCGGGGTTGCCGAGAGGCTGAAAACGGGGACTGGGGCTGCGCGAACGAGTGGAGGGCGGAACGCGGAGGAACTCTGGACTGAACAGAACTATGGAAAGGGACAAAGAAGGACAAAAGATAGAAAGACGAAGAGAGAGAGTATGTGTGCGACAGAGCAAAGACAAGAGAGTGTGGGGGTTGATCGAGAGACGGATCGAGAGGATGCCGAAGATAGCGAGGAGACAGAAGAAGGCCCGAGTGAAAGCAGGGGCAAACAATCGAATGAAACAGGCAGACTGGCAAGGTAGAACGCGCCTCCGGAATTGTGACAAAAAGAATGAGAGGAACAAGAAAGAAAACAGTACAGACGGACGCAAGGTGGCTGCTGTATATTGCTCGGCGCCAAGTTTTTCTCCCACTTACCGTCACAGCTCGATTCGAACACAACGCGCAGAGGCGCCCTGATGCAGCTTACGGAACAAGGGCTTCCTCCGCTGGCAGCCACCGTGACCTCGCGCTAACAACCACTGGCTCACAAATACCCTCCCTGGGCCGTCGATCCAGGGAGCCTTTAGGGGGCAAGTGAGGGGATGTGCTCCACTGAACTAATTTCTGGAGGACGCGTAAGGTGCGTTTACGGAGCACAGAGTACGAGTACTACTCCTATCTCACAGAGTCACCCACATTTAAAACTAGATATCATCAACGTCTCTTGGCATCGGTCACCCAATTATTTGGGAAGATGTGACGCCAGGGATGCAGAAGATGCCGTCCTGTCTCGCTGCACATCCTCCCACATTCTTCACTATTGACTGTCTATTGTATAACGCTTGTTCATTCGCCTTCTAAACCATATAAATGGCAACCCCAGAGATACAGCAAAAAGAAAAAGCAGAAAAAGAAAGCACGCATGCCGTGGCGCCGTAATCCAAATGCCTCCCCACGGACGTTACCACATTTTGTGAAGTATAGCTTGAATTATCTTACAATCCGCGGCTCCGAATCCCAACCTGATGCAATGCTGCTGTGCTCGCTCTTGTCGGAGACGACACAGCTCCTGCCTTCGGACCTATTGCTGGCCGCTGCTTGTTTTTTCTGGTGTCGCTGCCACCGACTCGGACGCCTTCTCGGCCTCTGCTGTCTTCGTGCTCCCCTCCGATGCTTGCTTTTCCAGCGGCTTCTCCGACTTGTCCTTGTCTTTGTCCTCGGACTGTTTGCTGTCCTTGGACTTCTCTGTGTCTTTCTCGTTCGACTTCTCCTGTTTCGCCTCTTCTGACTTCGCTTCTTTGAACTTCTCTTCCTTTGGCTTCTCTTCTTTTGGCTTCTCCTCCTTGGGCTTCTCCTTGGCTGGCGGCGGTGCTGGTGCCTCGTACAAAGCTTTCGCTTTCGTCTCATAGTCTTTCCACCAAGCGGCTGTGGTGTTGGCCAGCTCCTCCGAGTACGTCGCGTTGTTCCACTCGGGCAGCATCTGCTCAGCCCGATCGAGCCATGGCGACATCCAACTGTCGCGCACGTTCTTTGTACCCGCAAAGTGCACCATCATATCACCTCGCATCACCTTCCACGACTGCACCTTGCCGTCTCGGCCATCGTCGTACACCTGTGTTGTGCCGTTGTCAAACGTCGCCTCTGTCATATTCTTGCTAAACAGCCACCGGCCGTCTGCGTAAAAGGCATTGTTGACCGGCAATGAGTTGAACCACCGCATCGGGACTTCAGCCCAGTGGTTCCGGGACTGGAACCGCTCGTGAACTAGCGGCGAGTCGGTATGCTTCAACAGAAACTGGAAGGCGCTCTGGTCCCGGAAGCGGTCGTGCTTTGTGCGATCCCGCTCGTAGATGGGGTAGGCCAAGACGGCAGAGAGGAAAGAGGCCGTCCATTTGTGCACACGGAGGGCGAAGGCACCGGAGTTGAGGCCATCCCAGTTAGACGCAATGACAATGTGAACGTCATTCAGGATGGCGCTGGAGTTGGGCGGGAGGAAGACCTCGAGCGGCGTGGAGGGGTTTAGGATGGCTGTGTCACCGTCGAACCAGCTGTCAGGAGATTGCGTTAGTTGTAGCCAGAGGAAGTGGTCAGGACGGGCGGGAGTGAGCTCACAAAAGCCATTCCAGGCGCTCAGACTCTGGCTTAAGCAGTTCCGCGATCATAATGGCCAGCATGTAGGCCGGCTTCGTGTAGGTGCCTGAGCCACGACGGAAGACATCGTTGTCGGTTAGGCTGCTAACCACCTCGTTGTCGGCAATGAAATGCGGATAGCCGTGCATGTCATTCTGGACCTTGTGGGATTTGAACGCGCGGTATACGACCGGGATGTCGAGGGCGTTCACGGCCACGCCGACCTTGGCCACACGGGCTGTCGGCCGGTTCGACAGCGTCGCTGGCTGTGCCAGAATCTGCTCTGTGGTGCCAAACTTGCCGTTGACCGTGTTGGGAGGGACGATGCTGCAGGCAGTGAAATCGATGCGCTGCAGGTAGCTCAGGCAGAGATAGACGAGAGAGACTGCTGCAAAGACGGCCAGAAGCCGAGTCGGCCGCTGGAACTGTTGGATCAGCATCGTTGGGGCGGTGGTTGTAGTGAGAGCGCGACGTCCATGAACGGCGACAGAGGGGAGATCTGCCAAGTCGGTTTTGGTTGTTCTTAAAATCCAGGCGGCGCCGGTCGGATGCAACGATAAACGGTTAGGGAAAAGGCGATGCGACGTCTACAGTAAGCAAAATAACGAAATGCAGGGGCACGGAAGGTTCGAGTGCTGTTGTACCGGTTTTAGGCGGTGACCTAGATAGACAAGGGATTTAGGGGAAATGGGGACGGCTGAAATCAATACACGAAAAGTCTCTTTGCGTACGGAGTAAGACGCAGCGGGAAAGGGCATCCCTTGTCTGGCAGGCAGGCACGCCAGCAGATTGATTGGGAAGGGAGGCAAGAAATGCTGGATCTTACTGCTCGTTATCATCGGAGTACTCCTTGCGAGCACTTGCCCCTTTGGATTGACGGACGCGAAAGGGCTTAACGCAGTACAGTACCGGAGCCAAGACGCGCGTTCAAGCTGCGGTACCGCTCCAGGTGGATATTATTTATAGCCTGCCAGCCATGGAAGGCGTATTCTAGTCCGCCTGCCCAAGAAGGCGCGGCAGGCAAGGCTGAGAGCACGGAAGGCCGGAGCAAAAAAAGCCAGCAGGGGCCGATCCAAGTGGTAGGCAATCTACGATGTCGCAGTGCGGACATTACAGCGAGTATACTGCACGATCGAGCAAATAGCAAGCGTTGTGAGCATGTTGGTCAGCGCGGGCAGAACGGATCCTGATCTTGTAAGGAGCGTGCTTGAGGAAAGGGTTGTGATACTTGTGGGAGGGACTGTTTAGATATGTGTAACGGCTCAACATGTGACAAAGATCAGCAAAGATCATAGGCATTGAAAGACCTTTACGGAGTAGCTAGTGAGCGTTTAGGCCGTCAGTTCGGTTCAATGTGCTTAGCAAAGCGGTATGCGCCAGCTAACTGCGAGAATGTTGTACTTTTGGTTTATTAGACGGTGCCCTGGTATGTATGCATATAATGTAGACGGCATGTTCTCCCGAGACGTGAAAAGCGCTGGAATGGGCACTAAGGGAGGCATGCCAGAAGCGACGCGAGTAGCTGAGTCGCTGTTTCATTTCTTGTCAAATACAAATGCATGCCAGTGGCATTACAGCCGATCTGTCAGGGAGATAGCTAACAAGGCGATAGATGCTATGGCCACGGTCGCCCCTTACAGCGGTGGGCTTACAGTGGCATCCGTGGGCTGGCATGTACTTAATTGTATCGGAAGATAGGCTCGTCTCATATGACCGAAAAAGAAACGTTCTGTGGGCCACATCTACCCCTTACTCCGAACATAGCATGTCTCGTCGACTGCTATGTAAGGCTGAAACGCGCAACCACCAAACGAGAAAGCCCCGGTGGGATTATAAAGAAATCGGTGCAAAAAATCGTTCGCTAAAAAGGTAGCCCGTCTGATCATCGTATTGCTTTCTCTGAGGCCGTTTCGAGAATCTCTCCATTAAGGGGCAGCAGAAGGCAAGGATGAAGATTTATGCTTAGGTTTTCTACTTTGGAGGCCTCCTCACCGGACAAAATCGGTGCCGTAATCAGAAGGGTGGGCAAAAATTCGACCCCCCTGGGACTCGAACCCAGAATCTTTGCCAGCAGGGTGCTGGAACCGGAAAGCAACGCCTTACCATTAGGCCAAGGGGCCGGTGTATAATGTTTTTTGACTGACGAGACTATAGATTCTTACGGCATACTGTACAGTTGCAATGAACGTGCGACTCTGTAGAACAGGTCTGAAAACCCCTGAATGCTGCGGGCTTTGTCACAACCTTTTTCTTGTATGATATAAGGAATCCCACGAATTCGAGTAGTCTAAAAAATAGACTGCTGTAATACGGGGAACTCTGTAACTCCTACTGAGTACTCCGTACTTTGGTGTCGTATGTCTCCGTGTTACACTGTTTCTTAGCTGAGTCTGCACTGTTCGATTGTCAACGTCCTAGCTTCTTCCATTGCAAGAAGTGTAGGGATTCCTGGGCACTGCTCCATCAAAACGTCGATACTTCCCAAGGTCTCGATATCACTACATCTAAATGGCTAAAATCTATGATTATAAGCCAGCAGTGACGGCAAAATTTCCAGGATACTGGTATTTCAGGGCAATCCCAATCGGACTCTGACTTCTACTGAGTAGAGCTCTGGTGTCAACAATCTGATTGTGTTTGAATGTTTGCGCTGTGCAATGGACGCGGGTGCTTGAAGAACTCAAGGAACAGGCGGTATGGTTCTTATAGGCTACTGTGACTAGCAGAGAGAGTCCATGGAAGCCAAAAGGGCGGCATGGTGCCTCATAAGAAGGGTTGAAAGCATTCTGGGTCTCTTAATTACGCTAAGAATATTTTCAGTTCAAAGATGATTTTGCTTTCGCTATTTGTACGATACGCCTTGAATAACTGGGTCAAAAGTTGTGAATAGCTGTGTCTAAAGCTCGTGTGAATAAACATTCATTAGTGAGATTGTCCATCTGTTGCGGTGTTCTCATGCACCGAGTTCTATCTTTTTTCGTAGGTCATTGCCCTCATCTTGTGGCACATCTGCCTTTTATAACAAGAGCAAGAACACTCTGCACACCTGTTCTCTATAACCTAGAAGTGGCCATCAACTCCGATCTCTGTAAACAAAATATTTTGAGTTTATTGATGTTTGAATCTGAAGGTCAACAGACGGGCTAATATGGCCTGAAGGTGGCACACGAAGACTGGGGAGCGGACATCGTATACTTGCTGTCTCGGTGGCCCGAAATACCAAGATGTTGTCACAGGAGCTTACGCCATGAGATATTTCTTGTTGCGTAAACGGCTTGGGGGTCACTGCACAGTAGATGAACAGTGGAACCAAAAGGCGCCGAGGAAAAGCCCCGAAAAGGTGTTTCTATTTAGGAAGTCGCGACTGAGAAAGTCTTTTCTCCGAATTTAATGTGTGTTTCGTTCTCTCAGAACATGGGGCTTAAACGCAAGCAGTTATAAATACAAACGTACAAAAATCATATTTTCTTTGATTTTCCAAGCTCAATATACTCTCATTTCACATGCCTGGCTTCAGATATCATGGCCTTCGCTCTCAATGCTCTGGCGAGACATGAAAGGAACCCCGACAAGATTACACAAATGTGGAAAGAGCACACAGACTGCACCGAAGTCCCATTGAGGAAAGCACGTCTCTGCAATAATACGATCATAAGACTGAATTCCGTCGTATTGAAATTAGATGGTTTCTTCTCTCCTGCAACGCACACTAACTACTGACTTGAACAGAAGAAGCAGGTGAAGAAGCAAGATCGGCAGCAACAATAGCAACACCAGCAACAACAACAAATTTAGCACCGGCACCAGTACCAGCACGATGCGGGCTTAGCTTCCGGTGGTTTTCGCCACGGTGTTCGCCGTGGTGACGGCGATGATGACGACGACAATGACGATGACGGAGATGACAATGGTGACGGTGACGGCAGCGGCGGCACAGAACTCCCCTGCCAATGTTTACGTCTCTTGCTCGTGCCCGGCCGCGTCTCCGTGTCCGGCGGTGTGTCTGCCCGCCCCCCCCCCCCTCCTTCTTATACGCTAATTCCTTCCTGTCCGGCTCCGCTTCTGGAGATACCACCGTGTCCCTCCCTCTCTTTCCCGGATATTCCTCCATGTCCCACCTTGTCTTGCCCGCCCCCCACTTCTTGCCCGCCTCCGGTTTCCTGCTCGTCCTCCCCACCTCCACCGTCTACAACTGGTGAAGCCTCCGCTATCAACTGGAGCAGCGTTTCCATAGTTTCTCTCATGTGCCTTGCCACCATCATCTCTGAGTGGCTCCAACGGACGCGGCCAACGAAGGAGGAGAGAGAAGAAGAAAGAGAGAGGAAGAGAGAGAAGGAGAGAGAGGACGAGAGCAAGAAGGGAAAAGGGAAGGAGAAAGACGCACATATCCGGGGCCTCTTCGTGATGTGCTGAACACAGAAACGTCCGGGTTTTCGAAGATCAAGACATTCGCCTTCGGCAAAAAGAAGAAGCCAGCTGACGTGAAGATGCTGGTTATGCCGAAGACGCCAAAGAAGGCGGCGGAGCAGTCGCCTGCGAAGTCAACTGGCAGCGATCATGGGCAGAAGAGCCCAGAACAGGGCATACTCCGCAACATTCGGAGTTCAGCTTCTGTCGACGACAGCGGCGGCGAAGGATATTCGCGCTAGTGACTTGTGCTTTCTTGTTTTTGTTTTTTTTGTTTTTAGTATGTTTTCACGTATGTACGTATGTATGCTAGCGTGTTTGGTTTTTTTGGCCTGCTTTTTTGGTTTTAAAGACATATTTACTCAAGAATAATGAGTGAAAGTTTTGGTCTGTTAGTGCAGTCGGCACACATGTACTTTTTGTTGTTCCACTACGGGCTTGACTCAAGTACGGAGCAACTGTAGGAGACGTAGACGCACACAAACTACTAACATAGAGACAGACACAAAGAAGCAGCGAGAAGGTAGACGCACCTCACAACAAAGCGTACACAACATTAAGAAAGTTGATGTGGGAGATGTTTCTAATTCACTGAATCACTGTAATGTTGTATTTTATGATCTAGGAAAGCCGTTTCAAGCCTTAGGCCAGAATTTTCGAATTATTGAAGCTTAAATGCAACAATGCGACTCGAAGTCAGGGTTTGCCTTCCTTTGAATATGAGGGGCACATCTCTGTTCTTAAGTGACGCCTGTCGTGAGCAGGTAATTTGCTATATAAAAAAAAGGTTTTGGCATAATAGTCCAATGGCGAAGACTCGGAAGAAACGATAAATAGAGACGTAATGTTTATTGCGAGTGACTGAGGATGTGTGCAAAGTTGGACGTGGGAAGAAGCGAGGGATGATGAGGTGTTTTGATTTCTTGCACCAGCACACAATATTTCATTCTACAGGCTCTTACAAAAGCAGCATAGTACGACCTAGAATTCCTACCCAAAACTTTTTGTATCACAGCCCAACAGTTTCTGGAGGCGCATGATCTTGAAAAACAATCACAGGTAACACGACAGAAGATGTCACACAATGTTGTGTGACGTAGGACCAGGAAGAAAGTAAAATCGTGCTTTACTAGGCTGGAACACATTTGTAATGGCGAAATATTGGAGTTGTACTCCGTAATGCACAAGTATATTTCATCCTGTATTGAATAAATGCCAGGGTGTCAAATCTCAAAAGCCCCCCCCCCTTCTGGCGACTGTAAAGCGATAGCCATGAATCCGGTACAAATCCAAGGTTGCTCTAGTCCATATACCCGGACCAGATTTGGCAGCAGACCTGCTTGTTAAGCGGAACGACGGTCAATTATCGCAGCATGTAACCAAAAGTAAGATTCTTTGGATGTCTAAATCGAGCCCGGCAGAGAGAAAAATTTCCCACCGTTCTTATAGTCGGCCAATTTACTAGAAAATGAAATAAGAGACATTGCAAGAATATGCTGAACTTCGGCAGGATACTTCAGGATGGCGTCAATAGGGCTGGAAATGGCATTCGTAGAGGTGGTAGCAACTGCTTGAATATGCATTTTGGGGACGCCAAACAGTATCAAAACAGAGCCGGAGATGATACCCTTGATGTAATTATCAACAGTGTCCCTTGTCGTAGGACTCAGTCTGTCAAAATCCGTCGCGACCCTGACCGCTGCGGTCGCTTCTTCGGCGGTCATTCCACCGATGATGTGTCTTGGCCCAACGCAGCCACCATTTTAACGGCATTGGTGATTGATATCACCATAGCGGGGGCGACTGTGTCTCTGTCTTCTTGTGACAGGTCATCGATAGCCTCGAGGGTGGCTTGGATGCATTCGGATATATTGGTGACGGTCTCGGCCACAAGATCACTCGATACGGCATAGGCAGCCGTGTAGATGACCTTAGCGATGGCTGTTGCAGGCCCCCCTGACTTTTCGGCGATGATGTCGGCTAGGCCCACGTCTCCGCTCCGCAAGCGAACCTCGCATTCGGTGTTGCGGGTGGTGTTTGTACAGTTGGAGGCCTCAGGCTCCGGATGATATGGCGGAGGAGCTTCTTGATCTTGGACCGGACCAGGGGGGAACCTCTATCTTCGTCTGTATCTTTATAATCACTCGAGTTTCGACCAGTTATTATCTGAGAAATGGCTATTGGAGAATTGGAGCCGAAAATTTTCGGTGCGTTTTGAAAAGGTCAAAATGGTGGGAAAACGACGCCTCAAAATCTGGTTCTTAATCTGGGTTGTGTCGATACAGTCATTGTAATATTGTGAAACCCAATTCTTACTCGTAGTGCCGCACTCTTCAGGTAAGCCATTTACCACCTGATGTGTTTCCACCGTTTACTTTTCGCTGACTGTCAGTACAAATATAAGAAATGTGATACTTAGATATGTGCCTGGAGATCGGGACGTCAAAAAATCGCAGCATTAAGAATCATGGCCTTCCATGTGCTATGCATAAGCTACCAGATCTTCACCAAACCCTGCTATCTCGACGAAGTAGAGCACTTATGCTGCACCAGCCATCCAATCGTACCTTACATTTAGACGGAGGTGCAGAACCCCGGATTTATCTGGTAGAAGGGGGCGGATTTATGTCACTAGCAAAAACTGCAAAAGAGCGTGTCTGACCTAAGACTTTCGCGTTGCTAGTTCTTGGCTAGACTTTGTGATTTAGATGGAATAACACTTGTGTGTTTATCACGTGGATATGATTACCCTTTGAGCGTACCGTAGTGAGAGCAAAGCGGTATGGTTCGATCAGTTTACGGCGTTCTAGTTTGCAATAAATGACTAGGACAGCCGCCACCGGCACATTGTATCGCCCATCGGTTATCATGTAACGAAGCTGCAACAGGGAGAGACGATAAATAGTCGTATACGCCTCCCATCGTTTGCAACCACGAAAAGGCAGAATTAGTAGCAGTGTTGGCCAAGAGCAGTCATCGAACTCAGGGTGACCCTGGTGAAGCATAGATGTGTTGCTCTATTCACAGGAGCCTTATTTTCTAAACTGGTCTGCCCTACTAGAAAAAGTGACGTCCTCCTACTCCAGCATATTGTCACACCCTAAAGCTGTCGTGGCCGGGCCACACCAGCTTCAGCCTGACTGTCGTCCAACAGAGCAAGACCGATCGATTAGCACCAGTAGGGATAAGGATGGCGCCAACGGACCGGTCCGAGTTTTATGGCGTTTTAACGCTAGAGTGTGTCGCTGTAAGTCGTGCGATTGTCCATGCAATGGCGCAGGATGAACTCGTTGAGTTGGCCCATTGAGTTGGCCGTGGAGCGATATCAGATAGCTGGACTGTGTTGACATATATCGGCATCATTTGGCTGTACATATCAAGAGTTAGAAATGGCGGGAACGAACTCGACGCCACTTTGGGTGATGGCTCGACCACGAGACAGGAGGTATCTCTTTGTTGAAACTAGAACACAAGTGAGACTGAAAACGATGACAAGAGCGCCATGTGACTGGCGGGGCTCGAAGATTCAAACTGCATATGAGGAATTACACTTATTGGTCGTTTCGGTGACGATAATACTTCTGGACTAGACTGTTCTGCATGGCTTATTTGTTGAGGTGTGTGCCGAAAGTTGTTCGGAGGGGCTACCCCTCCACACTATACTTATCACATTGTCTTTGCCGTCGGGCTGAAAACTCTTAGGAAACTTTAACAATTTGTGAAATTCACTTTTTTTTCCATTGACAGCTGAGAGTATATTCTCCCCATATTCATCGACAATGTGGACGGCAGTCGACGTCTTGGTTCTCCTCTTGGCAATAGCTTTTGGGTGGTTGTTGCGGTCAACGTCTTCGACTGGTGATAACCATGACTCGAAACAGTCTTTAGCTAGTGATCATCGTGGCTCCAACCCTTCTTTGATCAGTGATAGCGACGTTTCGAAACCGACCCAAGCCAGCGACATCTGTGACAAGCCGTCTCGGATTGAAGATGGCCGAGTCCCGAGACCTTTGACTAGCAACGTCCATCAGTCGAGGCCATCTCCGGCTAGCGATGGCGGCAACTCGAAGCCGTCACCGATTGACGTTAACCATGACCCAAAAACTTCCTCGGAAAATAATAGCGACGAGTTGAAATTGTCTCCAAAAAAGATTGCGTTTCGTGTACGAGGCGTACCTAACGACTGGAATCGGGTCGCTCTGGAATCTTTTCTGGCAAAAGACAGCCCCATGGCCGGGCCAAGTATTCAGTCTTTGGTCAAAGAAATTCATGGCCGCTCGCAGACTGCAACGGTTTCCTTCCAGAAGGTCTCAGAAGCTATTCGGACAGCCCAATCCAAAGGTTCCTGGGAAATTTCTCTTTCACAAGGACTCGTGCTTGACACTCATTTCCACGGTGTCACAACTCTTTATGTGCCTCCCTCTCCAGACTACAAAGTCGAGTAAGTAGGCGGCCTGGTTTGAATTATAGACCGTGTACTAATGCCAGCAAGTGTGATTGCGATCTCTGGCCTTGGCGGGCACGCTTTCGGATCTTTTAAGCAAAGGTCCGGAGAGCACATGTGGCTACGAGACGCCCTTCCACATCACATCACCGAAGAGGATAACCGATCGCTGGCGCGTGTTATGACTTATGGCTACGACTCACGACTTTTGAACAGCGACAACTTTCATAATTTGGATGACCTCGCGAAGTCCTTTTATGACAGCTTTCTGGTCTTGACTAATGGTCGAACCTTTCGGCCGATCATCATCTTGGCCCATAGTTTGGGAGGGCTAATCGTCAAGCAGGCAAGTTTATACACATGATACGCTAGACGCTATTCTTACAGACTGGCAGGCACTTATATCACTGTCGATTACCAAGGATGAGGGCTACCAGGCGCTCTTCCAAGCGATGTATGGCATCGTATTTTTTGGAGTTCCAAATCATGGCATGGATATCAGTTCCCTCAAGCCGATGGTAGACAACAGACCTAACCGATTTCTACTCGAGTCGATTGGGCCCAATTCGCAAGTCCTTGGCCAGCAGTATGGCGATTTTCAAAAAGCCTTAGGAAAAGGCATGTTCGAGGTCGTCTGCTTCTACGAAATGGTCGAGTCACCGACAGCTGTTCAGGTACGTCTACCCAAGCATCTGAAGTCGGTATATGCTAACATATGCAGGGCGAAAACGGTGTATGGAAAATGGAAGGGCCTCCTGCCATTCTCGTAGCTCCCGAATCAGCTACACATTGCCGGCATTGGGAGGAGGGGGAGCAGTACAAATGCCCCATCAATCGAACTCACTCAGAAATGGTCAAGTTTGGCCCCCAAGACGCAGAATATGAGAAGGTTCTCCAACGAGTCAAACGCATTGTCCAAAAAGCGCCCTTTTGCGCAAAGAGTATGTAACTAAAGCGCCCCTGAGAATATTTCGGTTGTATCTAGTTAGTTGTATTAAAACATTTTAGCCCCGATTCAGCCACGGCTTTCACCAAAGGAGCAAGAATGCCTACACTCGCTAGCCTTTTCGGAGATGAACGCCCGCGCCAACGACATTGACCCAGCCGTCGAAGGAACGTGCAAATGGCTACTCGAACACAGGAACTATACGGCTTGGAAAGCTTCCGCTTCAAGCCTACTCTGGATCAAAGGAAAGCCAGGCTCGGGGAAGTCAACATTGCTCAAATACGCCCTCAAGAATCAAGAAGCTTCAGCTAGAGGCAATGACCTTGTCTTATCATTCTTCTTCCACGGTCGCGGAGCAGACCTCCAAAGAACACCTCTTGGCTTCTTCCGCTCTCTTTTTCACCAGCTTCTTAGTCGGGTCCCTGCTGCTCTATCTAGCCTAGTTGAAACCTTTCAAAAAAGGTGCGAGACAATCGGCCAAGTAGGAAAGTGGCAGTGGCATGAAAAAGAGTTGTGGGAGTTCTTCCAGTCCTCTCTTCCGGCTGTTGTTGAGCACCATTCTGTTTGGATATTCGTCGATGCTCTAGACGAGTGTGGCCAAGAGAATGCAAGGAATCTCATTGCAAAGTTTAACTCCTTGCTCAAAGCTCTTCAGTCCTCGCCTTTCACTGTCAAACGCTTTCACCTCTGCTTCGCTTGTCGCCCGTACCCGGTTCAGACTTGGAACGACAATCTTGACCTGTGCCCCGAGCATTATAATGGGGGGGATATCGCAACTTTCGTTGAGGCCCAGAAATTCTCACTCCGTTTGCAAGCAGCAGAGATTCCGACCCTAATCACAAGTCGAGCCTCGGGCGTCTTTATGTGGGCGCGTCTTACTGCAGAGAGGGTCAGGAGCCTTGAACTCGAAGGTGCTGGGCCGAGGGAGATAAAAGACGAGATCGCTTCCATCCCTGAAGAACTTGATGCTTTGTACGATGGCCTTGTCAAAGGTATGAAGTCGGCCTCCACTAAGCTAATCTACTGGATCTGCTTTGCCACACGGCCATTGTCAGTGGATGAGCTGCGCTGGGCCATGGTAGTTGATGCCGACTGCCAATATAACTCATTGCAAGCCTGCCGCAACGCCAAGGATGTACTGGACAACGACCAGCTGGAGAAGCGGATTCAAACACTCAGCCGGGGTCTTGCTGAGTTCACGTCGTCTTCCGATACACAGGTTGTTCAGTTCATCCATCAATCTGTCAGTGACTATTTCCTGGACAAAGGCTTGTTGGCGCTTAACGGCAACTCAATGCCGACCGAACTGGTCATCGGCAGAGCACACTTTCAGCTGTCCAGAACCTGCATACACTACTTGGCGATGGAGGAGATCGCACTTTGCGAACTTGACGAAGTGTCCGCCTACGACTTGAAATTCAAGTTTCCTCTAATACACTATGCTACGACCTCGTTGGTACCACACATGAAGCAGACCGATGACCAGGGCATCCCTCAAGAAGATCTTTTTGATTCACTATCAGACGACTTTTTGCGCCCATGGACGCGCATTTACCGAAGAATAGAGGAGTATTCAAACAACCGTCCACAAGAAGATATAACCCTTATACACATTGTAGCAAGATACGGTATCTTAGGGTTGCTTAATGCTGCTAGAAAATCCCTCTCTGAATACACTACGAGCATCAATTCAATAACTAAAGATGGCCGGACGCCGTTGTCGTTGGCTGCTGAAAATGGGCACGAGGCTGTGGTTAAGCTACTGCTTGAAACCGGCCAAGTCGACGTTGATTCGAAGGATACTGAATACGGCCGGACGCCGTTGTCGTGGGCTGCTAAAAATGGGCACGAGGCTGTGGTTAAGCTACTGCTTGAAACTGGCCAAGTCGACGTTGATTCAAAGGATGCTGAATACGGCCGGACGCCGTTGTCGTGGGCTGCTGAAAATGGGCAGGAGGCTGTGGTTAAGCTACTGCTTGAAACCGGCCAAGTTGACGTTGATTTGAAGGATATTGTATACGGCCGGACGCCGTTGTCGTGGGCTGCTGAAAATGGGCACGAGGCTGTGGTTAAGCTACTGCTTAAAACCGGCCAAGTCGACGTTGATTCGAAGGATGCTAACGGCCGGACGCCGTTGTTGCGGGCCGCTGAAAATGGGCAGGAGGCTATGGTTGAGCTGTTTCAGCGGTATGCTATGGATAGTTGACTGATTTGTTTCTACTTTTTTTGCTGCTTTAGTTAGGATGTGTTACTATGGATGTTTGGCTATTTCCTGCTATGTAGAAATATGACTCTGCTCTCTTACTCCTGTATACTTTCGAATTCTGTGATGTATTTTACAAGTGCATGCCTGGTCCAGTATTGCACACTATATTCAGTGCCTTATGCTTGTCTAGTGATGGTCAACTTGGCAATCTTTGGCGTAATCCCAGTCCCGGGATAGTCGTTACGATCAGACTGTCACTCCTGTTTACTGTCGGGGTATCGCCAATCTGTGTATTACATGGAATCAGGCCAGAGAGAGGCAATGCCTGCAGCGGTGTGCGTAAGCTGTGGTCTGCTGTCGGTTAAAGTCAATCGAGATGGGAGAGTATGGAGTTGAGTGAGTTAAGATTAAGTACTCTATATGCAATATCCCGGGACATCGCCAATAGCGGGGCTCTTCAGCATAAGTCCGACCGTTCCGGCTGTCAGACACAGTGCCAGAAGAATGGTTCGGGAAACCCCACACGTGCTGCTACTCTCGTCTTGAGTAAAAATAAAACGACGCGGAAAAGGCAACGCGCCTTGTCGGACTCACCATCTGATTCCGCTGACCGCCCAGCGTGCCTCTCTTTTTTCCCGTCTTTTTTTTCCCTTGTTGTCTGAAGATGCGACCGCCGGTTACCGGAGGCTTGCTGTTTGTCGGATCGCCCAATTCTCTGTCGTTGTAGCGCACTCGGACTCTCTCGATCGACTGCTTCCCTGCGTCACTTTTCCCACTTCCTCTCGCTCTTGGCCAACTCTTGCCGACGCCACACTCGTGTAAACACACCTCTGCCGCTTCACACCCACCACTCGAATGGCCTCTCTGCCAACGCCACCGCCGGAAGCCGAGCCGTCCGCAGGCTCCTCTGCCAATGGCAAGCTGGTTCCAGCAGCCTCATCGGCCCCGATAGCCCACGACTCGGACTCTTCGACGGCCGGATCCAACTCACCGCTCCTGGGCTCCGGGGCGCCGTCCGTGTCCTCGTCGACTGCGGCCTCAGCCCCCCGCATGACCAACCGCCAGTCGCTGGCCGTGTCCTTTGACAAGACCGTGCTCAACATGCTCAAGCTGGACAACTACGACCTGGATATCCAGGAAGACGTGCTCGTCGTCGTTGGTGCGTCGCCTCTCCCGTGATGAAACTACTATGCGCCAGTCTGGGCTGGTTGCTAACCTCGACGGGCATCCGCCCACTGCAGACAAGGAGAAACGCAGGAAGAACCGGCGTACGTGTGAAATTTTGGCCTATCCAGTAGGGACTGCCTGTTTCCTTTGTCTCTCTCTCTCTCCTCTGCTTCTGCTAATCTTTGTGTTCAGGCAGCAGCGGCAACACCTCTTACCGCCGGACGATCCCGCTCTACAACGTGCTCTGGGCCGAGGTGACGGCCAGCACGACGACGCCGCCACAACAACGACTGGTAGTGGACTTTGCCGACCGGCTCTCGAAGACGCGACTGCACGTGGCGCAGCTGGTGGTGCCGGTGATGACGGGGCCGGATCGACCGACACCGGCGGAGGTGGCCACATGGGCAGAGCTGCTGCTGTCGCGGGCGTACGGGCCTTAGAAGTGCCGATGCGACGACGGGCGTACGTTCTGGTGAATCCGCATGCTGGACCAGGCGGCGCAGTGCGCAAGTGGGAGACAGAGGTACGGCCGGTGTTTGCGGCCGCGCGCATGGACCTCACAGTGGTGACGACGACGCACTCGGGCCAGGCGACGGAGCTGTGCGCGGCGCTGGACATTGACCGCTACGACATGGTGGTGCCGTGTTCGGGCGACGGGCTGGCCCACGAGGTGTACAACGGGCTCGGGCGGCGGCCAGACGCACGACGGGCTCTCGCTCAGCTCGCCGTAGCCCATGTTCCCTGTGGCAGCGGCAATGCCATGGCCTGCAATCTCTACGGCACGCATCGGGCCAGTCTGGCAGCGCTGGCCATCGTCAAGGGTGTCGTGGCGCCGCTGGACCTCGTCAGCATCACGCAGGGTGACCGCAGGATGCTCAGCTTTCTCAGCCAGGCTGTCGGCGTCATTGCCGAGGCCGATCTCGCCACCGAGCATCTTCGCTGGATGGGCGAGGCTCGCTTCACCTGGGGCTTCCTGCAGCGCTTCATGGCCCGCCGCGTCTACCCGTGCGACCTGGCCGTCAAGGTCGAGATCGCGCACAAGGACGACGGTCCCGGGCCCATTACGCGCAGCAGCGCCAGCTCGAAAACAACCGGCGCAAAGAGCAGCAGCAGCAGGCGAGGCGGGGGGGCCGCTCCAAGCTCGACTCGTCCGAGGCCACCACAGCCACCACAGCCACCACAGCCACAACTGCCACAACTGCCACATCAGCCACCACAGCCACAGCTTCCACGACCAACACGGCCTCCACATCTGCCACCTCCACCAAGAGCGAGAACGGCAAGCTGGCGGCCGACGACGACGGCCTGGGCCTGCCGCCGCTGCAGTATGGCACTGTTGAGGACGAGCTGCCCGAGGGCTGGGAGTTTGTGCCGCACGACAAGCTCGGCAACTTTTACTGCGGAAACGTGAGTCAGCCCCTGTCTCTGCTGCCACATCTGCTGACCGAACGAACAGATGGCCTACATGGCTCCCGACGCCAACTTCTTCTCGGCCGCCCTGATGAGCGACGGGCTCGTCGACCTGGTGACCGTCGACGGCGACATTCCGCTGCACAAATCGCTCGGCATGATCACGTCCATCGACAACGGCCACTTCTTTGACAACCCGGTCGTGCGCTACAGCAAGATCACCGGCTACCGCCTCGTGCCCAAGAACCAGGACGACGGCTACATCAGCATCGACGGCGAGCGCATCGACTTTGCCCCCTTCCAGGCCGAAGTGCACCGCGGTCTCGGCCGTGTCATCGCCAAGCGCGCCGACCGCTACGAGGCCCCCGGCCCGCGCAACTGGGAAAAGGTCACCGCAGCCGAACGCATCATGGCTTGAAGGCTTGCGGTGTCGTTGCAATTCTTGTCCATATACACACATACTTAATCCTCTCTAATCCATGTATCTAGCAGTCTGGCCTGTTTCTCTGTATTCTGCCCCCTTTTTTGTCTGTCTCTGTTCCGTGGAGGGCACTTCTTTCTACACACAAGTACAGTATTATACCATGTATCAACAATACACACACGTCGTCGCTTGGGCAAACATGCGGCACTGCTAATCTTTTTCTCTCCCGTTTTCCTGGCCCGCTGTTGTTTACTGCTCCCGCATTGCCTAAACGCCAATACAATATGCCATAGCTATAATCACAACCATGCATCACTCGAACCCGTCCCAGCTTCCGTTGTCTGCCATGTCCTCGTCCTCGTCGCTGTTGGCCTCGTCCGCGCTCTCCTCGGCTTTCTCGTTCCACGGCAGCCGCTCGTCGGTCAAGGCCTCGCGCGCGTGCTTGCGAACGGCTGGCGACCTCGTCTGCGCTGCCAGCGTCTCGACCAGCGCATTGACGTTGCGGACCAGAGATGGCCGGCCGGCTGCATCGCTCGCTTCTGTCGCCTCTGTCGCCTCAGCCTCGGCCAGCAGCCCCAGCTTCTCGGCCTCGTCCACCCAGATGTCCAGCACGTGCATCGCCAAGCCAACGGGGATGCGCACCGTCGCCTGCACCCGCTTCCGCGTCCATCGCTTCTCGCCGCCATCTTCCAATTGGTCCTCATCCTGGCCGTCGTCCACCGGCGTCTCTGCCTCTGGGTTTAGCGGCCAGTCCTGCAGCACCGACAGACCTGCCGTCTCGGCCGCCAGCGACTGCACAGCCGCCGCTTTCGCCTGTGTCTTCTTCTGCTTCTTCTTCTCCCCTCCCACGCTGCCTGCCATCCATGCTAGCTGTGCCGCCAACACCCGCCGCACCAACAGCAGGAATTTGTCCATCCGCAGCACATCGATGCCCGTCGTCCACCGCTGCGCCATGATGGCCCAGAACCCCCGCAGCCACGCCACCGTCGAGGCGTCTGCTAGCCCTACGGCTGCCGGCAGCCCCGCCAACTCGTCGCACAGCCGCTGCTGCACTGGCGCTCGGTCCGCCATCCAGAGCGCATAAAACAGGCCGGTCCACAGCTTATGTGCGTCGAGGAAGCTGAGCGGCACCGACGTCGAAGGGCCGGCATACTTTGTCGACAGAAATGCCTTGAGCGTGTCGAGCGACTGTGTGCGCGTCCTGCGGTCTGTTGGCCCAGAGTCTGTCAGCAAAACGCTTCACATGCACTTCGTCTATTCTCTTCCTCACAAGCTACTTACCGCTGGAGGCGAGGTTTTTGATAAACGGCATAGAAGCCGCTGAGGATGCCATTTTGAATCGTCGTCGCAGTACCCAGGGTGGCCTGTTTATATCTCTTTGTTTTGCGTACACCTGCAGTTCGATCGTCAAAGCGCAGAACCCCAGAAAAAAGTTCAAGAAAAAAAAAACCGATAACAGGATAGATAGCGAGAACGATACTATTTACTGTGGGGCACTCTCGAATATTGTTGTATCGGGGCGCGCGAGGCTGACAAGCCTCACCTCAGTGATAAGAGATTCTAAAAAAGAAGACATGACAGAGCAGGACAGACAGAACGGGCAGGTTCAACGTACCATTACAATTTTCCCGCATTATCGAAGCTTATTACGTCGCGCTATTGCTGCACCATTTCATACTCGTTTTCGTTTTGCATTTTCCGGTTTTTTTTTGTAGCTTTTCATCTTTTTTTGTTGTCTTGCTGCTCTTTGCTTTGGATCCAGATTGGCTACTCCGTACATGATCGCTGATTTCGCACGATTGATGATCTGCTTTCTCTGTCTCTCCCCGGTTATTGTACACTGCACCTGTCGAGATGTCCGTAAATGCACGGTAAATGCATAAACGTACTGCTGAAAGATGGAACCAAAGATGCTCCAAGCTGTTTGTTGTATTTTCAAATAATATTCGCAAGAACACGAGAAGCTCGTAGATACGATTTTGAAACATTATCGCCGGGCGGATGCTGAAAGAGCAGCCGTGGTTCGAACCGGGTCATCACCAAAATGCTGTTTATGTCAGTCACAACTGGGAGATGGCAGAGAGGGAAACAAGAAGGGTTGCGTCTGTAACCACTTGGCCACCCGTCATCAATGTCTACAGAAAAGCAGGTTTAATTGGGGGATATATCTCTTTTCCCACCTGCCCCTGCCATATATTCCATTTGGGAAGTTGAGGCTGGGATCGCTCCTGTCGCGGAGGCAAGTGCACGTGTGGAAGGAGCTTGTGCACTAACACGGAGGCTCCTACCCTTGTCTGGCCTTGTCCCTGGAGTACGGCTCGTCCTGCTCCTTCGCCATCTTCGCCATCTTCTAAGCGAGCAGCCTGGCCGTTATTGAGCAGCTGGATGTCATGCCATATCAGAGTGAGGTAATAATTCACAGAGCATATATGGACATGGCCAGCGAGCTCTTCCGGGGTTTCAGGCGAGATTACATCGCTGTGTTCTTTGCCAAAGGCGGAATGGTGACTATTTGTACAGAGTTCGGCGAGAATTCGACGTAGGTCCTATTGATTGTCCAGACTATGCTCTGCTACATGCAAACAATCTACGAGCCTCAATATTCCCGTCAAGTCACTCTCAAAATCAACTAGCCAAGACAACGAACTTATCAGGAGGACATACTGCTTTCCGTGCCTGAAAGTGGTCATCCTTTGCTAAACCAAAACACCACGCTGTTGTATGCAAAAGGAACGGGAGCAGGGAAGCAGAAACTCGAAAACGCAAAGGCAAAGCAGGAAAAGGAAGACAAAAGCACGCTCTCATGAAATCATTCAACGGGTCGTTTCGCTTTCTGCACGCGGCTACCACCGCTCCCGCCGCGGCTCGACTTCGTGAATGTCTGGGTCTGCCATCAGCTCCTTGATGCTGTGCTCGTCACACACGTGGTCAACCAGGTTCGTCATGTTGCTGCACACGGCCACGCGGGATGAAGAGCTCCGCCCACGGCCGGAATAGCGCCCGCGCTCCTCGCACAGACAGCAAGCGTACGACGGCTTCAGCATGGAAAACCCGGCGTGGCGGCTCTCATGGTCTTCAACCACCTTGGCGGTCTGGTGGCACTTGACGACGAATCGGTTGCTGAGCACGAAAACGCGGTCCTCGACGTCATCAACAACACTGTGCGAGTGCATACTAGCGCCTCTTCTGTGGTGATTTCTACCGGCATCCCGGTCATCGTCATCCCTGTCGAACCGCTGGCCAACCACAACGGACTTTTGAATCTTCCACGCGTAGTCTGGCGAGATCTCCAGACGGCCGGCGCAAGAGGGACAGAAAGCGGCCGTTGTGTCGGAAATGGCAGTGTCGTCGCCGTCCAGATCCAAGTCCATCGGCGTCCGGGGGTTGCGCTGCAGCTGCAGGGCGTAGGGACAGAACAGGCCGGTGTCCTCACGGCCATCGGCATATTCCAGATAGTCGTTGGAGTGGTGGGAGAGCGGTCGGTGCGGTGTAGAGTCTTCCAGCAGGCGCTGGTGCTGTTCCCGCAGAGCGCGGATGCTGCCGTTGCGAGCGCGGTCTGCAGCCTCGGCCAGACGCTCGGATGAGAAGCCGTACCGATCGTCCACTCTCCCGCCTCTGGGGTTGCTCGAACTGCGGCGGTAGCTGCGGCGGTCCAGGGCTTCCTGCAGCTGCTGAATCACAGACGACTGCAGGTCGATGAGGAGGGCCTGCAGCTGGAGGCGGGCCGTGGCGTCTCCTTGGGCGAAACGAGGACCGGCAGAAGCCAGGAGCCCCTCGTACTCGCGGCGGATAGCCGTAGGCGCAGATGAGAGGGCCGCATAGACGGCATCGCCGACCGCGTTGGGCGAGAGGTATCCGGCGCCGCCGCCAAAACCATCGTGTCGGTCGAGACGGTCACGGCGATCGAGGCGGTCAATGCGATGCTCGAGATCGTCGATCCTGTGGTCCTGCGCGTGGTCGGTGTGGTGCTGGCGGGAGTGGTCACGGATACGATCGTACAGGCCGATGCCGGTGGTGAAGGTGCCGATGATGGTGGAGATGAGGGTGGCGACGATGAAGCCTTTCTGGAGACGAGGAGCGGTGTGAGTGGAGAGATGTTCGGACAGGCTTTCTTCGAGAGGTGAATATGCGTACCTTTAGACCTTTTTCGTCAATCATGCTGGCGTAGTTCATGGCAGACGTGTGGCGATGAATGGACGATAGAGGACGTAAAGACAGTGAACCGGGGACAACGAGACAATGAGACAGCGGCGAAGAAAAGTGAGTAGATCAAGGAAAAAATATCATGCGAGCAAAGGAGGCAAGCGTCTGAAGATATGGCGCCAAGCGCGGACGACGTCGTGGTGTGCGGGCCCACCGGGAAAGGGCGAGGCAAGGAGGGGAAGAAGCTTGAAGCTTCCATTTATGTAAAGTCCCCCTCCGGCACGTCCACAAGGGGAAACGCGTGGCGGTGCAGCAGACGCACCTTCCGGGGCCGTCGCAGCTGCCTAGTACGGCCGGCCAAGCCAGCCTGTCGTGGTCGGCCGAGTCACCGCCATTCGGTGAGCCGTCGATCCCAGGGCACCAATCCTGGATGCCCAGCCCAGATGACGGAGCCTGGCTGCAGCCCCCATGTCCAGTGACGACAGGCTGCAGCCAGAGGGCCGGCCGGCCGGCCAATGGGCGGCCACGAGCCCTGCTAGCAGTCTGGCAGTGTCCCAACTACGAGCGCTATTCGTGCTTTAGTCCCAACAGCTGCGGCCACTTTCCACTATCGTTGACACCAATCCCATCGTGTCTTTCCTTTCCATTTCCTTCCTTTTTCCCTTTCCGCTTTCCATCCATCGTTTTTTCCCTCTTCTCGCTTGCCGTTGACTCCACCCTCGGCCTTTCCGACTGGCTTGGCCACTGCTTCTGCTCGACCTTACTCAGATCATCGCATTTCCCATCTTCAATCTTTCTCCATTATTTGTAGGCATGTGGTCTCTTTTTCTCGTAAACTCCGTCCAATCCAAACCCAGGAATGCATATGGCCGCAGTCGTTCGCCGTCTTGGAAACCCGAGGCCAAAAGAAGAACCATCACCGCACCACAACCACAACCACAACCATAAACACGCAACCACACAACCACACACTGTCATGCACACTGTCTCTTTCTTAATCTTTTGTCTTTTATATGTTATGTGCCCTCTTCCCCACCTGGCTTCTATAGTCGGCCAGAGGCCCACTCAAGCCTTAAACTCGGCCGCCAGGACCTCCTGCACCTTAGCCGGCAGCTTGGCCACGGCGGTTGCGTCGAGTGCACGCCGCAGTTCGGCCGTCTGCTCCTTGACCCGCGCATTGTCAGCGTCGAGCGCGCGGGCTGCGTTGAGGCAGCGTAGGGCCAGCAGGAATTTATCTGTACAGTCAGCGAAAAGGAAAAAAGAAAAGAAGAAAGAAAGAAAAAGAAAGAAAGAAAGGAAAAAAAAAAGAAAAAAAAGAAAAAAAAACTCACTCCGTCGTAGATAAATGTCAAAGCCGACAAGCTGGCCTTCCAGGCTCTTGGGGCTAAACTGCAGCACAGGCGCAACAAACTTGGTGGCCTCGGCCAGCGGATCAGCCGTGGCGGCCAGCTTGAGGCCGAGCGGATCATCGTCCTTCTTCTTGATCTCGCCGGCGTCAGCTGCCGCTGCCGTGGCCTTGTTCGGGTCCTGCTTGGCCGCCTTCTCGGCCGTCTCCTTCTCGGCCCGCAGCGCCTCTTTCTTGGCTTTCTTGGCCGCCTTCTTCTTCTCGGCCGCCTCGGCTGCCGACGGTGGTGAAGCCTCTGCCGACGCGTTGCCGTTGGCCCCGGCGGTGCCGTTGGCCGTCTTGTCGCCGCTGCCTTGTGCGTGGTCAAACTTGGCCACGTACAGCCGGGCTGCATCCAGAGCGGCGCGTGTGAAGAATGGGTGCTCGCGCAGCCGGTCCTCCCAGCGGACCAGGTCGACATAGGCGCGGATCATGCCCTTGCGCAGCGAAAAGGCGTGAAAATCGAACTGGTCCTCCTGCCAGACGTCAAAGACGGCACTGACGGCGTGGAAACGCTTCAGCGCAAGACCTTCGTTGCCGCGACGCGCATAGGCCTCGCCGTCTTCCGTCAGATACCACACGCACTGCATCTCCAGCAGGTCGGCCAGCGGGTCGGCTGCCGACTCTGGCCGCGTGAACAGGCCCATCGTCTTGATCGCCGCCTCGTTCTCATTGTTCCGCAGCCGGTACTTGGCCGCCTTGCTGTTGATGTAGCGATCGCGTGTGTCCAGCTGTCGTGCCGCATCCATCGCGTCGGCCGCCTTCTGCAGGTCGCCCCGGTGCTTCCATATCCGCGCTTTGGTCATCTGGAAGTCCACGCTCTTGCCGTCCAACCCGATCGCCCGGTCGCAGTACACGTCCGCCTGGTCCAGGTTCCGGCTGCGATAGTAGTTGTGGTGCTGTGCCAGGTAGTACAGCGCCGCACCCTCGCCTTTGGACGCATCTTTCTTCTCGTCTGCGCCGTTCGCCTTGGCCTCGTCCGAGCTGTGTGCAGCCAGGTACTCCTCCACCAGCATCCGCAGCGCCTCCTTCTTCGCCTCGTCGGCATAGAGGTGCTTGACGTTGGCAAACAGCGATGGGATGCCCTTGTCAAGCATTGGGAACAGGTACTTTCGTGCCCTCTCCTTGAATAGGTCGCCTGGGATGTCAGCAGGAACAGCTGCCGGCCGAACAATCAGACGCAAACTCACCTGTCAGAAAGTTGAGCGGCAGACGGTGCGGAGCATCACTCCGGGGATACTTGGCCGAGTACTCGTCGAGCACGGCGAGACGTGTGGCTGTGGCTTCGGGGCTCTGGTCGTCGGCAAGGCCGAGGGTCTGCACGAGGCCCTCGTAGTACTTGGAGTTGTCCGGGTTGCGGTCGATGAGGGCGCGCCAGGCCACGGCCGCATCGGTGCTGCGGTCGGCACCCAGCAGCGTGAGGTAGCGGGCACGGGTCTCGAGCACGGCAAGCCGGTCGAGCGCCCGGTCAGCTGCGGCCGACTCGAGGTGGTCGAGCGCCCGTTGGATGTCGCCGGTCTCGGCGATGATGGCGTTCTTGTACAGCAGCGCCTCGGAGTGCTCAACGTCGGTGCGTGGCGGCTCGTTCTTCAGCGTGTCCTCGTACATGGTCAGGATGTGCTCGGCTTCGGCCAGGTTGCCGGCCAGGTGGTGGGCAATGGCCAGGCCGGTCCAGTGCATTCGCTGCTGCGGCCGTGCCTGCAGGATGGCCTGGCGGCTCTGCACGTAGCCGGCATAGTCGCGCATCTGCACCTGCAGAATCGCCAGGTCACGTTGGATCTGCGGCGATTCGGGCTCCAGCCGCAGGGCAAACTTGTATGCCTTGATGGCCTCTTCAAAGTTCTTGTTGGCTCGATATAGCAGCCCGTACACGTGCCAGCAGATGTGCGACTTCATGTCCACCGTCAGCGCCTCCTTGCCCAGCGCAAACGCCTCGTCCGTCTTTCCCTGGCCGTTGAGAATCAGCGCCTTCATCGCCATCGTGTCGCCATGTCGCGGATTCTTCTTGAGGATCTGCTCGGCTGCCTTGAGGCCGCGCTTGTACTCCTTCTCCTCATAGTTGCGGATGACCTGGCGGAACAGGTTGGCATCGCGGCTGCTGAGTAATTGGGGCATGGGGGAGACCGGTGGGGAGAGGGCAGAGCCTCGCAACAGGATCGGATCCGAGAGAGCGAACTGAGATGAGGGGTGGCCGAGAAATTGGATGTCTGACAAGCTGTCACAGAATCCGCTCACAGACGCACTAGCGGGCAACAGCTCGGAAACAAAAAGAGTGCCGGCAGTGCTGACTCGGGAACAAAGGGAATAGAGACCGTTGGAGAAGCACGGGGAATATGCCTTGCGGAAACCGTGGTCACGATGGGAGCCAAACAGTCTATTTTTGGTGGGATTTTTCTCTTTTTGCTGTCGGAAACGGTGTTGTTCCAGAGCGAGGCAGTTGAAAAGCGGGCTGGCCCCGATAACCGATAAGAAGCTTTCCATCCGGATACATGCATATGCGTGTATGCTGTTCTGCTGTACTGTGAAATTTCGCACCGAATGAACTCTCGTCGAATAACTGTTTCTCTCTTAAGAAAAAGAATATTGTGTCCGTTAATGTGCGGTAGAATCACACAAACCAAAAGTACAACATTCTCGCAGTTAGCTGGCGCATACCGCTTTGCTAAGCACATTGAACCGAACTGACGGCCTAAACGCTCACTAGCTACTCCGTAAAGGTCTTTCAATGCCTATGATCTTTGCTGATCTTTGTCACATGTTGAGCCGTTACACATATCTAAACAGTCCCTCCCACAAGTATCACAACCCTTTCCTCAAGCACGCTCCTTACAAGATCAGGATTGCAACAAATAAACCAACTTTGAGCCGGAACCCGCACACACTCGGGTATTGGCATTGTCTGCCCCTATTTACCCTAGAAACAGAGGGTGCATACCTTGTTGTCCTAATGGGACCTCTTTATTAGTTCATGACGACGTGGTCTAAGGCCTATGTGCCGAAAAGCAAGTAGGTGGATATGCGGTCCGTGCGTTCGGAAAGGGCGTGGGGTAATTATTATAGCGAAGAAGCTTACTTGGTGTAGTGCCCAGTTGGAGACGCTGTCTCACATTGCTACTTTTCAGGGCAAGGCTGGGCTGTTGAAACGGTGTCAAGAAAACGGGTGACATTAGTTTAGGAGGCTCAAACATTACACCTGGTCCATATGCAGAAACCTGTTCATGCCCAATATATTGGCTATAGCTATATGCAAATCCTGCTCTGGTGTCTTTACCAGCATTCTTTTCCATTTAAAAAAGTGGAGTTGGCTCACTTGTGCTCGTCTGTAGACGTTTTCTGCTCACCTACAGACAGCCAGTCTTGCAAATCTCAGTCGGTCGCAATGATGGCAGACCCACTAGACGCATTGGTTGGCTCCTTGTATTCCACCCTCTGCAATGTCGCGGTTGAGGATGGAGGAACAGGGTCGCACACCCGTGTATTCTTTCATATACCGGTAGATTGCAGCGGCAGACCAGGATATATGGGCTTGACGTCGACGTTGTTGTCCCGTTGTAGCAGCGCCGCGTGGTGTACTCTTCCCGATCGCCTTCTCTTCTCTGGCTGGCCGGCTTTGAGCTACCGCAGCCGCCACCGGTCCAGCGCGGCCTCCCAGCTGCTGTTCTCGATGCCGGTCGTGATGCCAGTGCCGCAGCGGTTCTGCAACACTTCCCACGAGCGGGCACGCACAATCGTCTCCACACCGCGCTCCTGTCGCATCAGGGCAGCCAGGCGATCGGCCTCGGGCTCAACCTCGGCGAAGCGCCGCCGCCGGATGTAGGGGTCGTAGCGTTCAGTGAGGCGGGGGTCGGAGGCGTCGAGGGCGTCTGGGAGGCCATCCTTCTTGTCGGCCTTTTCTGCTGCTGCCGCCTCGGCCGCCTCGGCAACGCCGGTACAGTATCGGATGACGTCGTCGCGTGCCTGCCAGGCGGGGAAGAGCACAGAATCACGAAAATTTCGGCAGGCGGATGGTGAGGGTGAGAAGCGGGAGGATGAGTGGGACGGAGAAGCAGAAGGGTATACACGGGTGGCCGTGGATGCAGGGTCGAAGCCGGCGCGTGCGGGCGTGACGAGAGCATTGAGGCTCTGGGTGATGGTATCGTCGACGGCGCGGGACATGCGAAGGAAGTCTGAGGGGGGGTGAAGAACACAATCAAGGTCAGCAAGCCCAGAAGGCTATCGCAAAAGAGACATGGAAGCGCAGAATTACCCCGAAGAGCGACCGTGGAGAAGCAGAGCTGGGGCGTTAGTGCCGGACGTGCAGGCTGTGTCGCCATGGTGGGATTATCGCGAGAGGAGGCGTCCGCGATGTCGTCCGCAATGTCGTCCTCGTCGGCAGAGGCTGAGGACGGCCGGGAAGGCCGGGTCGGCCGGGTCGGCGGGGACGGCTGGGACGCCGGCTTGCTCGAAGACCAGAAGAGGTTCGCCAGGGCGGCGGTATGAAGCTGCCGTCACGGGGAGCCAAGAGTGCTGGGGGGCGAGAGGGGAAGAAAACCGTGCATGCCTGTGAAAGAAAGCTTAAAAATGTCCAGCCTGCTTTGAGTGGAATGATCGATTAAGTGGGGTATCGCAGCTAGCAGACAGCGTGTAATCTGATTGGCTGGAGCTGCAGATGTTGCAAGATAGCGATGCTTCTGCTTGCTGGGTCATCAGCTTGGAAAAGAAAGAGGTCCAATCTGTGTCGGTCAGAGATGCCTTTGAATTATTTACACTCTCTATTTTCCCCTTGGCCGGACTTTCTGTTCCTTCTCTTCCTCGTGCCAGAATGCGAGAAAGCCCTCCAAGGCTCATCGTGTCCTGAAACGTTCCTAAGGCTTCTTTCTGTGACGGCTGCAGCCACTGAATTTCCGGTCCAAGGCTCTGAGCTGCAACAGTTGGTGATACTTTTACTGGCGTAGTACGACGTACTTGTATCTTACTACCCCTATACAAGCATAGCCACTTCTTAGTCATCACTCCTTATCTTCGTCCCCTTTTCCAGGTCTAAAAATGGACGGCAGGATACCATCAAGGTAGGCAGCCATTTCAATAACGTTCTCGGTTGACTAGTTAACTAGCTGGAGACTTCAAGTCCGACGACACCCCAGACTGCAAGGTACTCGTACGCATGGGATGGAGAGTGGACTGCTGGCCGACTGACCTAAACGATAGTGCGAGGAGATGTGGGATGGGGCACCGACCAGGATGACGACCTCAGTCAGAGACGGGGGTGTGGGGGAGCGAATGATATACCGTTGTAACCACTCGTGAAATTTCTCCTTCTACTACTCCGTAAGCGAGTGACCTATCACAATTCCTTCATTTTTCCAGGCACAAGCCGGCCTCAGAGTGCACACCGGCCCCTTTGCTTTTTCTGCCTCGGCCACGACGATCACACCCCTGTCTTGTTTTCGCCGGACAGTCATCCGACTGGCTGCACCATCACCCGACGACTTCACGAGCGGAAGATACCGCCCGAAGCTGCCGTTCTCAAAATGCAGACCAAAGTTGGAAAGTGTTTGTTTTTTACCTGCCATGTCATGCTAGTTCAGACAATGCGCCGTCCTAGACCCAAGTATCTCGTAATGTATGAATTGTCACACCCACTCAAAACACCGTCCTCCAGTCTCGAAACAATATCCAAGACAAGAAGAAAAGAATGGAAAGACTGAAAAAAGGGGGAAGAAGCGAAAGATAAACAGACAGAAAGCGAAATCAAACCTCCGCGACAAGGCGTCTATGAGCCTCTTTCGGGAATAGATTCATGAACTCATCAGAACACTGGTGAAACGCAAAAAAAAAGAAACAAGCAACGAAAACTGTCTCATGTCCAGCCCATCAATATCGTTGCCTGTGCGTCAAGACGATCTTTCAAACTTTTAACCGCTTTCAGATGTAATGCCAATAAAAACACAGGGGTACATCAGACCCAAAAGAATTGTATCAAGAACATCAAGTCATGCAAGTACCGTCATGCAAATACAAATCGCGGAACGGGAAATGAAAAAAAAAAAGGGATATTGGGGAATAGAAACGCGACATGTGAAATTGATGTAGAAAAAAAGAAAAAAAAAAAGAAAAAAAAAGAAACGTCTATGCCCGTCGGATACTGTAACCCGGCTGCACAAAAGCCTTGAGGCCAATGTCGGCGATGCGTCGGCCCACATTGGTCAAGCCGGCGCCGTGGTCTTGCGCCTGCTTGCGGATGAACTCCGTCGCCATGGCAAACTTGATGCGCGGATCGGCTTCGTCCTCGTGGCCGGGTGGGACAATCATGTCGCTGGAAGCCGAGTAGCGTGGCGCGAGATGGCGCAGAATGGCAATGGAATAGATAATGTCGCGATTCTCGTGGCCATCCAGCAGGTTTCGCATCCGCACCAGTGCCTGCTCGCGCAGCCTCGGCAGGCTGTTGCCAGGTGTGTTGTTGAGGCCTGCATCCTCTTGCAACCGCAGGTATTCTGCCAACCACCACCAGAACTGGTGCTCACGAATCCGGGTAGGATTCCCGCCTCTTGGTGGCGGCATGCACGGGTTTGTTCGCACACAACCTCCCGAGAGCAGCGCATCGATCACGGACAGTCGATTGCGCGCCTCAGTGGCATTATCTGTTGAAAGCGGCTCCTCGCTCGGCAGGTTGACCGTGGCCGGTGTTACATAGGCCATGGCGGCTAGTGCCCACACAATGCGTGTCTCTAGGGCTGATGCCGCCATCATGTTGGCATCGTTCGGATCCGCCGTCTCGACCCGGGCGATGGAATTCAGGAACGCCGACAGCAGTCCCACAAGATTTTTGTTGTTCAGCAAGTTGCTCACCGGGTTGACCGTTCCGTTCGACTTGAAGTTGTACCAGGTTGTCTCAAAGAAGGTTGTCAGTCCAGGGACGTAAATTTCAAAGTACATCTTAGTGATGTCGTCCAGAGTTTCGAGAGTGGGCTGTGTTGTTGGCACGGGAGGAGCGGGCCCTGCTAGGCCGATAATCTCATCGACCTTCATCTTTGCTGGGGGGTCCAGGTCAGTGGGAATTGAAATAGCTATGGCTGCGTACAGCGGTTCAACCCACCTCTGTAGACCGATCCGGTGGGTTCAGGCGCGTAGCTCCAGTCCTGGGTCGGTGACAAAATGGACCGAGACACGTAGGCTGCCGGGTGATACGCCGTAGAGGCGGCGTTTAGCGAAGAGTTGCTAGAGGATGCTGAGCAGGCTGTAACGGCATAGATGCTCGATGTAGAGGTCGGCGTAGACGAGGACGAGGACGGCACAGGAGGTGCGACACCGGCAGAAGCTGACTTTACGGCCGCAAGCGTCGACGCAGTGCTGGAGGTGGCAGCAGTAGCGGTGGCAGCAGCAGCGGCAGCGATAGGTGATATGGAGATCGAAGAGTATACGGCAGTTCCAGAGGAGACAGAAGCTGGTGACTGTGTCGCCGTTTGCAGAGCTCCGGGACTCTGCGGCTGCTGCCTGAAAACAGGGTCGTAACCAGCACACTCGCGCTTTGATTTCTTGCAGTTGTTGCAGGTGGGGTGTGTCTCGTCGCACTGTCGATGATGAGAAGTATTGTGTTAGTTGCAATTCGGGAGAGAAGACAAATAATTCGCTCGGGGGTCAGTGGATTGCCCTTGGAGGGGCTACGGGGAAGGAATTAGCGCCGGGCGGTGAGGCACGCTTTTAGCGTACCAGCTGCCTGTAGAGCCCCCGCAGGCATAACCGGTTCTGGACTGTCTCGCTTTTTCTCGTCCAGTCTATCGGCTGCCCAAATCCACCGCTGTGGTGTTTCCTAGGGCTCCCATCTGCACTCAGGCCGGCTGCCCAGATACTATGTGCGACCGGGAAGGAACGAAACAGGAACAGGAACAGGAAGTGTGGTAGGGGATGCGGTATTGATGCTGCGAAGTGCGTGTATGGTGGCCAAACTCACCTTGATTCTGCGCTTTCGGCATGTCATACAGCCGGTTTTTGTTCGTCGCTTGATCTCCTGCTCTCGTACGTGACGTTAGTGCGTGCGTCTTCCTATCTGGCTACCGGCCTACGGCCTGGGCCAATATGGAATGGAGGATGAGAAGCTCGCCTTTTTATGCCGTGGGACTGGGCTCATGCCTAGTGGTGCCATCCGGTAGTTGTGGTATTCCCTCGGCTGCCCCGACAGTCCATACATCGGCACGTTGTGCGAAGGCATCGAGTATGGCGGCGGCAGCATGGATACGTAGGAGGACGGTGCCGTCTGCACCATTGCCGGTCCTGGCAACGACATTCCGTGCGATAGTTGCGGTTGCGGCGGCTGGTGCACGTCGATGGTTCGCATACTTGGCAGATGGGATGAGTGATGCATCGGCTCGCCGACAGACGGCTGTCGGTACAGGTCGCCGATGCCGACGCCGATATGGGAGGCGGGCCCTCCAGACGTGTTGCCACCGCCATGAGAAGGGTAAGCGTAGTGGCTCTGGCCTTGGTTCTGATTCGACGACCGCGGAAACGGCGGCGAGCTGGAGTGTCCAAGGCCGGTAGCACCCAGCAGACGAGACGGTCCCGGCGGTTGAGGGGGTTGGTTCGACATGTTGTCGGGCTGTGACGAGGCGACGGAGAAGGAGGATTCGGTGCTGGCGGAGTGAGGATACGTGCCAGTGTATGGCAGCCAGCCGCGGCCGGTACTGTATGCGGGGGATTGGTGATAGGGAAAGTCGTGCAGTTGGTCGTCGTCCGAATCTTGCAGCGGCTGAATGGGCGGCAGAGACTCGAGGGTAGGGACAGAAGACGGCGGCCGTGCTTGCAGCGGTGGTCGTGATGCTGGTGAGCCTGTAGCGGCTGCACCCATGGATGTGAGAGCGGCACTGGTGATAGTTGCGGGAGTAGTGGTGTTGGTGATGTGAAGGATGGACGGGACGGCGGCGGATGCTTGCGGAACGTTCACGGGACTAGATGGTGGCAAGTGCTGCGGACCAGACGAAGATGACCGAAAGGATGACGACGAGTCTGACCCGGCGTGGACCGCGTGTCGTTCGCGATGTGCTAGCTGCAGCCGATGAGGCTGTTGATATTCATATTCGTGTCGGTCGTCTGGGCCGGCAGCTCGTATTCGCAGATTTGCTGCCGGTCGTCCCAGGTGGCCATATGCCTGCGCCTCTACCTCCTGCCGGACGTTGTCCCTGTTCCTGGCCGGGTCCTCGTCTCCGAGCTGGTGGTATCTGTCGTCGACGCTGGTACCGAGAGAGGTTGCGATTGGATGAGGTGGTGGGCGAGTCAATAGCTGCGCCATATTGATAGTTCAATTAATAATGCCATTCGCTAGCTGTGTATTCCTCTTATACGTATACGAATAATACATATAAGCCGGGTAGTGTGTATGGAGCCATACAAGGGGGGGGGGGACCCAAATGGGTTGAAGCAATAGTAGTGGAATGGGTGCGGTGCATCATTTCATTTTCATAAACTTTAAAAAAGGAACGCGACCGTGGGCCGGGTTTGCTTTGGGGGGGTTTGGGGGAGTGATTCCCTCGCTGTGGGCGGTGGGGTGAGATACGAAAGCACAGGCAGAGCGGAGGTTCAGGGGAGGGCGTGTGTGCAAGGCAAAAGCTTTGTCGGATCACTTGGTACACTTGTCGTAACCGCGACATTTCTTTTGGTCCGCATGCAACTGCTATTTACGAATCTTTGAGTTTGGAATTCTACCTTGCTCCGCGGCTTCTTTCTCCGGGCCCTTCGTCAGTCAGAATCTGTCGCTCCTTCCCCCTTTCAGACGCCCGTCCCCTCCCTGCCTCTGCGCCTGTCGTGTGAACACACCGTGCCTTCCCTCGCCCCTTGCGCCTGCTGCTGCACCGGTCAATGCTGGACAGACGGCAAGGGCGAGCATGCTCGAAGTAAGCTTCGCCTGCAGCGCAGCCCGGTGAAAGCCAGACAGGGAGGAAACCAACAAGGGTGGGCAGCCTAGCGTGCTTCGTTGGCCTTGCTCTTTCCGTTTTCTGTGCAAGTCGCTCGAGCTTTCGCCAATTTCCTTCTCTTCCTGTCTTCTTTAGGCGCCGTGGAGAGACTCGGGGTGCGATGCAATGCGCCAGGCCATCGGCCTACTGCACCGTCGGCCTCCCTTTGTTCTGCTCGGTGTCTGTTCTCGCTTTATCCAGGAGCTCCGGTGCGTGCCTTCGTATCGGGATTCTCAGTCTTGACCCGCTCCGATTCTCCACCAATACTACCACTTCACCATGCCATCGCTGCCGCCACCTGCCATCACGACCATCGCCACAATTAGCTCTCCTCCACGAATGCACGCATCATTTCTGTCCTAATTCTGCTCGCGAATGCAAGGCGCCCTCCCCCTTGCTGTCGGTTGTGCGAGAATAGCCAATGGCTGACGACCGACAGCCGACGGCCAAATTGCAACTCGAGGCCGGCTTACCGTGCCCCCATCATAGTGCACAGCGTGCGTGCGTAGTATTGGCCGGATGCAGCTATTGCCAATAATAATACGCTGGCCATTATGGCACATTTCTGCTTGCCGTGCGCCCACTACGTACTCTGTACTATGTATTACGGAGTATGCGTTTCCTGAAGCGCACTTCTTCTCCTTCGGGTGCACGCCTTTTTAGCCTGCCCTTTTAGTACCATGGCTCAGTAGACAGAATACGATAGTGGGAAAGAGTGCTATAGGGGGAGATTAGTAGGCGGACATTGGTGATGGATATCATACGGCGGTACGCGTAGAGACGGTGGAGCTTCCCAAAACGCACTGCATACGGAGTACGTATCCCATGCTCGATTGGACGAGGCACGATCCAGTTCGCCTTCCGCTGTGAAGGAAAGGATGGGGGTGTGCAGAAGCTGCAGGAGCTACAGGGGGAAAGGAGCCCGCAAGATACCCCGAACGGACTCTTCCCCTCGTGCCGAAGGATGCCTGCACAGCTCAGCCGTACTCGTACTCCGTTCATATAGGCTCGGAGTGCGTGTCGTACCGCTAACAAATAACCTTGCGAATATCCTTCAGTGCAGCCGTGGCCTCGCCGGCCGACAGGGATGAGACCACCTGAGCCAGACGTCCCTCGGAGGCGAATGACGCAGACCGGACCCCTGTTGCAAGGTAGCCGGCCAGAGAAGCGACAAGCGAAGACGCCAGGTTCTTAGTGCCTGTTCTGGAAAGAGCGGGATGCGTCACCGTACGTGTATGGAGCACGGCAGCAGCTCGAGTATCTGGCGCCTTATCTTGCTAAAGATTAATGGGGACCCAGCCGGGAGACACACTGTGTTCGCACGTCTGTTCTCGTTCAGCAGCAGCTATTATCGCGTGATTTCCCTCTGTCCAGCGGCCGGGCGGGTTTCCGCTGCCGGTTCGTTCGATTGTGCGATTCGGGGGCGGATTCGCCCAGTCTCCATTTCGCCGACTGCCCTGCGTGCCGGCTGGCGCGCGTGAGCACTCGTACGCACTGCATGCAAGGGAGCAGCGTGAGTGGGAGGCCGTATGAGCACCAGGACTGTCCTGTGTTCACTCACCCGCCAGGCTGGCTCCCCTTGAGTAGCGAGGCCGTGTCCCGCCGATTGATACCCGTTCTAGCCCTGGCTCGCTTATGAGGTTGCAGCGGCAAGATGAGAGCAGGGTAGCTGATTGGCCGGAATGCACGGCTTGTCTCTTCCAAGTAAGATACTCCGTGATATCGTACGAGCATATCGATCCGGCGGTTCTTCCATCGTGGGGCAAGTGACATCTCCAAGGAAGCAATAAAACAGACTGACCGAAATGCCTGTTGGGGAACAGCCCACCAACGCCCAGGCCACTACCGCTAGTCTCAAATAAATAAAAATATAATATTCATATTACTATGGTGTCCCCGCCCATAACGGCAAGTAGCGGTGCTGCCAAAAATATTAACGGCTCGACAGGGAGGACGGCCCATAAAAGAACGGGACCGACTTCGTTTTTTCCTCACTGGCGCCCCAGCGCGTCTTTTTTGTGCCTGTCGATCTTGCCACGGGTTCCTAAACGGGAAATGGTACGATGGGCTATGATGGGCATTTCCAGAAATGAGGCATCCACAAATGCCAATTAGGAATTACCAAATGCGTGCGAGTTTGAAAATCAATATTACGGGCGGAGAAGACAGCGTCGGAAACAGGAAAAACCCCCCAGGAAAGGACAGGAAAAATCTGACAATTGCCAACCGGGTCTAGACCCAGCAAATCAGCGACGTGACGATTATATCGTAAGTTGTTCTCTTCCCTCCCGGCAACCCAGCCGTGCCCCGCGATAATTGGTCCGCAGGCCCCCGTGGCATAGCCTGTGCCCACTTGCGCTTGCCGCAGCGATTTGTACCACAATCTCTTTTGTACTCCGTTCGGAGTACTTCGGTTCCTGTTGGTGGCCGGTGGCTCCTGCCTCTAGAAATATATTATTACACCTCTTTTTTTCTCGCTTTCCCTTCCCTCTCATCGTCGCTTGTTCCGCCTGGTCATGAGGGCTGTCACGTTCGTCATCCCTCTCCTGCTTCTTCGACCCACCAGCTTGCTGTTTCCAAAGCGAAACCCCACTGACTTTGTTGCCTTACGCTTCGGCGTCCCCGTTTAACGTTTTGCTCCACATGCATGATTTCTAACGGACTACGGAGTATCGGTCTTGTTTTATCCCAATTTTCTATCTTCAAATGGATGTCCCGGAACCGGTGTAATTTAGTTCGGGCGCAATTGATCGGCCTTTGAAAGATACATCGCGGGCCCTTCTTTATTTGCTTTTGTTTGCATGTTCTCCGTTGGCATACCGTTTCGCTTGATAACACGGTGGCCTGGACAGAAACTATACGACTTGCCATGGCGCGAGATGAGTGGCCATCACAGCACACTGTTCGTCCAATGCATAGCTCCAACATAAGATACATAGTAGGTCCTTCCTATCTCGATAATTCCAGCCCATATCCGTTCCAGCGTAACATAGTACATCGTCATATCGCTACGTTGTACTCCGTACTTCGTAATTCCAGCAATTTGCCCGTGCCGCTAGCCGAAGGCCTCTTCGTGTCTCGACATTGCCTCCTTCCATTCTAGCTTAGGCCGCTTCTAAACAGTGGTCACTTTTTCTTACAACCTATCTGCTTCATTCTGCTGGCGTCACATGAAGCCAGTGTCGATCAGCAGCCGAAAGCGTACAGGTACCGAGCTTCAGATGCGACCTATGATGGTTGTATAAGGAGAAATCGTCAACATGCCGGAATACGGAGTATGACGTACCTGTGACAAATACAAGGCAGAGTTGACTGCGGTGCTACATAGTGAATGTCACAGTGCTTCTACCATCCCGTCCGCTTTGACTATTTCAAGTTCGCTAATCTAGCCTATATACGGAGTACATAAGATACATGTGCACATACTCTACGAAGTAGAGTAGCCACCCATCTTCAGCGAAATGCAATTGTCCATGGACATCACGTCTCTTCCCATCGACGAAGTGGAGCGTTAGGGTCCCGCCAACCCTACTATACTCAGTAGTCAGTGCTCGTTATTAGCCAACATCGGCGTGTGTTGCTGCAGATGCATGTACAGCAGTAGCCTGCTATATGCAGACACAAAAAAAAAAGATGCTCGGCTGCAACTCAAACCAAGCACCACATCAGAGATGTCTCCGAATAAAATTGCATCGCTGTTCTCGCTTGCATACACTGCAGCTTGCTTTCAGCCCTTGTAAATAGAGTTCGTATCCACAAGCAGCTAGCTGTCTCAATTTCGGAATGCAAGTTGAGATATTTTAGCAAACAAATGATCACATGCTTCTTGTCGTCTGCCTGAATTCGGAATTTATACCAGTACCTGCTTCGTTACAGATATATACCCCGGGAGAAAACCATCTCCTAGAATCTGCCAAGACTTTAGAATTTTACACCAAACGCACAGAGATTTCGGTTGTATCGTGCCACGGCCAAGGGTTGGTTCGGCTTGTACGGTTATCTGTTTTACATCTAGCCTCCTGATTTGTAACTATGAGCTATTTCGATGTTTAGCGCCGTAGGCTGCCGTAACTTCCCCGAGATGTGTTACGTACGCGACATTGAGATGTACGCGACCTTCGGTTGCCACAGTGCAATTTATATGGCGTTTCAGCATTACAGGGGCAACCAAGTCACATTTCACTTTGCAGGTGATGCATTCGCTCACGCGTCTATTAGCTTGCCATCCTGCTGCTTGCCGGCTCCAAGCTACATGTTACAAAAGTCTCAGTATACCTTTGCGTCTTCCATGAGACAAAATCAAGAAATTATGTGAAAACCCGTACAAGATATATTGGTCCTCGCGGCTACCACTTCAACCTTGTATTGCTCCGTGCTCAATTAAGCGCGTATGAGTGCCATGAAACGGATATGTTTATCAAGCCCTAGGCTCAGTCTTACGCTACGGTGTAGGAGGGAGACCCCGAGGGAGATTTTAAGAATTAAAAGTATCCATAGCCCGAGACAAAATGTCCGTGAGCTTCCCTTAAGAGTAAGGGTCGATACCAATGTATTCTCTGCCTGTCTGGGACTTGTGTTGAAACCAAAATGCAGCGCGCCAACGCCGTATACATTCTCTTATGCCTCGTGGTATAGTTTTGTTGAAAAATAACTCCCCATCATTGGCTGCCTGATCTCGCATTTGCGGATAGGCCCATCCCAGTAGACGTTTCCTTGCGTCGTTTTCTCAATGAACAAAAAAAAATCATAAAAGCAAAACAATCATGGCTCCTTTTCCTATGCTGTTGAAAACATTCTCTCTACCTCGGTGGACGCGACGGAACAAGCCAACGCAAACACGATGTAGAAAGCGACATTGGTAGCAGAAACAAGCGTCGAGTCGGTTTCCCGGTTGAAGCGGGATTTACTTTCTCAGATGCGAACCGCAATAATCTTCTATCCCATCTGACCGCGCAGAGAATATGGCGAAGATACGAGATGAAGTAGGTGAATGGATGATGGGACAAATTGAACGATTGGGTAAATTAGTAGCGGTACCTGTTTCCAGAGCTGTCAGCATACATGAAAGGGGACACAATGCCGAGAGAGAGAGAGAGATAAAAGAACGTACATGTCGGACTTGAAAGGGCCCTCAATGGGCAGACCGAGATACTCGGCCTGCACCGGCGTCAGGGAGCTCAGCTCGGCGTTGACGTGGCTCAGGTGCAGCTTGGCGACCTCCTCGTCGAGGATCTTCGGCAGGACGTAGACCTTGTTCTCGAGAGCGCCAGTCTTGGCGAACTCAACGTACTTCTTGGAGAAAGCGGCGTCCTTGTTCTTGAACAGCAGGATCTGGGCCAGAACCTGGTTGGTGAACGAGCACGACATGACAAACGAAGAGTGACCAGTGGCACAGCCCAGGTTGACCAGACGGCCCTCAGCCAGCAGGATCAGGTTGCGGCCGCTCTTCATGGTGAAGCGGTCGACCTGAGGCTTGATGTTGGTGTGGCTCGCGGCGTTGGCCTTGAGCCAAGCAACGTCAATCTCAACGTCGAAGTGGCCAATGTCTAGGCTGGTCAGCAGAGAGGTCTTCAAAAAGGGTCTATATATACAAGAAGTGAAACGTACTGCAGACAATGGCGTCGTTGGGCATGGCCTCGAAGTGCTTGCCAACCAGGATGTCGCGGCAGCCGGTGGTCGTCACGAAGATCTGACCGATGGGGGCAGCCTTCTCCATGGTGGTGACCTGGAAGCCAGCCATAGCGGCCTGCAGAGCGTTGATGGGGTCAACCTCGGTGACCAGCACACGGGCACCCATGCCGTGCAGAGCCAGGGCGCAGCCCTTACCGACGTCGCCGTATCCGGCAACGACGGCAATCTTGCCGGCAATCATGACGTCGGTGGCACGCTTGATGCCGTCGACCAGGGACTCACGGCAGCCGTACAGGTTGTCGAACTTGGACTTGGTGACGGAGTCGTTGACGTTGATGGCGGGCACCAACAGCTTGTTGTTCTTGAGCATGCGGTACAGGTGGTGAACGCCCGTGGTGGTCTCCTCAGACAGACCGAAGCAGCCCTCGAGCATCTCGGGGTACTTGTCGTGCACCAGCTGGGTCAGGTCACCGCCGTCGTCCAGGATCAGGTTCAGCTTCTGGTTGTCCTTGAAGGCAATGAGCTGCTGCTGCAGGCACCAGTTGTACTCCTCCTCGGTCTCACCCTTCCAGGCGAAGACGGGCACGCCCGAGGCAGCAATGGCCGCGGCAGCGTGGTCCTGTGTGGAGAAGATGTTGCAAGACGACCAGGTGACCTCAGCGCCGAGAGCGACCAGAGTCTCGATCAGGACAGCAGTCTGGATGGTCATGTGCAGGCAGCCGGCAATGCGGGCACCCTTGAGCGGCTGGTCCTCAGCGTACTTGGCACGGGTGGCCATCAGACCGGGCATCTCATTCTCAGCCAGTTCAATCTCGCGGCGGCCAAAGGCAGCCAGCGAGATGTCGGCAACCTTGAAGGTCGAAGCCGGGGCAGACATTTTGGATGATGTGTGTGAGTAAAAAGTGTCTGTAGGCCACGGAAGTCAGCCAATTGGATTCTCGAAAGAGGTAATCTAAAGATCAGAGCTTGAAGCTTGTCGCAGAAAGAGATTTCCATTTGAGAGGGCGATGTTGAACATGACCCCAAATGGTGAAACCTCATCTTGTGTAGCTTCGCTCAATGGGTAGTTTCACAGAGGAGTTGCACCGAGACATACCTGTAAAGAAAGGAAAAGTTTCACGAAAACCGAGACACTTATGAGAGGCGAATGGAACAAGAAGAGAGAAGCCGGGAAAAAAAGTGAGAGGGAGATTGGGAGAGAGGAACAGGTAAGTGAAAAGTAGTGATCTGGTTTTTCTCGGTGGGGCAGGAACGATCAATGAGGGGTTAAGAGGGGGACAGAAAAAAAAAGGGCGAGCAGCTAAACCCAATCAGCACAGGCGGAGACCCTTGTGGTCGATCCGATTCGCCCGCTGCAGTATTAGACCAAAACTTACGATCAAACGTATGTAGTTTTTGAAATACGTAGCATGCAAGGCCTAGGATTGTGTCGCCTGTGATATCTCTGCGTATTTACTCTTCTTCTTCCGCCTGCCTCGCCCTCCCTGCCTCTCTCCCGCTTTTTTCTTGCTGTAAGAAGACAGTCGTAGTCCCATAACGCCAGGCCGAATGCAAAAAACCCTCATCCCTCACTCGTGTTTGCACCCAGAGATAAAAGCAGTGCCCCAAGCCAAAGCCCGTCCGATGAGGCAAAATTACGAGGGGAAAAATAAATCTACACCGCCCTCTACCCGCTCCGCGGAGCCTTCTATTCCGGCAGCAGGTTTCCGCGCACGGCAAACATCTTGGCACTGACGTTGGCGGTGAAGCCGTCGACCTGGCGGCTGTACTGCTCGACCTGGCGGGCGTTGAGCATGCCCTCGAGCCGGCTGGGCTCTTGGGGCAACTTGAAGAGCCGCTGCCACTCGTCCTCGGGCAGGGCGGGCTGCTTGGCGATGACGCGCTGGGCATTCTCGGCCTTGCGCTTGGTCTGCCAAGCGGTGATCTTTTGCTGCTCGCGGGTGAGCTGGCGCTGGTAGTACTGGTGGTTGTTGAGGTCGGTGTAGTGTGACTCGATGCTGTCGAGCAGCAGGTCGCACGTCTTCTCCAGGAACGGGTCGATGGACAGCTCGAGGGCGTCCAGAGACGGGAACGGCGGCACAGCCACCGGGTTGCGCTGGATATCGGAGAGCGATGCCGGCAGCGCGACCTCGGCGCTATCAGGCGGCGCTGGCAGCTGGTGGATGAAGGTGGTCAGGAGGTGCGAGTTGTGCACCGTAATGGGCAGCTCGACCAGGATGTCCTTGTACGTGAGCTTGGTTTTTTGCAGGCTGCAAGGGTTAGCAGGCGTAAAGAGCAAGACAAGAGGGGAGAAGAGCGGGAGGGCACATACTTCTCAGTCGTGAACTTGCCCTCCTTGTAGGCGGCCAGGAAGGTGTTGGTCAGGCGGAAGGCGCGCAGGTTCAGGGCACCCTGCGAGCTGCGGCTGACGTCGTAGACCAGGGCGGCCTTGCTCTCGCCGGTGGAGGCATCACGCTGGTAGTGATACAGGTTCTCGATCAGGCTCATGGTGACAAAGTTGCCCATGGTGGCGCTCGTGTAGAAGCCGACGTTGTTGGCGTCCACGTTGACCTCCTTGAGGTGGCGGATCATGTCGGCCTGGTAGGCGATATTGGCCTTGGACCGCGGCGCGGCCGCAGCGAGGGCAGACACATCGTTCTGGTGGCCGCGGTCGTTGGATGACGTGGCGCCGTCCAGGCTGGCTGCGTCCTGGGCCGGGAAGGCAAACGTGTTGGTGATCTCGAGCGTGCTGCCATTCTGCATGCCGACGATGGAGCCGGTTGCCGTCGTGGGGAAGGTCGAGGAGCAGTGCTTGGTGATCTTCATGACGACCAGGGCCTCGACCTGGACCGCCTGGAAAGGCGAGTCCTTGATGGCGTCTGCCACAGAAACCATGATCGATCGTTGGTGGTTGGTACTTGGTGGTGGGGCAATGTGAGCTTGTTCAGGCGGTCTTCAAGGTGCGACAACGAAAGACAGGAAATCGGCCGTTGAGGATGGGAATTGAAGCTAGAGAGAGCCCGGTGGCGGTCGTCCGGAGGAGAGGTGTCGCAAAGGAGGGGGGCACGGGGATGGTCGAGCCGGTTGCGTGGTGCGAATTTTCGGCTTTTTGAGGGCAAATCTCAAAAATGCTGAGAATTCTTCTTTTGCTCCGTTTGTGGGTTTGCGGCAGCCCGGGGCTTCGAGGGCGGTGTCTAGCGGCAGAACTATACGGGCGATTACCCCACCTCGCCGACAAGGACAGTGTTCAGAAAGTCAACACTGTACAATGTATACGGTGCATGCTGAGAGGCATTTTCTGGGCCCCGTCTCACTGCTCCTTTTCCACTCCTCGATGCGCACGACGAGAAGCAGCCCGGCATGGCTGCCCTGGGACGGACAAACGCACAAATGGCGGGAAGAATGGGCAAAACAAGCGTCTGAGTAATAGCATAAATCAGTTCAAGCGTCTATTCGTTTCCCCCTTCCTCTTTGGTCAAGTAGAAATATGGCAACATCTAGCTTACAGGGTGAAGCCCACGCTCATCCCACACGAACCCCCACGCCTTTGACCACCATGTCCGCCGGACTTCGCCCTTTCGCATGCAGGCGACAACGAGCTTAAAATGACGACAGACCCATGTCTCATCCTGTTTTATATCTTTCCTGCTCTCTCCTTCTTCCTGTTTCTTTTCCTTATAAAATCCCGTACTTTAGCTGCACATTTCAGCGTCAGAACTGTCGTATAAAACATTACTTCGTGTCATGACTTTCCGGGCCTCCCCATCTACTCCGTCCACTCCCCAATCTCCCACTGGCTGACATCGTCATGAATGTCCAGCCGGTAGCGTTCGATATGCCACTCGCTATACAGCGACCGCACGGCCGAGCTGGCCCGCTGATGCTCGCGGCCGCGGCCGGCCACGCGAGCGTCGGCCTGCGACCGCCACACGCATGTTGCCAGATTGCGACCGTTGGCGTCGGGGTTGTTGAACCAGTACCGGATCAGGCCGCCACTAGCCAGGGCCTCGCGGTGGGCGGCCACGTCGAGATGGTCCAGATCACTATACGTAGTGGCGGGCGGGATCTGTGAGCGAAAGCCGACGACGAAGAAGTGGGCGCGTTGCCAGCGGAAGCCTTCTGGCACCTTGGCTGCTACGAGCCGACGGAGGAGGTCGATGACGGAAGACAGGTTGAACGAGTCTGCATAGGGTGCCGTGGCGTAGTCGTCACGGACCTTGTCGAAGACGGTCAGGGCGCGGGTCAGCAGCCTTGTCTGGGGGTCGAGTGTGTCGAGGTCCAGCAGATGGTCTGGGTAGGGCGAGATGGCAATATAGCGAGAGTCGTCAAGTGACGGCACCAGTGTGCTGTTGCCGCCGATGCTTTCTGTGAGGGCCAGCGCCCCTTTTTCATCGGACGAGTCATGACTGTGGCTGATGTTGGCTGACGACAGAGGCTGCACGGTGGTGGCCATTGTTGGAAGAGGTATGGTTTGGTTTGCAGGTGTGTTGGATCTGGACAGGACGTGAAGTGGTCCAAGACGGTCTTGAGAAATCTTTGGGAATCTTGGCACGCAAATACAAGTGGGAGAGAAGAACATATACAGGGGGAGAGGGGGGGATTAGAGAACAGAAAACGGAATACGGAAACCGACGGGAGCAGCAGATGGCCAACAGTAAGGGTGTTGCCGAAATCTCGAGCGGCCATCTGCGGCAACTTGAGGACGACTGCTGCGCTCAGGTTGGGCGCAGGCCAGCCAGCAGCCCTCCGTCGTCCCACTTCCGGCGCGCAGAGATTGTGCTCTCGACACAGGATGGCGTTCTTGCTCTGGTCGCCGGCCCACTCGCCTGTTGACATCCCCTTGGCCGATGGCGAGCTCTCATTTGTCTACAAAGGACGGCCCCGCTGCTCGGGCGGCGCATATTGGCACAGATCCCGTCGCAATCACAAAAAGATGATTAACAACTTGTTAGTTGCCTCCTGCAAGGTACCGGGGGGGGAGTTCCGGAGCGGGCAAAATCGCAATTTTTTCCTTCTTTATTTCTGTCGTCTCGCCGGTCGCTTTCGTCGAATGTATCCTGGTTGTTGGGAGGTTGGATTGATGGCGCCATTGTTTCCTCGGCTTGTGCCATGTGGACCAGTCATGTTGGCCGGCTGTTCAAGGCACAAGTCTCAGCATTTACCCTCTTCGTCCTTTCCTCCTGAATTCCTCGTTTTTTGGCCTCCTTCGCTCCTGCTACCTTTCAGTCCTTTCGTCGTAATTTCCTGCACTACCATCCGCTTGTTATTTTCCTGGTTCGTTTGCCTTATCTTGCTCACCTTACTGGTCTCCGAAGTCGGTGGAATCGGTGCGCCTCCTTCTGCGCTGAAGTATGCAGGCAGTTACCATTTTCACCGCCAGCTGCATGATAAGGACACAGGCAAGTCTGGCCGACGTCGTATTTTTCTCTGTCTAGATAGCCTGAACCGGCCAACGATTGGAATTTCGACATGCCGCGCGGCATACTGCAGCCGTGAGTGGCCTGATAGATTGATGCACGTCTTTCTTAACTCTATGTTTTTACAGATCATATGTATGCACGCATCTTGATATATGCATCCTTCCACCTCGACGCCCTACACTCTCCACTTGTGACCACACGAAGCGTATCTCTGCTCGTAGATCGTCTCGTTTTCAGGCGACACCCATTCTCATTTCTGCCCATCGCATTGGCGGCTGTCGCTATCTGCTGCTGCATGTGGACGCAGGAGACTGGAGACCTTTTGGGCCCATCTTTTGGCCCTGCTGACATCCGCATTTGGCCGCCGACCTTCTCCGGTTTGTCGGTTATTACTATGTGGAGCGTCTGTCATCTTTTGCTTTATGCTCGCGTTCTGCTGCCCCCTCTGTTTCCTGCTCATCACAATCCGGCATCGTCGGATTCGCGCCCATTTCGCAGCCACGCCTTGGCCATCTCATATGTGCCCAAATAGAGACCGCTGCCAACAAAGGTCCAGGCTGCCCGCAACGCTCCACCGCGGAACATGCCGCGCATGCCGTGCTCGTGGTAGACGAGCCGCGTCAGCTGCAGGGCGTTCTTGTGTTGGGGATGCATCTGCTTGTCGGAATGTGCTCCTGCCGACAGCATCATGCGGGTCTTGATCACGTCTGACGGCGTCGTGACCACGGCAGCCACGGCTCCCGATGCGCCAGCGCTCAAGCCGTTGGCTGCGCCTACTAGCAGCAGTTGTCCTACACGGTCAGGGCTGCTACCACCGCCGTGTTCATAGTCATTGCTCCACCGTGCCAACAGGCGCACGCGCATGGCCTCGAACATGGGGAACTGCAGCGCTGTGAACGGCACGTTGCGGGCAACAAGCGCCGAATAGCCGGACAGCAGCCGTCGGGAAGCGCCTCCCTCTGCGTTGCGCAACATCTGTAGCGCCTGCAGGGAGCTGCTCATCGATGGTTTGATGGCAGATGTTTTGGGGATTGTGGTGGTCGTGGCGGCAGATGCGGTGGCAGCCCTCTGGATCATCTGTGCATTCTGCTTGATTACCTCGGCCGGCGTGAGAACTAGGCACGATGCCAGCTCGGCTATGCCGGACGATAACGAGTGCACGACAGCGGCCGGAGGTGCCTTGCCGCCATTCACCGCGTTTGGCAGCACATTGCCTACTACGAGCTTTGCTGACTCATAAGTGCTGAAGAATATACCAGCTGTTCCGACGGCCAGCTGAGTCAGGAAATAGGAGACAACCAGGGCTGCTGAAAAAATGGACCGGAGGAGACTTACAGGCTGGTAACGTCGCAACAACAACGCTGCCGACGCCCTGATAGAGACCGCGTAGGGCATAGGGAGACCGGATGGCGCGGCGTAAGGCGGCATCAGTGGCGGATGACACAGATGGCGTCGCCGGTGAAGAGGGAGAAGCGTAGGTCTTGATGTAGTCCTGGCTCTGCAGACGGGTTTTGATCGTGTCGAGAGGGTAAACCAGTAAGTCAACAGTAAAGGCAGCGAAGGCGCCGGCCTGCAGGTGTTCCAGAGTCAGTCACCGTCAGTCTGCTTAAGCCAGTAAGCCGATCACTTAAAAATACAGCATAGGGACAGAAGAAAGAAAGAACAAATGCCTACAAGCAGAATCTCTGCGTATGTGCTATCGTGGCTCATGGCGATGCAAACACTCCAAAGCACGTTTTCCGCAAAAGCGTGCGAAATTACAGGAGGACGAATGGGGAGGGTGTGAAAACAAGATGAAGCCGGAGAATGTGGGCGTGCGAGAGGCGAGATGATCAGATTATCTGATAACTGAAGCAACGGGCGGACAATAGCTCCGGCATGTTTTTAGCACGTCTCTTCGTATTCCCGTAGATAACTTGGGTTTACATCATCTTGCTTCTTAGCGATTATCCGGCGGCTCTTGGCGCGTAGAACTTGTGAGAGACGGCATTACGTAGCAGCTGGTGCGGTTTTTATGGAGTAGAGGTTGCATTCTGGGGCAAGTTCAGCCGGGCTACCGATCGAACTCTCACGTTGCAGCGGGATCCTTTGCAGGACGGACTGCAAGCGTAGTTGGACCTCTAGTTTGTGTGCTGCACTGTTCTCTAAGGGCTTATAATTTTCCTGACCTTGTAGTCTATTATCTATCCACGAACAAAACGATATACTCAAATTTGCATACATTTTTCAATATATGCCACTAGCGATATAGCCTTCAGCTTAGGGCCAAATGCCAGGGAGGGTAAATAAAGTTTGCCAAGCCTTTTGTTTAGTTTCCAGATACAACATCCATCATCCGTGTGTTGATGCATAAATGTGTGCTCATGCAACACGGCTTCCGCACTTGATACTACATTGTTCTGCATCTCATGTGCTCAATATATATTTTCCCGAGACCCTCCTTTAGTAGCCAAACGATATCACGCTAGAGCCACAAATTAGAATATGCAGCTCACCGTTCGTGCTTCATCACAGCTCGTCTTCTGCAGTCGGAGCATCATCCATACCGACCTCATCCGGACAGGTGTCCTCGTCTTTGGCATCTTCGTTGCTTTCTTCCTCACGGTCCGAGCCTTTCTCGCCACTTGGCTCGTTGCCTGCGGCCGGCGGGGACTGTTGGTCGGTGGAAGCTGTGGAGCCCATGGGGCTTGTGGGGCTCATGGGCCCTCGTACCGGCAGAGGCCGTGCAGCCTCTGCCTCTGCCTCTCTCTTCCAAAGAATGATTTGACGGTGCTGACGGTTGCGACACAGTTCCAGCCACTTTGCGCTGACAGCCAAATCCGTGCGGTCGGGAAAGTGCTTGAATCGTCAGAAATTGGGTGACCGCCAGAAAAAGAAGGAAATGATTACCTGGTCACGGAATGCGTCGTCGATTTCAGACCGGGGCGTTCGCTCCAAGAGGTCGAGCTCGTGTTGGGCCCACGCAGCCGTGAGAGGTTTGTGGTGTGTCAGGCTGGCTGAGCGGTAGGAAGATATGAGCCAAGGCGGCAGCAATCCAGGCGGATGGTTCTGGTTCACGGAAGAACGCTGACGACGCCGGATACGGCCCTGCTGTCCCGCCCGTGTCACGAGCCGCGTATCCTGGTAGTACTGGTGAAGCGTGTCTGCTGGCCGAACAGGTTGTGGGTATGGCCAGTGTTCTTGCTGCACCCCGACAGCTGGCAAGCCAATCTGTGGCTGTGTCGGGTTCAGAGGAGCCGACGGGTAAGCAGAAGAAGCATTGCCGGCATCGTCGTCGAGCGAGTGGGGAGTGTCGTAATCCGATTCTGCCGTTCCTGCTGGTTCGGAACTGTACAAGGCTGCCGAAATACCAGCCTCTCTAAGCCTACCATCATCGTAGTAGTCCCGGTTTTCGATGTCCAAAAATCCGTGGAACAGTGTGCCGTCTTCCGAGCTGTTCCCGGCCTCCTAATCCAGGGAATGCGCAGACTCGGAGACAATTGCCTCCTGGCTATTGTGGTCGCCGACATGAAGGCCTTTATCAAAAGATGTACAGGCTTTCAGGCCTGAGGCCGGAACTGCATCTAGTCGCACTGCTTCAGGGGGCGGCGGATACAGAATCGCAGGATCAATGAGGGAGGTATCATCACTGTCGTGTTCACTTTTGATGCCAGTATCAAAACTTTTGCCCTGTGCGCCGCAATGCCAGGCTGTCTCGGCCAACTCGACTTTTGACCTGTCTACTCGAGGCGACACGTTGACCCAGATTAATTCGTTCATGTCGTCGGCTGGCTATAACAAAAAGGGTTGAATGCAGGTATACAAAAGAATAAGATTAGTGTGGAATGCGGGACAAAAGCGCGTCTACTTCGTCTTGGAACAAAATGTTAAACTGACGTCGAGGTGGACGGATATAAAACTGGGTCGGCTTAGATAATAAATTCAACCCCCATGGCGCAAGATGCAACCAGTACTATGCGACCACCTGCATAGGATTGGGCTTTAGTGTGTCAATGAGACGTATACGATTTTTTGCGACCAATGATCGTGTGACAAGGTGAAGCCATGCCACAGGAGTACAGAGCCAGGAAGGCTATTAGGATAGGGCGCGCAAGCAAGGCAGGACAATGACGCAAGAGTAGCCCATCACAGCGTGGAACTTTATGTCGTGACAAAATAGGCAACGAGTGTAGGCCTCTGGACCCACAAGGCGACGCTGAACATGTTTGGTCATGCCGCAGCAGATGCTGATGCAAGACGAGAGCTAGCAACTGACCGCAAACGATTTGGAGCACAACAGTGGTTCTATCTGACGACAAAGACAAAGAACGGCATGGCGAAAGTTCTGGAAAAGCTGCAGAATAAAACTGCAGTGGCTTGGGAAAGTGCATGGTAAGGCAAGGCACACACGCACATAGGCGCAGAAAAGACAGACAAAGGAAAAAAATGGGAAAACGACAGGGGTGGATGCAAATGATTAGGCGGCGAAGTCAATGGGAGGGGGGTGATCCAGCAAAGTGACGGGGGTGTTGTAAGACGCGGCTCTCCGTTCTTGGCGGTCGCCTTTATTCCAGGACGACACACGATTGTGACCCCCTCCTCCGACTGTAACGGAGGTTTTATAAAGAGATCTGCCACGTACCCCTCCGTATGTCGTTCTTTCCTCTCTTCTCCCCTCTCTCATCCACTGTCGCTCTTTAGACAAATTCTGCAGCATCCGCTTTGGGCCAACTGGGAGCAAACAGTACCGGCATCACAAAGACAAAACGAGGGATTGCCACTTCACTATCTCGCCCATCGCCTTTTTAGCTTTCGGCGTCCAGACCCTGCTTCGGTCACCGCCCGCTCCGGTACACGACCACGCTTCTCAAATTCTACCATTTAGACACAACCGTGTCACTTCACAATCGGAGCGAGCACGATCTTCTTGACAGCCAAGGCCGCCTCTCTCCTTCTTGGCCCCCTCGGACGGAGCGATCCTCGAGCCATGAGAGAGAGCTCATCAGCCAGAATCTGGCCAAGCCAGGAACAGCACCGCCGCCGTCGCGACCACAACATTACGCATACAATATCCGCTCGGTACTCGTCACCTTCGGGATCAAGCAGGCCACAGACTCCCTCCACATCACATTCACCATTGGCCGACCCGATGGCTGCGCACGCCTCCTTGCCCTCACCGCCGCCATCTTCATGCAGTGAACGGAGGCCACGGACAATGGACATGGCATCTGGCCCACCGGAACGCTATGTTCCACCTCGCGCGCCTAGCCCGCCATCTCTAGTAGCAGCCAGCTTTCCGGCCTCAGCATCCAAGCAGCAGCCTACATATGGAGAGCAAAACCAGCAACAAAGGCAAATGCAATACCAGAACGGTTGCCACCTGCACCGCCTGGCTGGCCAGTTTCACCCCATCACCCCAGACGCCTCACGAGAGCAGACTCCCGGAGCACCCCCCGAGCATTGGTGCCTTGACTGCCGCGGAGACGGGGAAACCGGGCACAGAAAGGCGTGCCTCAAGGCTGGCAACGCCAGTAGTAGTAGTAGCAGCAATGACAGTGTCCCGGAAGGACTGGGCAAGTGGGAACAGCAGCGTGAGAAGCCCAGACACCTATCACCCCTCTTCACCCTCGATGTCACATGACTTACATATTCATAGAATCTACTGCCCTAGCATACATGCAGCGAAAGAGACAGGAAGCATCAAGGCGAGGGGTGCAAGAACACTAGACGTAGGGGTGGGTGTGGGTGCCGGGTGGTGTGGGCGCAGCAATGTTGTGGTGTGGGTGCTAGGCGGGAAGGATGGTGGATGGTTGCCTGGTGGCCTATCCTCTGCGTAAAAGCGTCCATGTGTTCTTGTCATCTGTCAAAGTGTGCTATAATTGTATTATCAACGGGTTCGGGGATGGGCCGGCAAGTGGAAAAGGAACATTCGGGACAAGGGCCTTGTTCTCACGGGAGGCAGCCAATAGAGGAGTTTCGGGCCTGGAATGGCACAAGGCTGGGGCTACAATAGACATGAATTCTCAAGATGGAAATGGGGAGGCAGATTTCGGGTGAGATTGAGCCGCAACTAATTGGGGCCTATGTACGGAGTACGGAGTAGTATGTATGCTTGTACAGGGGGGGAGGCCTATTTGAGGCGTCTGTCATCTGACGTCGGTCAGACTCCTGCCCCGTTATAGGCATTTCCAACCCCACCAGAGTGAAGCCCAGACGAGGCCCAGCAAGGGGAAAACTGTTTGACCGGGTCTGTGCCACCGGGACGTTCATTCACAGCCCCCTGAACGATGTGGCCGATACGTCAACGACGGCGCGAGACCCCAATTATGCCACTGGGCGTGACGAGCAGTCTTTTTGCCGCGGCCGTGGCCGACCTGCGCGCGCAGCTGAGTGACAGCGGGGCCCTTCATGACGGATGCTATCTTACATGGAGCATAATTTGGGTGCTCGCCACTTGATCTACTGCGGCTGTATCCATCTTTGCTGTTCCGATGTTCTTGCGCTGCAATTGTCGTGCTGATAGTTGTCGTCTTTTCATTCTCCTTACTGCTGATAGACCCCAACACTATGAATTGATGCCTATTTTTAGCGATGGGGAGCTCGTGACCTCGGTCGTCGTGTATCCCGGCAACACGGAGGTGCAGATGCTTATCCGATGGGCCAACAAGAGCCTGTTTCCTATCTATTCCATTTCCATGGGACGCAACCGTAGGCTTTTCCCCTGACGCTCGAGCTTCGTCTTCCCTCACCTCTGCTTCACTCTCCAGTCAACCTAGGCCGTATGCGGGTTGCTCTGGATATCAGCCCCGACGATTGCACCTGTCTGGTCGAGCCGGGTGTGTCCTACTTTACGCTATACGAAGACATACAGCGCCGTGGCTGGCTGACTAGCTGTGGATCGACGTGCTCGACCTCGGCGGTGGCTCTGTCTTTGGCAACGCGGTCGACCACGGCGTCGGCTACACGTCCTATCACCAAGATGGACATGACCCTCATGCCTAGCCCCGGTGGCCACGAAGGCTCTGTGCGTCCTCTGTCCTGCTAATCGACCTCCTATGCAACCTGTGAGGCTGGACAAGCTGAAAAAAAGCAGATGTACACGTTTCTAATGACTCTTGCAGCTGTGGTGGGTGATTGCCTTTGCTCTTTCCTCTCTCGTCATGCCTTCCCATGTTAGAACTGCTTCTTCCTGCTTTGTCCTTTCCCTATTCGGAGCCCCCGTTTTTATCTGCTGCCCCCCTTTTCATTTCCTCTTTGGGGATCTCCCTCACTCACTTGGCATTTAAGACTAAGTATTCCGCGTATCTCTTCTTCTCGTCTTTCAAATCGAAATCATCGTCCTCTGCTCATCTGCAACATTCTCGAAAATGCTGTCCACATGTGCTACGTCAAAATTTGCCGCGTGCCGTCACCTACTAGGACAGTGCTGCCGGCCAGGTACCGCTTGAGGTGATGTACACTGCTGCGGCCAGCCATCCGACCGGTGATCATGCGTGGGCTTGGTCTTTGACCGCACCGACGCTGCCAAGAAGGCGGCTGCTCTCGGCTACAGTGAGCACCGTATGCACCTGGCCTTGATGCGCAGGTGGCGGCCATGTACAGCGGGAACGATGGCACGCCGTTGTGATACAGCATGGGCGAAATGCTGAAGCAGGACGGCTTCTGGGATGCCCAGCTTAGGGAGACACGGTTCAGATACGACGAATGCGATGCATGCTCTGCTATTGGTGCCCGCCAATCCTAACTCTACATATCGCAGCCTAGCATGTTTCTTGGCTCATCAGCTTGGCCAGCTTGGTAAGCTCAATCGTCTTGGCCTGCTTGGCCTGCCACTCTGCCACCAGATTCCTGTATTCTTCAGGTCCATATGGCGTCGTCGCCTCGGACAGCCAACCACCCTTGCGGTGGACGCGCAGACCCAGGTCGCCCACTAACCAGTCCAGATATGGCAATGCATCAAAGACAAAGTCGGGGAACTGCGAGCCATGGCCGGCCGGATACCGCCACTTGCCAAACCGGCTGTACAGCAGCGTGTCGTAGCGCAGCTTCTCAAGAGCCGCCTTCGCCTTTATGGGGTCCTCACCAGCGACCGCAGCTTCTTTCGGCAACAGCGGCAGCACGCTTGGCGACAGCGCGCCATCGAAGAAGGCATTTATCCATAGTGCCTGCACGTGGGCTATGGTAGGAATGGAGAAGTTCATGATGACGCCCGCAAAGGCGATGTCGCGTCGCTGCAGGAAACGCTCGGTCGGTGGGACCACGAACCGATACAGCGTCCAGGGAGCGAGGGCACTTGCCGGGGGCGAGTTACTTTCGGGGCTGCTGCTGGACACGCCACCAGACTCTGTTATGGGCTTCAGGTTCTTGTTCTGCACGGGCTGCTGGCGCAGGCGAGGGTAACGGCGGAGGATCTCCTTGTCGGCGCGGTCCAGCGCAGCCGTGGTCACGATCGGCTCGTCCGCATCAGCATTAGCAGCAACGACGTGCGGCATTCCCAGGTCCTTTTCGATGCCCTTGGGCAAGAAGGTCATCGGCGGAACATGCTTCCAGCCAGTGGCACACGCGAGGGCGTCGGACGCAAGCAGGGTACCGTCGGTCAGGTGGACGACGCCGGGTTCCAACTTGGCAACCTCTGCAATATGAACGCGAATGCTGCCGTTACGGACCAGTTCGAAGAAATCCGTTTCATAGTTGAGTATGGAGAAGGAAGAGGCCGTGAACATGGCCGGGCTCCAGGGCTTTAGCTTGGCCGTCTCCGGGTGGCTGTCATACTTGTTGCGCGTCACGACATCGCTGCCCAGGATGGACCAGAACGTGTTGGCAATGCTGCGGCCGACGGCGGTGTTGCTGTAGAAGCCGCGGACGCCGGCATAGCCATCGGAGTCGCCCCAGATACAAGGACTGAACCAGGTGAGCATGCGGGTCACTGCGAATGTGTGAGTTGAGGCCTGAGGCCAGAGGATGGGAGAGTTTCAGAACTTGACTTACTAACGAGCTTTTCCAGCCACTTCTTTAGCGGAGTGACATATGGTGGTGCCTGCCAGATGGGCCCGTGGCCGGTGGCTGGTCCTGTCAGCATTGGCCGGGAGGGCAAGATCAGAGGAACATACAGCGAATGATCATGTTGACAGTGACGCCTTTAGAGGCGTATGCATAGGCAATATCCCAAGCAGACTTGGTGGCACCGAAGACGGTGATGTTCTTAGCAGTCTCTATGGAGTCTGCGTGCTGCAAGAAGTCCCTGCTGTGGAAGATGGGGCAACCAAAGGTCTCCTGGCCGGCAAAATGCGGCAGGAAGGGCTCGGAAGTCAGGCCGGTGGCTACGATAAGCTTGCGGGCTGCGAGTGTCGAGAAAGAGGACTCGCCATCATCACCATCGGTGAGCAGTGACAGGGTCCAGCCGCCGTCGTCGCGCAGCTCGGCTGAAAGGACCTTTGTGCGTTTGCGGAAGGCAGCGGCTACGCCAAACTTGGTGGCATAGTCGGTGAGATAGCGGTGGATGACGGCACCGGGAATGTGCTGGCCGGGCTGGACGCCGTACGTTGCGGTATCCATGGGCATATCAGGGTACTCGTACGTGCCCAGCATGTTGTTGCTCTTCAGGCCGGGGTACAGGCGGTGCTCAGCCCAGACACCACCGAGCGTGGCGGCCGCGTCCAGCACGGCAAACGATGCATCGGGATGCAGCTGGCAGAAGGTCTTGGCGGCAGAGATGCCAAACCATCCTTTGCGGGGAGTCAGCGAGAGGGGAGATGTTGAAAGAGGGTCTTGTGCCACGGAGACAAGGCTTACCCGCACCGACGACCACGAGGTCGAGAAGCTCTAAGGCTTCTGGCTGGGAAGCCATGTCTTGGCCACGTGTGGGGATGGAGGGGGGGAGAAACGGGACAGGGCGAGAAGACGGAGCGACTGTTGATTGCTGGCAGTTGCTCGTTTGTGCTGAGACACCAGGAAGAACAGGACAAGCGACAGACCCCAGGCGAAACGACGAGGCGACTTGAGAGCAGCAAAGGAAAGATTGGTGATGAAGATGCGACAGGCCGTCTTTCCACTTCCCCCGCCTTCTGCGGGATGCAGATTAAGGAATACCACATTTATACGGACTTAGAACCACGCTGAGCGTTTCTCAACTCTGCACCGGTGAGCAACTCGGCCGCTCTCATGCGCCCATGCGAGCCTTCAAAGGACAGAGCGTGGTTGGCCCACTTCTGCTGCATCTTACCTGATGCTTGCACACATCCGGGCTTAGGCCGTGCAATTGCATACGGAGTACGGAGTAGGTAGATGTGAAGGATGTGATGGGGTCCACTGCCACCTGCAGTGGACCTATGACGAGTCCAGTCCAGTCCAGGGTGCTTACGGAGTAGTCTCCCACCCCAACACCCTCACTCTGCTCGCCTTGAGGAGCACTGGTGCACGGAAAAGCACATGACGATGTACGGCGCACAAGTATTTAATGGTCAGCAGTCGCCAGTTGCGCCGTTTAATGTTGGCAGGTATGCGGCTATCGAGAGCATGTCCAGTCGTTCTTGCACGGAGTTTCACATGCACGGCAGGACTACGCAGGGAGAGAGCATGGTACTCCGTCTGAGTGCATACATCGTACGAGAGCTATGTAGCATCCATCACGCATAGTAGCGTCGTGGAGCAAAGATCGGGCGCGCTGGTGCGGAAGGTTACATTGCGGCTGGAATAAAGGCGACTCTAGCCTGGAGTGGGAAGAGATGGCTGCGATGGCGGAAGACGGCGGTGACAAAGGACGGGGAATTGCGTTAGATGTAAGATACGAGGTACGGAGTACGGAGTACGGATTATGTATGCTGGTGAGCATGCGGATGAGGGCGAGTATCCGAGACATGGAGATATTGCGTGTTGCCAAGAGCCCCCAAACCAAATTTCGATTGCTGACCGAGCTGGTGAAAAGCAAGCTGGTGGGATGAGCGAAATAGAAAAGAAAGTGGGAAAAGGGACGACGATAAGCAGAAAAAGCAAAAAAAAAACACGGAAATGTCGGAGGCATTGGAAAAAGAAAAGAAACAAAGCCCGACGGCCGACGGCCTACATATGTAGCATCTTACAGGTCGGCGATCTGGACGGACAAACCGCTACCAGCAAGTGGTAGAAAAAGAGCTTCAAGCTCCATCAGACGGGCCGCCAAAGACTAGTGGCCGCCAAAGACGAAGCAGGGCAAAAGGGAAGTCGAAAATACGTAATGGATTCAGCTGTTGACAGCCGTTTGAGCGTCTCGTGACGGCGACGCAACAATTCACCATGTCTGAGTCAGCAATTTCCGAGAGACAAAAGCAATGAGCGTCAGCACCGACAGACCGACAGACCGCCGACAGACAGCCGGCAGACGGACCGACAAGAGATGACAAAGAGAAGGAAAACCGTCATGAGAAGGCTTGACAGAGAGGAAGGCACGTCCCGCGACAGTCGCACGAAATGCTCATCGCCCTTTTCAAACTGCCATCATTTCACGTTGCTATGAGGGGTGAGACAGGGCAAAACACATGGTGGGTTTTCATCTAGCCTGGGATCAGCCAGCCACTGCTGGGGGGTGTTTGGCCAACAGCGCGAGCAGGATGGAAAGGACTTCACGTCCCTGGCTCGCTTTCTGGCTTCCCTTTCTTTTTGCCCTTGAAAATCCGGACTTGATCAGACTACAACCTGCGAGCACTAGGCCTGTCGGCCCCTTACTTTTCGCAAGATGCATGAGATGCCAGAAGGCTCGACAAAGGACCATGCCTGGACTGCAGATGGGAGCCTCGATGGAATCGCTCTTGTGATGCAAGGAGGTGCAAGTTTTTCAACTTGCCCAAAGACAGTCAGCCTGGCGATGTGTTCTCATTGGCCGGCAGAGAGGAAACGGTCGTGCGCAACGCTACAACAAGCATGTATGGCGTGGCCAAGGGCCTCGCTGAGCTGGTCGCTCCGATAGCCAGCTCATGCGACGACATCGCGCAAGCGTCTGCACTAAGGCACCCAGTTCGCAAGCAAGACAGGTGGGCGCCCGCTCATTTTACGCGATCCCAGGCTTACCAGGCCATTGGTCTCCTGGAAAGAAGCAGAGAGGCGGCCGGCAGAGTGAAAAGGCACAAAGGAAAGGGAAAGAAAAAGAAAGAAAAAGAAAGAAAAAGAAAGAAAGAAAGAAAAAGAAAGAAAGAAAGAAAAAGAAAGAAAGAAAGAAAAAGAAACCGAGAAGAAAGGAAACCGAGAAAAGAAAACAAGATGGACGACAGAAAGAAAGAAAGAGGAAAAAGAGAGCAAAAGGTATGGCCAGTCTCTGCCCCAGCTGCATTCCGGCCACGCCGCTCAGCATACGACATACTGCAACAGCGTGGAGAGGGAGACGAGCGCCGCAATGTCTCTTCCCCCTTGCATCAGGTCTCGAGGTGGCCCACCGGACGCATCTCTATGTACGATGCCAGCGTCGTGACCACCATACACAGTCAGGCAGCTGGACGCATGCACGCACGAACGCACATGAACTCACATGAACGCAGACAACCACCAGCTTGTCGGGTCTCTCACTGCCTTGCATCGCTCAGCACTGCCCGACTCCTGCCACTTACTTGGAGCTCTGCCGACTGCCTTCCCGCCACCGGCTCTTGTGCCGTTTGGTTTCTTTTTTCTACCCTGCCGGCTGCAGGGAGGCGGCCCCGGGTTGCAGTGCATACGAGTAGCAGCTGAGCCGGATAAGCCTCGTCGAAAGACGTCCTTCCATCTCTCTGCGGTAGGCCTGGCAAGACCTGGCAAGACCTGGTAAGAGCCGGCAAGACCTGGAGAGCTGTCATCCTCATGGCCACGCTCTGTCGCCACGATGCCTTTTTCTCCTCTTCTGCACCCTCCTGCGTCTCCCTTGTCTTGCTTTTTCCCTGATTGCTTTTGTTGGAGTGTTATCTCATTTCACACGCTGCGGCTATAAGAGCTATGGGCTGCTCGCTCTGAGGAATTAGATATAATAATAAACAAACACCCAGATCTTCGCTGTTGATCGGCTGCTCACATTGTCATCTACTGGAATTGGCTTTTGCTTCCTTTTTCTGTTTCTCCTGTCTTCCCTCCTGTCATCTCCTTCTCCTTTTGCCTGCCTTGCATCGATTTCCACCCAAAGTGCATGTCCGACAGGGGCTCCACGCAAGCAGAGAAGCGAGGGACTACAACGGGTCAGGCACCCTCAGGACTTGGACCCAGACGCACCGATATATCTATGTGGCAACTCGCATCCCTCTCAACCTCCCAGTCGTGCCGGCCACTGCCCACATCTGTCCCCGGGGCGTCTACTTGGCATTCATTCATTTCCCCCCACATTCCTTCGCCATGACTGCCGAGGGCTTTTCTCTTATGGCCATTGGCCTCGTGTTCATCTTCTTTCGTCTCTTCACACGCGTCTACACCCTAGGCTGGTCCGGCATCAAGAGCGATGACATCCTGATGATCGTTGCAGGAGTAAGTTCTGATCTGTTCCCTGAAAGCTGCCCTGTCGTCCGTGCTGACCGACCTAGGTGGCCTATTCGGCCGAGACTGCATTGTCCTACTCTGTTACGACGTACTGGCTAGGCCTCGCTAACAATGGCATGACCGATGCTGAGCGTGCTGCCCTCGATCCTTCCAGCCACGAGCATTATCTTCGGTTAGTGGCAGTTTCACTCCAGCTTCAATATGTCATATTCCCATGGTTATTGGCGTTAACCTTACAGCGTCAATGGCTCCAAGACACAGGTGGCCGGCTGGTCAACATACACCTTTTTGCTGTGGACCCTCAAGGCGTCCATGTGCGCCTTCTATCTCCGCCTGATGAAGGGGCTGGACTACCACCGGCGCATCTACATTGGCTTCTGCATCATCTTCACTAGCTGGGTAACCGTACTGCTGTCCATCTTGCTGGGCTGCCGGCCCATGTCCAAGAACTGGCAGATTTACCCGAACCCTGGGAGTATGTTTGCTGTCTCCAGATTCTCCAGATTCTCAAACACAGGGCCTTCCTGCTGACTTCTCAGACTACTGCCAACCGGCCATTTCCCGCATTGACATCTTTGTCACCGTCGTCCTCAACGTCATCACCGATGTCTACCTCTTGTCCATCCCAGTTCCCATGCTGTGGGCCGCCAACTTGCGGCCGACCAAGAAATTGGGCTTAATTGTGCTGTTCTCCGGCGGTGCTTTTGTCACTGTCGCTGGAATTCTTCGCTGCGTTCTGATCTTGACGGTATGCTCCCAGCGCCCAACCTCGGGCTTCATGATCAAGGCTCGTGTAGCTAACAATCCCAGAATCCCGTCACTGGTGCCCAGCAGGCCGGTTCATGGGCGGTGCGCGAGACATTTGTTGCCGTCGTCACGTCCAATGCGCCGATCATCTTCCCGCTGCTCCGACGCTGGTGCATCCCCATCTTTGGCAGCATGCACAGTAAGGCTTCGGTCCACGGTGGCCAACAGCATCCATCAGGTCCGTCAAAGCAGAGCGCCACTGGAAGTGCCAGTGGCAGTGGAGCCAGTGGTGGCAGTGGAGTGCTGGGGCTGGGCGCCTTGAGCAGCAAGCTGGGCTTCGGCAACGGTACGGGAAGCGATAGCAGAGGATTCGGCAGCAACACAGGCAGCAAAGCGGGCATGTATGTGTTGGAAGAGAACGTTGGCGAGCACGAGCGCGGGATCGAGCACCAGATCACGGACGGCCTGAATCGTCACCGTCAAAGCAGCATGGTGCCCAAGATCACGTTCTCAGAGAGCGAGGAGTGCGGTTTTGGCGATGGTTCCGTCATTGACGACGAGGAGAAGCAGCAGCACCTGCCGCAGAGACAGTGGACACAGCCGCAGCCACCGGTACAGGTGCAGTCGCAGCGGCAGCAGCCACTGCAGCAGAAGCGGAAGACGAAGGGGAAGCTGCGCGTGGAGGAGTACCAGATGACGGATTCGCGGCCGTCGACGGATCAGCCGTACGTCACGGCGCTGTCGCCACCGCTGGGTGGAATTCGGATCTCGCGCGACCTCTCGCAGCAGCAGCTGCCGATCAGCACCGGCGGGTCTGACACGTCTGGCGAAGACCACCTGGACAAGGTGCTGCAGAGCTCCAGCACCCGCACGAGCTACGGCGAGACCGGAAAGGCCGCCAGGACTGTCAGCGATGCCAGCAGCAGCGGCAGGAGCAGTGCTGGAATCTACGAGGCTGCCTTTGCCACCTCGACGGCCTCGCCGCTATCCATGCCGTCGTGGTACAGCACCGGGTCGACCTTGGTCGGTGCCGGGGCTTCGGACAACAAGCGAGGAAGCACGATGATGGGCGGGTCGCGCAAAATGTGAGGGAGTGAGAGTTGGTGTGTTTGTGTGCGCGGGAACATGAACAGCTTTCATAACAGCACTGCAAGGGAAGCAGGGACTTCTGGATTGGGAATGTACAACAGATGAACAGGGGATACCTATGGTTTGCATACAATGCAAGGAACTAGACAACGACTTGGGCAATAGCAAAGATACTCATGACCGATGGATAAGATAATTGGGACATTTGACGAAACAGGCCTTGACTAAGTACAGCCGACAAGATCGAGTGCTACAAGATGCGAAATGCTTCGAAGGTTAAATTTGTCCTGCTCAGGCTGAGATGGCAGCTGGAGATAGCGTCATAGTTTAGTCATTTGTCTGTTCAGCAGTCTAGTGCAGTATTTCCAGCTATGCCTCACCAGTTTGCCGCACCATGAACGAAAACTAAAATAGGACGGCGACCTCCTTGTGGACAGGGCTTGTATTGTGAACAACAGCCGAACAACATTCATCGGAAAAGCAAGGCAAGATGGCGGAGTGGTTAACGCGCTGGCCTGCTAAGCCAGTTCCTTCGGGAGCGAGAGTTCGAATCTCTCTCTTGTCGATACGAGTCGAATTTTTTGCACCCAATTCGGGCTTTCTTTTGGCAGCTCGAGCTTACATCGCTTTATCATTAGCCTTGTTTATTTTTATGTCTGCATCTTTTCACAATTGCTATAACCAACCGTGATTACTAGGCCAATGCTACGCTAAACAAGTAGATCAGAACGCAGGGCAGTTCTGAGTTATCAAGGAAGTAGCAGCTGTGATACGATCTAGAGGAAGGCGCCAAGCAGGCAGATATGTATTTCCTTGCATATGAGAGAGCAGCTCTGTAGAATACAGGCAATCGATTCGTAAACAAGTATTCTGCCGTCGTACCTCATACCTATAAGACAACATAGAAGTATTATTATCATCTGAATCACGACAGCTATCCTTGTCTTCTGTTCTTCACAGTCACAGGTGAGAGAGACTGCACAGCTGTGTGTTTTCACGCGATACTAATTAAAAGAAAGGTCCAGACAACCAGAGAGCCAGACACACGACTTATAGACAACCTTAGCCAAGACCGCCATCATGAGCGATGCCATTCTTGTTCCCGCCCTGTCGGTCATCTTGGCCATCGTCTACCTATTCTACCTCGGCTCTGAGGGCACCAAAACGCTTGAGGCTGCGTTTGTCACACCTGCGAGAAGTGAGGACACAGATACACCAATTCCCTTCACATTAGCACAACAGGACCCGTTCAGTCTGCGTAGCTATGCAGGCTTCGGCTTGGGGCTGGTGCCCATGATAGTCGGTGTTATGTTCTTCGCTTTCCGCATGGCACGCATGTACAAGGAGGCCAAGTAAGCAGCGGGCTGCGAGAAAGACGAGAGTGAATAAAAAGGGCGTTTGCATCATCAGACTACTGCGTGGTCAACGGCCATACGTTGGTACAATGATGGGCTGTATTTAAGCACTGTATAACTCCTAAAGTGGATGTGGACCCCGCAAGACGGAAAGCATAAAGACGAAAGAGAAGAAGAACGGCAAGTTAAAAGATATACAGTCTGGTTCCACGACGCCCTGACCTTGACCGAACCATGCAATACAAGAGGTGAAGAAGGAGAGGAGGCAGGAGAAGGACGCAGGCTCTGGCGGACGTCTCAGGTCCTATGAAAACTTGGGGGCACCCTTTGCGTAGTTTTCGGTGTAAGCAGCAGCCTGCTTATCGAACTCGGCCCGGTCGGAGCGGTACTCATCGGCGATGCGAGCCTCGAGGGGGTCATCGGGCTGGGGGGCGACGAGCAGCTGGCGAACAGCGTCGAGAACGGCGCGTAGCTTTGTAGCCGGCTTCCAGTTCTCAGACTTGAGCAGGGCGAGACAGACGTTGCCGAGACTGTCGTTTGTGATGTTGGGGTGGTAGATACGGGAGGCAAAAGTGACGACGGGGGCTTTGAAGGGATAGTCGGTGGGCAGGGTGATGACGACACCAAAGTGACCGCCGGCGTAGGGCGTGTCGGCAGGACCAGAGAGCGTGGCGTTCCAGCGGTGGAGATCACTGCCGCCGCCGCCAAGTGCGATAGTGTAGCCCTCCGGAGCGTTCTCGGAGCACTCTGCGAATTCCTGTCGAGGGGAAGCAGTTAGGATGGGAGAGAGAGGAGCCAGAATGGATGAACAGGAGGCAGACTCACCTTGGCAATGCGTTTGGAAGACATGGTGGGCGTATGAACCTGGTTTCCCGTGCGTTCTGGTCGAGGATATGGGCGTGGTGGGCGCTGAAAAAGCTGAAGAAGCTGAAGAAGCTGAAGCTGGTTGGGAAGTGAAGAGAAAAGGAAGGTAAAAAGGCCTGGCTAAAGATGGCAAGGCAGATGTTGGGCAGGACAAAAGCAGCAGCCAAAAGACAGACAAGGAGCCCTCCACGGATGAGTGACAAACGAGGAAGGAGCGGTGCTGCAGTAGTCACACACGCCGCGAACCTGCTTGAAGGAGGAGGAGCAGAGGAGGGATGGACGCGAGAGGGAGTTGTGCCGTAGTCAGCCAACGATCCCTTTGGCGGACAGGGCTCTGTGGGCGGGGCAGTTGAAGCATGGACGGAGCATGCGCCACAGGCACCGCCACAGTATTCCTGGGAAGGGGAAGGTGTGAGCATCGGCCATGTTGGGCGTATCTGTACTCTGGATGGTCGGTGAGCGCAGGAACAGGGAACAGGTCGTCTGGGTTCGCAGCACTGTGTTTCTTTTTTTTGTCTTCTTTTTACCACTTCCGTCTCCTCTCGACGCCGCCACCACCACTCCAGCACGATGAGCCTGGACGTGCCCGCCATCGCGGCAGCCTACGACGCCGTCCGGTCGGACACGGATCCGGTCAACTGGCTCATCATCGGCGACGAGATCAGCAAGACGGGCAGCGGCAAGGCGACCGGAAAGATGGCACTGCAGGCCACGGGCAGCGGCGGGCTCGCCGAGCTGGCCGACCGGCTGGACGACGCACAGGCACAGTACGGTTACGTGCGCGTGCAGTACGCCAACGACTCGGAGTCGACGCGGGTCAAGTTTGTGCTCATCGTCTGGATCGGCGAGCAGACCAGGGTCATGCGCAAGGCACGCGTCTCCGTCGAGACCGGCGCCGTTCGCGCTGTGCTGCGCCACCACAGCATCCAGGTCGACGCGCGCGACCGTGCCGACCTGGCCGAGGACGACATCGTCGTGCGGCTGCGCAAGGCCGGCGGGGCCGACTACAACGGAGGGAGGGGGTAGAGGATGGATCTCGAGGGAGAGGTAGGGGATGGAACCTGGACGGAGAGGTACAACCTGGAGAACAAGACGAAGACAAGGAGACGAAGCTAGAGGAGAGCATAGATAACCGTACACATCTAGACAAAACAGCCAGCAACTATGTCTGCCGATCCTGCCTATCCTCTATTCCATGACCTGTCCATAAGTGTCTGATATCCTACAATGTCTGTTGCCGTGTCTGGCCTATTCTTGGTATTCTCGCCTGTGTCCTCTCTCCTGTGTACTCTTCTCTTCCCCTCTCACCCTATGCTTCCACCATGTCGACATCTTCCACCTCTGGCAGCAGCAGCAGTGATGCCGGCACGTTCTCGTCGTAGTCTGCCGGCACGTCGCTCAGCTCGCTCTCGTCGTCGGCCGAGTCATGCACGCTGCCGGCCGGCGACGATGCTGCCGAGCTGTGCGGGTTGGGCGTGTGGGTGTCTGTGTGGGGGCTGAGCAGATGGCCATGGTCCGGATCGGGCGAGTGTTCGGCCGTCTCTCCTCCGTTTTCATCCCCGTTTTCGTCTCCGTCTCCGTCTCCGTTTCCGTGTCCTCCGTCCTCTCCGTCTTCCTCTTGCTGACTAAGTCGACTTTTGCTCCGCGTGCTTCGTCCTCGGCCCCGTTGTCGACCACGACGGCCATCCGGCTCGTCTTCCGGGCCATCCGCCTCTGCTTCGACCTCTTCCTCACCCCGTCCATCGTCACCGTCGCCGTCGACCCCACCGGCCTCGTTCTTCGCACTCGATGCTGAGCCCAGCCGCATCGATCGCCGTCCGCTGCCGTTGTTTTCACGTGCAGTCGCAGTCGTTGTGGCTGTTGTCGATGCGCCTGCTGCGGACGTCAAGATCCCTGCTCCTCCCCCAGCTGCACTTCCTGCACTCCCAGCGGCCACTCCTGTCCCGATCACACCTGTGCCCGTCACGCCTGTTCCCGTCACGCCAGCTCTCGCTGCTGCTGCTGCTGCCGCTTTTGCTGCCGCCTGTTCGGCCTTGCGCAGCACATCGGGTCGCCTAACCCCAGCTGCACGGCCTCGACGGACCGGATGGTCGGCGCCACCTTTATCCTTGTCTCCGCCCACTCCCGAGCCCTGGCGCTCCATCTTCTCGGCTACGTGTAGTGTTATTCCCCCAGGCGGTCCCTCCGAGCCGGCACGTGACCTGGATCCGGTCTCCGCTGTTACGGCCGCCTTGTCGCCAAACAGGTTGAAGTCACGCAGCATCTGTGACGCCTCGGCTTCCCGCTCCTGGCGCTCCAGGCGCTCGGCCTCCTGGCGCTGCTGGCGGTGGCGTTCTTCGATCAAGCGGGCTGGGTCCTCGCCAGGTAGCCCGCGGGCCACTTCGGCAAACACGATGCTGTAGCAGTCGGCAATCAGATCGTCAATCGGTCCCGCCTTCATCAGACTGCCGTTGAGCTTCTTCATCTCGACCGCCTCGCGCATGGCGCTGAGGGCCTGGTGTTCTGGTTTCGGGCTTGGCTGGATCTCGCCGTCTTTCGGCATCCGCACGTCCTTGACGTCCTTGACGTCCTTTGCCTCTCTCTCCTCGCCCACAGCATCCCCTCCTCCGTCCGAGACTTCTTGTCCGGCCCAGTCACTGACGCGCTCGGCTAAAATCTCAAACTCTTCCGGCGTGACCGCTTTGAAGACATCCTCCATGGCGGCCGTCGCTGCTGCCGACGCGATGCCGTAGCAGCGTCGCAGCAGGCGTAGGTAGCTGATGACGCAGCTCTGCCAGAGGTCGGGAAAGTGGTAGAAGTCGGCACCTTTCTTGCGGATGCGTCGCAGCAGCGCCTCCAGGTTGACGCGGTCCTCCAGCACGACCAGCAGCCGAGTGACGAAGCGGACGTACTGCTCGGTGTAGACATGGTGACGGCCCGGCCGTTCGGCATCGCACTTCCACACGTTCATCACCATCGTCTTGGTGAACATGGACTCGCGCAAGACAGCAAAGGCCGCTCTGGCTCGTTCCTTGCGGATAGCGGCTTTGTGAGCGTCGACGTCGGACTTTTTGTCGTTCTCGGACTTGCTGTCACTGTCCTCTTTCTCCTTTTCCCTTTCGTCCTTTCTCTTCTCGTCCTCCATCTCCACGTCAGTCTGCTCCTTATCTTCTCTCACTTCTTTCTCCACCTCCTTCTCCTTCTCCTCCTCCTCCTCCTCCTCGTCACAATCCCCAAACAGTATCCGCGCATGGCGAATCATCATCCGGTGCTGCCAATTTGACTTGTCCTTATCGCGCAGATGTCGCAGCGACCGAATGACAAACTCCTCCCACGCGGCCTTTGTCGGTGCTGCAGCGCCGCCCGCGCCCGCGCCCTCCATCTTGACCCCGTACGGCTGCCGCTGCAGGATCTCGACGCCGGCAGTCGCGTCCAGGTCGCCGCGCCGCACCAGCTTGTCCACTACCGACAGCAGCTTGTAGTGCGGCTCCAGCACGGGGTCCTGGCCGTGGCGCGGCTTTGGCAGTTGCACCACCATGGCAATGGTACGCTCCAGCGCGCGCACGACCTCAGACACGCCTGGCTGGGCTGCCCGCTCGCGCTCGCTCAGCAGCACGGCTGGCGTCTGGTACATCTTCCAGACGCACTTGCTCAGCACGTAGGCGCTCTTCCAGTCGGGCGGCGAAGTGGCTGAGGCGGTGGCTGGTGTCGTGGCTGGTGCTGTGGCTGGTGCAACGACGGCCGCTGTGGCGGTGCCCAACGCCCGCCGAAACAGCCGGGCCGCGTACTTCCACACCATGTGTTCGGTCATGGAGCCGTGCTGGGCCTTCTTGTACGTCGACAGGGTGTCGGCTGCGATGAAGAATCGCTCGTTCTCGGCCGCCTGGCCAAAGGCCTCCATGGCAAACGGCTCGCGACTGCTGGCGTACATGCGCTGGCCAAAGTTGGCGTAGAGGTCGTGCAGCGCATCGCTGTCTGGCTTCGTGTCTCCGTCTGTCCTCGCCAGGTCCCCCCCTCCCCAGTACGACAGGGCGAGGCCGTAACAGTGGATGGCACTGCGCTGCAGACGCACCAGCTCGCCACGGTCCTTGTTCATCTTGTCGGCCGACCAGAGGACGGCCTCATCGAGGTCGTAATCGGAGCACTCGGCCAATCGGAACCAGGCATCCCAGCGTGACGGGGTCAGCTGCAGCTGTAGGCGCAAATACTGAGCGCCGACGCGCAGGTCGTCGGTAGCGCCGGGGGTCTGGCGACGGTTCAGGTCGACGCCCTTGAACTTGGTCAGGGCGATCATGCCCATGAGGAAGAACCAGCCACCGTGGGCGAGAGCGGTGTCGGGCGTAGTGGCTGGCACCGTGTCCAGCTCGACGCCGCCTCGCCATGCTTCGTACAGCCGCAGTGCATGGATCGGTCGCCGTAGATACTCGGTAAAGTAGCGCAGGTTGTGGATCATCTGTGCCGTCGACTTGGTCGACCCGATCGCCTGCTGCATGTGCTCGATCGTGTTCTTCAGCTCCGACTTGAGCAGGTCCTTCATCGACACCCGACTCGCCAGCGCTGTCACCTTGTCCACCAGCGCCAGCGCGTTCTTGCGCTCCAGCCGCTCGACCGGACAGCCGTGCTCCTCCACGTCCGAGGCTGCCAGCCCCAGCTTCAGCCCGTGCAGGTCGTATAGCACCTGACCCAGATGCTGTTCCCAGTGCAGCAGCCCGTCCATCCGCAGCAGGTCGGCTCGTGCCACGCGCAAAAAGATCTTGTTGGACGCCTTGCAGAACCGTCGTAGTCCGATCGTCTGGTGGATGGCGTCCAGCAGTTCTGCCAGTGTGTTTTGCATTTGGGCTGATAGGGAAGGTGCATCAGACGGAGATGACAAATCTCCACCTTCACCACCTTCACCACCTTCACCTTCGCCCTCACCTTCATCATCCTCTCCCTTCACTTCCGTTCCTCGGAGCCCCCGGTTCAACACCGCGTACAGCAACGTCCACGCCCGCACATACGTCTCGTGCAGTCGGTTCTGGAAGCCGTGGTATGTCTGCGAGCCCGAAGCCGCTGTTGCCAGGCCTGCCCGCACTTCGTCCTCCACCATCAGCGCCACGTGCACCATGCAGATGGCTCGTATCAGCGCTGCCGCCGTTGTCCGCAGGTGTGCCTCGTCCACAATGTCAAAGGCCCCGGCGTCGTTGACTGCCAGGTGCAGTGCCTGGATCAGCGCCTCGTCCAGCGTCTTGAGCATCTGCACAAAACGAGCCTGCTGCTTGGCCTCTGAACTTGCTGCCTCGGACGGTGTCCCCTCCAGATCGTCCACGATCATCTCGATGCTGTGCAGATAGCACGACAGCACCTTGGTCGAGTAGTCGATCTCCTTGTACGCATCCGCCAGCCGCGTCCACAGAAACAACCTCAGATCGGTGCTGCTGCCGCGCAGAAACTTCCATAAGTCGCGCAGCTCTGGCCCTGCACACTCCGACACCGGTCGCTGGCCCACAAACACTGAGCTGGGGTTCAGCACTGGCTCCAGCGTCTCGATCACCGCCACCGGGTCCTTGAGCTCTTCCTGGAAGAGCCCGAGAAAGAAATCCATCGTGGTCAGCCGGCTGATCTCTCGCTCTGCTGCCGTGTGCGAGATCTCCGACATGACTGCGTTGTTCGGCATCACCATCTTGACCACCGGCTTCTGCTGCGATAGAAACTGCCGCAGGCCCTCCCAGCAGCCCAGCGTATGCTCCCGTGCCACGCCCTCTACCAACGTCGTCGAGAAGACGCAAGCCCAGAGGTAGCGGTATGTCAGGCTGCTCGTTTTCGTCGTGCTGCCGTCTTCTGATGCCGCCGATCTCGCCAGCCCCGAGGCCACGTCCATCCATCGGTCCAGTCGGTCGCGTGTCTCTGTCCGCACCTCCTCACTCACCGAGCTCTCCGGGTTGTTGATCCGCTCGTAAACGTCCAGGTAGAGCTCAAACAGCATCTGCACGAGTCCATGCAGGTCTTCTCGCTGCTTCCTCGTCGTCTGCTTCCCGCCCACCCACTCTCCCACCTCTAGACATGCTCGCCGGTACAGAACCCCGTCTAGCTGGCTGACTAGCTGCACGACTGCCTGCTTCATCGTCGCCGACCAGCGCTGTGTCGCGTAGCTTGCCGCCATCTGGCCAACCCACCCGTATGCCACCTCATCCAGCGTGTGCCACCCGCTGTTCGACTGCTGCACAAACGCTCGCAGCCCGCGCATCTCGTCCAGAGTAGCCACCTCGACCGCGCTCTGCTGGCCTGCCTTGGACTGCTCCAGCAGTGCGTTCAGTCCCAGAATCGGCCCGGCCTTCTTGCTGAGCAGCACCTTGGCCCGCTCGTCCTTGAAGAAGACCAGCGCCGACCGCATGTCTCGTGCTGCTCGGCTCTGCAGCTCTGCCGTGCGCAGATCTGTACCTGTCAGTTGGATCGTTCGCCGCACCTCGTCCAGCGCCGGTAACGCTTTTACGCCCAGCCGAGTCAGCAGTCTCTGCGCCAGCCCAAACAGATGTGAGTCGGCCTCTTGCAGTGGCTGCAGCTGTTCAGCCAGCGTCGCGTTCGCGTCCACTGCCTCTCCTGCCAACGTCTCTCGTCGTCGAATGCGCTTGCTTCGCTTCATGTCGCCGCCCGCCTCCTCCTCGTTCGCCGCCTCGACCAGGCCAGCCGCCGACTGAGACCGCTTTCGCGACTGCGACGTACTGCGATCCTTGTGGCTGTCCTTGTGTTCCTTTGTCGTGCCGCTCTCGGCCGCCTCCTCGTCTGATGCCCCACCCGCCTCCTCAGCCGCCGGCCGCGACACGTGCATCGATAGCTGCTGGTCGATCTCGATCTGCATCAGCTGGTTGTCGTCCGGCATCTCCGGCGCCTCGATCTGAATCGCCCGTCCCGAGACGCCCTCCTCGCTCGCCGATCGGACCAAGGCCATGCCCAGGTCGGCCCATGACGGGCTCGAGAACCGGATTGTCAGCCGGACAACAGCTGCCGTCTGTGGCAGCGCCACCGTGTCGCCCGTCCGGTTGGGCAGCCACGGGAACGGGTCGAGGTACCGCCGCAACGCCGCCGCCACCTGTCGCCGCAGATACGGCGCCATGATCGGGTGCGTCAGCGCTATGTCGTCGCCCAGCGCCCGTAGCTGGTTTCGCAGCTGCTCGCCCGCAAAGCCCTCGGCGAGCGAGGGTGGCCCGACTTCGTCGACGGCCGGGTCATCGTCTAGCTCGATGGCCGCCTCGAGGCAGTACCGCTCTATTCGTGCGCTGCGCAGAAATGCCGCCACACGCGCTGTCCGTCGCCAGAGATCCGCATCCGACGGATCGCGGTCGAGGGCCGCCTGGAAGTCGTTCAAAGCCTCATGCGAATCGTCTAGCACAGCCGCCTCGGCAAACACGTCCGTCTCCGTATCCGTCTCCGTATTCGCCTCCGCCTCTGCTCGTCGTGCCGCTCGCGCCTTGTGTCGGATGCGGTCCAGCAGAAACTGGCCGTGGTTCTTGTATGCGAGGTAGTATGTCTGGGGAAGGCTGCTCTCGGACGCGTTGTCCTCGATCGCGGCCGTTTCCAGTGCGAGTCGTGGCGCAATGGCCGGTCCCGACGCCAGCAGCCGGTCCTGCTGCTGCTCAGATCGTTCGTATTCCGTCGCTGCATCGGGGTATTTAAAGATCTCGGACTCGAAGAGGGCGTCGTATGCCTGTTTGGCTTCCGGGAACGACCGCGCGCCCTGGGCGTGCAGCTTGAGCGCCGTCTGGTATAGCTTCAAGGCATCCTCCGTCTGGATCCGCCGCGTCACGTCGACCTCGTCCTCGACGTTGTCCTCGGGCTCGACGTTGATCGCCACGAAGGCGGGCTGCAGCACCAAATGTCAGTGGACCGGGGTCATTATGATCAGGAGCAGCAGCAGGATGGGCTCACCATGCTGGGCAAGCAATCCGGGGCATGCGATCGATGTGAATTTGACTATGAACGACGAGAAACAGACGCCGGGCGAGGAACGGGCAGCACCCAAAGTAGTCGTGATTTGCGCTACAATCGCGTGAAGCTGTTCGACGCGATCCTTCCCAGCAGTAAAGTGCTGGAACGACGTCAACCAGTCAAGCCCGACACCGCCACAGGCCAGCAGCTCCAGGTGTGGCGCTGAACAGTGGGTCTGTGCGTGGGCCCAGGGCCGCTTTCGTGGGCTTGAGACCAGTTTTCGCCAAGAATCACGACAGACAACAACAGCACAAAGCCGAAAGCGTCGCCCGGTGCGCTTCTCTCTCCAGTCTCCCACCCCATCCGAGGGACCGAGACGGTCACGCGTCTGTCTGCCTCCCGACCAGCTACACATCTGCGGCCTGTCCGACCTCTCCGCCCGCCGAACCGCCGACGTCGCAGCGCGAATTTTCTCAGTAAAGCTGTCGCTACCGGATTCCAGCGAGCTCCTCCCGTTGGCACTGACGCGAACCCGCCATCCGTGACACAGCGATCCAGCGACACAATGGTTGCGCCCGCCGTGCCCGAGTACGTCTCTCCCGTCCACTGCCCGTGTTCACCCCTGTCTTCCCCCGTCCGCAATGCCACCCTTGCTCCATCGTCCCCATTGGCAGCTGTTCCTTGTCTAATCCACCGTCGCGTGCTGCCAGAATCACCGAGGAGGAGGTCCACGAGTCTGTCGAGAGCAGAACCGAACAGCTGTTGTCGCTCCGCGAGCTCGGCCCACCCGATCTCGTCCATCTGGTCAGGCAACCGATCCGCGGAACTGGTCGCCATGTGAGAGCCACTGGAACCCCTTTTTCCCCTGCGAGCCATTCCCCCTCCCCACAGCAATCCACCCGTGCTGACGACGTCGGCGCATCTCGATCATCTAGATTGGCGTGTACCATCATGTGACAGGTGTCGACGCATCCTCCTCGGCCAGCCTGGCCGCCTACATCAACACCCTGACGTACCGCGAGCCCGGCACGACTGCCACGACCAAGATCAGCGAGGGCCTGTACTGGTAGGCGACGACGGCGAGAGACGGAGAAGGCCACGTGACGCGCCACTGCTGACACGTCTAGCTGCTACAATGCGCTCTCACGGCTCGACATGCGGGTGCACGTGACAATTCCCGGAACAGTCGAGAGCTACTGCGTCGACGAGCGGGGCGAGAAGAAGAAGGCGTCGGACGAGCTGTGGCTGGAGACGTATCTGTGCAGCGTGTTGCGGGCGTATTCGTACGCCGACGACGGCAGCGGCGAGACGATCCGCAAGATCATGGGCGTGCGGCGCTTCAACCCGGTGACGAACACGGAGACCGAGCACCGCTTCCTCAACGCGGCCGAGCAGCTCTTCTTCCGCGGCTGGCAGCTGGGCTCCGACGCCACGGTGCAGGTGCCGACGGTGGTGTCGAATCACCTGGTCAGCGGCCTGCTCAAGTACTTTGAGACGACCGGCCGCTATGCCTCGGGCATCAACCTGTTCCAGAAGCTGCGCACGCAGAACGTCGAGGTAGCTTCGCTGCTGGCCAAGGTACTCTTCATGGGCAACGAGGAGGTCGACGGGGTGCGTGTGCTGCACCGTGCCCTACAGGAGGAGCCGATGGACTACGTCATGCTCGACACCCAGGCCGCCTTTCTGTTGCGCAAAGCCCGCACCGCCGCCACGGCCGAGCAGAAGGAACAGCGGCTGCGCATGGCTCTCGGCTGTGCCGACCGCAGCACCGTGGCTGCCCCGAGCGAGTTTGGCACGTGGGCTCGGCTGGCCGAGGTGTACGTGGCCCAGGAGGATTGGGAGAACGCGCTGACGATCCTGAACTCGTGCCCCATGTTCACGTACCAGGACAAGGACTCGCCCCAGATGCCCGAGCCGAAGGAGGTGTCGCTGCCCATCTTGCCAGAAACCCGGCTGGACGAGCTCGACGGCGAGCTTGACTCGCGCTACAACGATCAGGTCGACCCCAGCCTGCTCGGCCTGCGTGCCGCCGCCTACCGCGGCACTTTCAAACACGCCTACAACATCCTGACCGAGATGACCGCCAAGATCGGCTGGGACCAGCTGCTGAAGATCCGGAGCAACGTCTTCGTCATGGAGGACGAGTACCGCACCGAGAAGAAGGAGGGCTCCATTGCCTCTTATCCCGTGACCCAACAGGCCGCCCAGGCGTCAACTGCCACTGCCGCTGCTGCTGCGCCTGCTGCTGCGCCTGCTGCTGCGCCTGCTGCAAGCGACACGAAAAACAATGCGAGCACGGATGCGCTTCGGGGCACGCCCGACCCGCAGACAAACGGGCACGACGACGGCGACGATACCGGCAGCGCTGCCGAGAGTGAGAGCAGCGCGGACGAGGACGACGATGCGTCCAAGATCGAGGGTGACGACCGGTCCGGGGTCGAGAAGCCGAGCACGGCGGCCGATGCGGGCGAGAAGGAAGAGCATGTGAGTACAGACGAGAGAGAGAGGTAAAGAGAAAGAGAAAGAGATCACGTGACTAACAAACCAGGGCACCGCCATTGAAGAGCACCTCTCGCGGCTGAACAACAAGCGGCTGTGCGAGCGCTGGCTCGACAGCTTGTTCATGGTGCTGTACGAGGACCTGCGTGTGTACACGATCTGGCGCACGCAGATGGCCCAGTACCGGGCGCAGCAGATGCAGTACAAGAAGTCGGCCGAGGAGTGGGAGATTCTCGGGCTGCTGGCCGAGCGGCTGCAGCACGCCGACGAGGCCGTCGAAGCCTACCGCGCCTGTCTGGCCCAGCGCTTCAGCCCGCGTGCCATGTCGGGCATCCTGCGGGCGCTCAAGACGGCACGGGCGGGCAGCAGCCGCACAGGCAGCACCAGCAACGGCCACGGCAACGCGAACGGCACGGCGAGCACGGCGTCGCCAGCAAGAGCCGCCGGCGGGTCGTCTTCCCATCCGACGCCGGTGGCGATGCCGCAGCCGGCCAGCACGGCCGAGACGGTGGCGTCCGTGATCCGGCTGGTCACCTGGCAGTATCGGTGGTATTCGGGCTTCTCGCCACAGCTGCTGCAGACGGTTCGCGTCCTGATCGAGGACGAGGGCGCGGTCAAGGTCGGCAGCCTGGTGCAGGCCACAAACTTGCCGCAGCACGTGCTGGACCTGACGCACCACTATGCGGCGCTGTGCGCGACTTTTCACAGCAGCGGTACGGACGGGTAGGTCGGTGGACACAAGGGGGAGCGCATGACAGATGAGACGGAGACGCGCAAACGGTGAAGGTTACGGAGAACGGAGGGAGAACGGAGAACGGACGGAAACGGAGTGCAACGATGACTAAGTGGGAAGCGAAAAAGTGTCAGCAGATGGACAGAGGCTGCCTTGTGTTAACAGCAGTAGATAATCTCCGCCTGGGCGAAAGCGTGGTGTTTCTCTTGGTCGTGTTTGTGTTCGTAATAGACTCGTATTGCCTTGTGCCAATCTCGTCTACCACTGAAATATTGCATTATTTTGCTATCGCCTCCGAATGTGATGACTGATTTTATACGCCCCGTCTTGACCGCCCACAGGATGATGATGTAAGAAGAAGAACACGGAAGAGACGAATGAAGGAAAAAGGAAAAAAATCAATGTGCAGAAATGCCGACACCAGCCCAATGCATCAACTGGCGGCAGACTGCGGTGTCGCCTTCGTGGCCCTTCCCTTGCCCGGTCCATAGTCTCTAGAATATGCAATCGCTATCGTGTCGCCCTTTTTTGATTAAAACAGATGAAAATATGCGGATGAGAGCACGACCGGAAATGAGAGGAGAAAACAGGGTAAAACGGCAAAAACGGCAAAAACGGCAAAAACAACAAAACAAATCGACAAAATGCGACCAGTAAAAAAGACTCGCAATGCTGAGAGGACGTCCATCCTCTCGTGCTGCGCACAGGCAGCCGAATGCTCTCCTCCCCGAAGTTTTATGCTTCTATGATATCTCAGCCGTAACGCATCACCCAGACACGGTGATAGAAAGGACAAAGGAAAATAATCTTCGCAAGAAGGAGGAGAAGGGAAATAAGAAAACAAAAAAGAACACAGAACAGAACAGAAAAAAATCAGAAAGAAGAAAATGGTCAAAAGAGACAGAAAGGAAAAGAAAAAGGAGGGAAAAGCAACAGGTTCAGAGCGCACGCCCTTCAAGTGCAGGCGCAGCACTACATCACCTCGGCCAGCGGTCGTCGCTCGCGCCGCGAGCGACCAAACAGGGTCGTCCCCTTTCGGCGCACATCCTGGCCGAGCTCGTCGTGCGCATCCGGGCCGGCAAACAGGCGTCCAGCGCTTTGTCCGTCGGCAAGCGTGCCCTTTGTCGTCGCCGTCGTCGCCATAGTCGTCGCCGTCGTCGTCGTTGCCGTCGTCGTGTCTCTGGTGGCACCGCCACTGCTGACACCACCAATACTGCCACCACCCCCACCGCCAACAATGCTGCCGCTATCCGCTTTGCTGTCGGCCGTGTCCGGCTTCCTCGCCTCCTTCAACACGTCCCGCTGCTCCCGCCGCTTCTCCTCAATGTTCTCCTGGCTGAGGTGGCCGAAGCCGTTGCGCCGTCGGAACGTCGCCTCCATGACCATGTTGCAGTCCAGCAGCCGGCGCGGAAACGCCTGGACGACGCCGAACATCTCCATCGGGTCATTGACCGCCCGGATCTCCGACTCGCCCAGCTTGAAGACCGCCAAGGCCACCCGGAAGAGCGTCTTGCTGCCCTCGTAAAAGAAGATGTCCCACACCCGCAGTGTGGTCTCCATCGGCAGCGTGCCGATAAAGCAGGACATGAACCAGGCCGTCATGCACAGAGTGATGGGCGGCAGGTGGTCCGCCGACGATGCTGCTGCCAGTGCGTCGGCTCCCCGTCCGCCCAGCATTGGCAGCTTCATCCGCAGCCCCAGTGGGTTGCTGTGCTTGGCCGCCTCGTGTGCCGCTGCCTGGTGCCGCTGGCCCGGGTGGCCGGCGCCCATGTCGAGCTCGCCGCCGATCTTGGCCCACACGTTGGGCAGCGAATCCTGCAGCGCTGTCATCAGAACGCTGAGGTCGACCTTGGAGCCCTCCAGCGACATGTCGTGCGTTCCCGGCAGGTAAATGCGCGTGATCACGTTCAGCAGCCAGAAGCACTGCTCCTCTGTCTCGACAAAGAGCAGCAGCAGCCCGGCCAGGAAGTTGAGGCTCTGGCAGTACCCGATACGCGGGTTGTAGATCGAAAAGGCCAGCAGCACGCGCCGCAGCTTCGACACGATCTTCGGCTCGTCCGATCGGTCTGCCGTCGGGTCCGTGTTCGGCTTGCCGTCCGCATCCAGATCCCGGTTGTCGCCGTGTCCGGGCTGCTGGCCGTCCGCGAACTGGAAGGCCACGTTGTCGGGAAAGGTGCGGTGCAGGTCGCGCTCGATCGCTTCGATGTCGACTTCCTTGGCCTCACCGGCCGCTACCCGCCGCACGAGGCAGTCGTAGATGCCCGGGTGCTTGGCCACAATGCTGGGGCCTCCGGCGTAGTAGAACCACGCCGCGCCGCGCCACTCGGGCGGAATACCCTTGCGGATGAACCGTTTGGTCTTGACGCTCGGCGGCGGGAACCGGTTTGGCTTCTCCGTCATCAGCCCCGAGTCCTTAAGATACGCCACCCACTTCCGCCGCCGCCGGTTGATGTAATCTGTGTACGGGCCGTTCCACGAGTCGTACTGCTGCCGGCTGATGTACTGGTTCTGCTTGCGGAAGCCATACCGGTCGCGGGAGTCGGGATCCTCGGCCTCGGTTGCGTTTCGGAAGAGGGACGACCTGGCCGACCCAGGACGGCTCTCGCCAGCTTCGACGCCCAGCCCAACGGTCAGAGGCGACTGCATCTTAATCTGGTCCTCCCGTTCGAGCATCTTGGCAGAGTCGCGCTTTTCCCGCTCGATTTCCGGTTCGTCGTACTCGTCCGGCTCCGGGTCGTGCTTCTCGTAGCTGTCAGGCTGAAGGTAGTGCTTCTCGTCGTCCTTGTCGAGTCGGAGGTCTTGTTTCTCGTCGAGCTCGTCGTCGAGCTGAAGGTCTTGCTTCTCGTCGTACCTGTCGTACATGTTGTACTTGTCGTCCGCATCGATCTCCTCCTCCCTCCGGGCCGCTGCTTTCTGGGCCACAAGCTCGAGGCCGGCATGGTCGGGCAGAGACGACGGCAGGCCCGAGTTGCGGAAGAATGCAGCGGAATCGCGCACGAGGTACTGCTCCCTGCCCTCCTCTGCAGCCAGCGGCGGCGGAAGCATGGCGCATTCACCGTCAGTCAGCACCTCGTCTCCCGAATCCTTGGCGTTGTCCTCAGCGCCAGTCGAGTCAGCGAAGCCTTTTTCGTACATATCCATAACATCGTCGACGTCCAGGCTGTCGTCGCCGCCCGAGGCTGCGTTGGCGTACCACGAGATAGAGGCTCGCGAGCTCGTCTTTGTCGCCATGCTGCTCCGGTCTGTGCCCGTGGCGGTGAACAGGGTTCCCTGCGCGGTAGAGTTTGTCGTCTGAGACCGGTAGCTGGACCGGAGCGCCTCGTCGGCAATCCACGGTAGTGGATCCCGGGCATGGGCACTGCCGCCGGAGCCATTGGTGTGCGGGGCCTGGTAGGGGTGTTGGTACAGGTTCTGATGGCTGTTTGAGCGGCCGATCTGGTGGTTGATCTGGTGGTGGAAGGGGTAGTTGACCTGGGGCGGCATCGGTTGGTTGTGGTGGGCGCCGTAGCTGCCGCCCATGCCGTCAGTTCGGCTGTACGCAGCCTGTGGTCGGGGCAAGCCTGGAGAGATCATGCCGGAAGCCTGTAGCGGGGGGGGGGGACCGTGACGGCCACCGTGGAGCTGGTCGTTCGAGGGCCGGTGAGGAAGAGGGGAAAAGGTGCCCCCGGAGCGGTTGGAGGCGGCCGAGAAGCCACGGGCAAGTTCTTGGGGCCAGGATGGCTGTGAGTGGAGGCCCATTGGCGCTGGTCGGGCATCGCGCGAGCCGCGGCTAATGCTGGCCATACGAGGACGAGAAAAGTTGCCAACGAGCATGCCGTCGGACGCAAAAGACGTCGTGGGCGAAGGCCGCTCGGAAGCGGGAGAAGGCGAGCGCAGGGCTCTGGCGCCAGAAAAGGCAAGGGCGGGCAGGTGGTTGTTGTCGTAGTGGTTGTAGTTGTAGGTGTTGTTGGTGTTGGTGTTGGTATTGGTGTTGGTGTTGTAGTTGTTGGTGCTGGTGCCGTTGTAGCCGTTGCCGTTAGCGTAGACTGGGTTAATGATCCTCCGCTGTCCGCCGGCAGCCAGGGGAGAGTCGACGGTGGAATTGGGGAGGAACGATCGGGCGTCGGACTCCGGGCGACAAAGGGGTGTGAGCTGAGGCCGAGGAAGCGGCTGTTGATTGAAGCGGGTGACTGGGAACGCGAGCCGGAGTTGTTGGAGCTGGTGCGGAAGGCCTTTGGGGTGGAAGACCGCGGGCTGGTGGCAGCCGAAGATGTGGAGGCGATTGGCTGAGCGATCGAGTCGATCGAAGACGAGGTGTGGTCGTTGCCGTGGGCTAGAGAAGCCCAGCGAAGTGAGGGAGATGAGACGGGCGAGCTGATGGGAGAGACGGCAAAGGTGGGCGAGAGCGTGCGAGGCTGTTGAAACTGTTGAGGTTGGCGAGGCTGGAACGGCTGGTGAGGCTGCTGTTGAACCTGCTGGTGTTGTAGCGGCTGCAGTTGCACCGGGCGGGCGGTGAAGATGTCGGCAGACTCGACGTCCTCTTCCTCGTCGTCGTCGTAGTTGTCAAAATTCTCGGCTGCGGGAGACCGGTCGTAAAAGACTCGCGATCGAGGCGATTTGGATGCTCTGCCTGCAGCGCTGTTGCTTCGACTGCCTGGGTCGAGCTGCTCGTTTGTGTAGGAGTTGGGATGGGTGTTGACGCTGCTGCTGCTGTGGTTGCTGTTTGGATAGCCCTGGTCCGGCTGCTGCTGCTGGTGCGGCTGGTGCGGCTGTTCGGGAGCATCGCCCTCGTGTTTCATCGAGGGGTTATGGTGTCGCAGACGGTTCGCGTACAGGCCGAACTCACGGCCTTTCGCCAAGCTCCGCTGCTGGCGTCGGGACGGCGAGGACATCGAGGACGATGGTGAGGCTGCCTCGACGTCGGCCGCATAGGCCGCATCGTCGTGGTCGGAGAAGGCTGGCATGATCGGTGCTTGGCAGGACGGCCACACTCGGCCATCACGCTTGTTCTCAGGGCGTGCAAGTCAAATCGGATTCAGATTTGGCTCAGCAGACGCTGGTGGGAAGCGAGAACGGACAGGATGCGACACAGTCACAGATATGGACGGTCCAATGGGCGTGGCCACGTCCCTCTCGCTGCCGTTCCGTCCTGTGGTCTTGCTCTTCGGTTCGCGGCCTTTGCTGCTCCTTGTTTTCCTTTTCCTGCGTATTTTTCAAGCTCCCTTCCCGTGGTAGTGTATTTTTTTTGTTGACTTTCAGGGGCACCAAAGACAACCCCCTTAGCGTGCCAGGGCCATAACGCGCTAGCACGGCTGGCCGACTCCGTACAAGGTCAGGCTGCTGAGCTGTGGGGGGAGGAGATTGGTGGGCTCGGGCAGGGCGGAATGTGGTCCTGCGAAGACGGAGTCACCATTTGCACCTGCATTACGGAGTACGTGCATTGCATCAGAATGCGTCCTCGCAACATACGAGCGGCATGCGTGAACACGGCAGGCATGAACACGGCAGGCACAAACAAGTAGATAGTGTACGGGCAGGCACGACTGCAACCAACACCCGCCATACTCGCACGCCGTTCTTGAGTCGTCAATTCCGCAGTCTCGTCATGGTCACGCTCGCAAAAGCGCCTGCCCTCGTACTCGTACTCCGTAGAACCAGATGGAACAAAGGGACGGCTTCCTCGAACCGCTCTCGCCAAACAAAAAGGTTAAAGCTCGTGTGGCCTCGTGGCGTGCTCTGCGGGTGGAGCATGGGCTGCTTGAGGCCTGGCAGGGCCATGGAAATTTCGGGCGGACTGACAGGACCTGCCGCTGCAGGGTTAAACAGATTGCCAGTATCTTACCATGTACGACGTACAGACAGCGCTGCCTGCTCCTCGGACGATCAGGGGCCAAGCCTGCGCTCTTAATAAACGGCTGGCTGCCTTCGGTTTCAACCACCAGCTGCTTCGAAACGGCGTTGCGCTTGTGCCCGTAGGCGCTCCTGCTGATTGGCTGCATGTCTGCCCAGCCATGCAAGGAGAGCTCGGTGGAAAAACAGCTCTTGGACGCAAACGGAAGGATCGATGTGCTGTCGCCGTGGCAGGCAGAACCCAAGCTGTTCTTGCTCTCTCGCTGGTCCGGCCGCCCTCCAGTCATCTCCGGCTATCTGAATCGACCCGCCGCCACGGCTCAGAACCCCAGTCGGCAGTCGCGGGGGGTCATGAACTTCAATTTCAGCCAACGCCCATCTCTCTCTCTCTGTCAGTCTCCTGCAGCGCCGTACAGCTCTTCCCCGCTGCGCTAATGCGCGTGGAGAAGCTCAATCTCGCGCTATTAATATTACTATGTATCTTACTTGACTGCTGGCTCTTCCGCCACTGCGGGTGCGCAATTTGTGTGTAATTTGTTTGGTGTGCTAAAAGCCCCGGCATTTGTAAGATGCTCAGTGTTCGAAGATGACAACACAGGCGGCCGCGATGCAACATCACAGCGCCGCTAGCGACCATTTGCAAATGTCAACCATGGACTCGGAATGCTTCAGGGGCCTAAGCCGCCTGCTCCGGCCAGCGAGGCAGCCGACCTGCCAAACAGGGGTTTGCGGTCCTTCTGCCACCGTCAAATTTGCGCAGCCCGTGCATCTTGCTCGTATTACGGAGTATACGGAGTACTCACTTGTACTCCGTACTCCGTAGAACCTGCATGCAATTCCTCCTGCGAAAATACGGAGTAGTTTTCGTGCTCGTCTGCAGCTTCATTCTTACGTCATGATATTCCTCTGCTGCGGCGCGGCCCACCACCCAGACAGGCATCAACTTCTTCGCCATCCCCAGACCAAGACGCCTGGTACTGATCGACGGTCGTATTGTCGCCTCTTCGCCTTCGCCTTCGCCTACTTCGCTCACCGCTTCCAAACCTGCCCTCTACGACCATTCTTTCCCTTCTTCCACATCCTGTTATTCTTTCTTTTTTTCCGTTTTCTTTTTCCGTTTCGGACTCCGCCCTTCTTCCGCCCACTCTGGCAGTTCTAGATTCTGTTTTTCACATTCTCGCGTAAAACTGCATTCCTTAGCCCCCAACACTCTTCCTCATTTACAATGCGAAAGAAGTACTACGTAGTCCGTACGTTTCTCGCGATTCTCTCGTCACTGCACAATGCACTGTTGGCATTTCAGCTGTGTAGCCGTCGAAAACAAGATTTGGTCTCGAGAACGTCATCTCGGTCAGCTTATCAGCCCCTGCATCACATGACGCTTAACCTGCACCTGCTGGCAGCTGCCACTACGAGTACAGAAGCCCCCGGAACAAAGGAGTAAAGGACGCTTGCAATCCGGGGCCGCCGCTTATGTGCAGCAAGCTTTGTTGAATCTGGCCAATCACAGGCTGCCCATGCCAATGCTCTGCTGCGTCCCTTTGGCAAGGCACCCTCCTGTGCACGGGCCAATAGAAGGCTCCTGCTCTCTTCGTCCCTCCAAGAAAGATACCTCCCTTCTGTCGCTCCTTCCCTTGGGCGACAAGTCGTGCGCAGACGAAAGCAAGGCGACGGGAGCTTGCGCTGGTCGCTCCTGCTCACTCACCTCCCGCCTCCTTGTACTCACCCTTTCCCTGCTGGCCGATATGGCGCTGTCGGCTCCCGTTGGCCATCCCCCTTTCCCTGCCACCCTTTATCCGATGCCCTAACATTTTTCGCGACAGTCCATAGTTTCGGGGGAAGGCCATCCGTCATTCCCTGGGTCCTTTCTTTCTCTCTCCTCTTCCTCCTCTCTCTCTTCTCTTGTGATTCTTTCTGTAGTTTCCTGGTTTCCTTCCCATCTAGGTTTCCAATCCGAAATCGACCCAATTCCTCGTCTAAATCTCACTCATTGACCGGTTTTGAGACCCACCCTATTCGAATATGTCCACTCGCAAAAGGAAGCAGGCGGATGAGGAGCTCGTGGCTCTTCCCAGCGGTGACGAGGAAGAGGAGGAGGAGTGAGTATTTTCCCGCTCGAAAACCAATTTGTGACCAATCACAGAAACATTTTCCTGCTCGTTCTGCTTGCTTGAGCTTTCAGAAGTGGCTCTTTTCGTCAAGCTCCTGTGAATTGCGCAGTGCCCCTCTTCCGATTGTTTGCTCTGCCTTGTTTCGAAACTTCACAGCGGAGCCTCGAAGCTTTTAAATGCATCTATCGTCTAATCTTGCTGTTGTCTTTATGCTGTGGTCTTACTGCTATATCGTACTCACTGTTATTTATATTGCGCACTTCATGGAGTGCACGGTGACGCTAATTTGTCGTATGAAGGTATCTGAGTGACGGAGATGACTTCGAGGAGGGTGATGACAGTGACGAGGATGACGAGGAGGAAGAGGAAGACGAGGCTGAAGCTCTTGAAGAGGAGAAAAAGACTCCTGGTAGGATCGCTTCTTCTTCCGCATAACTTGTACTATTCTGTATTCATACTGACATTTTTTAATCAGCAGCTGTGCATCCCAAGAAGAAGCAGAAGGTTACCTCTACTAGTAATGAGCCTGTCGCCAAGAACGGCAATGGCGTGGTGAAGAACGGGACGACGGTCGAGGACGAAGGCGAGGAAGAGGAGGAAGACGCCGAGGGCGATGAAGACGATGTGCCCGATGACGTCTATGATGAAAAGGCTGATAGCGATGTTGAAGAAGTCACTGTCAAGAAATCCGGCAAAACAGCTGACAAGACCGTTCCATCTTCCGCCGGTGAAGAGGTTGCAAAGGAAGAGATCATTATCGATGGTGACGAAGAGGACTAGGCGTCCTTCTGTTGCTTGCCGCAACGCCGTCAATTATGGCAGCGGCCTTGTCCCAGGGCCCCATGTTTCGCCTCTATATTACTTATTATCCATTGTCTGCTCTTACCTTCGGTTCTCTGTACTCCCGTCAACGCATGGTCAGGATAGGGCTGTCTCGAGTATCGCTGCACGGTCTCGGCTGCTCATAGAGCTGGGTCTATCAAATAAAATAAGCGATTGGCTCCTGGACCTCTTATCATTCTTGTCGTCCCATTTGAGTTCGGTCTCAATGCAGTATCGATCTTTCAGGACAATTTTCAATTTTGTAAACTTTCCAAAGGTCCAACGCAGTCCATGGGCTGATGCCCCGCTGCTTGTTGCGACCCAATACAGGCGAACAACCGCGGTTTTCAGACTCGGCCGTGTCCATGGGAAAATACACGGCACATGATTCAATTAGTGCGGTAGCTTGTCCTGATCTATCGTCAGATTCGCTGTCGGATATGTCTTCCGTGGATACAAGTCAGTCATCGGTTCACGTGCAAGATGATGTCGACACACATAGGAACAATAAGGGAGTGTAGTTCGAATGATTCTAAGAGATACGGCTAGAAGACTTCCTCTTGAGATTAGTAGTGTCGATGAGGACAACCCTATTTGTTCAGACTGAGAAAGGTCTGCGTATCGTCATCAGCCTCCGTTGAAAGTGGGGCGTTGCCCATGCTCCCATCCTCGCTCGCGCTCTAATACGAAGTATCTTACGTTTTTACCCTTTCCGCAGCTTCCTTGTCTAAATTAGATACATGGTGTCAAAACGGGAAGTCGCAACACATTAAGGTGATGCCTTCCGAATGCGGTCGCTTGTGAATATGGGCTGTAAACAAGCTGATACGCATAAGCAGCTTAGCAACCTACACTTCTGCTCCCTCTCCCAAGCAACCTCCATTGTGTAGCACGTCCACTAAAATATTATCTTTGCTGCTCCTTTCCATAAGCTTCACTTCATTTTGGGAAGACGAAATTTTTTCTATGACGCAAAAGCAAGCGCCCTCTTTATAGCAATTGCTTTTCTTCTTTCAGATCTCCCTAGATGCCACACTGCCTTCGCGCTTTTTATATCCCTTTACCATTTCATTGTCTTCGCTTCTACTTACTGGACACGGCGGAGATACACAGTCGCAAAGTTTACCATGAGACTCGTCACGAATAGTGTCAATACGAACGGAGGTGTTGGACACCTCCTCCTCGATCCTCCGCCCTCCAGTACAGACGGGTTTCAGCCTTAGGCAGAGTCACGAAACCATGACAATTCTGGCCCGCACGATGAAGGAAAAGAGCACGTTGATGGAAGTGCCAAAGAGATACCTATTGTGTCCAGATCAAGTAAGGCGGCTAGCACAGTCACCGGATTCTTTAGACGACTCGTCCACAAGTTCAAAGTAACCGTGATCGCGGCTTCGATTGTCATCACCAATGGGACTGGAGTTGACATCGAGCGACTACAACATCAAAGTCCTGCCCAGACGTCCCTCCCGGATGAGAGCCCTGGATCAAAACTGAGGTCCTTCTTCAAAGGCCCGTGCGAATGTCTTGACACTGTCCGGCTCTCATCCAAGGCGATTGGCTGGTCGACGATGATGGCTTTCTCCGTCGTTCTCGTGGGATACTCGCAAAGCCTCAGTGTCTCGCTGCTTGCCCAGCCTCAATTCGAGGCCATGTACAGTGACGAGCAGGACGACTTTAGCGCTTCCTGGATGCTAGCGGTGCAGATGTGCACTGTAGGCAGCGCCATGCTCGGCGGTATTCTTGTCGGCTAGCTGTCTTCAATCTATCCCACCCGCCTTCTCATGGTTTTGTCCATGGCTTTCTTCCTTTCCATGAGCTTTGTGAATTATATGGCCCCCTCTATGCAGTGGATTGTTGCCGGGACGCTCCTGCAGGGCATTCCATGCGGTAGCTTCGCCACTATGGCCAGCACATATATTGCAGAAATCTGCCCTCCTACAATCGCCGGCTTCTTGACGGCATTCGTGAGTTGCTGTTGGGTCATAGGCCAGCTTTCCTCATCCGGAATACTCTGGGCCATGATTGGCCGTGAAGGCGTTGCCGCCTTCCGGATTCCTATGGCTGCGCAGTGGATCATCCCGGTTCCTATCATCGTGGGCTGTTATTTTGCGCCTCCTTCGCCCTGGTGGCTTGCACGTCGTGGACGCCTCTCAGAGGCTTTGGACGCTCTGAAAAGGCTTGCAAATCGGTCTGCACAGGATTCGTCTTTGACGACGTTGGATCGCGACCCGCCTCTGACGACTCCGATCATTCGCCTCGTCGAGATTCAGGAAGTTATTGCTCTGGAGGAGAATGATTTGCACATTGGTGCTACATACAAGGATTGCTTTCGAAAGACCAACCTCCGCCGGATGGAAATTTCCGTTATGACCAACCTAGGCCAGAACATTGCTGGCTTTGCCATTGCCAGCCAGCTAGTTGACTTTATGCGGCTTGCTGGACTCGACAGCAGTGACTCGTTCAAGATGGCCTTTTGTAAGTTGGATCAAGTGTGCTATTTTGGACAAGAAATATGGGGCTAACAATACTTCTAAGTCAACTCATTTGTTCTGTTTGCAGGAAACGTCCTGTATTTTCTTCTGCGATCTCGTCTGTCTATTCGAACTATCTACATCTCCGGGCTAGTTTTTATCTTGCCTGTGGTAGGCTCCGTGGGTGTGCTGGAATGGCTGAAGCGAAAGGTGATAATAACCCACCAGACAGGCTCATGGGTACAAGCCGGGCTTTTGTTCGCCTGGTCTTTTATTTTCGGTATGGGCTTCCATAAACGACAACGTCGTCACTGATCTGTGTGGATTTGTACTGACCTTCTCCAGGGGCAACGCTAAGCCTGTCGCCCAATACAGTTGCTTGTGCCGTGAGCGCCTCAGATCTTCGGACCAAAACCCTCGTCCTGTCGCGGATGGCAAGCGATGCGACTAACCTGGTCCAGGCGGCTGCCGGTCCCTACATGTTAAGTGTTGAGTACGGAAACCTACAAGGATACGCAGCTTTTCCAGCTACGGCTGCAGTTGTGGTGTGGATAACATGGGCCATCTTTCGCCTTCCAAGAACAGATGGGATTCCACAGCGGATCATTGATCATCTATTCCAGACAGGCGTTCCCGCTCGACAATTTCCAAGAGAAGCCGAGAAGATACAGGAGTGGGAGGCCTCTGCAAACCGGGTGGACGACAGCAATGCGAGAGGCTTTGATTTACAGATGGTGGAGCATAGCATCGTTCAGCTCGGACATGATCGTGTATAACATGTTTGCCATGTTGCCTGCTCACCACATCACTGTAGGACAGACATGCCAGCATTATTATAGTGTATTTTATGCGGCAACAGAGCAAGATAATATACCCCTCAAAAGAGCCGGAGACCGGTAATGCTGTCTTCAAATTAAAACAAGCAAGAGCAGAAGCTCCAAAAAATGTAAAACGTACACATACACATACAAGATATATTCTGACATTACAGGCATCCAGCATAGACTGCGTATAATTCTTGCATCAAAAAAATCACTGTTCGAATCCAACAGGGTATCCAAGATATACAAAGGGGGGGGAGGGGGGGGGCGCGATGTAAAGAAAGGGGAAGATTGTATTCGAATACATTCATAAGCAGGGTGGTGACTAATAAAATAGTGCATGCGTAAATTAGTGAAAGCCAGGGCCAGACAACGGCTGGCTAAACTGGCTTGGGACCTTGTTTGTCTGACTGGCCGTGCCGTACTCGCTGCTGGCGAAGCGTGCGTCGAGCTGGGTTTTCCAGGGTTGATGAGAATGCTGATCCATTAGCAATCGAGTTTGAGAGTTCCATGTCGTCTTGGATGAAAGCCGTGGCAGCACCGTTGGTGACTGGGAATTCGACAGAAAATTCTGGGAAGACAGCGGGCGGAGAAATCGAAAGAGGCTGTTGTGGCAAAGAGGAAACAGACGAAGTCATGAAGATATGGTCAAACACCACCTGGAGACTGCCATCTGGCACGGGTATTAAGGCCGATTCCCCAACTTTGCTGCGCTTTCGCGGGCGGCCGACTTTGCCAGTCTTCTTGGGAGGCGAGTTAACAGCTGGTCCCGTCTTTACAAGTGTGTCTGTAGCTCCCGGTATAGTTGCTGTTGATCTGCTGCTCTCCACAGCAGACTTGACCGATTTCGGAGACTTGGGCGACCTGGGCGACTTTGGTGACCTTGAAGGTGGCGATGTCAAAGTCTGGGGATCGAAGGGAATGAAGATGGGCTCTGGAGCCGGGACTGGCTCAGGAATTGGAATCAAAAGCTCTTCCGGTGCTAGTGCTGTCGAATAGGAGCCACGCCGCTTCCGTGGTCTCCCAAGCGACCTTTTATTGGTAGGTTGGCCAACACTGTGGTTGCTGTCATCGGTCTTGGTTCTCTGAGGGCTGCTTTGCTGGACAGGAGTATCAGGGACCCTCGTCTCCTTCTGGTCAGCCTCACTAAAGACGGAGTCGGTTTTTGGCAGAGTTTGAGGCGAAGTTGCAGCAGGAACCGCCGTGGATGCAGCATTACGAACAGGCAGTCCAGCCAAAGGAATGTTCTTTTTGAGGTACGATGAAGCTTGAGCAGTTTCGATGACGGGTTGATGTTGTAGCTTTACCATCTGGGGCTCCGTGGGTACCACCGCAGGAACTGGTTTCAAGGATGGAAGCACCGGCATGTGGGATGAAAAGACTTGGCTCTCCATCTGTTGACGGAGTTGCATTGGATATTTTCGCAACGGCTCCAGCGAATTCTCCCTCGGGATGGTAGCGACAGATGCTTTCTCGTCTAGCTCTAGAATAGTCCCATACTTGTTCAATTGGCGAGATGCTACTGCTTGTTTCGGCTGCATATCGACCATTGGAACATTTGGGAGTGACTGAACTCGGGGCTTATGGTGGCGGAAGCCATCGTTGGGTGCTGTGCCAATGACATCGTTGTTTGGGGTTGAAGGGGCTGTATTGGCAGGGGCAGATACACTTGCGCTAGACAAAGCTGTCATCCCACCTCTATCCTGGTTGTTTTCATAAGGGAAAGAGGGTTGCGTGATGTCCATGTTACCTTCATCAATCGTGGGGCTGATGATTGCCGGCGGAAGAAACGCCGAGACAGAAGGCACAGTGTTTGTAGCTTGAGACATATGGATTTCATCCAATATGGCTTGTGGCTGTGCTGTTGAGAAGGACAGGGGAACTTCTTGTGATAAAAAGGCACCGCCAATCGGCGTTGGTGTCGAGTAGCCGCGACGATGACGCTGGGATTGCTGAGCAATGGGAAATCCGTAAGCGCAGCTCATAGCTTCGTGCAATACGGACGGAGCCGAAGGCTGAACAAAGGACAAGGATGCTGGCACCATTATGGGCGCGCTGCTCACTGCAGAGAAGACAGCCGGGTGGGGAGACATATGGCTGAATGCAATGTTTTGAAGAATCGATTGTGACATTGCCGACGGAGGAAACGCAGAAGTATCGATGGAGTCCACACTCACAGAGGCGGGCGCTGAGGAAGCCATTGCGTGCATGAGGTGTTGCTCAGCCGTATCCGCACCGCCGCCAGCGACAGCTATAGGACGTTGACACAGGACCCGGGCGACGCTGTGTTCTAGCATCTGGCGAGGGTCAGTTCCGTGCTGGGCAGACATGTCTTGGATGGTGTTTTCATGGTTCCCCGGGACGGTATGGGTTGACAAAGCTGGGCCCCGAAATAAAGCGCCCTCTTCCATCAGCAGGTGTTGCTGCTGTAGATTTTGAAGATGCTGATGGAACTGGAACTGCGTCCAGAGTCCTGGGTAATCAGCGAGCGACGGTGCCCACGGGTGGTCAATCATATGGCCACCACCGAGCCGGTAGTCGGCTTGCGCAAACGGGTCGCCGCCGAACTGGCTATTCTGCTCTGCTGTTGCGATACTCAAGATGGGCGTTTCCAATACTGCCGGCGACGAGTAGGGGCTAGTGCTCGACTTGACAAGACCGGGAGAATCATGGATGCTGGGAGAGAAGCTGGCCGGAACTGCAGTTGCAGTGGAAGAGACTGTCATGGGATGTAAGGATCCCGCGGCATTGTCAGATGCAGAGGCACCATCTGGTGTCGGAATAGTCATTTTCTCTGCCGGGGATGTTGTCTGCATCACCCACTGATGGCCCTGGACGGCCGCGGCTTGTAGTCTGCTCTGCGCTGCTTGCAAAGTCTGACCCGAAGCATCAGGGGCTGCCCAGAGGCTGTCTCCTGAGCCTGCCGGTGACCACACGTCCGACATGCCGCTGCTGATTGGCGTTAGGGGCGTGTAAGCGGGCGCAGAGGAGCCAAAGGCAGCCGGGATAGCGGACGAAAAGGCGACGGCCGCTGGATAGAAAAAGGGCGGGGACCCACAGGCGCCATTATGAAGACCGTTGGACAGAGGCAGCTGGCGGGCGTCAAACGGTCGTGAGAAAGCAGCCAGACTGCTGATATCGGCGGCAGTGGTGGGCATAGAACTGCCACAAAGACTGAAGGTGTGCAGATATTCTTTCGGTATGGTTGCGGGCAGATTCTGCAAGACCGGGGTCGGGGCCTGCAGACCACCACCGGTACAGCATTCGCCCACGGCGGGCTGCACCAGCGTGTTTGCCGGACTGAGCATGTTTGTTATTTTGGTGATGATGCCAACTCGAGTCTTGTATTTTGTAAAACTCTCTGCAGCGGAGACACTTCTTCTTGGAGAGATGGGGGCGGCGTTTTGAGCCAGAACGGCCAGGTGCAAATGAACGACAGTGCCTTAAAAGGAAGGAGCGAAGATGGATGGCTGGCTACCTGAGGCAATGGCTACCTGAGGTAGGTGCAAGGTGTAAGGATAGCCAGACAAGGAAGGAGCGATGGGGCAACTGGTGACGGACGGACGCCGTGTAATATAAAGCAAGTCGAGGAGCGTAAGATACTATGTAGCTGAGGAAGAGGCCACCAGCCGTGATGAGAACGTATCTAGAGACACACCCCTGCTTCGCCCATGGTGCTGACAACGAGAATATCAGCAGCCGGGGTTGTGCTGGGATGGACAGACTCTATTTTCTTTTTTTGCTTGCTTCTCTCAGCCCAGACATACGGCATATTATGAATCTTATAAGAGAGAAAAATAGTGCGCAGTACACAGTACACAGCACAACACACGATAAACACAACGGTGATTGCGGTGGGGAGCACTACTGTGCAAGATGCAATCGTACAGCAGATCATGACCTACATGTGCTAGTGTGCAGGCGTGTCTGGCTTCCGGCTGAAAAGCCCTCCGTACAGCATGACGAGCAAGACGGACAATTCAACGACGATGCAGTCCCACCGCTATCAGGCTGGTTTGCGTTGGCAGCTGGGGCCTGTCAAGAAAACGTGGGCAATTGCGGAGGCTAAGGACGGACAGAGAGGGGACGGGTTCAAGTGGAAAAAAGAGGACTGTCTGGCATGCCACAAAGGGGGGGAGAAACAAGACAGGTGGGGGAGCAGACAAGACGACAGGGACGAGCGTCGATGTCTCTGCGCTCTCTCGTGGTGGTTGCCCAGTCTGTCTCAGCCTGTACGGAGTACTCCGTACTTTGCATTACTGTCTAGCGAGGAGACCCAGAAAAACGTCTGCAAGCCTGCGAACCAGGGAGCTCGTGTCTACTACGTAGCATGTAAAGAGGGGCCAGCGTTTGGAGGGCCAAAAACGAGACATGCAGTAGGAAGGGAGAAGGACGGTTGCGAGCAAGCACATCGCCGTCCTGCTAAAAAACAAACAGGCCAATGGGACTTCACACGCCCCTCCACACAGACGAGGACGAGACTGCGGCAGGCGGCACGAGCCCTGCATTAGACGGCAAGTTGGTGGGGACAGAGGCGCGTCGTCGGCACGGACAATGGAGTATGTCGTATGGAAGACGGAGCTGTGCTGTGCACACAAGATACATTAGATGCGTACTCCGTAGTATGTCGATGCGATGTGCCATGTAGCAATACGTCGTAGCATCTGGCTTGCAACAGGATGTGTGTGGGGAGGTGGTGTGGGGAGACGGACGGCAGCTTGTAGGAAAAGGGGAAGGCTAGCCGGGTGATCGATGCATCTCTGGACCTGTTCTTATCGTATGTGGGTGTCTCCTTGCGTGGCTGGTGTTTCTGCAGGCACTATTGCTCCCAGGTGTCGTTGCGGTTCCGAGACGTTTTACCGACCGGAAGACTGGAAAGTGGGAAGAGCAAACGGGGAATGCGGAATGCGGAAGCGGACAGAGGGATATTGTATATTGGGTGAGACGAGGGGGGAAAAAAGAAAGAAAAAGGAAAAAGGCCAGTTGGAGAGAAAAGGCCTCTTACGCAAATGAGAAAGGGCTGAGCGAAACAGGCAATCGGAAGATGGGGCGGAGATGAAAACAGAGAGACGCCAGGACGAAAGCAGCAGCGCGGTGAGAAGAGAGAGCGAGGGCCGGAAGAGCTGTGTCCAGCCGCAGGCGAGGAGCCAGATGCGCATACTCAGATACGACGTACATTGTATGTATGCTCGGCCTGGAGGCTGAAGTCGGGGCGACACTAAGCTGCAGATCGCTGTGGATTTCTGCACTGAGCAGCAGCGTGCAATGTGCAGCTCTCGTCGTGGTGACGAGTCGAGAGTGCCGGCCGGTGTCGGGGAACTGCGCCGTGCAGAAAAGGGGGACCGTTGTACGACGTAAGTACTATGTAAGATAGCCGTCCGGCCAGTGCAGACAGATGCAGCAGCGGACCCCTGCAGCTGCTCGTGGGTGACACTATACGGAGTACAGCGTATGGAGCAAGATACAGAGGCCCTGGCTGCCTGGCCTTTGGTAAGGCCCATCCTTGTCGCCGTCTGACAGCAGCGACCGCTTTCTTTTTCCCACGAACCAGCCGGAGTGCGTCGTGCAGCCAGCTCCGTACGAAACAATGGTACGTCGTAGATATGGCCACAGAGATGTCATTGTTGTGCGGAGCAGCATGCACAGGGGTGTCACGGACGGACTGTATCCCTTGCATGACCGGTCAGGAAGAACAGACGCTCAGGCAGCCCATTCCCTGTCGTGGCTGAAACCCGGCCAAGGAGCAATTCGGCGAGCAGGCAGAAGAGACGACGCACTCTGTACTCCGTACTTGCACAGTACATACATCGTACAGACAGCTGCTCTCCATCAGCCTATCTCTCCCCTCCCTCGGAAGCCACAGAACGATGGGCGAGCCACGATGTGCCGGCCAGAGACCTCCAAACGCCAAGCCGAGGGCTAGGCCACGGGCAAATGAGGCGCAATCGATCTGCAGATCGTCGTACGAGAGGAATGAGCAGTTGGGGGCCGAGTCGCTCACGCGCGCGCGCAGCTGCACCAGAGAAAGGCCGGCTGGCGAGAGAGATTCGGGGATGCAAAGGACGACCGACAGTTCGGTCAAGAAAAAAACAAAGTTGAGATGCAACTCTGCTGCTGCTGTGCAACAGTCAGCTGAATGTGACGAAATCGAATCGATTGACTGGACCGCTGACCTCTCTTTTCCTATCCCCTCTCGCTCTTTCGGATGGTGTGTGCAGAGTGTCTCTTGTCCTTTTAGTCCACCTTTCGAGCCTCTTTTCCGGTTTGTCTTTATTTTTTCTTTCTGAGCCTCTTTCGCCGTCCCTGGGCAGGCACGATGGACACAGGAAATGGGGGGAGACTTCGTTTTCATGCACTGACGGGAGAAAGAACCAGCAGGGAACGATATTATGCTGTCCTCTGGTTGGCTGTAGGGTCCGGCTACGCATGCATGTCTCAGCCTACGGAGTACAGCTTTCTCTTTTTCTCCTTCCTCAGGAAGTCACGCCGGTCGTGATTGGTCACTTTTTCACATCACTGCCAATCATATATCAGAGAGTTTCTTATCCCCCCCCTTTCTTCTTTTTCTTTGCCATAGTTGCTTTTTCTTCCTGCTATGCATATGAAGAAGGATGCGAACTGCAAATCGCCAACTTTCGTACGAGGGGACGAACCCACGCCGGACCAACCGTTATTCATTCACACTGGATCTCCACTCCTTGCATCCTGCATCCTGCATCCTGCATACTATGTACAGTATATATTTGCTTTTCTTCTGGGCGCTTTCGCTTGCATTCGGCTGCATCGCACACCGCTAAGCCATTGCTTGTGCGCCTGCAGAGCTCGGCTACAGTCGACTTCCCCGTTTAGGGGGAGACAAAAGAAAGAAAGCCAGAGGCAGGCCCCCCCTCCAAAACAAAAAAGCAGGGGGGACGGAAAGGATCATAGATTGAGCACTTTGAATGCTACTATGTATGTGCAGGGGCTATAGGGCCATGGGGCCATCTCGCCTGTCGTCTGTTCCGAAGGCAAGGGACGACAAGTGGCCGGAACTCGGCCGACGTATTACAGCAACGGTTGTCTTGCCGTCCTGCTTTCCTTTTACTTCATCGACCGGTCCTTGCTTTGGCATCTTTCGTCCATTCTTTCGTTTTTCCCAGCCGTCCACTCCGATCTCTCAGACCGTCGTATCCCTGTAGTTTTACGACGTACGGGAGGGCTGTATTTTGCAGCAGCTGCCATCAGGGCCCGATTCGACGGCTGCTTCTGTGCTGCATCATGCATCGAAGGAAGATGGGCTAAGTAGCAGCAGAAGCTTGATGTCAGCCAGGACAGGGGCAGTTGGTTGGAATGGGCACGAAAGTTGGGTGGGAGTAGGTCGGCGGTTCTCGCGTCGGGCACCAAATAGGTAAAAAACCAGGAAGCGTAGGGTTAGAAGGAAAAAGAAAGAGAAAAAGAAAGAAAGAAAGAAGAAAGAAAAAACGCCACAGGAGAGAGCAGGATATAAGCGCATGCAGACCATGTAGAGGTCTGCACCCAATCGCAAGCCCCAGTTGTCATTGTCTGTCTAAGTTGCCCTCTCGTCTGTCTTGGATCTGCCCTCTCGCCTGTCTGTGTGTCTTGTTGCGCCCTCTACTTCCTGCGCAACGTGCATGCTTGGGAAAGCCGCGGTGAGCAATGCGTGTAAGCCCTCAAACTTGCCCTTTCACACCCCCCTACCTCCTTTTCTATCCCGTGTCTGACTGGTTGGAACGGCAAGCAGTGCCGCCGCCCCCTGATCCTAGCATCATCAGCTGCCTGACCACAGACGTCACAACGCAACATGTCAACCAGGATTCGTACGACCAGCCCCTCGGCCCGACCTCTTCGGCCCCGGGGTCTGACCTTATTCGTTCGCAACAGAGACGCCGGTGGACTGCAGACAGACGTCGGCGACGTCGCATGTGTTCGCCGTATCACAGTGCCGCTTCGGCCACCTGCTTTGCATGCATCAATCTGCTCCTGTTCGGTCTGCAATCGCCGTCTATCGTACAACTCTATTATCTAGATCTAGTGTATGACGCACCCGCATGGGATCTGCTCGTATGCTTTCCCCTTTCTATACTCGTATTTTACCAAGAGAAGAGACCGCGAAGAAAAGAAAAGAAACCAGATAACCAAGTCCTTGAGTGGAAAGCTGCAACATGAAAATAAAAAACAATGACGAGCTTTTCGGCGATCTGCCTGCGTCCTCTCACCGCGCTCGTCCCTCTTGCCGACACACCGCCTCAGAAGCTGAACAGCGCACTGCGCCGCTTTCCTAGTGGGTACACGATCAGCGCGCTGAGAAAGAGCCCGACGGTGATGCCGATGGCCACCTCTATCACGCTGTACAGCACCGAAAAGGCAACGCTGTTGTTGGTTGAGGACGTGACTGTCCCGCCAGCCGTGATTGAGGAGTTGCCGGTTAGCTGGTCGGCTGCGCTGATGCCCGACAGCAGCGATCCGTTCACGGCCAGGCCAGACGGCACCTGCACGAAGATGGCTGGCAGCATGGCTGCAGCTGCGAGGCCGTAGCCCATCACCTCGGCGCTGCCTGGGGCCTTGCGCTCGGCTGCAGCGGCTGCGGCGGCCTCGGCAGCCACTCCGGCCGCAACAGCCTCGCTGCGGTCTGTGGGCCTGTTTCTGGCCGCCGCCTCGTCTTCCTCGTTCCCTTCTCTCGGCCCTGCCCCTGTTTCTGCTGGGGATTCCGATGCTGGTTCCGGTGCCGGTGCCGTTGCCGTTGCCGTTGCCGCGCGCATGTCTGCCCCCTCTCCTTCCAGACGCTTGTTGTAGGGCGGCATGTCAAAAAAGTCGTCCTGGCCGACAGGGTTGCGCGACTGCTCTCTACTGCTGGGATGGCTGTTGATGCCGTGCCAGTGGCCGGCACGCCAGCGCCGACGGCCACGGCGGTCGTCTGTGCCTTTCAGACGGCGGGCAACGGGTTCGAGGTAGCCAGCCCAGAGCAGCAGGAAGAAACGCTCAAAGTAACGGCTGAGGCGGGCATACAGATTGGCAAAGACACCGATGCAGAGGGCGCCGAGCGTGTTGGGGATCTGGGCGTTGCTGCTGAAGTGCATGGAGGCATAGGTGTTGACGGCGAAGCCGGCGACAGAGATGGCGAGCATGATCGGGACCTGCTTCCACTTGGCCTGGTTGATGATGCAGAGACAGAGAGTGAAGAGGGGAACAAAGAGAAAGTACCACGGCCGGCTGAGCGCGTTGGTGCACGAGGTTGCGCTGGTGGCACCGCTGTCGATGGCGCCATAGACGGCCGAACCGATGGTGATGCCATAGCCAAGAAAAAGGGTGTAGATCATGGCGTAGATCATACGCACGGAACCGGCCACGATGCTCTGGCTCTGCAGCTCTAGGCTGCTGCACAGCACCATATATCCCGGCAGGATCAGCGCGATGGACGACTGCGCCAGTGCTGAGAAGCAAAACATTTTCCCGTTGTCGATCGAGCCGGCTGCCCGCGCCAGAAAGGATGTGATCACCGCCGCCGAGATCTCAAACACGTTGGCGTACATGGCGTTGTGCGGAGCCGCCACCAGCGCCAGCAGGCCCACGATGCAGCCCAGCACAAATGCCACCGGCAGGTCGATGAACCGGCCCTGAAAAGCAAACGGCGCCACGCACACCGATGCCAGTCCGTACACCGGCACCCGGATCCACGAGTTGAACTTGGGCCGCCGTCCCATCACCGCCTCCAGCCGCGACGATGCCTCGTCCACGCTGATCAGGTCGTGAACCACCTCTTTGTAGATCCCGTGCACCTCCCGCAGCTTGCCCAGGTCCACGCCTTGCGGCGCCCGCACCAGCTTCACCTCGGCCGTGTGCGTGCTGCTGTCGTCGAAGCTGACCAGCATGCAGCCCGGGATGTACAGGAACTGCGCCTCGATCTCCAGCACCCGCGACGACATCTTGAGGTAGTCCTCCAGCCGGTGCGTCGGCGCTCCGTACATCATCAGCGCTCGGCACAGCTTCGTCAGATACCGGTGCCGACTCAAAACGTGTGCAATGTGCACCGTGATGCGGATCTCCTCCTCTCGCCGCCGCCGTCCGCTGCTGCTGCCGCCGTGATGACCGTTACCGTTGCCACCACCGCCACTGCCGCCCTCCTTGCGCAGCTTGGGTGGTCCCACGCCGAACAGACTTCCCGAGGGTCGGTTGCGCTTCAGCCCAGGCCGCTCGCGCTTCACCCGTTCCGTCACCGCTTGACCGATGTCGGCCGAGCCCGCCGATGCCAGCATCGACGATGTCCCCAGCAGTCCGGCCGACAGGCTGGTTGTCGAGCTTGCGTGCTTTTGGTTCTTCCAAGGCTGTCCCGGCGGTCCCGGAAGCCCAGATTTGCCGTGCTTCGCGCCGAAGATGCCGCTGAGCCGCTTGTTATTGGGTGTCAACGTGCCGCTGCTGCCAGGACCGTCCTGGGGGTTCGGCGATGGTGGCCGGGACGATGCCGGCGTCTCTGCGGGCGTGCTACGCCCCGAGGTGTTTCCCGAAGTGAGACCGGAGTTGTTGTTGTACAGCTTGAGAAGAGATGATAGGACGCCGCCGTGATATCGGGAAGGAGGGGGGACGTACTCGTGGCCGCCTCCGTCAAACATGACTGTCGGTGTCGACGTCCCGGACCGGCCGCCGGCTGCTGACAAGGACGCGTCGTACTGGAAGTCGCCGCTGGTCCCACGGTCCACAGAATTCCCAGGATGCTTGAGACCATGTCCTCTGACCGTGTGCGAGCGCACCAGGCGCAGGGCCGTGGCATGGGCTTGGTCGAGCTCCGACGCGTCGATACCACGCTCCAGATCGACAGCGTCGCCGTCCGGATCACCGTTTCCGTTCGTCTGGCCCGTCCGCCGGCGTCGGCGGAAATGCAGGGCAGATGCCGCCGCTGTGGCCGCGTCTTCCTCGGCATCGGAGTCGCCATCAATGGATGTGGCCCGGGAGACGGGCGTGGAATTAGCACGCTCAACGCTCTGCGCCAATCGGTCGGCACGCTCCTTGGCCGCTCGCTCGGACTGCTGTTGTCGCTCCGAGGGAAAGTAGGTCCGGTTCGGCAGCTGAATCTGTGGCGGCTGCTGTGTCGTCTGCTTCGACGACGACGACGACGATTCTGGCCGGCCCTCTTCCTGCAGGATGAGAGACAGTGCTCGTGTCAACTCCTTGTGGTCCACGCCGTCGTGAGAATGGTCGCCACCCTGGTCTGCGTCCACGTCCGCGTCCGAGTGCGAGTGCGCTTGGCTCCCATGCTGGTCGGTACCAGATTGCTTCGACACCGGTGGTATCGTCTGGGCTGTTGTCGACGTAGCTGGTGCTGACAATCCCGGCTGTGGTGTTTCCCATGAAAATCCGATTTCTTCTTTCAGCGGCGTTCCATCACCCGCCGAGAAGCCTACTCGCTTCTTTTCCTTTGTCTTGGTCGTCGGTGTCGAGCCGCCGTTCTCGGGAGGATGCAATGGTGAGGCCGGACTAGACATGACCGTTCTAGCAGGATTCGGAAAGGATTCGATCCAACACGCCTGCTGTTACTACTGCCAATGCTGCTGCTCGGTTGCTTGCGAGCGTATGAATCTCCGAGAGAGCTCTGAGAAGAGGGATAAGCCCATTCGCCAGGTTGAATGTCCAGAAAAGGGCACTAGGCAGCACAAGGGGCGATTTTGTGTGGTAGATATTGGTCGATCGAAATGATGGAACAAAGAGAAGATTGGTTCAACCGGAGCGGCAGGATGGATCCGGGTTCTGGGTAGCCAGTGTCTGGTTGACTGGGTGTAAACCGGGAGTCGATTGTAGCAACTTTGTGTAATATGCAGGGAAGAAAGCCATTTCCAGTTCAGTCGCACCCCAATTGAGGCCAATTCATGCAGACAATATGTTTTACCTCCTTTACGGCAGTAGTTTTTTCTTCTTTCGTCACCCTTCGTAAGCAACTTCTGCAAATGCTGGGCTTTTAGTTCTATGACCAAAAGAGGAAAGATCGATCAGGTGGCAAACAGTCGAGACAACACAACCTGCTGCTATCCACAAGCACAAATACGGGTACTGCAGCCCAGACACTGCTTTCAGGTACAATGCATTGCCATCGTAGTCGTACGAGTACCTTTCCGAGTACGAGCTCTCAGCGAGTCGACGACGCGATTTTGCCCGGGTCTGGAACGAGCAGAAATGGTGGCCCTTTCGTTGGCGCCTCGGCATGTGTGGATGTTTTTCACACGGAGCGCGCAGACAAGGGAAGCTGCGACTGTGTACGGAGTAAGATACGAGCACTTTACACTAAATGCTCGGAGACGAGAAAGAAAGACGAAAAAGTCGGCAGCTTCGCAGGGGTGGCGTTATCTGCCCACATTTTTCCGGATTCCCCTATCTACGAGTACGACTGCGGTGTATGAGTTAGACATGTTGGGTGCGATTAGACTGAAGATCTCGATGTCCATGACGCCAAACCAGGCCCTACGACAGGCATAGGTGGCATTGCAGCACGCTGGAAAAGTGCCTGCAGAACTGAACTAAATTAAGGGGGGCGGGAGCAAGTGCCGTGGTCTGGTCTCGCGAAACGGCTTTCTGTTCCTGCCCAACCCACGACGGCAAAACCGAACGGACGACCGACCCACAGATCGGCGATGGTGGATTGCTACTCCGTACTCCGTACTGCCGGACGGATGTGAGCGCATTCCGTCTTGGACGGCCGAGAACCAACACCCCGTCAAAACAGGTTCGAAGACGCCGGGGGGGCCAAAATGACGAGGAGGCTTACTCGTACATGCTATGTAGTGCGCCGCAATGCACAGGTATGACCCATGGTGCTGCATGTACACTATCATAGCATCTGCGTGCGCGTTTCCCATGCCTCCAAAAACCGGTTTTCACATGTCCTAACCAGGGAAGCATTCCGTAGGGTCCCGCATTAGCCCCTGTTGGCTCCATTGCAGCAGCCCAATCGATAAGTGGGGACTTGCTATCTCTGCATTTTGCATCGCTTTTGCGGCCAATCTCTCGTACGGCGCAAGGAGCTCTACGACTGATACTCTGTACTCGTATGTCTCTGCCCGGAATGCTCCCAGCGTGTCTGTGCTATGTAAATTACCAGTCTGCTCCTAAAATAGCACACGCACACACAGAAAAAAAAGAATGATCGACAGAGAAGCTCTCGCCCTTGTCATCCGTCTCACTGACAGGCGGATTTCTAGCAAGATGTCGATCATGCCGGCCCGCACTACCTCCGGTGCTTCCCGCCTCGCAGATACTCACTTACACCTTACTCGGATAACGTTATGGTGTGACATAGCTTGAGCGGTTGTCATCGGCCTTACAACGCCCCATCCTTGGCTGCACTGCTTCGGCCGAGAATCAGACCTCGAATTTGTCCTGGTTTTTGGCCTTTTGGCCTTGGCTAGGCCCTGGGGCTATTGGGAATCCATCACAGCCAGACCGGTCCAAAAGAAAATGTTGTGGCGAGGCTGATGCGAGCCATCCCTCTTTCAATCGAGGGGTCCTCCCCGAAAACACCACTGGGACACTCGATGTGACCGTAATACAAGGACGCTCAAGACCTGACTAACGGAAACGTAAAACTGGGACCGCAGGAGCTGCACGATAGAAGCCCTGCAGGACTTGCGCATATTCTCCGATACCTGTTTTCTATTGCCAAAGCACATGGTTAGCGAATCCACGGAACAGCAATGCCGATGTCTGAAGAGGCTTCGCTTATGCTACGACTCATTGAGAAGCCCCGTAGTCAGTGGTACCTAACGATTGGCCTAGATAGGCACCAGAGGTCAAGCTCCTCGATCTAAAGCCCCAAGGGCACCTTCTAGTGTATATCAGATTAGCAAGGTGTCTGAGAGTTAAGGGTGCTTTCGTAGTATTCAAACAGTTATTTTTGTTCCCGTGTATATGTATAACGCTGTTTTGCGTTGGCTGGCTGTACCAGCAAGCCAGCCAGGTCCTTCCACGACCCCGTTGGAATTTCATATCCATTATCAGATCCATTAGAACGCCCTTGTTGTACTGGCAGTGTTTTGCGCCTCCCAAATCCTTCACATGTAGCAGACAGCCAAGCAAAAATGGCTCCAAGCAATCTCCCCCCCCCCCAAAAAAAAACAGCCGAGAAGAAAAGGGAACGGAAAACGCCTGTCGGAAAGCCGATATGTCTGTCTTCCATGCCTAGTCTTCCTGCATCGCATATGGCGCCCAAATATAGCAAATTGCCGTTCACCTCCCTTCCAACATCCCCCGTGTATTGTTCTAATCGGTCGGTCGTTTGTTCTTGGTGTGTACATATTTTATGCGCACCGCTCTCGGCGGAAGGATATCATATCAAGTTGTTGGTTTTTCTTTCTTTCTTTTGCATCTCCCCAGGATATATCGCGTTCAGGATGCGTTACCCATCATGCCCAGGCGCCGGCGTTGAGAGGCGTGCTGCATTATGTTCACGTTCTCCAGTAGTGCCTCGCGCTCGGCGTGCAGCTGCTTTCGCTCCTGCTCCAATGAGTGGATTCGGCGTCGAGCCATGTCGAGAACCTCGGCCTTGCTCATGCGGCGGTCATCAAACTCTCCGTGACGCGAGGCGCCGTCGCTGTCGGTCTGGTTGGCGGGAAGGATGGCAAGAAGTCGTTCGAACTGGATGTTGAGCCGATTTCGGTACTGCTTCTCGACAACATTGTGGTTCTGGCGAGCACGACGCTCTTCGGACGTCAGACTGTCGCCCCCGCCATCGGGGGAGCATGGGGAGGAGTCGCGCGAGTTGCAGCCATTGTCTTCGGGCCGTGTGCTCAGCTTCGGCTTGCGGCTCGCTGTGCGGAGTGTGATATTGTGGTTGCCGCCATGGCCACTGTTTGAGCATCGGTTGGAAGCTATGGAGGACGAGGAGGACGAGGAGCTAGCGGATGAAATGGATTTGGACTTGGTATCGGTTCGAGAAAGGGATTTAGAAAGACTCTTTGCCTTTCGCTTGGACACTTTGGTCTTGCTGGCGATGGGCGACATGGGCTGCTGCATGGAGGCTCGGCCTGATGCTGCTGACGAGGGGACGGTGTCATCTGCTGCGGCAAAGGAGGTTCGCTGGTCGAATGAATCCGTGTGCCAGGGAGGAGTGTTTCCGAGCGCTGTGGGTGACAAAAAGTCGTTGTAAGAAGCCTCGCTTGGTGCTCCTGTGATGGGCGAGTTCAATATGCTGGAAGTGTTGCTGGACCATTCCACGAATTCGTTGCCACCGACATTTTGCGAGTCTGTATAGCAATCGTAGGACTCGCCCTTGTTGTTCAGGTACTCGCCTGGGGCATAAGTCATCTCGGGAAAGCCACCACAGGTGTTCCAGAGAGAGTTGAATATAATGTCCGAAGGAGCACTAATTGGCGACGGCCCGTACTGAAAAGCAGGGTTAGCTAAGTAGGCCTCGGGCGATTAAGCAAAACAATGGACATATGTTTTCCCGGCGTCTTCAAGCTCGGATTTATTTTCAAAAGGGACGGGCGGCTGTAAAGAACACGAGAAAGGACAGCTGGACCACAAATCGGCCGAGAGAGAAAAGCTCAAGCATATCATGCAGTTGGTGTCCAGCCAAACAGGCACCCGATAGGGTGCACCCCTTGGCCGAATGGTGCAATTCCCGGTGACCCACGGTCTAGCCTTCCAGGGTGAGGGGACGATAAGAGACACAAGGACAGTCGCCAGTCTACGCCTCACAGAATTAGGCCTCGCCATAGGCAGCTATCTGAAAAAGGCTGGATCCATAAGTCCGCTTCTATGGTCCTTGAGACCGGACGGGCCACATGGAAAGCCCGGCAACGCTTCTTCAATGACTGGGGAGGAACAAAAGGACTCTTCTGTGGTGAGGATAAAGAGATCGTGAAGGAAGTCCGCCATGCCTTTGACTCACTGGTGGCATTTGTGGCAGGGGATGGTCCCGGTTTGCCACAGTTCAGACTCGCCACTGGCGCCAGGAACTCAGCAGATGCCATGACAGAGTTGGCACTATGACCAGATCAGATGGCCGGCGACAGCCAGGAAAGTCAAGTTGAACACGGAGACATGGAACGAGAATGTAGAACGTGCAAAGTGGCGAGAGCGAGAACGATAGTCGAATGTTCAGACACTTGTAGAAGCATCCAAGCAGCTCGGATTGGGAAACCAGGACAAGGAAAAACAGGTGATGGGGGAAACACAGCCGACCTGGCTGGACAGTATCTTACTTTCATCATGTCAAAGTTCGGATCTTCCTTGACGCTGGAGGCCGCAAGATTCGAGTTCATGTTTGAGAGTGAAGAAGTCACACGAGGAGGATGGGGAGAGCTGCGGAAGAGGCGTGCCTGGACGGCCTTTTCTCAATCGTCAAAGCGTATTGAAACAAGAGCTGGACCTGGACCGTGGACGAAAGGTTGATCTGGTGATATTTGGACTTGTATGGACGATGGTTGGTGGGTTGGGTCGTGCGTTGCCACCGGGGAGTAGTCAGGCGAATCTGGTTAAATATGCACGTTTGTGACGTCTTCCCACATTTCCTTTTCCTTCCTGGAGCACTGGCTTTCTTTATATTCCCCGCGAGAGAGGAGGGGGATGGCGAACGAGACAAGCCGGTGCTGGGGCCGACTTCTGCCCATTGGCTAACTAATGGCCCAGGACTGCAGCTCGAAGTGGCAGTAACATCCGATAGTACTCGTACAGGTAGGGGCGTGTGGTTACGGGACTTGCGCGACTGAGAATCCAGTTTAGTGCGCGTACCTGCCAAAACAGCTGGGGAGAACCGCATTCCCAAGATAGCGATCCAGTGTTATTCTTTGATTGCTGGGGGGGGGTCATCCCTGTGCAGAATCTACAAGTGGCCCGACTATGAAGGGAGGGCAGATCAGGCCAGAAAGGTGTGGCGACATGGTGTTACCATTATTACAGGCAGGTCGAGAATGGGACGTCAACAGCGCTGCAGGCCGGTTGTGGGGGGATTAGAGGGGCGCCGTTTTTAACAACGCCTCGGCCGTTTTCTTTCTTGTGTCAGGACTCGCCTCGTGTTCGCTTACTCCTTGCCAGACTCGTCTTCGCGATCGACTTGCCGTGCGATTACTGGCGGACGGAAGAGCACTAGGGACCCGTAGAGGGGCGATGTTGACAAGGAGTCAGCAGCAGGAGCAGCAGGAGCAGCGGGAGCCAGCAGGCGCCAGCAGCAGCAGGAGCGTTGGCCTATGTCGTAGGCGGGGCAGAGCACAGCCGGCAGGACCAGAGCCGGCGACCGCTGCACTGAGAAAATGCTGTCTGCAAATTCCGTGCCTGCCTGATCTGACTCTGTGCAGCCCAGCCTATTGCGCTCTCATGGGAAAGGGCAACGATTGGCATGGCCTGGCACGGTGGGGTTGCATTCTGAGGCGAGAGGATGGGCCCATGCCTGCTGCTTTGGATGTGGTGCCACTCTGACGCACCTTAAGAACAGCCTGGCCCGGTCTGGCGGGGAAGGAACGAGAAATACGCAGCATCTGTTGCTCTCCCGGTCTGCACATGGCTAGCCGCCATTGGTGCCACCCCGGTCGTGCTTTCCCTTCCATTTATGCCAATGCGTCGTCATGGCATAGAGGCATGCTCTTTACACTGTAGTTCACCATATTTTCACAAGCCTTCTCGCAGCTTTAGCTCTAAAGCTCGGCGCCTTCAAAGAGCCATCTCAGACAGCCGTTAAGCCACGCTTTCCCAGGGTCTTGCGTCTTTTTCCTCTGCCGGATACATCGGAAAATTAACATCAGACGGACGTCGCAGACCCTACTGCAGAAAAAGCGACATCGACAAACAATCTCATGTTCAGATCGTCTTTCGACTTTCGATCAGTTGCGCAACTCGAGGCCTGGGCCGTCTTCGGACTCGGCCGAAAAGTCCAAAGACAATCGACACATAATAATGCGCTGCAGTCTGACGAAAGCATCCCGGGACGAGATTTGGCGCTAATGGTGTCGTGGGCGTGGTATTTCATTTGTTCCGTATGGCGCGGAACCTATACCAGGTTCGACTTTTAGCGGACACACGGATGCCGCGGGGTTGGAGATTCCCGTGACGGAATGGGGAGATAACAGGCCCTACGGCGTACGGATCAGGGAACAAAACGGGTGGACAGAAACCGAGAGACGCAACGAGCAGCGACGAGCAGCGAGCGACGACGAGCGACGACGGAGCAGCCAAGCGCAAAAAGTCACAACCTTTGTCCGCGGTTGTGCTTCGGGGCCTGTGCCTCTGCGCTTCTGCATTTAAGAAGAGAGGGGGTGCTCTGCTAGGACGCCTCCACTGGGTCGGTCTCGCATCCCAGAGACAAGTGTTTCTCCCCGCTCGAAGCGGTGGCCGGTCTCGACTCGGAAGCCATTACCATTTTCGTCGCACAGCGTGGCCGACCAATACGCAATGCGAACAATCACCAGTCCAATGTCCATACAGGATTCGCAGCAAGTAATTAGGCCGGGGCCGGGAATACGGTGGAAAAAAAGGCTGGACGAGGAAGACCGCGACAAGTCTTCCGCCAGTTCTCACCGCCAGTAGCCCCGACTTGGAAGGGCGGGCGGGCTTCCTTGCAGGCTTCCTGGCCCGCCTTGCAGGCTGACAGGCCGGCAAGCTGGCAAGCTGGCAAGCTGACAATCTGGCTAGTTGGCAGGCAAGCTGGCAGGCAAAGCTGGCAAGTGGCAGACAAACGGCCCCCTCCTCTTGTCCGGCCGAGCTCGACCGAGTGCGTTGGCCTTGCTGGCTCTCCCTTTGTCCACATTCCTACATTGTAGTATGCGCTCGCGTTCGCTGTGGCTGAGTGAATTTGCAGCCACCCGCTTCAACGGTCAGCCAAGCTCGTGCACAACACCTGTCAGTGGACACCTTCTCCACCATTCCCCTACTCTGGCATTTGCGAGTAACGAGCTCGGGCCTATCATCGCCAGAGCGGCCGACGGCGGGTCTCACCGTCAACCAAAGTATCGACTGCCAAGTGCTCATTCCTGCCCTTCTCCATGAGTATCCCGCCTGTTGTCTCGGCCGGATGTGTACGAATAATGACACGCTTTGTTGTGGACCGCCGGAAAGGAGCTGAACAGAATCCGTACGAATACGGAGCACAGCTGCACAGGCGCTTTCTGATACTGCTCAATCGGCACCGCCGGAATGTGGCGACACTGCCGGTACTGAAATCACAGCTCGATCTTCCGTCTGCGATGCTTGCTGTTGGCAGCAGAAGATCACGCACTCCTTGCAGCACATCACCCCCCGATGCAACCCCAGCTCCAATTTCGCCCCTTTCGTCCACCGGAAGAGGGGCAGATTCTTCCTAACGCGTCAATTGGACAAAGGGGGGCAAACGGTAAGGATCCGTCTAGCACGGCTATATGCACGCAGGACGGAACAACAGCCTACGAGTAAGGTTTTGTGCAGAAAACAGCCCAGATACTGGAGCAGGTGGCGGTTGTGACACCGCCAACTAGCGGAAACTCTACCCCTCTACCTTGCTTGCTGGGCCGGTCTGGCCAACGGCATCGAAGCGGCACTAATCACGATAGAAAGGCGACAGCTTTGTTACTCGGCATATGGAGCTCCAGCTCTCCCTTTACTCACAAACAATGCAACCTTGTTCCACGTCGTGGTCTTTGTTCTTCGTCTCAAGGAGCATGTTTTTACGTTATGGCCATGCGAGTTGCAGAAAGACACCCCTGTCGATGGCCAGACCGAAGCAACCGATACAATCGTCCATCTCCATTATTGTGGCATCAGCAAACGATCGCAAGAATTTGGAATGTGCTCAAGATCGTCGTGCCTTCCATCAATGAAACCTCTTCCCTCGTAATTCTGGCCGTTTCTCCGCTTAAAGCGGCCAAACACTCGATACTATCATTGCCAGCACATCTGTGGACGACCAAGACAATCCGAGCCTTGGAACCACCTGGCCCAAAACGCCGCTCGTTGGATTGATCGTCCCTCTTGCCCCACATCTAGAAGACATCGAAGACAGCTGCAGTCTTGGCATGGACCACGCCGTAAATAAGTGGCCATCGTATATACCGTTACGAAACTCGTGTCCATACCCTAATGCTGCTCGCAAAGCACATAAGCAAATGAGGCAAGTCCAATCTACGACAGGGGAGGAGACGCTGCAAGTAGCGTTATGCACAACAACAAAAGCGGTCTCACAAACATCCCTTGATGCCTTGTCATTTCTTTTGGACGACATGCAGGACGTGCGGCTGATATTGGTCCATTGAAAAATGATCGGTGGCTGTGACAACTCGACCAGATCACACAGTAAGCTGGAGATGGTGACTTACCGACTGTTCGATGGTCGGTGACACGTTGAAAACGAGAGGGTAGGACGCCAACGGACAAAACGGAATGTCGGCCCCGCACCCTCTGCCCCTCTTATTCTCTTCGGGGTGATATTTACAGGATGGCGGAAGAGGATATGCCGAGGCCGACGTCGGGCCGGCGAGAAGAGAAAGCTGAAAGGGGCCTGACATCTGGACAACCTTTACATGACGATGGCTCTGATCCCCGTCAACATTCGGCACGGGAGGGGGCGAACATAGATTCCGATTCATGTCAGGTAGCAGATTGTGTGGGGAAGTGTGAGAAGACATCAACGAGTTCTATTTCGATAATCAGGGGGGCGTCTAGGGGCTTTAAGGGCGACCTGCAAACTATACTGTCCTACTTGTGCATCTCCGAACGCATCGGGGGGCTGACAGCCGCCTTCGGTGCGTCTACGGAAGAGAAGTGCAAAGCTATACGACAGTCCAAGACAAGGGAGACGACGTGACGATCAAGAAGGATTGGAAACCCAGGTTTAGACGACCGTCTCAGATAGCATATAGCCTCTTACCCGGTTTTCTCTTCTTTCTACTATGTAGGTCTAGTCTCCCATAATCCTTCTCAATCCTTTGCGCTGGTATCATGAAGTTGTTCATTCAATTCGCAAAACGCCTGGCGCGAAGAACGATCCTGACTGGAGGCAGCTGGTGGAGCGCAGTGGTAAGTAAAACACCATCTCCGTGTTACATTTCGGATAACCAATGGGCGTAGCTTGCCGTCAAAACCTCAAAGGGTGTAGAGATAAGAAGTGGCAAGACTCGAAAAGACAGCCATCCCCAGCATACTCTAGACCGTATAGTGCCCTTTCTAGTCGTGCCGAGGATTAGCTAGAAGGCGATGGAAAATCGTCGTATAGGGTGGTAGTATATTGACCAAACGACTTTCACCCCTGTTACGGGGGCATGCTACTCACGAAATGTCAAGCACATCCAAATACGCACGGATACCCTCTGAACGGCCCTGTGGGGTTACTGTTTGTCTCTTTGTTGCTTTGAAACGCCACCGACAGTAAGCCTAAACGAAGGTCTTCCTTCCTCTACACAGATCTGAATCGTAGGCGGCATCGCTTTACGTCGGCTCTATTCGCATCGTGACAGCTGACCTCCACTGAGGGACGTTTGATAATAGTATGGCCCTAGGCCACTTGACGAGAGTACATACAATTCGCTGTTGATCTCGGACTCCTTTAGACAGGCCTGAATAAGTTACCTATAGACGACGCGAGTGCTTTTCAATAGTCGAGATCGATATTGGAAGAGAGCCTACTAATACCATCACGAACGTTCTGCGTTAGATATCATTTACCCTCTCCTCATACTTGCCGACATGTCTACGAGTACGGGGATGCATGGTGATACCACGATGCTATCCGATGACTCTGAATTCTACCACAGTAACACAAGCACAAATTTTCAGCATCACAAGTGGCGAAAAAGCCTGAAAAAATAACTGCGACTTCTGATTCCTCTGACGAATACGGATTATCGGCCACTTCGTGCATGGCGTGTTGCATCCACAGACAAAGACGGCTGGTCCGTGGGCCTGGCACAGACTGTATTCAGTCTACCGCGCTACTGTGCATATGCCAAACCCTGGCTACAGAAATTTTTCGATATTTCCATTGCCTTCTGTTTTTCTGCCTTCAAGGCCTGAAAGCTCTGTCTCTATCCAGCAATCATCTTGCCCTCTTCCAAGATTAAGTATGATTTTTTTACCCCCTATTAGTTACGGACGATAGCTAATCTGAAACTGTGCAGCTTCCATCGGAAGAGACAGACTGCTCCCCTGAGCCGTTCGCCCAATCCTCGAAGACACCTCTCGGATCCATACATGTACAGTGCGCCGTGTAACAAAGCCGATGCCGAACCCCGACAATGAGAATAATAAGGGAGAAGGGAGGATCTTCTCTAATTGGGATTGATACAGAGACCACCGTCGTTGTAAGGCCAGAAGAGAATTCATACGATTAGACAACTAGTCGCGTACCGGACCCCTGCTTCTGCCTCCGTCTCTTCCTTTGTACCTCGGCCAAACCTTTGGCTTCAGATTTCCCAGGACGGATAAAACGCCTAGTATTGATCGCTACCGCGAGCGAGGGTCTCAAGAACTGCACTTTGAGCTACTTGACATGGCAAACAGTTGCGGGAGACGCTGTTCCAGCGAGAAATACAGAGACGCTGACCGTCTCGTAGGGACCCGAAATATATGCTAAGAAGCGTTCAGTGACTGCTAGCGAGTAGCCCTTGTCTGCATGGCACCAAACAAACTACAGAAAGACAAGAAATAAGCCGGGAGAATAATTCGGACAATATGAATGGTGTATACACCACTAGCACACGTCGAATGTGCGTAGGTCAAAAGGATATCGTTTTGCGCATAGCCTCTTCCCACGCAGCATTTTCTGGCTTTTACAACAATATATACTCCATACAAATTTCAAACACTTTACATAGACACAAATCAAAATCGAAATTAGACTAGAGTTAATTGGATGAAAGTAAAACGAAGTTCTTTTCGCTGTAGCTTACTTCAACTAATATTGTATTTCAAGAAAGTTACTAGTTTTGCTCCTCACATTTAAAATTCAAACACTCCTTTTTTTATGCACTTATGAATTTTCACCCCCCCTTGAAGTATGAGAAATCTTATTGATGCTAAGGAGAAACCCATTGGCAGACTACATACTCTTGGTATTCTACGGGGTATAAAGGAGAGTTTACATGTAAAGCGCTAAATGGGGAGAAGGAACTTAGTCGACGTACTAAGTTCATCCGGTCAAAGATGTTGCGCTAATAGGCGAAGAAGAAAGTAAGATCCCGAGACTAGCAACGACAACATAACATAAAATAGAGTGAATGCTGAAAGAGAGCTAAGCGGCATCCATGCAGTCTATGCGGCACTTGGGGCCCCCGAGTTTGCAAGTAGAGTAAACACGGCTTGTTTTTCTCATTTGGTTTTCAGCGCCGTCGACAACCGACCTGAAAGTCTTTGAGTCATATGCATAGTAGCTGAGGTCTGTGTCCATGGTTCTGACAAGGAGAACATCAGTAGCCGGGCTCTCGAGACGTTTAACAGCTAGAGCCTCCACATCAATACAGGAGCGTAGTATGTAGGAGCAAGTATGTTTCAGACAGCGCTGAGCTGCCCTATTTTGCCTCTCGGCGTTAGCCCGGGACGGGAAATTCAACGATGAGACAGACCTAGACATCAGCTTATGGACGAACACTGCGGACGTCTTCGGATATGTCCCGTACAGTGGATGTTGAAGAAAATGGGGCTGCGAGTATAGGCGACTGTGATTCGGAATGAGGGTACATTGCATCTTGCTTCGGCGAGGCGGTTCTATAAGACATTGTTGCTCTCGGTCAGGGAGATATGGCTGGTAGGATCTCACATATTCTGCCAGTGTCTCCCAAGCTCTGGCATATCCAGGATCGTCGTCCTCTCCGTCTTCGTCATCAATAGAAACACATGGGGTGTCTACTCAGTACGGCTTGTCGTGCTGTCAAGTCTTCTCTAATAGCTGATCTCTCCAGGCCTTGGTCGCGGCGCCCACAACATACCACTATGTCACAGTCCTGCTTGTTTCCCCGGCTGCCACGGCGCTCATCCGTTACGTCGGCAACGATCTCACGATGAGAGCAGGTGTTTGGTTGCCTCGTTGGTGGTTTGTGTGGACTGCTCTCTCTCTCTTTCTCTTCCGTCTCACCTCGTCGATTGACACAACCGGCACCTCTTTCATCGCCTTTTTCCATCTCGGCCTATGGCAAGCAGGAGCAGCCATAGGTACACTTAATTCCGTGGTTTTTCTGGGGAATAGATTCAAGCCTTGTGGCAGGGCCATCCTTGCTGCATGCTTTCTCGGTAAAATCAACCTGGGTTCGTATTGATCGTTAACAGAACCCTTTAGACAACGCTCAGTAGCTGTCAGCACCGAGTATTGCATCGTTCCCGGCTTTGATAGTATTCATGTTCAGTTCTATACACCGCTGTGAGCTCCAAAACGTATCCTGTGCCTGCAAATAAAGAAAGCCACGCGCCGGTTCCCAAGATGCCCTGTCGCCTCTCTTTTTCAAATTTCCGTCTTCCGACCAACTGCCCAACCGTGCGGCCCCTTACTCGCGTTGCAGTACGACGAGCACTCCCATCAGGCCCAGCATGACCTTTTTCAGCCACGGATGCTCTGTCAAGAGGATGGTCACGTAGCCGACAAACGGCACATATCCCACCACGCTGCCCACAATGTCTTTCCGCTCGAGGTAGTCCTGACCCTGCGCGTACAGATCGGTGTCATCGCCGGCATTGTTATCTCCCTTGGTGAGCAGTTTTGCATGGGGTCTGTGGCGGCGATCGTCAGCTGCGGTTCTCCCTCGTCGTTCTCATATGCCAGTCTGTTTCCACCGGTCAGACTCACCCTGTGCCAAACTTGCGCACGATCCGGTGCACAATGGGAATGTCCTTTCCGCGAACGTTGTAGACCACGATCTCGCCGACGTCGGTTTCCTGCAAGAGGTTGCGATTCCACAAGAAGAGCAGGTCGCCCCGCTGAAAGGCCGGCTCCATGGAGCCGGAGAGGACGACGACGATGGGCGAGGACGAGTCAGAGACGACAGAGAGTCCTTTCCAGATCTGGGACATGTCAGTCAGCCATGCTTCTAATGCACAGGGTACAGGGTCACCCGGGGCGCACCATAAAGGCTGTGGACAGGATCAGGCCAAAGTTGAGTATCTGCGAGGCCAACTGCCTCGGTTTGGCGACGGCGGACAGCATGGCTGCGAGGGCAAAATGCGAGTATGTTTTTGGAGCGGGTGTGGAATTTCGGGTGCGCGCGTCTCATCTGCCGATTTGTATGCGTGGCAGAGCGCAGTTCTGTCGTCGCCTGAACCAGCTTTGAAGCTGGTTTGGAAAGCTTCGGCGACGCTTATGTGTCCCTTAGTTTTGGTGAGCCCGGTAGTGCAGAGTAGATCAAGCTTCTGATTGGACAGCATGGCTCCAATATATATGGGTCCCTGAGTGGCCTGGAGGCAGTTGCCAGCGGCCACTACCTGCCCGTTACGGCGAGTTTTGGCACGAAGAGCCCCAGATGCTGTAGAACAGGCGGAAACCTTGAAGTCCAGAAATGGACAATCACTTCTGCGAGAGCGCTCGTCTGTACAGATGGCAGCGTGCTCGGATCGATCTTTACGCAATTCATGCGTGAACGACAGAGAGCAGAGGACAGTCGCCCTGTTGCAACGAATCGACATCAGGGCCAACTAAAGGTGTTGCGCGGGCACATGCTGCATGCAATATGCACGGCAAGGATGCTTGCTGCAAGACCGGAGTGCATTCATTCACGGGGTTGAGGCCACCAACCAGGGCCAGTCCAAAGATAAGATACGAATGCTGGGATCCCATGGTGAATGAGGGAACGGCCAGTCAGCGACCAGAACGAGCAGTAGTGCCAGCAAAGGAGGCTGTGCATGAGATGCAGACCTCTCAGAGTGCACGGAAGAGCAGACAAGACGGTCAAAACGGGAAGACTCCCGAGCACGACGTCGACAAATGGGCTGGCCTGCTATGCTAGCTGCAGGCCAAGGCAGCAACGACAACGCGATTCGAGGAAACAAACAGCCGCCGTATAAATATGGTTCATGCCCCTCCTTCTCTCGACTCTGCCTTCTTTTTTTCCCTTCCCCCCACACACAACGAAAAGGGCCGCAAAGACATGACATAGGATACAATCCTGCCCGGGTCCCTGTCAATTCTCTTGTTGTGCGTCACGCTTTCTTTTTTCTTTTTTCTTTTTTCTTTTCTTTTTCCCCAGAGCCTCGGCTCTTGGCCGGCTCTTCCTATCGTTTGCTCGTCCGTCTCTCGTTTCGGCCAACAAACATGTTCAAGCGCGCATTTCGATCGCAGGCCGCCGCCCCGACGGTGGACCCGCAGCGCCGAGTGGACAAGTCGGCACGACTAGCAAAGCGGAGTGGTGGAGGTGGTGCCGGAGGACCCAGCGGCGGGTCGTTTTCGACACGGGACAGCACGCATAAACTGTCGCGGCTGCAGCGGTCGCTCTCGCAGATGGACGGCCAGGACGAGGTGCTGATGGCAGACGGACCGTCGTCGCGGATAGCTGCACCGCCGTCGCCGATCGTCACGCTGACAGTTGGCCGCGAGGGTCGGCTGTTTGCTGCACACGAAGACGTGCTGTGCCAGAGCCCATTTTTTGAGGCGCTATTCCGGCGCAGCAGCAGAAACAAGAACAGCAACAGTCCGGACGTGTCGACAACCAAGCGGATCGTGCTGCCGGAAGAGGAGCCCGAGATCTTCTCGGCCGTGCTGGAATACCTCTACAAGGGCGACTACTACCCGCGCCTGGTGCACAGCCACAACGGCAATGCCTGGGAGCTCGAGGACTCGACGCCGACACCCGAGACGTCGCCCCCAACGGCCGTAGAGCCGACGGTGTTCCTCGCCAGCATGGGCCAGCACCTGCTACGCGATACAGTCGTCTACTGTGCGGCCGACCGGTACGGGCTCGAGGAGCTCAAGCGGCTGGCCCTGCGCAAGCAAGGCCTGCAGAGCGGCATCGACGTGGCGACGATTCTTCGGAGCGCGCAGTACTGCTACGGCCATACGCCTGACTCAGACAGCCGGCTGCGCGCACACTACCTGGCGCTTATCATCCGCTGTCGCAAGACCTTCAAGCGCAGCGGCACGATGCAGGCCGAGATGGAGCGGTCTGGCGAGGGCGGGAAGCTGTTCTTCGACCTGTTTGTCGCGCTGTGCAACCACCTGGACGACGTCATCGATGCCTCCAATGCCAGGACGCCCCGTACGATCTGAGGGGATGGTGCGATGATGTGTGGCGACGACGTTGTGGCGACAACAAAAAAACAACAAAAACAACTCTTTTTGATATCCTTTTTTTCGGCATTCCGGCATCTTTCTTCAATTGTACTACGACACAGTAACGGGACAACATGGTGTATTTCTGCTCGGCGTTTGATCTTGTTTTTCCCACCGTCTTCGGCCGGCACTGCGTCGACTTTGGACCTTCTGAGCTTCTGCTTTTCTGCTTTCTCGCTTGCAGCTCCCGACAAACGCCTGGACACCGTGGATACGAAGATGCGCCGAAAGGGTGATTATGAGGACGAGGGGAATACCAGGGGGGGGCCAGAAATAAGGCTTTGTCATCAGATTGGAACACCATTTGGGAGTCGTGCTTGCTTTTCTCACTCTGCTCCGTCACGTCTTCACTTCCTGCGAGGTTGGTCGACTATTCTGATGCTGCTCGCTTCTTTTCTCTACTTTTTTCTCTCTTATCTTTTCTTTGCCGCTTTCTGCATCTTCTGTCTTCGCCTCGACTTGTCAATGGGAGCGAGAGACTGTGAGGACCTGATCTCGGACTGTCCTCTCTTGCCAGAGCCGCGTTGATCGTGCTGGCTGGGACAAAGGTGGGAAGAAAAAGGCTGGACCTGAACATTCGCCGCCGAACGAGTTCCTTCAACTGTACGACCAAAAAGAAGAAGAAAATACCCCACCAAGACGATATGGACAAAAAAAAAGACAGGACGGGTCTGGCTTGGAAGCCAGTGGGTGCTGAACACAACAAAAAGAAATGGACGCGCCACTCACTTCTACGGCCCAAACGGCCACCTTTTACTTTGATCACGACACGACGTTAAACGACTTTACACTTCTTTTCTCGAGACAAGATTGGTCCTTTGGTCTCCTTAGTTGGATCTACCGACGACTTGATTTTGTATCTTTCCTCTAACTGCGCCCTCAGCAGAAATGAGAATTTGTGGCCAACTCTGGACCGTGACCATGTTCGTAGTATCTGATATCGGAAAGTGTAGTCTCATCCGGTCGTCTTCATCTGCTGCTTCCGCGTCTCTTTCGGGTTCGGAGCACCGGCCCAGCTCAGCACAGGACTGTTCAGTAGCGGCTCGACGTTGCGCGGCTGGATCGACGCCTGCAGCACGGACTCGAGCAGCATGCGGACAAAGTCATGGGCTGGCGAGCGGTCGTGGCGATCATGCTGCTGCTCGCATAGCGCATCCTCGAGCATGTCGGCGTGGGCGCCGTCTCTTTCGGCCAGCCACACACGGGTCTCGGGCGCGAGCTCGTACTCAATCAGGAGGCCAGCGGCGTCGAGATGGCGGCGGAAGGCGTAAGCGACACGCCAGCGACGGGCGACGTCACGGGTGAGCGGGCCGCCAACATCGGCATCGAGGGCCAGCAGGCGGGCGACAATGGCTGGCGGCATGTGGTGGCGGCTGCGGGTGATGTCGTGGAAGCGTGGGAAGACGGAGAAGTAGTAGGCTGGCACGAGGTGGTGGTGCTGCTGCAGGATGACGGCTAGGGCGAGGTCGATACGGCCGGGCAGCCCGACATCCCAAGTCGATTGCAGGAGGCTGTAGTGGTGCTTGAGACGAGCATCGCCAGCTTTGTCAGCATTGGCTTTGTCATCTTTGACTTTGTCAGCGTGGGCCTTGTCACCGTGACCACACTCGTCGCCACCATGGCCACCGACCATGTCCTCCAGTACCCCGTGAAACTGTTCGTACGCTTTCTCGTACGCCAGGCTAGCGACGTAGCAGGGCGACGGTCCGGCCAGCCAGGTTGGCGGCTGGAAGAACAGCAGCGGCACGGCCGCACTCCACTCCCAGTCGATGATGCCCCGGATCGTCAGATGCTCGTCCACGATGATGTTGGACCACCGCAGGTCTGTGTGGGCCAGAACAAACGTGTGGTGGTCGTGTTCGTGTCCTTGCTGGTCCAGCACGTCGACCAGCCGGCCGCGCAGGTCGTGCAGCGCAAACGCCTCCATGCGCAGGTTCGCCAGCGAGGCGCTGGCCATGGGTACATCAAAGGCAGCCTGCAGCACATGCAGCTGTGCCAGGACAAAGTCGGCAGCCGTGCGGTAAGGGCCAAGCGTTGTCGAGGTCGAGGTATGGCCACGCGTCAGCCGCTGCAGCTCGTTGTAGCCGGTACACTGCAGAGGGCCGACGATGGGGTCAGCCTCGGGCCCGGCATCCGGTCCCGGCATCAGCGAACCGCCTGTGGCAAAGGTGAGGCCGCGCAGCTGGGCTAGCACGTCGAGCAGCTGGCTGTAGAGGCGGTGTTGGCGCGCCGGCGTGTCGTCCAGAAAGGCTGCCAGGTCCAGCGGCTCGCCAGCCACAAAGTCCACCACCAGAAAGCTGCACTGCCGGGCCTCATCATCTGGCGACCGGCCCAGCGCCACGTCGTGGCCGTGGCCATGTACACGGGTCACTGGAATCGTCGTCTTGCTCGCCACGTATCTGGGATGTCAGCTCATGTCCAACTCCACCTCATCCTCCACTCACCGCATCGTCGCCACCTCGCTCTCCACCTTGGCCCGCACATCGTGCAGCGCCGGCCCAATCGGCACCCGCACCACCCATCGCGTCTCGGCTGCCCCGTCCGTCGCTGCGAGCTCCACAAAGAAGCACACGTTGAAGCTGCCCCGCGCTGGCTCTTGGAACGTCCGGCACGCCCGCCCGCCGCCGAGCCGCGACGCAAGACCGCAGACGGCCGCTGGGTCGATCGCGTCCACAAACGCCTGCTTGGCTTCCGCATCCTGCTCGTTGGTTGGCGGCCAGGAGACCTCTTGCTCTGTCATCTGTCCGTCGGCGCCCATGGTTGCGGAAGAGGGGTCGAAATCTCGTACCGTCCGACTTTGGCTTCAGGTGACAGAAGTTGGCTCGGCAGGAAGAGACTGTCTACTCGTTTTTCCGGCGGACTCCTGGCCTCTCCAATGGCAACACGCCGACGTGGGGTTCCCTGTGCACTGCCTCAAACAAGCATGCAGCAAGTGCCCAGGCCGCTAACAAGCGATGCCCATTGGCCCGGAAGCCCATGTCAAACAGCCTAACGTAAAGATTTGCCCTGTTTCGTCTGATCATCGGTGGGGGCCCGGAATATTCTCTCTCGTGGCAGTTTCAGTGTCTGAACATATTGGGCGATTGAGTGATAGAGTCTGCCAGACGACAAGCCAAATTGAGGTCGCAATGAGACTTGTCTCGGCAAATTGATGGGACAAGAGACTGCGTACATAGTGTAGGCACGAGTACCCACTTCAACATCCAATGGGCAAGATGGCCGAGCGGTTAAGGCGCTAGCTTCAGGATTCCTGGAACTTGCTAGTGTGGAAACACGCGTGGGTTCGAGTCCCACTCTTGTCATCATTTTTTTTGCTTTTTCACTGTCATCACAGTGAGTCAGATTGCCCTACGGAATACATTATGTGATCTTGATTACAAATAACATCTGTTTGGCAAGTACAAGGCCCATAATTGAGTTGTGCAAGTACGTTCTACAGGTCTGTTGATACATATGAAACAAGGTTAGATAATGCGACGCTTTTCTTCTCACCTTATCTAGTCTTTTCCTTGTGACGTAATGAGCTTGCAATAAGTCTTATTATATATTTCACTAGGATACACTTTACTTTCGAAATTGTCTATTAAGCTGTTGCGTCGTTGGTGGTATTTAATGCTTTAAGTACGGCTTTCTGCATGCACCTCTCGGCACTTCTCTGTTTTCCCTCTACCGTTTCTTTCCCAACGAGGACATCGGCTGTGCATTGGACGGTCTGTACAATCAACTAAAGGGATCGACTGTTGCACAAACGCGGCTCTCCAAGGGAGACTGGACTTGAAGTGCCAGCGTGACAAAGCGATAGACCGGCTTCAGAGACGAGGACGCCAGAAAGCTCTTGGGGACTTGGCTAGCCCAGTCCCCAAGGGGCCGAGTCTGAAAACTGGCCACCTCACTAGCAAGGTTGCTGGGTCTGACAGCAGCGAGAACAAAGGTTGGTAGCCTGCCTGCGTCTGTTTCACAGTGTATATAACATATTTATCTCACTCTTTCGTCATGCCTTTTCTTAGCTTCGGCCATCTGCATGGCTGCACCTCTGGTATCTCACACTTTCCAAATCGTATGCATCTGCCGGTCGGACAGACTGAGTCGCTCTCCTACAGCCGAAGATATGACTACACACAGTCCTCTGATGCCGATCTGTTTCTGTATCGAGATGGATGCTGGGCTTAGAGTTGATAACGGTTGCCGCTAGCGACGGACATCCACCGCATAGGCCGTCCTCCTGGACACCCGGCTCCTTATCAGCGAGTGAGCAAGCACAGACGGCAGGAAGGGTGAATGTGCATCGAAAGTGAGAGATAGAGGCGTACAATTTACCTAAAATGGGAAGTAGATGGCATCATCCCGCGTTTGTAAGAGCAATGCTGGGTATATAATCGATGGAGGGCTCCCCATATCAGTTGCTTCCGTCTACTTCCGTCTCGTCTTTATTCGTTCTCTGCTCGCTCTGCTCGCTCTCTTCGCTCTCTATACTGCCAGTGTCCTCACACATCTGTTCATCTCTTCACCAGCCTTGGGGTTCGTTCGCTCAGCACACAACCGCACAAGCACGATCTTGCAATGGTCAAGATCCCTATCATCGCTGCTGTCGCGGCTCTGACTGGCTTCACCGTGGCTGCTCCTCCAAAGGGCACCGGACCGGCGGCCGTCTGGCCAAAGGGAAACTGGACAACCTCATTTCCGACGCCGACGCCGTTCAGCCCGTCTGGCCCCGTTCCTGGAAAGTGGTGGCGCGTCTAGAACATCGATGGGGTTTCAGCGCCGAGCATGCGCTGACGATCAAACCTCTAAGACCAGTTGATGGTTGCGCAGCTCAAAGTCAAGCTGGAAGGTTGGAATAGATGGACTAGCTTGAAGGACTTTTTTTCTGTGGGCTCGTGTGAAGAGAAGCATCCGCACATGCAGCCGAGGCATACATTAGGTAGACTTTAAAGAAATTCGTTCGATAACAGCTGTACTTTTGCGATGGCTCCAGCCGTGCAGTGCAACATGCTAACGGTCAGACAAAAGCACTGGTCCAATTAACGAAGTCGAGCGATGGATCGTAACTATATAATGCATATTCTATGCAACCCAATCTATTCTGCAATATGCTTTTGGTCTGTTTGGGCCGACCGTTCTTTTGACCGATGCGTGTTGAGGTTTGTTGAACTGCATGTAATGGCTAATGTCTTTAGCCTACTGTGCCTGCCTCATGTTGTCTCAATTTGGACAGGCGCTGAACTACCCTGAGAAAATAGATGCTCAACATATCGTTATGCCTAAGAGGAAGCGCACCAAGTGTTGTGGTCGCTGAATAAAAGTGCTCCTTGGGGTGCTCGAACACTGTGGCTCGCGGGCGACTATCACGTGCGATGAGTCATCCAGTGGCGAAGGCGAGCGAACAATCCCGTCTTTCCCCCTCGACCACGTCCGGACGTCCCCCACCCAAATACCGAAAAATTTCTCGCTTTGGCCATCGCCAGTATCTCCCTCTCAATCGAACTGACAAACGCGCGACGGAACGCGACGCTGCGATAGAGCGATAAAGAGCCGAGCGAGCAGGACGAATGCAGAGCGAAAAAGAACAAGAAAAATCCACGTACAGACGGAAAGAATTGCCCGGCACTGCATTGCCCAAACGATGGGCCTGACTGTTGGCCGGTAGTCTGCTTGATTGTGAATTTGAGACGCTCAAACAGGGCAATTTCCGACGCTTTTCCCCTTCACATTCCACTCCACTCCACCCTCACACCCTCGCCATGGCCTCCCTCACCAACCTGCCCAAGAAGTTCTCGGCCGGCCACCAGATCCGGCCTCGCAGCGCGCATCGCATCAACCCGATCAAGGCGATCCAGGACCGCGAATGGCGCCGCAAGCAGATGGCCGCAGCCGCTGTAGCCGGTGGCAGTGAGGCTGGCTCGCCTCCACCAGAACGGCAGCCGTCCACACAGCCGACACAAACACGGACATCTTCCCGGCCGCAGTGCCCCAACAAGGCCTGCAAGAACCCCAACGTCGTGGACGGGACATGTCGATCGTGTGGACGGGTGTCTGATGACAGCAACATCGTGGCCGAGGTGACGTTTGGCGAGAACTCTATGGGCGCAGCCGTGGTGCAGGGCAGCTTCCTGAGCCATGACCAGGGTGGCGTGCGGCCGATGGCTGGCATCGGTCATCGACGAGTGGCTGGCAACGGCTCTGCCGAAGCACGCGAACGGACGTTGCGCGAGGCCAAGATGCTCATGACCGGCTATGCCCACCAGCTCAACATTCCCGAGCACACCGTCACCGTCGGCTTCCAGTACTATAAGCTCGCGTCCAGCGCCAACTTTGTGCAGGGCCGCAAGATCCAGAACGTTGTCGCCGTCTGCCTCTATGCAGCCTGTCGCAAGAGCACGCAGGCAAACCCCTGCAAAATCATGCTCATCGACCTTGCCGATCTCGTCAAGGAGGAGGTCTTCTTCCTTGGTCGCACCTTCAAGAAGCTGCTGCAGACCATCGACGTTGCCGCCCGAGACGTTCAGCCCATCTATGTCGAGGACCTCATCTTCCGCTTCGCCGCCAAGCTCGAGTTCGATACCATGACCAACAAGGTCGCCGAGACGGCCGTCCGTCTCGTCCAGCGAATGGACCGCGATTGGATGGTCATGGGCCGTCGGCCCGCTGGCATCTGCGGCGCCTGTCTTATCATGGCTGCCCGCATGTATAACTTCCGCCGTACCGTCCGTGAGGTCGTGTACATTGCCAAGGTCACCATGGCCACTCTGCAGATGCGCCTCGACGAATTCAAGGAGCTGCCGTCGGCCAAGATGACTGTCGAGGAGTTTCTGGCCCAGGACTTTTTGACCGAGGAGTTCGACCCCCCTTCCGTCTACAAAAAGTCCGAGGAGTATCAGGCCAGGCTGCGCGAGAAGCGACGGTCGCTGAAGCGGAAGCGGCCGGGCGACTCCAACGGAGCAGAAGCCTCACCCGCGCCCATGTCAACGCCAACACCGACACCAGAGCCTACCAAGGCCCAGCTACCACCATCACAACCAATACTGCCGCGCGTTGTCGATGCAGACGGCTTCGCCGTACCGGCTGTGCCGCCAGCCAGGGCTTCTGCCCTTTCCAGAACTGAGCCAGACCAGGGCCTCATTGAGCAGGCGCTGGAAGCCGGCGACGAAGACACTGTCCTTGACGAGCAGCTCGATGCCTTAGCCGAGGAGTATGGCGATGGGAGCGCGAACAACGAGGTCGAAAGTGTGCCATTAACAGAGCCACGGGCAGAATCCTTACCCATGGACGCGGCCTCCGATGCCGGCAGCGTGACGACGACGGCGAAGCGACGTCGACGGGGACCAGATGGGTCTTCATGCCGATCGCTTCCCGTCAGCAGTGTCGAGCCCGACTATGTTGATGACGAGTGGCGTGCCGACGAGGAGAACCTGGAGATGGAGATGACTGAGGCCATCAACTCGCCTGGCTGTCTGGAGCACGCGCGGGCCTTTGCAGCTGCCGAGAAGCGCGCACAGATGATCACGATGAGCCTGGCAAAGGCCAAGGCAGAGGCAGCAGCTGCGGCAGCAGAAGCGGCAGCAGCAGTCGCCACAGAAACGGGGACAACGTCGGCTGACGACTCTGACCCAGCAGCAGACGTGGAAGAGGGATCGATAACGCCTGCAACAGCAGCAGCGACATCATCATCATCGGGCTCGTTGGACAGTCCCGAGGTCGACGAAGACGAGTTCAAAGACGATCCCGAGGTGCAGTTCTGCCTGCTATCCGAGGCCGAGGCCGCAGCCAAGGAGAAGATTTGGATGAACGAGAACCGGGCGTATCTGCGCATGCGCCAAGAACGCGAGTTCCGTGCCAAGATGGCTGCCGCCAACGGAACCAAGAAGCAAACTCGCCGCCGGCTCAAGAAGCCTAAAATCGGCGAGGGCCAGACCAGCCCGGCCACAACGCCTGGCGAGGCTGCTGTTGAGGCCATGGAGCGTCGCGGCTTCTCCAAGCGCATCAATTACGACGCCATGCGTCGCATGCTGGATCGCCCGGCCGCCAGTCTGAGCAGCCGCGCCGGCTCTGCCTCCGTCTTCGGCAGCTTCTCGTACAGCCGTGCCGGCAGCTCGGCTGGCAGCGTCATGGGCGACCCTGCCGACGAGGACGAGGATGAGGAGCTCGACGAGGATGACGGGGCTGCATATGACGAGCACGAGGTTGATCCGTTTGCCGACGATGGCGAAGAAGAGGAGGCTATTGACGAATAAGTTGATTGCCTGACGATGAGTCAGCAACAGGGATCAGTCAGTATGAGACAAACATAGAACAGAGCAGAGCAGAGCAGAGCACACAGTACGGGGTATCTCGTTAGAGCAGTGGTATCCCACAATGCGTCATTTGAATCCGACAGCATTTTTTAATCCCTCATTGTCCACTGCAACGGTTTTCGTCTGGTCTCGTGCTGTGCTGCACATCAGCTTCCGAATCATTCGGGAGGGTCCACGTGTGCAAAGTGGCCTGCCGGTTCCACCTGGCAATAACATGTGTTGGCGGCCTTGGCAAGTCTCCCGAGTGCCCGTGCCCCTGTAATCCGAACTACTCCGTACGAGCCAGTGTTCGTTCCCGACCAGGTCGTATCGTATCGCAATACCTTAATACACTTTGCCGCCGCAAAACTAGGCAAAAAAGGGCATGCCCCAGCCTGTTATCTCGATCTTGTCGGCCTCATTTCGTCTTGGAATTCTCCTGTTTTCTTTCCCCTTCTTTCGTACTCGTGTTCGCTCTTGGCATTCCGCTTTGGTATTGCCGATTGATTTGTTGTTGTTACACTCCGGAATTGCGTTCCTTGCTTTAATTGCTGGTCTTGTTTTTTCAGCCTGTCTGTTCGTCCGCAATACGACACCGGCGGCCTGTCCGACCTGCAGCGGTACAAACGTGCACTGCGACTATTGAAGTTTAAACGAGTCTGCAACGGGCAGGTCGAAGTCCAAGCTGCCAGGAGACGGAGTGGCGCAGACCGTGAGACTTGTGAAAACCGGCCACAATCTTGCTTCTTTTCACACCCACCCTCGTTTCGTTCTTTGCGATCCTTTGCCTTCATTTTCCCCGTTCTCTCCTTTCGTTGACCTGGCGCAACGGCTTGTCGTCTCAATGCTTTTCCAAAACCGCCCGATACTATGATCAGCCGCCTAAAGGTCGGCCTGCGAGGAGAGAAGGCCGACGAACGAAACCGCGTGCGGGAGACTGGAGAAGACGACAGCGAGGCTGAGACGCCTGTGCAACAGACCCAGCGCAAAAATCTTGTCGCCGCCAGCCGATCTTGGTTCCATCGCGCCGTCACCGAGCTGATTCTGCGCCGCACAACCCTGCCGCCGTCCAAAGATGGCCGCCACATACCGCTGCGTCTGACCGACGAAAGCGCCCGTCCATCCCAGCTTGTCGATGAGCGCCGTAGCCATGGCCGTGGATACGTGGCAAATGCCATTCGCACCTCTCGTTACACCGTGTTCGACTTCGTCCCCAAGCAGCTGATGTTCCAATTCACGCGCGTCGGCAACTTCTACTTCCTCTGCGTCGGCATTCCTCAGACGATCCCCGGCGTCAGCACCACCGGCAACTTCACCACGATCATCCCGCTGCTCGTTTTTGTCGCCCTGACTGTCCTCAAGGAGGGATATGATGATTACAAGCGCCACTGCCTCGACAACATCGAAAATGCCTCCATTGCGACTGTTCTTCGGCCGATTGACGAGCTCCCCCAACACGGTCAGAAGTGGTGGTCAGCCTTCGTCGCGCTGTTGCTCTCGCTGCTGTCCCGGCTGATCGGTAGACGCAAATCAAGATTCACGTCCGGAAACGTAGGTGGCCGAAGGAAGCACGTCGTTGACAACGAAACCTTTGCGGGCCTTCACTGGACTGGCATTCAATGGCGCCACATCCGCGTCGGCGATGTCGTCAAGCTCTCCCGGGACGAAGAGGTCCCTGCCGACGTGCTGCTGCTGCATGCCGACGGTGAGGGCGGATTGGCATACGTCGAAACCATGGCTCTCGACGGCGAGACGAACCTCAAGAGCAAACAGGTCCCTACTCCTCTGGCCGACGGCCGCTGCGCCTCCATCGAAGGGCTGGCTTCGTGCTCTGCGGAGTTCGTTGTCGAGGACCCTAATCCTGACCTGTACCATTTTGATGGTCGGATCACGGTCGATAAGGAAACGCTTCCCCTCACGTCGGCCGAGGTCATCTATCGCGGCTGCACCGTGCGGAATACCCAGACCGCCATTGGTCTCGTCGTCAACGCCGGGGAGGAGTGCAAGAGCCGAATGAACGCCAATCGTCATCCCAGCGCCAAGAAGCCTGCTCTCGAGCTTGTCACCAACGGCATCGTCATGGTCCTCTCGTTGTATGTCATCTCCCTGACCACTGGTTGCTCCATTGGCTACTATCTTTGGCATCGGAGCACTGAGCGCATCTCCTGGTATCTTTCCGATGCCACCGTCAATGCCGGCCAGATTATCGTCGGCTTTGCCATTCAATTCAATAACGTCATTCCGCTTGCTCTGTACGTCAGCTTGGAAATTGTCAAGATCGGCCAGATGCTCCTCCTGAACTGCGACGCGGCCATGTATGACGAGGCTTCAGACACGCCTGCACAGTGCAACACCAACACAATTCTGGAAAATCTCGGTCAGATTGGATATGTTTTCTCGGACAAGACGGGCACCCTTACCGAGAATGTCATGAAGTTCCGGAAGCTAAGTGTGGCTGGAACGTCCTGGCTGCATGAAGCTGATCTCCAACAGAAGACTTACCAAGGAGCAGGCCAGGAAGGAGAACAGGATCGCCCGCGCAACAGTCTGCATATGGCACCATCCAGGCTGTCGACGTCATCAAGAGTCTTTTCGCCCCCTCGTGAGGATCCCCCAGCAGCCGATGCCTCATCGGTGCTCTCGCCCATCCAGGATGGCAGACGGTCGTCATCGGTCTGGCGCTCGACCGGCCGACCCGACCATGCGCAGCCTGAGCTCACGACCGAAGACCTCATCGAGTACATCCGGCTCCGACCTTATACGCCATTCTCGCGGAAGGCTATCACGTACATTCTTGCTTTGGCCCTCTGCCACACATGCATTCCGGAATTGGAGGATGGTAAGGTTCTCGGCTTCCAATCCTCTTCCCCGGACGAACTCGCCCTAGTTAGTGCAGCAGAAGAGCTGGGTTTCCTTGTCGTGCAAAAATCGGCTCACTCGACGACGTTGCGCTTTACCTACACGAATTCCGAACACCCGCCCGAGGAAGTGTACGAGATCGTCGACGTCATCGAGTTCAGCAGTCAGCGGAAGAGGATGTCCATCATCGTCCGGCGTCCTGACGGCCAACTGTGGCTGATCTGCAAGGGCGCCGATTCTACTGTGTTGCCCCGACTGAAAATGGCGCCCTTGGCGATGCAGAAAGCCCGCGATGTCCGCAAAAGCGCGGATATGGAACGACAGATGATTCGCAACAGCGAGCAGTATGAGCCCAGGAGTAGCTTCGGAGGGCCAGCAAGCGTCATGATACGCAAAAGCATCGGCGCAGGGCATCGTGACAGGTTGGATAAAGATGGAAACGCGATTCCCACTCTCACAATTGAGCCAGGTGGTAGCTCGTATGGCGGGCCGCGGTTGTCCATGTCTGACCGGAGTCGTTCGTTTGATATGCAAAGACTTCCGAGGCGGTCAATGGACGCTTTTCGGCCACGTCCGACATCGATGGCTCGCGGGCCCTCCTTGGACATACCGTCTGGCATGGTGAAATCCGATGTCCAGAGATCCAGTTCATTGGCTAACCGGCCATTGCGGATGCTTGTGCCGGCGGTGCAAAAGTTGCAGCAGCGGCCTCCCTTGCCGGATAAATTTTCCTTTCTTGAAGACGCCTCGTTGCCAGAGGGCGAGGGCGGCATCTTCGAACAGTGCTTCAAGCACATCGACGATTTCGCAGCCGAAGGTCTGCGTACGCTGCTCTTTGCCCACAAGTTCATCTCAGAAACCGAGTACCGGGCTTGGAAGAAGGAGTATCTTGCGGCAGCAACCAGCCTCGACGACAGACAAGAACGTATAGAAGCGGTCGCCGAAACTCTGGAACAAAACCTTAGTCTGATCGGCGCCTCGGCTATTGAGGACAAGCTGCAGAAGGGCGTCCCAGAGACTGTCGACAAGTTCCGTCGCGCAAATATCAAGATCTGGATGCTTACGGGCGATAAGCGAGAGACGGCCATAAACATTGCCCATTCTGCACGAATTTGCCGGCCGGCGTCTGAAATATATATCTTGGACGCATCCAGGGGCGATTTGGCCGGCCAAATGCTGCACGTGGCTGAAAGTCTTGGACTCCGTGATGTGGGCGATGTCGCTGATGTTGTCGCTGCTCCTGGCGACCGACTCTGGGACTCATTCTCGTTTTGGCTTGGCCGATCAAAGGCATGGAAACCACAGCAGCAACGCAGGAACCACACGGTAGTCGTGATAGATGGTCACACCCTAGGGATCATTGAAAAGCAACAGCAGAATGCAGGCAAGAAAGCAACATCAGCGTCCATTTTCTCAGCGGACGCGGACCTTCGCGAACTCTTCTACACCATCATACCCGAAGTCGATTCTGTTATTTGCTGCCGCGCTTCTCCCTCTCAAAAGGCGCTGCTCGTTCGTAGCATCCGGCAAGGAAAGGAGACTAGCAAACGACAACGCCAGCAGAACCCAGGCCTTACTCTTGCTATTGGAGATGGCGCCAACGATCTGGCCATGTTGGCTGAAGCCCACGTCGGAGTTGGAGTGTCTGGACGAGAGGGTCTGCAGGCAGCACGCGTGGCTGATTACAGCATCGCACAATTTCGCTTCTTGGGTCGGCTGCTTCTCGTCCATGGGCGTTGGAACTATGTGCGTACAGCACAGTTCATTCTCAGCACGTTCTGGAAGGAAATGTTCTTTTACACCCCTGCTGCGGCATACCAGTGGTACTGTGGCTACACAGGCACTTCGATATATGAAAGCTGGAGCTTGACGGTGCTCAATACCCTGTTCACCAGTCTGTGTGTCATCATACCGGCGATCGTGGAGCAGGACCTCAGCCAGACCGTTCTGATGGCTGTACCAGAGTTGTATTCCTTTGGGCAGCGTAACCGTGGGCTCAACCCATTGAAGTATGTTTCTTGGATGTTGGTAGCCGTGGCCCAAGGTGTCCTGGTCTGGTTCGGCTGCTGGGCTGGCTACGGTGCCTTTGCAAACAGCAAAGACACCGGTCTGTTCGCTCTCGGAGACCTCGTTTTCGCCGCGTGCATTATGTGGACCAATGTCAAACTTTTGTGAGTCGATATTGCTAGGAGTGGCGAGTTGTTTCTTCGACAATTACTAATCGGAGCAGCATCCTGCACACGCACCACAAATCGGTTCCTGTGTTGATCGGTTTCTGGCTCACCGTCTTCGTATTGTGGTTCTGGAACATATTTTTGTCGCTGGCACACAGCGCGTCCCCATCTCCGTACGACGTTCGAGGCGGATTCTTTCACGAGTTTGGACGTGATTTGTCGTGGTGGCTGACCCTGATCATTGTCGTGACGGCTCTTACCGTGATCGATCTGAGCTATGCTGCTGTCAAACGCAACTTGCGCTTTCGTAACATCTGGCAGAGTAAGGAGGGACGCCAAGGCAGGCATCTGTTGCTGTGGCCGCCGGCATTCTGGGGACGTAAAAGGTCGTCTTCGGATACAAACAACGAGGACAGCTGCGCAGACAAAGACGACACATCGGACGATTCTGCAAGCATGGAGATGCCAGCAGACGAGCTGGATCTGGAGGTGTGGCAAGACCTGGAAAGAGATCCTGCCGTCAGAGCGAAGCTGCGGCAAATGAGCGGCGAAGAGGACGACGAAGACGACTGGTCTTGGGGCCTCAATTGGAAGAAAAACAAAGGTGAAAAGAAAGAGGGGGCAGCATGGGAAGAAAGTCGCTGCGAAACGGATGGGGAATGATCCGTTTTGGAGCGTTCTTTTGGTTATGGAGTCTGTCGCTCCTTCTGCATTTGTATTTCAATTTCAAGATACCCCTTGCGAAACTCGTATTTGCCATGCGGCCGTCTTTGTGCTTGAAAATTGTACACTGAATTGGCTGCTCAGCAGTGATAAGGATGAGAAGGTTTGCCTGCACATTACGGAGTACTTCTCAGCTGCCCTCAGCAAGTTCCTGTATGTCTTCTATCTACACTCTACTCTTCAACAAGTAATCCGACATGGTGTAATGGCTAACATCGGTCGCTCTCACCGACCAGCTCGGGGTTCGATTCCCCGTGTCGGAGCTAAAAGCGCCTGTAAGGCGACGATTTTTTGCACTTTTTTCGTCTGGTTTAGCACGTTTATTTACAAACTCTGTTACATTGACCACCCAAGCAAGGCTGGCCCAAATTTTGCTATTTTACTTCGTGCATACGGCTCTAGATCAAACCAAGAAATTGGGACAAGTGTAGTGGCAAAAAGGATTCTTCCTTGTTCAATCTATGCCGATTGGTGCACAAAAAAAGTCGCATATGCGGCGAAACATCAAAAATGCCAGCTACAGGGTTCGAACCTGTGAATCTTTCGATAATGGTGTTTTAAACTATAGGGCTTAAGACCACCGCCTTAACCACTCGGCCAAACTGGCAAGTTGTAAGAATTTTGTTAGCATTCTGAGACTATTTAGGCATTTCAAGTGGGACGACGATCTAAGACCTGGTTCACATGCTTCAAACCCAGCAGACCAAGCCGAGAAGCGAACTGCGAGCATCCAAACACGGACACGACGGCCGAGCCGCTGGCCGGGATCGTGCGGAAGCACTTGTCTGGCGCTGTGGGCCTACAGCCACCCGACCTCACGACTGTGCAGACGCTCGTGGTGCTGTCGAAGTACGACTGGGGCGTCGGCTGCGGATACCGTGTGTGGATGTACGCCGGCATGGCAGCACGTATGGTGCAGTCGCTGATGGTGCTAACACGACCGTCGAAACTGTCGGCCATCAAGCGCGATGAGCACAGCCGCATGTTCTGGAGCTGCTTTGTCGTGGGCTAGAGCTGGTGGATGACTATCCAGCACTGTTGCGCCTTGTTCAAAAACGCAAGCCGCGACTGTCAGCTGTTTCACGGCCGCACGCGCGCAAATTTGAGGCCCTCGAATACTCTATCCACGACCCGAGCGGACAGCCGCCGACAGAGGGCGAGGTCATCTTGCCGGCCAGCTCGGCTGGTCAGAGGCCGTCACGAAGTGATTTTAGCACGACCGACGGCATGGTCTTATCGGTCTTGTTCAGCCCCAGCAGCATCCATGACGTGGAGGCGGAAGAGCCAAGCCAGCCCCAGCCGCTGTGGGGGGAGCAGCACACTATTCCGTTTGCCCTCGAGGGACTGCCGCTGGACTACAACCTCGATATGCTGGACATGTATACAACGTGATGTAATAGTAGCTTACGTAAAATTGCGGAAATAGTTCCTACTCGTTATGTACGTACTTTATATTCTCTTTTTCAGCCCCAGGTATTCTTTTTTCTAATCATATCGTACATTATTGAAACACCTAATCTAGGCTCTTCACCACCTCGTCGTACGCCTCCCGCAACGTAGCTACCGCCGTGCGCAGCTCCTCGTCCGACGCCATGTATGGCGGCGCCAGCAGCACATGATCTCCGAGAATCCCGTCGATCGTTCCAGCTCCCGGATACACGGCCACGCCCTTGTCAAACGCCACCCGCTGCACGTGCGGCCCAAAGTTGACGCGCCGTGGAAACGGCTGCCGGCTGGTGCTGTCCTGCATAAACTCGACCGACCAGAAGAAACCACGGCCCCGGATGTCGGCCACGTGGACGCAGCCGGCAAAAGCTGCCTGCAGCAGTGTCTGCAGCGTCTTGGCGCGGGCTGCCACCCGCGCCACGAGGCCATCCCGCCGGAGGATCGTCTGCACTGCCAGAGCGGCGGCACACGAGACCGGATGGGCCTGATACGTCTGACCGTGGTTGAAGGTGGCTGAACCGTGTCGGAGGGCGTCGACGACGCGATCGCCGACGAGCATCCCGGCAATGGGCACATAGCCGCCGCCGAGACCCTTGCCGACCGTCACAATGTCCGGCCGGATGCCCTCTTGCTCAAAGGCAAAGTACGAGCCCGTCCGCCCGGTGCCGCACATCACCTCGTCCATGTGCAGCAGGATGCCGTACTTGTCGCAGAGGTTGCGCACCGATCGCCAGTAACCCGTCGGAGCTGCAAGCGTGCCGAGTGCCGCGCCACTGACCGTCTCGCCGCTGGGACATGTTAGGGGTAGCATGACAAGATGAGTCGAAATAAACTCACATAAACGAAATCACATTCTCCGGCCCCAGCCTCACAAACTCGGCCTCTAACTCGGCCACCAGCCTGCTGACAAACATTGCCTCTGTCTCGTCGGCCTTTCGGCCATGGAAGGCATCGGCTGCGCTGACAAACGACACATTGGTCGGTAAAATCTCGTTGTACGGCATCTTGCGGCCGGCCATGCCCGAGATCGACATGCTCCCAATCGTGTTCCCGTGATAGCTCTGCTTGCGCGCCACGTAGAACCGCCGTTGCGTCTCGCCCTTCTCGTACCAGTACTGTCGCGCACACTTCATCGCAGCATCGTTGGCCTCGCTGCCGCTGCCGACGAAAAAGGCCTTGACAAGGCCATGGTCGAAACTGCCGTCGGAAAAGTGCAGCACCGCGTGCGCCAGCTCCTCGGACGAGTCTGTGCCGTACGATAGAGTGTGCACATACGACACCTTTTGCATCTGCTTCATCACAGCTCCGATCACTTCGGCGTTTCCGTGTCCCAGGACCGCCACTGCTGCTCCGCCGCAGGCGTCGAGGATCTTGCGCCCGTCATCTAGATAGAGATAGCTGCCAGTTGCCATCTCCACGTTGCTCGGCCGCTCGATCAGCGACCGATAAAGGAGGCATGGCTCGGTCGATTGCACTGCTGCAGGCTCTGAAGCCTTCTCTAGCACTTTTGCAGAGACAACCACGGCCATTGTTCCCTGGACCGATTGGAGAAGAGCGGGGCTAAAAGGGAAAATACACTGTAGCCGCAGTAGAAAGAGGACACCCTCAAAATTATGATACCACGCAAATGGAACGGTAGCAAGTGGGGCGCCACCTCCTACTCTGCATATGTGCTGTTATCATGCAGGAAGCACAGCTGGTTGTGGCGATTCGGCTGGGAAAGCCGAAAGCCGTGACAGCTGCTAGTGCCTGATAACGTTCCATAACCGGCGGGCTCCGCTGTGGGTTACGTCAGCAATCTCAACCCGAAATGTCCTTTTAAAGCCATGATTGTAGCGTTGCCGCGAAGTAAAGCTGAGCAAATGGTCTGGATGCCGTGCACTTAATCAAAATGAAAACCTGCTACTCCCAATCAAAGAGACATCGTTATAGTTCGCGTCAGTATCCTACACAGCAACGTATGAGGGATAAGGAGCAAGAATCTCGCCGAAATGATATGACGGTCTGTCAGGCAGATCTGTAAGATAAAACGCGGTCTTAGCTGAAGATACAAGAAAAGGCGGTCCGACATTACGAATTCAAAGTAGACGGAGTTCTAGTAATACGATTTGTGTATATAAACAACATGTCTTTTGCAGTATAAAGGTAAGAAGAGGCGAGTTATAAAAGGTAGGATGACACTATCTAAAACAGTCTACTTTATAGCTATTTTCTTCGTTTGTCTAGGGTGGTCCCAATCTCCGAGATACAACAGCCCTCAAAATGGACTCACACATTTACTTGGAATATGCTGCACAATGACCGAGCCAGCCTAGAGCAGCGACCGTACCGTATATCAACAAGCAACTAGCAAAAGTTTCAAGACATGCCATAGGATCAAGACCCAACGAGACGTCTGCACCGGACAAAAGTGACTGAAATCAAGTACTCGCTGTGCTGATGCTGTGCTTAAAATGGCCTAGTAGGCTGTTCTTCATCTCACCGGCGCGCACTAAAAATCGATGCTGAGGGCAAAAATTCAACTCGATCCAGGCAGGGATCGAACCTGCAATCTCTTGGTTCGTAGCCAAGCGCCTTGCCATTTGGCCACTGGACCTCGTATGAGCGGATGGGCTTAATCCAATCTTGTGCGGTTGCTGACAAGTGCTGCCGGGATCCTAGAGGCAATGTTCGATGGCACTCGTCCTTTCCAGACCATGATGAGGTTATTCTTACTAGGCTTCCTTTGCTGGCTTTCCAACAGTGATAAAGAAAATGGGAAATATTTGGCCGGACTAACGCATCTACATAATGAAACAGTACCTGGCCTTGGTGGTGACACACTTTAGGCCTCTGGATATTCGGCATAAAAGAAGCTGTCTCCGGAGTTTCGAAAGTTTATCAACGGCAAATACGCTGTATACAAGTGTATTATCTCACAAATCAACATCACCTACATGCAGGATAGCAGAAAGCATGTCGGGTACGTAGGCCTGACGCTCCAGCCTCGGATAACGTAACCCGGCGTGGTAATCAAGTTCAGCTAGCCACTCATCACCCTCTTGTGTCATGGTGAATCGGATACGACTACCAGGGGCGTCCTTATTCGCCGTAATCTCAGCTGCAAGAGTCTTCAAACTGAACTGGACCTCGCCGACTTTCACAACAGTCTGTCTCGGAGCAAGTTTGGCGGTATCAGCCGCGCTTCCACGTCGTACATCCACTAATCGGCCGTCTTCCCCCAAACGCACTCCTATCGAGTTCCAGACTGCGTCGCTTGTCCCCTCATCGGAATTCTGCTCTTGGTCGATACCGGGCTCCGCCACGAAAGTAAATTGGTATCCGGCGCGCTCGATACCTTCGATATTAACCCGGGGCGAGACCATAATCACTTTCATATCAAAGAAAGCCTGCCAATTATTGCCGGCAACAGTGTCCAGGCTGGCCACTATATCATCCAGGGTATATGGGATCACCGTAGGACTTGTCGGGGTACCCTGCCCAAAAAATGCTCTCGTGAAGTCGTCGAGAGAGCGCTTGCTGTTGGTTTTACTGCGGATTAGAGTGTCGACATCAAGCCACAAGAGCACTCCATCATCGTAGTAATCCTGGCCGTCCCGCTTCCAATTTTCCCACGCTGAGCCGCCACGTAGACTAGTCCCAGTGCAGGTATCCTCGGAAGAGCGCCAAAGACGGCCTGTTTGGCCTTCTAGCCGTGCAACCGTCCGGGCGAGCTCTGCGCGGTAAAAGACGGACGAAGCAAGGCCGCCGCGGACGGAAAGAACGCCGCCGTAATACTGGGTGAGACCCTCGTACACCCACAGCAGTCTAGCATCGAGCGGCGTTGCAAAGTCACGAGGCATGTGCCCGGCCGGTCGGCGAAACTTGCCATTCCATGAGTGTACAAACTCGTGAGCTATCGCGGTACCATTTTTCTCCAGGTGTTTTGTGTCTGACAGCGTCTTTAAAGGCAGGACGATATCGCACGAATCATGGTGTTCGGAACCGCCTGGACCAGGCCAGTAGTCGGTTAAAGCGACAAGGAACCAAATTGTGTCATAATGTCTAGCCCCAAAGGCAGCCGAAGTCTGCCCAACAAGGCTCGCCAGCCGGTCTAGTGTGTCCTGTGGTACAGCCGCATACTCTTCTCTATCTGCAGCAACGCACAGAACATGCCTTTGGTCTGTTGTAACGGCATACTGGTCGAAGTGGAGACCTGTCAGGACAGGCGAGTCCGCCAGACGGGCTAGGCTTGTTGGCTGATAAAGCAAAGTTTGGCCCCCTTCGTCTGCAGTGTCTGTGATGATAGGCTGCCCAAGGTTCTCAAGGGCGGTCCCGGTTCGCCATCCCCGTGGAACTATAACAGACGCCTGTATGCGAATCTTATCAACATCTCGGCGGGCCGGATAAAGCAGAACATGCTCCCAGCATAGCATTACCATGCGCCTCGTAGCCTTCCGCGTGATAACGGCATCAAACACGGCGTGTATCACGTCGGTGTCCGTAGGTATCTCCACGTAGTACTCCGATGGTCTCGTTGGATTGCGACACCAACGCAGTGTTTTGTCTTCGGATGCAGATGTGAAATACAATCCTGCAACCCCTGCGACCGGCCCATTATCCCGGTGAGATTCTTGGATCCATAGGGGTGTCGTGAATATGGCAACAGCACCAGATTTCACTGGCAGCTGTACTTTGGTGTGTATGAGACTTCGCCAGGCTTCTGTCAAATCGACACTGATGTGGACAAGCCGCATGTTGAGTGGTGAGCGAATGTTAGGGTACAAGTAGGAAAGTATGCAGTCGGTTTATATTACAACTATGCGACCTGACAACTTCGTATGTAGATTCACTTGGAAGTAAGTAGGCAGCCAAGAAGTTGCACAGTCGCGTGATGTTTATATGTGCTTTTTTAGATAAAAAGAACCGGGTTTATAACGCTTTAATAATGCTATGAAGCATACTAACGACTTTCTATATGCAGTCTAGTATACTGTAGTATTAGGTCAGGAAAGTAATATACGTAAGTCCGACCGACCCCCTTAGCACTACCAAACCTTTGTAACGCCTTTCCAGTGAGGGCACGGTTGGCTAGCATAGCTAAGACAGGTCTTAAGTACGTCTTGGATACGCTACATTTCTGTCCTATTTTTTTCTCCTTTTCGCTTGCTTTTCCCTAAATTGTTGTTTCTAGAGGGTTCTATTGAGAGTTTTTCCTCTCAATAGTTTCGCTAGCCTGCTATCGTACAACGGATCTCAGTTGTCAAACAAAGCTCTACTTGTCAAACAGTTTACCGCCGTTCTACTTTTTGATAAATATATTCCAAAGATTGTGACCGTCTACTAGCGGGTACCATTCCATCCGTTCTGTTTGTTTATTTCGACCAGTTCGGGCCATAACGGTAGGAAAAAGTCTCCTGGTTGCGGCCGAATCTCGTCCCATTGATCCATCGTGATCATATTGCTCCTCTGCCAGTCTATAATCCTATCGTGGCTCTTACACTTGCGGTTCATGTTGAAATCCGGTACGGGATACTGCTGCGTTTCGACCCAGTTGTGCGTGATTAGATCTAAGCTCGGCTGGCAGGTTAATGTTTGCAGCAACAGCATGACACAATGATCTCTATGGGAATTATGGAGCAAGCCGGGATCGTCGCCAAATTTGGGCCGGAAGTAATAGTCGTAATGACCCCACTTGCGGAGGACGTTCAGGCAGTGGATCTGGTGCTGGCCATCAATTTGGGCAAGGTGTGCATCTGTTCCAAAGCCTGATTATCTATTAGGACGATGCGCGACGCCGGGAAAATGGTACGTGAGATACAAAATCCCCTGTACTCACCCCATTCAGGTGGAGCCTTCACTGTTCTGGACGGATCTTTGCCAAGTCCACGGACGTCCTCGCCGCTTATGAGGACGATGCCGACTTCAGCTATGGCATCCCAAGCGGCATCGACCTCGTCAGAAGGAGCGCCACGATAGATAGTGTAAGGCCTGTTAAAGAGCTCATTGATCTCGTAGCGCGCGACGGGTTCGCCGAGGTCAATATTGTCCAGCAGCGGGGCTTGCACGGTTAGTCCGGTTCTAGAAACAATGTACTTCGTTATTGATCTTACAATACGCTGAAATCTGTTTCAAATGCCATTGGTATGTCTGATGGGACTGCCTATAAGCAAGCCCCAGACAGATTACAGAGAGGGGAAAGAGGACCGAGTTTAGCAGGAGAGTCCATCTGCCTGCGCGACTTTGTCTTCTCGGATGCTCTATATTTACATACTGCTCGACGTTAGATTAGTGAGTCATTTTTACCGACAGAGGGAGACCTGACCTGTTCGTCCTGCTCATCGTCAAGCTTCATCGGAATATAACCCGATTTCGTGGCACCGTCCATAGCTTGCCGAGTCAGATGAATTTGCCCAAGGCTCGAAACAGAGACCTCGATGCTATACTGCTAATATGAGGGGATTTTAGCGATTTAAAAAGGGCAAGCAGAAAAATGGTAGTAGGCTTCGTTGGATGTAAGAGGAAGAAGGGGAAGGGAACACGGGCAAAGCAATGGGATGGAAGAATGTCAACAGCGGACGCTTCAAAGCCCCGGATTACCCAAAAGAAAAAGGGTTGCCTTCGTCTTGTTCCGTGCTTACCCTGGTCTCAACAAGGCTGGCTAGGTTTGATGGGGAGGATTACGCAAGCGTCCTACTTTCTGACGATTCAGTTTCGATCTGCATTGAGGCTTGCATCATGAGTGTCGACTGTAGCGGGCATGTCTTGAACTCTTAAAGTACCTATGTTTTTTATGCCGTAATACAATGTTTTCATTGTGTTTGCAGGAGGGCGAACCTTCCTAGTGCGTATTAGAACAGGTTACAGAACAGGGTATGCCGCGTGCTGGGAGCTGCAACCTGATTGGCTAGAAGGCACACAAACGATTTTGGACGTAAGACTACTATTACACTGCACTCTGACGTGGCTTGTTTTACAGCAGGAACTCTGCATAGTGTCTTACATTACGACATTGGACCCACCTGAATTGCAGACGTACTGCAGCTTAAGCACCTAGGCGCCGGTATATTGTTTTTAGAAAGACAACTACAGCTAGACATCATATTACTGCCTTCCCGAATTGGTAAGTGCTATATGTACAAACGCATGCCGTAGCTGCTGGAGACAAAGGCTCCAGCAGTGTCCTAGCCTGTTGGCAAATATGTCGCGATCGTGTGCCGAGGATGAACACGAATGAAATAGAACTCCTCATTGCGGATGGTGCAAGATCAACCTTGATGCTGTATGAGCACATCATAGGCAGTCTCCGGGTGGCAAGAAACAATAATGGAGGAGCACAGTAACCGAGGATAGTTGTTGTAAAAGGCCGCCCTTACGTATAAAAGCATGCTCATCAGCAACACTTTCATAGCAACAGCACAATTGTTATCATCCCAAAGATCCAATTACTCAAATCAAACTTCCAGTCATCATCATCACATCGTTTTTAGTTGTTCTTTTACAAAGTTAGGCATAATGCAGATCAAACTCACTCCCGCTGCTATTATGGCCATCCTCACTGTGACCGCTATGGCGGCTCCAACCATCACCGGTACGCAAGAAGACCATCTTAAGTTTGTGCCTTAACTAACAATTTACTATGCTGGAAAGAACCTGCTCATGTCGATGATAGCATCGCTGCTCGTGGTAAAGCCGCCGCTGCCTATGGACATCACCAGGACGATATTGCTGCTCGTAGTGAGGCTGTCGCTGCCTATGGACACAAACAAGATGACATCGCTGCTCGTGGTGAAGCTGTCGCTGCCTACGGACACAAACAAGACGACATCGCTGCTCGTGGTAAGGCTGTCGCTTATGGACACACACAAGACGACATCGCTGCTCGTGGTGAGGCTGTCGCTGCTTATGGACACAAACAAGACGATATTGCTGCTCGTGGTAAGGCTGTCGCTTATGGACACACACAAGACGACATCGCTGCTCGTGGTGAGGCTGTCGCTGCCTATGGACACAAACAAGACGATATTGCTGCTCGTGGTGAAGCCGTCGCTGCCTACGGACACAAACAAGACGATATTGCTGCTCGTGGTAAGGCTGTCGCTTATGGACACACACAAGACGACATCGCTGCTCGTGGTGAGGCCGTTGCTGCCTACGGACACAAACAAGACGACATTGCTGCTCGCGATTCTAAGAGCAACTGATATTATAGAGACGTTGTCGTCGGCGGTCCTGTCGCTTCTGAGGTACACAGCTTAGACGATATTTTTGTGGTGGTGCTTGGATTCTTGCGGACGCTCTACTTCCTCTTTTTGTATTGTGTAGATGTTGAGCTACTTGTACGGGAACACCACGAGGGGCACGCCATGGCGACTGAAAGCTAGGTTATTATGTGTACGGCCGAGTGCAGCAAATACTTGGCCGGACTTTATAGGCTTAAAATTCTCTCTATTCAGTCAACAGTAGTTGATGGTGATGACCACGTGCTACGCTTCTGAAATTACATCTTTTCGTCTTATTTCGCTCTCTATCAGGTTCTTCGTCAGCCTGCCTGAGGCGGCCCAGGTCATACGAATGCAGGATTCTCTCACCTGCCAAATGTGTACTCATAATGTGTAAAGGTTTCCAGTGAAGCATCTTCTCTTGCAGTCCTTCTTAAGCCACAATCTCAGCCCAGATCTGTGCATGTGAGAGAACCTAGTTTATAATACGTGTCTAGTCTCGTTACAAGGCTTTTTGCGTACTGTCTGTGATTTTCGTCAGCCTCGGCTGCCACTACTGGTACGAACGAGGTCGGTATTAGTGAATGTGGCCGTAAACTCTGGTATCATAAAAGGAGGCCTTTCCCTCCCAGAAGATTAAGCAAAGATAATGGTAGAAATGTAAAAGTGTAATAATAAACTATTATAGAGGTAGAAAAACTTAAAAGCTAGTAAGTATAAAAGCAGAACCTATATTCATAGTAAGTATATTATGAAGAGAAGAACAAATGGTGCAAATATACATGTACAAGCGCTGCCTACTCCTACCAATTTTGGTGATATTCCCGATCACGGCTCAAGTAGTGCTGGAGCAAAGTATCAAGGGTCGAAAAAGTACTTAAGGGTCGGCGAGGGCAATCCGTGCGTAATCAGATTCCGTGCATAGAGTGAGTCTTCATAGAGTACGTAATTAGTAGATTCAATATCCCTCAATAGAAATAAGTAACAATAACAGCTCTTGATCACACCTGTAAGCTACGTGGCTTCTACCTTGTTGGCTGACTAGTGCAACAGGATATGGCTGTGGCATACATGTCTCAAAATTGTATAAATAGACAGGGTTGGATACTTGTTTTTTGTTTCCTCCACCATTTTGCAGCCTACTTTTCTGCAAACTTTTGAGTCCAGCTTGCAAATACTTACGAATTGAAATTTGCGCAAAGAAATTCATGGCTGTTTATCGGGAGGGGCAACTCAAACCTTGGCCGTTCGTGCCTCCAAAGCCTAAGCCAAGTCCCAGGCAGAATTAACGAGTATTAAAGCTCTTTTAGCATCAAGCCAAAGAAGAATGACAGAGGGTTTAAAGTTCACTAGCAAGCTGCGGCCGCTTTAATGCGGTATTAACAGTTCCGGGGCTCTCAACACATGAAGTAACACCAACGCTGTCATCATTCAATTTATCTCGTGACTATTGAAATCGAGGTTCAGTGCTATTGTGTCGTGCCAAGCTGTAGTCTACTCTGATTTAGAAAGGAGACTTTGCTTCAATCTTTCGTCATATGTGTCCTGTGCTTGGGTCACCATGGCGGAGGCATCGTTGTTCCAAATGTGGTGAAAACGCCAGGTTATCTCGCGCTGAAACAGTTCCGTGTCCTGGCCGGCAGACTCATCCCTCCACTGAAATAGGTCCACGGCATCACGTGTGTGACGGACAAGCCATTGAGTGCGGTCATAGCGCATGTCGCTGTAGGCAGAGAGGGCGGCGGTGATCCGCGCGGGAAAAGCAGACGTGTTCGTTGTTGTATGATTATCCCTTGCAATACCAGCCAGAAGCTCGGCCAGCACAAGAGCGTCCTCGATGCCGAAGCCAGCACCGGCTCCGAGATGTGGTCCTGCAGCATGGGCGGCGTCCCCGGCGACAGCGATACGTCCGCGGGCGTAAGTGGGCAGCGGGTGCTCCATCAGGTCAAAGATGGCCCAACGATCGGGTTTAGACGGCAGGAGGCTGACGACAGCGCGAGAACATTTCTGCCACGAGGAAAAGGCCCGTTCTGCATCCTCTCGATTACCACGAGAAGTGGCAGAGGAAGCAGGCGAAGCCTCCTTGACGATGCCGCCATCTACTTCACTGCTTGTCTCTGGCCATGGGTTGGGATCCGACACGACCACGAGGATGTTGAGCATAGCCCCCTTGAACATGAACCGTGTGGACGAGCGCTGGTTGCCCAGAGCGACACGGGCGTCGGCCATGGGGACAACAGCACGAAAGCAGTACTGGTGGGAGTACGTGGCGCGGTAGGCGTCCCCAAAGACGAGGGATCGCGTGCGTGACCAGACGCCATCACAGCCAATAACTGGAGACGAAAGGAGGTGTGAGATAGGATAACAGTGGGAAGAAAATCCAGGCAATCAGGAGAACGAACCTGCGTCTGCTGTGGCGGTCGTGCCATCGCCAAATTGCAGCGTAACCGTCGTGCCGCTGTCGTTGAGGCCGACGAGCTCCTTGCGGAACTGGACAAGATCTGGTGGAATGAGTGCTGCCCAGCAGTGCAGCAGCTGGGAGCGGCGGCCACCCTGGAAACCATCTTTGCCGAGGGGTAGACGGTAGATGACGCTGTCGGTGGTGTGGCCATCGATCCACTGGAAGTAGTCCTCGCCGTTGGGCGTGACGGCGGCCTGAAAGGCGGCGTGTACTGCTGGATCGATGAGTTGCATTGCTGCCTCGGCGGTGGGGCTGATGCCAATGCCGGCACCCGTCTCAGAGAAGCCAGAGGCACGCTCATAGATGGTGCAGGAGACGTTGCGCGCGTGCAGCCCGATGGCGAGCATGACACCGGTGATCCCGCCACCAACAATGGCGACGTGAAGTTTAGAGGACATTGTGGTAGACAGAACGAAAATCAAGAGGAAATGGATGGTATTTCCTGCGGGTGGCTCGAAATTCGATTGGGGGATCGAGTGTGGGCACCACAATGTCCGGCTTTGAGCTACCTTGCACTTGTGTTCACGGTCGCCAAGGTATCAAACGTCGATCTGTAGAGCCGTCAAGTTCTCCTGAATATCGTAAAGTCGATTCGATGCCTAAGAAGAAGGACAGGTCAAATTCAAGTTGAAGTATTCGGCACAGTTCACACGAAATGAGACCACAGCTGCAACAGACGACTGTCGTGCGGAGAAGGGCAATGCATCAGGCTTCCCCCCGGACATCGGACTGACGCCAATGGATGTCCGGTTAACTTATCTTGTGCTCTTTTCCAGATTGTAGTGGGAAACAAAATGAGTACGTCAATACTCTGACACCACCTTCTTCAGCGACTCTTTCCGCTTTTGCTTTATGAGCTCTTGTTTGCGCCTTCCGTTTGCAAATCGTTTCTGCACCTGATTTTGTTCTGAAAATTTGACCGTTTGTGAAATATCATCTTAAATGACTTTGCAAAATTCTTCGTCCAAAGGAAAAGTCCTGTTGACGGGTAAGTCATAATATGGTGACCAGCTGGCCGATCACAAGCTGATTCCCCATTCTCAGGCGGAACTGGGTTTATCGCCTCCCACATTCTCGACATACTATTGGAGCATGGGTATGTACTGGGATATTTTCCCTTAAACGGCAGCATAATCTGAGATCTCAGATTTACAGTCGTGGCGACTGTACGGACGGCAGCCAAAGGCGAGGCCGTTCTCGATTCCATCGATGCACGGCTGCGCCCCGCCGTGTCGTATGTTCTCGTGAACGATGTTGCGCAAGAAGGTGCTTTTGACAGGGTGAGAAGTGTTTCTTGCGAAAAGGAATCAGATGACTTCACTGCTGACGCCTCAAACCGTCCAGGCCGTCCAGGCAGAGCCACCATTTGATTTTGTCATCCACACGGCCTCGCCGTATCAGGTGCGCATCGACGATCCTGTCCGGGACCTGCTCGAGCCGGCCATCCGCGGCACCACCGGCATCCTGCGCTCTGTGCAGAATCATGCCCCCTCAGTGCGACGCATCGTGTTAACGTCCTCTTCAGCCGCCATGCTCAACCCGGCTGCCCACGCCGCCGTGTACGACGAGTCTTTCTGGCGGCCAGTCACCTGGGCAGAGGCACAGCTGCCACAGAATGCCTACGAGGCCAGCAAGGTGTTTGCAGAGCGTGCTGCTTGGTCAACCGTGACCGGTGCCGATTTAGAGACAGCGGGCGAGCCAGCGGGCGATGCCAGATCCCTCGCTAGAACCCCCGCTTTTGATCTTGCTGTCATCAACGGAACGTACACATTTGGGCCAGTACAGCGGTGGCTGAGGGGCGCCAACGAAATCAACGCATCCAACCACCGGATCCGCGATCTTATCGCGGGCGGCTGGCTGTCCAGCAAGACGGACAGCACGGGAAAGCACAGAAGCATGCCGCCCACTCGGCCAGTCTTCACATGGGTCGACGTCCGTGACGTGGCGCTGGCCCATGTGCGCGCTCTGCTGGTGCCGCAAGCTGGTGGGCGTCGCTTTTACGTCGTCGGTGGCCATTTTAGCAACGGAAGGCTGGCACACATTGTGCGTGAAATGGTGGCAGAAGCAGAGAAAGAGTCGGCATTGAGCCCACTGGTTAAGCGCATTCCACCGCTTGCCGATACGCCTGATGATCTGCCGGCAGACGTGTACCGATTCAACAACCGACGGTCGCGTGAAGTTTTAGGATTGACGTATCGCAGCCTCGAGGAAAGCGTGATGGACACGGTGTACTCGATTTTGTCGTTGGAGGCAGCTGGGGCCGAAAAGTAAAGACCGTATGCGCGTAAGGTAGTTTTGATGGTGTGCAAAATGTTTTCATGTTCAAAAAGAGGAATAATATTAGCCGTGGGGTTGGACAATGATTCACGGTGTCTGGCTTTAAAATGGACGACTTGCCGTATCGAGCTGTTTGTCGGGGCTTTCTCGGTGCTGGAAATCCATTCACTTATTGCATGCTCAGCTCGAGATCACCTTTCTTTGACTCTTCCAGAAAACAAACTGGTTTCATCGAGGAAGACTATTGCTAGTATCTGACATCTGTACCACGGCTTTGCTCTCCGATGGCCTTACTTTAGATGATCTGACAGACGGGATACAGACAGCTCAACTTCACTCACTCGAGTGGTTGTGCAAACGGCTCAATGGAGACGTACCAGGTATGGAACAACTGTCTCGATACTTCGGGACAGGCAGGCCCAGAAAACCCGTTCGATCCTTTCAGGCCCGAGGAAAGATCGTCTTACCAGACTTGGCAGCAGCAGAATCACCAACAAGATAGCATGCAACAGGACCTTCCAGGCCCCCAAGACTACCAGGCAAACATGTGCAGCAACAGCTTCTTTCCCAGCCAGGGGACCTTTCTTCTGCAAGCCCCGACCATTCCCAACATCATGTATCCAACAGCGACTTACCAGCAGCCTACTCAAGGGCAGATGACCTCCGTTGGAGTGTTTCCAACGATGGAACAGGCGCCCTCGGATTGCCACAGAAACCCACTGCCTGTCCCGCCCAGAAGTGCAAATGCAACTGACGACGAGCTGCTTCCCTGGCTTTCCTCCCAGAGCGTGCCAACCAGACACGAATATTCGATCCAGAGCATGACTGAACTTGTGAGCAGCCAGCAACCGTGGCACTCCTGGTCACAGAACACGCAGTTCCAGCAGCAATTCCAGCAGTGCCCACGATTCGTTCCGCCCGTGCAGATCTCGTCCGGAGGACTGTTGAGTCCAGATGGCTCCGGCCTGCAGAGAGAGCGACCCCAGACGCCGGCAGCACACCGGAACAGCAAAAACAACAAACACAGCAACGCCGCATCTCCTTCCGCGTCAACGTCGTCCTCGCCTCCCTCACCCGAAGAAAAGATCACATTGGCAGACGTCAATCGATTCATGAGTCCCTGCAGACGGGCGGAGATGCGGAGATACCGGCTGCGTGCCAATCACGGAAATGCATGGTCGCAGCCAGTTGACGTCGATGGCCTGTATGCAGAGCTGCAAGAGGAGGTGCTCGAGAGTCGACGAAACCAGCGGGACCGCGACGCATGGGTGGAAAAACACCTGCGCAACAAGAACAGGAGCAAGAAACGAGAAAGGAAGGGCCGTGGCGCAAACAGTGGTGGCAACACGAAGATGGACGTGGATACGGCGCATCCGGTCGATCCCACGGCTCCGAGTTCTATGGCGTATCCACGAATGCTCTGCCAGCCCAATGATAATGTTCCGTGGTTCGCGCAGGAATTGCCACAGCGAGTTTTATTACAGGGAGCCCCGCAGGGAGTTCCACAGGGCATGAGACCAGCCGCACAGCCCTTTCAGGCAATGTGGGCACCCCAACAGGTGTTCCAGGGACCGTATGAACCGTCTCACAACCCCGCAAACCATGCGGCTGGCGGTGAAATCTCTCAGGCAACAGTCAATGGCAACATGAGCGATGCATGGAACATTCAGGCCAATGCAATGGGTAGATGCGACGGCCAGTACACAGCACGGGACTGGCCATTTGTGTCAGACTGGACCGTGCAAGAGCAATATTGAATGCGGAAAGATGGCGGCAGTACGAAGGTAATTTGTATGGGGGAGAAAATACGCAGTTCAGGCGGTCGAACCTTTAGGTTCCTGGCTCGCATAATGCTTAATCTACGAGATGGCTCCTCACCAAATCTGTCGTCCTCAAATAGACTGAGTTTCTGTCCGTTGTCTACGACGTACTCAGATGCACGTATCAGAATTCGATCCCGATGGTTTGGAGGTATGCCCAGCTCATCACATTTGTCCACACCAACGGCATTTTCAGCCTCGGGCAGCTGGTCACATTCCTCGTAGACCTGCAGCGCCTCGAAATCGTTTATGTTGATACGCACGCCCTTCTCCTGCAGCTGTGCTTCGCGCTCCTGTGCAAACAAAAAAGTCAGCGTTGTTGCCGTACTCCGATGACTTTGGGTGGCCAGCCGTTGCCCTTGGAAAGCGCCTCGTCCCTGTGCCATGATTCTGGTGCCGATAGCTCGACCTCCACCATTTCGCGCTGTCTCAACCAGGGCGTTGCTCTGGTCGCTGGCACCCTCTTTACGGCGAATGGTCTTGACCACGACAGAAACCTGCCCTCCAGCGAGCTCCTCATAACAAATATGCCTTCGCTAGGAGGCATGATCGTGTAGCCCTCTGGCACAGGCTGCATCCCGTTATTGATGACTATGCGTGCTGCGAACCACGTCCGGCCGGCAGCGTCAGCCGAGATAACCTGTGCTGGTCCACGTATGTGTGCAGCGCCATGATGCGCATGCGCATCTCACCGATGAACCCGTTCTCCTTCAGCACGGCCTGCTCACGGCTGCCAGGACCATCAGAAACACACCGGTTCGCCTCTCTTCACTCGTCCTCCTCTCGCCACCGCTGCAGGACCACCTCCATGCCGTTCGCAATGGACGTAATCTGAGAAATTTCAGGGCTCGGCTCGGTCACCCTCGTCTTGGCATCGGCCGTTCCGGCCGCCTCATCTTTCGCCCGTCGTCTTTCCATCTCTCGCACGTGTAGCTCGTCCATCGCCACCACAATCACCAGCACGTCCACACCCTCCACAAACATGGTCAGTGCCGTCACCTGGATTAGTCCTGGGACTTAAAGCCGGTCCTCTGGCCCCTGAAAAGGCCAGCAGATCGAGCTCCTCATCCGACAATGACGACAGCGGGCGGGAGGCGATGTCTTTCTGTGTGCTCGAGTCTGCATCCGCTTCCTAGGTCTCCGCCTCTGCCTTTTTCAGAAACGCAGCCGCCTTTTTGATCAGCTGCCGCGGCTTGCTGAAAGCTCCCACAGTCGCCTTCTCGACGAGGTAGCGCACGTGTGATGGTGGTATCCACTTCAGCGGAAATTGCTAGAGACACGGGTCAAAATTCTAAAAACACGGACCACATACCTTTTTAGCGGTCCAAAAGGTGTCGAACGGACCAGGCCAAAATAGGAGGGGCGTGTACGATTGTGCCGTGTACGAGTAATGGAAGAATAACATGTACTGTTTGGCGCAGGGCGCTATTTAGTATAATATTTCGTGCACGTCGGCATAGCTCGGAAGTAGTCAACTGTGTCTACCAACCACAACAATACGCACACGCTTACGGAGTACTGGGCACCCATAATGTGACAAAAGGCGGCAGAACACAGAAATCGGCGCTTGGGCGGGAATATTCAGGGACTACAGAGTACATTGAATATTATACCCCGTACGCACATGCTTATTGAGCAAGCAATCCGACCCATGCGTGTGAAATTGTTGCGCGGTGGTGCACGGACCACCTCTGATGCAGGGTTTTCGGCCCAGGCTTTCCTCTCTAGCCTCAGATAGCTGTCTTCCTTTTGAATACAACGATCTTCGCCTCATCTAAGTCTTATCTTCTACCCAAATATACGTCAATTGGACTGCGGCTTTCTTCCTAAAAATTGCGAAACTTTACAAACATATGTAAGGCGGGGTAACAAAGACGGAAATTTGTCGCGCGTCATTCGCCGTCAGTATCGTGGTTCGTAGGTTCTGTACACTCCGTAAACACACCAGTAGAATCTAAATCCGCACACCCTCAGAAGTAGATGTGGTTTAGCTTATATCGGGTGACGAAATGCTAAGGGTTTCATTGGTTAAACACTCGCAGGACGGAAAGCAGGAGTGCCTTGGGCACATAAAGGCATTGTGACAAAAAACCTAAAAAGCATAGCGGGAACAAGAGGAAGACAACTCAGTCTTGATAGCCCCAGAATATGTTGTTGTCGAGGCAGCATTGGTGCCAGACTTGTCCCCAATCTCCTTTATCATTCCGGCCTGCGTCTCTTCTCTTCGTCGTTTCTTCCGGTTTCGAACCTCTGAAGAACTGTAGATAATAACCTGCTTTTTGCCTATTTCCTTCATTTGAACATTTCGACTCAGCACTCGTACGTTGAGTCGGAACTTGGCATCTCTTAGTCAAGGTTCACATATAGTTTCTAACACAAATTTTCCACGCAGCAGTCTTGTGGCAACCAGCCCCGATACCCACAATGGATCCCCTCAGTGCCATCGCGTCCACGATTGCAGTAGTACAGGCCATCTCATCGGTGTACACGACTATCCGAACCATCAAGAACCTCCCAGGCGAGTTTAGCGAGGTGGCTCGAAATCTTCCACTAGTGACCAGCACTCTTGACGCTGCAAGAGTTCGCATCGAACTTGATGGCCTGGACAGTGCAGCTACTGCCGCCATCGTGCCAGTCATAACCAATTGCGAGGAGAAGGCCACTGCATTGCGCGACATCTTTCAGGAAATTGAGAACAAAACACGCGGAGGAAGGGACTCGTCATCGCTGATGCTCTATCGCTCTACGGTGCTGCGCCTTGGAAAGGCCAGCCGCGTGGAGGCCCTGATGCAGAGTATACTCAAAAGCCTACAAGGTCTAGCGATGAAGCAAATTTTTCTAGCCTCCGGTCAGATCCAGGTTGCCGCGTTGCAGGATGCCGTCCACAGGCTGGCTGATGTACCGTCGTCTGTACCCGACTCCGTCTCCAATGGCTTGGAAAGTGTGGATCAGCACATACTTCAAGGAGGAACTGGGAACCAGTTTATCAACAAGGGGCAGACAAAAACGTCAATTTTGGCGCCAGTTTCGAAACGGGTGGAGGTCCTGTCTACTATGGTATGGAACCTAGGAGGTAGACCGAGGACATTTGGGTCTTAGACCTAGATCGAGTTCCAATATACTAACTTCGTTGTTCTTAAGACACCAGAGGTCAAAGCTCTGAAGCTCGCACAAAAATTCTCCAAACGCTTTACACGTTGCCGTATGAAGACAGAAAGAACAGAAACCCTGAACGAGCTCCGGGTACATGTGAGTGGTTTGTGGGCCACTCTCGATTTCAAGAGTGGAACAAAAGTCAATCATCCAGCATCCTATGGGTGTCTGCGGATCCTGGTAGTGGCAAGTCCGTATTAGCGAGACACCTGGTGGACTCGGTGCTCAAAAGCCAATTTCGAACAACCTGTTAGTTTTTCTTCAAGGATGACTTTGAAGACCAGAGGAGTGTGCGAAATGCCCTTTGCTGCCTTCTCCACCAACTTTTCACGAAGGGAAGCTTGTTGAGCGATACGATTGTACAGCAGCTGGACGCTCATCGACCGAGACTTACCGACTCGTTCGGGGGGCTTTGGAAAGCATTGCTTGCTGCTGCTGAGGACAGTAATGCCGGCGAGATCGTTTGTGTTCTCGATGCCTTCGACGAATGCCAAAGTGAAGACCAGTCTACGTTGTCAGAGGCATTGTTCAAATTCTACCGCTCAGCGAACAGTCGATCTAACTTGAAGTTTCTAATCACAAGCCGGCCATACAATCAGATCAGACTATTGTTCAAGCCTCCTGAAAACGACGGTCTCTCGATGATCCACCTCAGCGGCGAGGACGAAGCTGAGGTGAAAAAAATTGCTCACGAGATTGACATCTATATAAAGTTCAGAGTAGAAGACATTGCAAAACTTTATGGACACCAGCCAGACGAAAAACTGTTTCTTTTGGAAAGGCTCACTCGCAACCCGAACCGGACATATTTATGGGTTTATCTTGTCTTACAACTGATTGAGGACGACAGCTCTACTGGTACCGACAATGTGACTCGGGCAACAAGCATACTTCCAGCCAGCGTCGATGAGGCATATGACAAAATTCTATCCAAGAGCAAAAACGTGGATGACACCAGAAAGCTGTTGCATATTGTCGTTGCCGCTACACGGCCGTTGACCGTGACTGAGATGGCCGTAGCGTTGTCTCTTCGGGAAACGCACCACTCCTACAAATACCTGCCCCGTCACTCTGAGGTCCGATCCAGAGCCTACATAAGAGGTCTTTGCGGTCTTTTCGTGTCAATTGTGGACAAAAAGATCTACCTCCTTCACCAGACTGCAAGGGATTTTCTAGTCCAAGGCATTGCTGCGGAAACTGAAATGAAAACACACCGTTCACTAAAATGGAAAGAATCCCTGCGGCCGCACGAGTCCCATACAATTCTTCGTCAAATTTGCATCTGGCATCTGTTGTCCGCCGAGTTTGATACCCATGGTCTCCATGACGAGTCCGATATACCCCAATACCTTCACGACCATCCTTTTTTTGGTTATTGTGCGACAAACTGGGCTCTTCACTTTAGAGAGTCCAGTGCCGCAGACGATAGCGTCCTAGACCAGGCTCTTAGGCTTTTCGATACGAACTCGAATCGCACAGAGACCTGGTTTCGGGTTTTTTGGATGAACACTCAATCGGGCTTGAGATATCCTCGGAATTTCACACCCCTCCTGTTTGCCTCATACTTCGGTTTGGAGCCAATTGTCAGGTTCCTGCTGCACACTCCCAAAATCAATGTCAATATGAAGGACGGCGAGTATGGGCGCACTCCACTATTTTGGGCTTCTGAAAACGGACACGACAAGGTTGTTCGGCTGTTTGTCGCGGACCGCAAGACTCGTCTCAAGCGTATTGGCAGACTATGTTTCCGGAGAAGCGCGAAGATTGATGCACAAGATGGAGAAGACCGCACCCCCCTATCATCTGCCATTCTAGGACGTCACCATGAAACCGTCAATCTTCTTCTCAAGGAAGGCGCCAAAGTCGACGCCAAAGACAAGATCGGAGGGACACCAATATCCTACGCCCTTAGCACCGGGCAAGAACACTTAGCCCACCAACTGTTAAAGGGTTCACCGGCTGATTCTGCTTCCAATATCAAATCAGAGCTACTGCTATCCGCTGTTCGTTCTGGAGATGTGGCTCTTGTATCGCTGCTTCTCGACAACGGTGCGGACATAAATGCAAGGGACGGCCTTAACGGGACGCTATTACATGTTGCCGCACGCGCTGGTAGGAAAGCTGCGATACAGGCGCTTCTCGACAACGGTGCGGACATAGAGGCAAGGAACAGTGATGGAAGCACGCCATTACATGTTGCCGCACGGGCTGGTGAGAAAGCCGCGGTACAGGTGCTTCTCGACAATGGTGCGGACATAGAGGCAAGGGACACCGGTGGTAGCACACCGATAATAGCTACTAGTCACGAATCTATTAGGAGTTTGCTTCTTAGTCGAGGTGCAAAACCTAGGTAGACTAGAGCTTGATTGGTATTAATCTAGATATATTATACATTATAACGGGATTATCGGGACCTTCTAAGATGCGTAAGTCATATTAACAGGAAGTTAGCTGAAGATGATAGTTAAGCAAGAAGGAGTTGACAATATCCAAAAGTACTTATGTGACGATAGGCCCTCCCACTTTGAGAGAACAGGACCCGTAGAGCTTAGCTAATCTAAGAACCCAAGGACAGAACACAACGACTACTCCGTATCGACTTTCGGAATCTGTCAACTACGAGTATGGAAATTGCGACCGCGCCACGAATCGCGCTGCTGTACCTCGTACTGCGCAGATCTGCGAGCAGAACGATCATGAGACAACAATGTGACAATCTGGTCGCTTCTAGGCTCGTCCGGGGAAAGTGGGGTCAGGTGGCTTGGTCTGGGTACAGGCGGCCCTGGCACTATTGGCGGATTTGCTGGCCCCACCAAAGCTGCTTGCACTGCCGAGAAGCTGCCAGAAAGCTTCAGCAGGAGCGAGCACGCACCGTCAACGAGTCTTTGTCAGGCGCTGCCTGTCTCATTATGTTGTTGGAACTCTATTACGCAATTAGTAACGTGTGGTTCTAAGCTATCAGAAGACGGAGCATCATCAATAATCGGGAGAAGTAGGACGGAATATGAGTGGCCCGGTCTTGCAGGTGACATCATGAGGGTTGTTCCGTCTTTTGTCTGACAAGTAGTATATAAGTACGGGCGAGGGCTGTCCTGAGGAAATGGAAAAACGGACTTGACCAATAACTTGATTAACAGACATCAATTCACACACAACACAATACACTCAACACTCTATCCATCAAACAATGTCTGGCATTCCAGAGCAGCTATACCACACCACGTTGACAGTCGTCGATTACCACACCGACACATCTGGCAGCACCCGGACTGTCTACGTACTGGGCACGCACACCACGCTCGAGGCGGCCAAGGCCTTTGCGAAAAAGGCCCTCTCCGACCTGGGCTACGAGCCGTCCGACTTCAAGGAGTACGCCGTACGGGCTGCATCGCCCGACTCGTGGACGCACGGTGACGGCGTCGTCGCCTTTGCCAAAGCCTTTGCCGGCCAGGAGTTCCTCGTCGGCATCGACACCACGCCCAACGACCAGGAGTTTGCCGCTGGGCCAAACGGCACCGTCCGTCTGTCGGCCTACCCCGAGGATGCCGGCGTCCATCCGGACCATCACTTGCACTATGTGCTGCAGACAAAGGTCGACTACGATCAGGACCGGTCGGGCGCCCACCAGTCCACCGACATCGAGGGCTGCTTCGAGCACCGCGCCGACGCCATCGATGCCGCCAAGGCCAGCCTGTTGAATACCGGCAACGAGTTCGCCCAGTACGACGAGCGCGACAACCCGGCCTTTGCCGGAGAGGTGAGCTGGGTCAGCCTCTAGCAATCAGATGGCGTTTTTTTTTCTTTTCTTTCGATTTGTTTGTACGCTAACATTTCCAGTGGCCGTTTGGCGAAGACGTCGTCATCCATGCAGTATCGCAGACCGGCGAAAACTACACTGTGGCCATCCGGACCATTCCTGGCGCTCACGAGAAGCACGGCAAGAAGACCCAGAGAAAATGACGATATTGCTTTTCCCACAAATAAAAGGCGCCTTGCTGTTTTGCCAAAGCGCCATTCCGTCAACTAAACCAGGCAGGGCTTCAACGGTACGGAGGGTTTTATATTGGCCACTTCTTGCATTACTGTCTTAAATGGAGACTGGAAATGGTATGGGGAAAGATGATCAATACGGAGTAATACGTGGGAAAATAAGCATAGTGGATTGGCGCATTAATGACTGAGAATGGATCAGAACATGTGTATTTTGTCCCGAGGTTGGTAATTTGAGATATCTTTCCTGGATAAATTAGCGAGATCCTGTATGTTTGATTAGCTGTCGCAGTTAGGTGATGCTAGCAAGCGACCGTTGGAACGTTTACGAACAAAGCACCGTTGTGTTCCTAAAGTGTCCGAGGTGATCGAGATGAAGAAGCAAATGCGCTACTGCGACCTGTTGCTTACCACATATGCATTTGTGGTTGCGTGTTTGTAACACCGAAAAACGTGATAAGCAGAGGCTGGAAGTGGAGAGAGCGGCCTACATGTGCAGAGCTTTTTGAAAGTATAATGATAGTGGTAAAGTGATTCAGAAGCCAGTCGGGGAGTTTTTGTATCGAAAAATAATCGTCTGTCCAATGCGTGTCCAATGCTAAGCAATCTGTCGCCTGAAGGCGTAGAATGGAGGGGATGGCTCCAATCCAGTGGATACCTGTAGATTATGAGCTAAAACTTGGGCCTCACAGGCTGAGCTCCAATGGATTAGCGCCTGTGTGGGGACATGCGCAACAAGAACGCATGATGCTGCAGGACGAATTGGCTCTAGTCGCTGCGACGTGACCAAAAACTGAAAAGAATCTAATTTCCAGCTGCAGTGCTCGTATCAACCTTGAGTGAAATTCTGCAGACGTGCCTAACGACCGCAAATGAAAGGCACAGACAGTCCGCAAAATCGACATTTTCGCACAGCGACAGCCACCATAGCTTTGGTAGCTCCAAGTTTACAACAAAGTTCGGAATTTAATGGTCTTTTCAAAGATCAGATAGTTTCGTGGGCACTGTGTACACCAAGTCCTGCTACTGTAAGATACAAAATAGTTCGGTCATCAAAGCCCTACCGAAAGCCCTTAGCAACCGCAAGTTCCAAATCCGTAACGATGCCGAATCGCATCCGAATGGTGATACAGCCAGCACATTATTCGGCCCAGGAAAAGGTGACATAGAGCCGTTGCATGCGGAAAACGTGGCTCCATCGACTCATCGCGTTTTCAGCAGAAATATTGCGTTATTGGGCGAACCCACGGACCGTTGCGCTCCAGTCCGTATTTGAGACCGTCTCCGTTGCACACTAATATGCGGAATCCTTCCAAAGTCCACTTACGTCAACGCCTGACCGTGTGTGTGCTGTGCAAGGTTCTTTAAGCATTGAAGAACACTTTATACAAGGGACAGCTCTGGACATACACACTTTGGCGCACAATCGCGGAGAGCGACAAGTACTCTCTGGCCCTTTATACGAAGCACTTGGTCTTAGTACGTAATCGGCTGCTTTAAACAGGCAAGTCTGGACATTAGTGTTGAGAACGCCATAGTCTGCACAAATCACGATGACCTTGGCATTCCCGCGTCTCTGCACAATACCGAGCTGCCGCTTACAGGTAGACAGCACCGAGAAAATAGTGAAACACTTGCGACAGATGGCTGCTAACTCTTTAAAGGCAGGGAACAATGAACCTACAAATCCGGACGCGATGGGCCATAGTCTGTGCCGCTCGTATTTCACCTTACTGTTTATTTTGCGAGCGCGTTGGAAACCCCCCACGTACTTTCTCCCACTTCAGCTGGCCTGTGAATAATACAACACCAGATGGGCTACAGAAAGCCTCGCGGCCGAGAGCACGTCATCCATCACTAAAAAGGTCATATAGCTCTGTTTACTCCACCAGCTCCCATTCAGCCCTGCCTTTTCTCTCGAACACATAATATATTAATCTCGTCCAAAGATCGCCGACATGTTTTGCATTGTTCTGTACTCGGCTACAGGCCGGAATTTACGAATGAAACAAGATATTGTCACGACTTCGTGAAAGAAAACACACCATTCGAAATGCGCTGCGGTCGTGAATCTCGACCATGACGCTCTCGGCCGAACAGCTTCACGTTTTGGAGATTGTCGAGAGGTGCTGCTCGGGCCTCTCCATCCTCGGCATACTGATCATCATAATCACATTCTTCTCGTCAAAATACTTCCGGAACCCCATCGACCGCCTCATCCTAATCAATGCAGTTTACAACATCTTCGACGTCGCCGCAACCATGATCTCGCTTAGTGGACCTAGTGCAGGGGACCATTCAGCCTTATGCAGGTTCCAGGGGTTCTTGATGCAAATGTATGTACCTGCCTCTCGTTGATCGGAATGGTATCGTGACGTCACTAACGGCCCTCTTGGCAGGTTTCCACTAGCAGATGTACTTTGGACGCTTGCAATGGCTTGTGACGTCTTCTTGATTGTGTTTTACCAGTACGATCCCAAGGCTCTGCGGAAGCTCGAGCTCAAGTACATTGGTGGAATCACCATCATTACATTCATCCCGGCCTTTGTGTTTCTATTCGTCCACACTGCAGAAAAGGGCCACATGTATGGAAGTGTAACGGTGGGTGATCTTCTTGAAAGCCTGATGGCTACCTTTATGATTGGGGCTAATCTTGTCAGCTTTGGTGTGCCATCTCTCCACATTGGGTGATCTTCCGTATAATATTCTACTATGCATTCATCTGGTATGCCCCAACTATTCCGATACCGAGTTCCGTCTTCTGTTCCGACACCAATAATAGTTTTTGTTTTTACAGGCTCGCTATATTTATCGCCACGTTACTCTACTGCCTTGTCGGCTGGAAGATAGTCAGCGGAAAGCGCGCGCTCAGGTCCATCGAAGTCGATCTTGTGCCCCTGGATACTCGCCTTGCCGAAAAGATTTACAAGAATGGCCATGACAGTGGCCACGAGCTGTTAAGCCTTGGGCCTGACCGCATTTCAAGATCACGCGACGGATCTGAATCGACGTATCAATTGCGTCCGCCCGAAAACTTCACTCCAAGCCGCAATTGGCAAGGCAGCCAGTCTGCTCTCTCGTTGAGGCAGTACATCCTTATGCCTGGGCTTTTCCTTGTCGTATTGCTGGCTATCTGGGTGGCCCCGACAACAAACCGAATTGCGTCTTTCGTCAGACCGGATTACGTATCTTTTCCGCTTTATATCGCTGTTGGAGCTACGGGCTCACTCCGTGGCTTCTGGAATGGCGTTGTCTTCTTAGCCGTGGGTATGAGGTCACGGCAGAGCCAGAAGAACATTGAAGAGAAGATGCACCCGACCCGCCTGGTGTTCTAACATATTATGAGTTGTTCGGCAACAGTGCCTCGACCTGTCTTATAGACGCCGAAATTGGGCCACCTACTACATATACAACAAGCCTAGACCTTTTCGCTCGCGCTCGTCACCTTTGACGGGTTCTCCTCAACCACCATCTCTGTAATTGTGGTTGGCTCCTCTCGCCAGAAGTTCTTGTTGCCCTTTGACAGGCGCACAAGCCAGGGAGGAAAGAATCCTCCTGGAATTCGATACGTCCATGGATCCTTGCTATCTTTGTCCTGAGGCACGATCCGGCCACCCGATACCCTCTCGATAATCCATACCAGGGTATTGATCAGAATATAGGTGCAGACACCACCGATCAAACCGTTTGCGATCGAGTACGTAAATGGCATCAGGACGATACACAAGAAGGCGGGGATAGCATCGCCCATGTACCGCCAGTTGATTTCCGTAACAGCTTTCATCATCATAGATCCAACCAAAATAAGAACGCACCCAGTGGCCCAGGGAGGAATCGAGGCAAATATGGGCGCGAAGAAGATGGAGATGAAGAAGCAGATGCCTGTAGTCATAGCTGTGAGCCCCGTCTTTCCACCTTCAGAGATACCAGCTCCGGACTCGACGAAAGCAGTCACGGGGGAGTTGCCCATGATCGAACCGATGGAAATTCCAATGGCATCAACCATGTACGCGAAAGAGGAGCCTTCGAAGTCCTGCGTGACGGGGTCGATCATGTCGGCAAACCGGGCCATGGAATACAGCGTACCCGTGCAGTCGAGGATGTCGACGTAGAGAAACGTAATGAGGGCGAGCCCGAACTGGCTACCGTACTCGGAGATGTCCCACCTCTGGACGTTGAGTATCTGGCCGATCTTATGAAAGCTGACGACCTGGCGGAAGAAGCTGAACAAGTCGTCACCTTCTGGCGTATATGGAAAGTACGTGATCGCCGATGTCCGTGGCCATGAGATGATGCTGACAAGGGCGATTCCGGCGATGATGGCGCCCTTGACGCGATACATCATCAGAATGACCGTCAGGATGCCACCGCAGAAGATGCCGACCCACATCGCCGGATTGCGCATCTTGGCAGAGCTTGGGCACTGGCCTGACTCGTTAAGTAGCTCCTCGCGACATCCGGCGAGTGCTACCGGCGTATCAGTAGCTCCCACCATCAGGCCGATACCTTCGCTGTAGGTCAGGCCGATCAGGGTCAAGAAGAGGCCGATACCAGCGCTGGTGGCCAGCTTCAGGGATGCAGGAATGGCACGTGCCAGCCATTGGCGCATCCCAAAGAGAGCAAGTGCAAAGAAGATCCATCCCTCCACGAAGATGGCCGTAAGGGCGACCTCGTAGGGGACATTGCCGGTGCCGTGATATCCCACAACGGTATAGGCAAAATAGGCATTGAGGCCCATGCCCGGCGCCAACGATACTGGACTGGCCCGGATGAAGTTCCGTTTGTCAGCAGGAAGACCGGATATCACACCGTCAGGACCGGGATTATCTCACAGATTGGCAAAGAGGCCCATACAAAAGGACGTGAGGGCCGAGATGGCAGCAGTGGACGTCACGAGGTCTCTCTTGATCTCGTTGACGCAGAGAGCGTAATCAACATCCGTGGAGCAACTGATGTCAACCGGGTCATTGCAGACGCATGTGCCTCCGGAGTCTGACACTACAGAGGCATTGACAGAGATGACGTAGGCCATGGCAAAGAAGGCAGCCAACCCAGAGCGGATTTCGGTAAAGAAGAACGAGTTTTTACGCTCCTTTGGCTATAGATATACTCGCGTTAGTTGTTACCCTTTTCCCAGAGATGCATGCCTACAAATCCCTTCGACTTTGGAGGCTGAAACAACGGCATTGCTCGATCGGGTGATTACATACGTGTCCGCAACCTTGCAGCCGAAACCACCTGCCTACCGGGCTCGCGGCAACCCTCTGGTTGACAGTGTGTATCCAGCCCATTTTATCGTGTTCCTTATTTGTCGCAGTAGTTTCGCAGAGTCTTCCTGGGCCTGGGATAGGACGGTGACCTTTTCTGCACGATCTGTTGGTCGTTGGCGTGAAAACCGAGGCTAACGGGAGATGTTATATGGCAGTAGGTTACTGACCCTAGGGTTGCATCTGATGTGGTGCAAGCCAGACAAGGTTGGTCCGTCAATTTATTCCATTCACGATCAGATATGAGGACGTGACCATTCTTATCTCCTGCTGACAGCATTCGATTATACAGAGTCTTGGCTTGATCTTGGCTTTTCTTGGCTCTGCCTTGGCGAGATAACGCGCGCCATACTATTTGACGAGCCGCAAAGTTTCGCCACAAAAAAGGCGAAATGTTGTAGGACTGCGGTAGTGCAGTGTAGCCGTTTTCATTTTCGCTTCGGTCGGTACTACGAGTATGGAAGGTGTGAAATATACACGACGCAATTGTTGATACTGGCGGAAGGTGTGCTAGCAACAAGCAGGGTTGTTATTTAGCGTGCTTGGTTTCGTACAGAGTACGCCAGGCCTGATGAAGTATACAAAGAATCCAGCACGTCAGTGAATAATCTCTTGTCCTGCTTATGGGACACAGTACTTTTTATACTGGTCTCGTGACTCATCCCTGGCCTTTGCCGCTCGTTTTGCGTCTTCCCTAGGTCTGTGGTGTTTGTTCCACGTACGACAAAAAATTTGCATGAGCAGGGCAACTTCCTTGGTTGGCATTATAGCAGCTATGTGCAGTCCATGTCGCGTTTGTTTATGCCCTGTACTTGATCAATGGCGGTGCCCAAGGCTAGTAGTTCGGCGATGGAGAGAGAGCAACTGGATTTAGCAACATAAATAAAGAACGTACTCAAGCATTTTTCCTTTTCCGACGCTATGCCACTGCATTTCATCGTGAACCCTATCCCAGATTCCTGCAAGGGACTGTTCGCTATGCCGCTGAAGTCATGGGTACGTACCAAAGACACCAGGAGAATCCTGACTGGGGTGAAAAGCTAGGGAAATGCCCCCTGGCTGCATTAGTACGCGCAGAAGCGGCGACTTTAGGCTCGACAGCCTTTTCCCCCGGGACCGACCGCATCCGTCTGGTGCCACCGGCATAGTCCTCCATCATGAGGTGGTAGAAAGCATCGGGCCTCGGCAACGTCCACGCTCTCGAAATTGTGGTGTCCGTGTCAATTTTGTCTTGTCGAGAACAGACGCTTTTTCAGACAGAACTTATCGCGCTTTTTCATGATTGGAATGTCAAAGATAGGGAAGGTCATACTTTGGGATTGTGCATTCCTTTAATTTTGCATGGCTGTTGTACTTCGTATCACTCTTTGTTTCGAAGCCTCGGTAAGCGCACTGACAAAATGCAAACGTGCATCTTCGTACCAGGTTCCCGGTGAGGTTCTTTATAGCCTTGGGCTGTTCATGGGTCCGTAATTTAGGTTGCCGGGAGGTTGGGTTGGTCCTTCTTTCACCCGATACATAGTTGGTTGCCTCTTTACTGCTGGTGATGTGTGTACTGCGTTTGGTGTGGTTCATTATTCTTGAACGCGGCTGAGCTTCAAGACATGCATGTATAATGCGACTGATTGATTACTCAAAAAATAGCGATTTATTCACGAATTGGGGTAGAGTCGGCGACTTAATACTAGAAGCTTTGTGTTCTTCGAAAATTTGCGATGCCCCAAGCCTGTGACCCGTATGGTAGATGCAACGCTTACCACGGGTGTAATATGGCCATACAAGACAGGAGCTCGGTGCCGCTACCACAATACAGGGAAGTCAACCAACTAAGATCGACTTCCTGCGTTGCGGCTATCACAACTACCGCCTGTGTAGCCATCATGTCGGCGTCAGATATGAAGAGGCGGATTGTAGATCAAAGGCTCGAAATTGTATTTTGCAAACTCATAATATATTCATGTCGCTTTCCGAGAGAGAGCATGATGGTAACGTCATCTATTGCGACTGAAATTATATGCAGAGAGATCCACAGTGCCAGTATCATGCTTGCTGCCACCTGGCCGGCTTTACGCCAAGAGATTATGGAGGGCCACAAAGATACCATGGCCAAAGCCCTGATGGGCATTCCGGAGCCGGAGAGACGGGGTGATACTACAGACAGAAGACAAATCACCTGGCAAAACGCCGCAAAACACAAGAGTATATTAGATCGGGCGACGAAAGTACAATAAAAAAACACAACCGAAATTTGCTCGTCACTGTTTGCTGGAAGTTGGGGCATTACCAGCAGCGAAAGTAGGTCCTTCTTCGTCGATGTCCGGGCAACGTCGTCTCAGTATTTTGCTTTGCCTGCCAAACCCAAACAACATCTCTGTCATTGATTGGCTTGCGGACCCCCTCACTCGTAAAATGTAGGAAAAGCGTTATTATTTTTTCTTACATTTTTCACCTTCACCATCTATCATGTCGTAGGTTCCGGGCCGTTGATACGAGAGGTGTCTAAAGGGTGTAGATCATCCGGCGGAACATTTTCCGTGCGTGACCGAATTAGAGTAAGAAGCTAAACTAGCTAGAATATGGGGTTTCTTGTATAATACTCCTCCCACGCCATTCTTCCTCGAGGCTTGTCGGGTCGAAGAAACTTGAACTTCAATTGCTGTGAAGCCCGAAGCTTGGTGGAGCTCCACCTGCTGCTGAATCCACATTACTAGTCCAAAAGGGGACACTGCGGATCCACGCACCGGAGATAGGAAGGACTGCACAGACATAGCGACGGAGCTAAGCACACAGTGCGCCATGGAGGGCTGGAGCGATCTGCTGAACATGGCAAGAACGGGGGACGAAAAAGTCCTGAGACTTGGCATAGAGTCATGCCTCAATGATATTGCTATGACTCTGCATTCTAAGACGGCGTCGGAGGCACGCGGCTCCGGGTGCGGCGCATGCTGACAGGGATTGTGAGCCACAGACACAGTGCAGTTCCACTTCGCGGCGCCGAAAGCGGGTGTGGTGCTCGGCTCCAGATAGCGGCGTCTTTTACGACCGCAGCCGCCCATTGCAAAGCCTAGGTTTTTTTTTTATTTTTTTTTTTGGCGAAATTTGTCTGGACGGCTATGGCGCAGGCAGTAGCAACGGCCGTTTCGCCCGAGCTGCACGGCGTGTCGACGTCTTCACGACCCGTCGAGATGGCAGACTTGGAGAAAAACGAGATGGCAGAGGCGGCCAGTCGAGAAACAGAGGGGGCTGAGATCGGAGACAAGAAGACGGCAGACGGCAGCGACGACGACATGGACGCCGGAGATGATGCCGACCCGAAGACAGTGCTGCCGTTTTCAAAGCTGCGCTGCGTGGCGCTCGTGGTGACAACAGCCAGCGCCGGTTTCCTCAACATTGTGTCACTGCAGTCGGCAGTGATCATCATGCCTACGATCAGCCGCGACCTCAACATTCCAGCCAGCCGGCAGCAGTGGGTACTGTCGTCGTACACGCTCGCCTTTGGCTGCTTCCTGCTGATCTGGGGCCGGGTGGCTGATCTGTACGGAAAGCGGCCCGTCTTCATTTTGGGCAGTGCCTTTGTGGTGGTCATCACGGCCATCAACCCGATTCTGCCCAACGAGATCGCTTTCGACCTGTTTCGAGGCCTACAGGGATTCGTGCGTCTCTCTCTCTCTCTCTCCCTCTTGTTGAGCCGGATCTGACCTCGCAGGGCGCTGCCGCCAACGTGCCCACGGCCATTGGCATTCTGGGCGTGACCTTTCCGCCGGGCAAGGCCAAGAACTATGCGTTCAGCGCGTACGGTGAGTGTAGCCTCCGTCTCTGCCTCTGTCTGTCCCGCTGACCCTCCAGCTGCCGGTGCTCCTCTGGGCGGCGTCTTTGGCAACGTCCTCTCGGGCCTGGTTGCCAGCTATGCCAGCTGGAAGTGGGTCTTCTGGGTGATCGCGATTCTGTCGGCGTTTATCACGGTGGCCGGCATCTTTGTCATTCCGGAGCTGCCGGAAACGCGCACGGCCGAGGAGCTGGCTGAGCTGTCGCTGCTGCATTCGGTCGACTGGATCGGTGGCGCGCTGATTACCGGCGGCCTGATCGCACTGCTCTTTTCCATGACCGAGGGCAACATTGTCGGCTGGTCGACGGCCTGGGTCATCGTGCTGATCCTGCTCGGGCTGCTGATGATCGCCGTCTTCATCGCCTGGGAGCTCTACCAGGAGAAGCATACGACCCGATCACCGCTGATCCGGCTCTCGCTCTTCCGCAACCGCCACTTCTCGGCTGCCGTGCTGATCATGTGCATTTTCTTTGGCATCTTCAACGACTTCTCCGTCTATGTCACCTACCTCTGGCAGGACTACCAGGGCTACAGCCCCATCCAGACCATGCTGCGCTTTCTTCCCGGTGCCGTCACCGGCACCACTGTCGCCATCATTGTCGCCCGCCTCATCTCACAAGTCCCCACCGTGCTCATCCTTGTCGCCGGTCAGCTGGCCACCTGTGTGGCCCTTATCCTGATGGCAGTGCCCCTCCCTGACAGCACCTCGTATTTCGCCTACGGCTTTTCAGCCATGGTGCTGGCCGTCGTTGGTGCTGACACTGCATGGCCGTGTCTGACTCTCTTCATGTCCAAGAGCTTGCCACCGGAGTGAGTCGTTTGCCTGCTCTCCCGTCCCTTTCTTTCAGTTGCTAAGTTATCAGACACCAAGCAATGGGTGGCGCTCTCATCAACGCCTCCGGCCAGATCGGTCGGGCCATCGGTCTCGCCATCACGACAGCCATCCAACTGACCGTCGTGGCCCACGAACGCGGCGTACCAGTGCAGGATGTGGGTGCCGTCGTCAAGGGCGACCCGGCCTCGCTGCGGGGAATTCGCGTTGCTAACTGGTTCAACTTGGCCCTCGGTGGCTGCTGTGTCATCCTTTGTGCTGTGCTATTTCGTGGCACAGGCATTGTTGGCAAGATTCCCGTCCAGCGACAGCGACAGGGTGGTGTTTCCGCGTAGACGGGCTTTAAATGGCGTTGCTATGAAGTTGCACAACTTAGACTAGAAACAAAGAATACATATTAGCAGCCTAAAGCGGCGAGAACAATTTGTATCAGCTGTATGACTGCAGCCTCTGATTACCTAATGCGTCTAACCGGACTTCCCAAAATCATCACGTGCTGAAGGGGGCGCTCTCTGCCGTTCGTGCATATGCAAGGCAACCCACGAGCCACGCAATCTTCAGAGTTGCCTATGACCAGCAGTCCAAATCGCAGCTCCCAGCTGTCCGGAAAATCAACATTGCCACCTATTCTCAAGTTCTCATTCTGAGTTTTGGCTACTTATCATGGAGACGACGCTTCATACGCTGGACCCCGATGGAGATGTCATTCTCGTTCTTCACAACCCAAGCGCGCCATTTGCCGTCTGGAATGAGAGCGCTAAGCCTGATCTCGAACCTGAGCCTCAGAAAGAAAGGCCTGTAGCTGCCGACCTCGAACTCGAACCTATCGCGGACATTCAATACCGAGTGTCTTCGAAACATCTGGCTCTGGCTTCTCAATATTTCAAGAGGATTTTGGCGGGGCCATGGATTGAGAACAAACAGACCAGTGACGTGTGCCGCTACTTATCTGCAGATGGCTGGGACCCCGAGGCCCTGCTGCTTCTTATGAAGATCATCCACGGCCGGAATGGAAGCTTACCCCGCGAAATTAGCCTCGAGTTGCTAGCAAAAATCGCTATCCTCGTAGACTATTATGACTGCTATGAGGCAGTTGCGATAATCGCGGGACTCTGGATCCGGGATCTGGAAAAGTCTAAGCCCAAAACGCTGTCCAGAGACCTTATTTTATGGATTGTTGTTGCTTGGGTATTTAGAGACCACACACTAAAGACAATTACGGGACTAGCCGTGCAGCATAGCAAAGGATTAATTCTGATGAAGGATCTACCAATTTCGAAAATACTAGGTACGTAGTTATCAATAATGTCCTGGATTGTGCTAACGAAGTTCAACAGACGCAGTGGAAACACGAAGGCAGGAATGTATCGATGAAATCATTACTGGGCTCTTTCGTTTGCTCGACAGATGTCGTGATGGCACCCATGGGTGCTCGTTTGAATGCTCATCTATTCTTCTTGGTGCTCTCGAAAAGGAGATGCATCGGATTGGTATCTTCCTACCACGACCAGAGCCGCCATATTCCGGTTTCGGTGTTACAGCGACATTGAAATTGGTTCGTAGTTTCAAATCCCCAAGCTGGTCTGTTGTAAATACAGGCTATTATCCCATGATCCACGAGTGCAGCCTTCAGAAAGAGATCCTGTCACTTGTTGATGATGTTGAGAAACTGGTGCTAAGTTTGGCTTGATGATGTCAAATCCAGGAGGTCGTTGAAATAAACGTTGGGCCCTCTAGCGTCACGTGCAGGATACCTACACTTTACGTCCTTTGGACCGCCCGCCGACTCAATCGTGTTGGTACGCACTTGTCCTAGCCGATAATTAAGTAAATTTTCGCACAAAAAATATCGGCGTCCTGCTCTACCAGTGCCATTTCGTTGATGCGCTACATCCCATCATTCCGCTTTTCAGTTTTGTCGCCGTCTGTGGTCCAGCCAATGTGGTCCAGCCGATGTTGTGGTCATAGCAGCAATCATACGCGATGAGTCATCTGAACTGTTATTGTCTCCTATTCTCATTCATGCATTAGGGGGGCGTGCTCTTTTATCGCCAGTCAACTATACCGTAGGCACATGAGTTTCTAAGGATGCAGGGGGGGGGCACTAGGGCCGATGTAGTGGAAGACGCAGGCACGGGGCTTTCTGTAGTCAGAGGACTAGTCGATGTCGGCGTGGTTTGAGTTCCAGTCGTCATGGTAGTGGCCGCTATGGCGGGATAGTTCCATGTTTCTTTGCTCAGAAGTTTCGGTATTCTCTCGTCGGAATTTGTTGCGCGACTTGTAGAGGATATTGTCAAGCATTGGAATCCGCCACACTGTGGCCCTTCCGCCCTACTTGGCCGTACGGGCCTGTGATTGGTCAGAAGGCACAAAAGCAGGGCCTGGCACTAGTATTAATACGGACCCCCAGAAAGGTTGCGATGTATCTATTTCTTCCTTAGTATATAACACTCTTTCGCCTACACTAGACCTTATTTAGCCTCCTGCTCCTTATAGTGCATTACGTTATATAACCGTCACGTATAGCCTCCTTTAACCTTTACACAATGCTGTGCCTTATAGTTACGTGGTAAATAGTATATATATAGCTTAGCCCCTAGCGCTTATCAGATTCGTGCTTACTTAGCATAAAGCGTTGGTTGTATTACTAAAGAGTAGAGGAGAAGATGCAGCTATTCTAGAGGGATAAAACTCTGCATAGGGTGGAGCCCTGATTGACCAATCAGGGTTTAACCGTATGTCACATGACTTGTGATTACTTAACACCCTCCTAAGCACTGGCATCGTGATATGGTACCGAAAACACCCTCCTCTCTCTATACAGTAACTTGCTTCGCCGCAGCCTTCCTTACTATGTAAAGGCATTCCTAAAAGTCGTAAACGTACTACTTAAACGGTGGTATTGGCTCGCATTTAGTCTAGGTGTTTTATTAGTACTAAGGTGTGCTTTTTAAACGTTAACCGCGGGAGCGGTTTTGTTATAATATCGGCTAACTAATTAGCTGTATTAATTCTAACTATGCTTAAATAAGCGGCTTCTTGTGAAGGTTAAAGGAGGCTATACGTAGCGGTCATATAACGTAATGCACTATAAGGAGCAGGAGGCTAAATAGGGTCTAGTGTGGGCGAAAGAGTGTTGTGTACTAAGGAAGAAATAGATACATCGCGACCCTTCTAGGGATCCGTATTAATACTAGTGTCAGGCCCCGCTTTTGTGCCTTCTGACCAATTACAGGCCCGTACGGCCAAGTGGGGCGGAAGGGCCACAGTGTGGCGGATTCTAATGCTTGACACTCCCCTTAAATACGCCATGTAGGCGCACCGCAATGCACTGAAATCATCCTCGGCAGCCCTTTCACGGCTGCCAGCCCATCAAGCGAGGCAACAGCCTCTCGAACGCTGCCTTAGGCAGCGCCTTCGTCATAATATCAGCGATCTAATCCTTAGACTTTACGTACCGTACCGTTAACAAGCTGCTTAGTACGCTTTTACGAAAGTAGTGCCACTTAACGTTAAAGTGCTTTAAACGCTCTTTAAATTTAGGCTTCTTTATAATGCTAATCGCGGAGGTGTTGTCTACAAACATCTAGATGTCGGCTTAGAGGCCCATTTCAAGCATAAATTGCTCGATCCAGCGGGCCTGCGTTGTTGCGTAGTAGGCGGCGCCGTATTTAGCTTTACAGGTAGAGGTGCTAACGGTTAAGAGCTTCTTAGCTCTCTAAAAGACCGGCCCTCCTAAAATCCTAAAGACGAAGCTGTATATAAAGTAACGATTAACTAAATCGTTAGCTTAGGACGCATTAACCTACCCTTTAACGCAAATGTGCCCCTTTAAAGAGGGCTTCTAACGGCGGTAGACTATTGCGTAGTCCTCCTTGCCTTGTAGGTAGCGAAGCAATCGCTTAGCTAACTTGGCATGCGTTTCCCTAGGTAATTTTATTACCTTTAAGTGCTAGTGTAAAGGGCTAGTGTGCAATGCGTGGTTACAAAGGCTTAACTAGTTTGTACTGTTATATTAAGACTTTAACTTAACGAACTATAGGAGATTAGTAGGCAAAGGCTTGCTAGCTTATACGTAGCTAGAAGATGCGGTGTAGCGCAAACCTAGTAGGGCGTAGCGTAGCTAAGTGGCTGTGCTAGTCCCGTGCAACGTGTTAAGATAGTTTGTTAAGTCCGCCGCTTAGTAAGCGACTAGTTGCCGAACCGGTGCGTAAGGACGCGTGTGTAGAATACCCTTACACTATCCCCCCCCTCCTTAGGTAACGCCCTTGTTAGCCTAGAGGTGCACACGCGGCAGCCACTTACTTATTAAAAAACCTCCCCTTATAAAGTTAGGAAAAAGAGTTAAGCGCTCTAGGTTATTAGCTGTCGCCGAGTGGTCGCGGACCGCTTGCTTATGCGACTACATTTAGGTAACGTAGAAGCGCATACGTACTGCTTAGTCTATAGCGGTAGTAAACGCTAGATCCTGCCTAATATATAGGTCGTCCTGTTTGTTAGAGCTCCTTAAAAGGCGTGTAGCTTAAATCTTAGTTAAGGAACGCTTAGGTTGCTGCTATATAAAGGGCTAGTGTATAATGCGTAGTTATAAAGGCTTAACTAGTTTATACTATTATATTAAAACTTTAACTTAACAAACTATAGGGGATTAGTAGGTAAAGGCCTACTAGCTAATATATACATAGCTAGAAGATGCGGTGTAGCGCAAACCTAGTAGGGCGTAGCGCAGCTAAGTAGCTATGCTAGTCCTATGCAACGTATTAAGATAGTTTGTTAAGTCTGCCGCTTAGTAAGCGACTAGTTGCTAAACCGGTGCGTAGGGACGCGTATATAGAATACTCTTACACTATCCCCCCCCTCCTTAAGTAACGCCCTTATTAGCCTAGAGGTGCACACGTAGTAGCCACTTGCTTGTTAAAAAACCTTCCTTTATAAAGTTAGGAAAAAGAGTTAAGCGCTCTAGGTTATTAGCTATTGCTAAGCGGTTGCGGACTGCTTGCTTATACAACTGCATTTAAGTAATGTAGAAGCGCATACGTACTACTTAGTCTATAGCGGCAGTAAACGCTAGATCCTGTCTAATGCACAGGTTGTTTTGTTTGTTAGAGCTTCTTAGAAGGCGTGCAGCTTAGATCTTAGTTAGGGAACGTTTAGGTTGCTGCCAATAGGTGTTATAAGGGGGCTAGCCTTAAACACTAGGTGTATAGGGGTGTAGTATACGCTAACTAAAAACAGCGGCGTAAGGCTTGCAACTTTTAACTACTAGCAAGGTAGGACAAAGGCAATAGCGGCCGTTTATCGCCCGCCGATTGTAAAACTATTGCTTACTAGATAG